GAGTGGGAAAAACATACGACCGGGTCCTGAGGCAGTTCTTTTGGCCGCGACTTAAGACAGATGTAGCGTCTTATATTAAAACATGTCACACCTGTCAACTCACGGGAAAACCGAATCAGAAAATTACACCTGCTCCTCTGCTCCCGATTCCTGCAGTAAGTCAGCCGTTTGATCACCTCATCGTTGATTGTGTCGGGCCACTCCCTCGCTCTCGTTCCGGTGCGATATATTTGTTGACTGTCATGTGCCAAAGCACCCGTTACCCTGCGGCGTATCCATTGCGCACGATCACTGCGCGTTCAGTAGTGCGCGCGCTGTCACAATTCATTTCCATATTTGGCATTCCAAAAGTGATCCAGTCTGATCAAGGGTCAAATTTTACCTCCAATCTCTTTGCTCAAGTGTTGAAACAGCTCCATATTAAGCACAACAAAGCCTCTGCTTATCATCCTCAGAGTCAGGGAGCTTTGGAGCGTTTCCATCAATCATTAAAATCATTGCTGCGCTCTTATTGCGTGCAGTTTGATAGAGATTGGGAGGAAGGATTACCATGGTTAATGCTGGCGGCTAGAGAGGTAACGCAGGAGAGCACTGGTTTCAGTCCCAATGAGTTAGTGTTTGGTCACGTTGTGCGTGGTCCACTGACGGTTCTTTACGATGAGTGGAAGGTTGCAGATGCACCGAAAAATCTTATAGACTATGTAAATGGGTTCCGTCATAGACTGTATGCTGCTGGTGAATTGGCAAAGGAAAACTTAACCGCAGCTCAGGAGAAGATGAAAAGTCTCTATGACCGGCGTGTTGAACACCGTGTTTTTAGTATGGGAGACCAAGTTTTAGCTTTGTTGCCGCTGGTGAATTCGCCACTTCAGGCTAAGTATTCGGGGCCTTATAAAGTGACGAAAAAAGTATCGGAAAACAATTACCTTATTTCGACACCTGAGCGAAGGCGAAAAGTCCAACTGTGCCATTTGAATTTGTTAAAACCATATTATGCTCGTGTTTCAGGTGCTTCCCAAGAGCCTGTCCCAGCTGGTGCGCATCCCGCTTGTTTGGTGGGGAGAGTGTCCACTGTTTATCCCCCACAGTCGGTGTCCGCTGAGGTGGAGGATGGTTTGCCGTGTGTTGATACCGCTGTCCTTCAAGGCCGCCTAAACAACTCGGAGTCCCTGAGGAATTTACACGTCCTCTTGGGGCATTTAGCAGAGTCAGAACAGGCAGATTTGTGTCGGGTAATAAAATCTTTCCCGGGCTTGTTCAGTGACGCACCCACACAGACGCACTTGATTGAGCACGACATCGATGTTGGAGATGCGCAGCCAATCAGGCAAAGATTCTATAGGGTGAACCCCGAAAAACGTAAATACATGGATGCTGAAATAAAATATATGATTGAAAACGGAATAGCTGAACCCTCCTCTTCAAGTTGGGCGTCGCCTTGCCTTTTGGTGCCAAAATCAGATAACACGCCCAGGTTTTGTTCTGATTTTAGAAAGTTGAACGCTGTTACAAGGCCGGATTCCTTCCCTCTTCCCCGTATGGAGGACTGTGTCGATCAGGTGGGCCATGCCAAATATGTGAGCAAATTTGACCTTTTGAAAGGTTATTGGCAAGTCCCTTTGTCCAAGCGTGCGCGTGAGTTATCGGCATTTATCACTCCGACTGGTTTGTTTTCATATAAGGTAATGCCTTTTGGGCTTCGTAATGCCCCTTCAACCTTCCAAAGGCTTATGACGAGAGTCTTGGGAGATTTGGAAGGCTGCACAGTCTACCTGGATGATGTTGTGGTTGTTTCTGACACGTGGTCTTCGCATGTTGAGCGAATTGAGAAGTTATTTAGTCGTTTGGCTGAGGCACGTCTCACCGTCAACCTCGCCAAATGCGAGTTCGCCAAAGCGACAGTGACTTATCTTGGTAGGGTTGTGGGGCAGGGTACGGTACGTCCTGTTGAAGAAAAAATAAAAGCAGTGGCAAGTTATCCGGTTCCCTCGACTAAAAAAGAGCTTATGCGTTTTTTAGGTCTTGTAGGATATTACCGATGTTTCTGCAGAAACTTCTCGGAGGTAGTTGCTCCATTAACAGACTTGTTAAAGGCAAGCGCGGTATTTGTGTGGTCTCCCGTGTGTCAACTGGCGTTTGACAGGGCAAAATCAGTATTGTGTAACGCGCCTATCCTTTCTGCCCCCAGGTTTGACCGTCCGTTTGCGCTTCAGGTTGACGCGAGTCACGTGGGGGTGGGGGCGATGTTATTACAGAAGGATGATTTTCGGATTGAGAAGCCAGTGAGTTTCTTCTCAAAAAAGTTTAACTCCTACCAACTCAATTACTCGACCATTGAAAAGGAAGCCTTGGCCTTAGTGTGGGCTCTGAAACATTATGATGTGTATCTGGGGTCCGGGTTGGTGCCTATCGTGGTTTATACTGATCATAATCCGCTTGTTTTTTAAAATACGTTACAGTGTCCAAATCAAAGATTAGTCCAGTGGTCACTTTATCTCCAGTCGCACTGGCTGGACATTAGACACATCAAGGGTTCTGACAATGTGGTGGCAGACGCCTTGTCCAGAGCACCTGTGTAGTGTTGTAGCCGTGTGAGTTACCCATGTTTTTTGTTTTTTTGGACTCTTTCTTCAACTTGTTTCTCTCGCTTCCCCCCTCTTAAATTGCTCCTAGGTACCAGGTTGCTGAGGTGGGAGGGGTGTCAGGCAGGTGAGGACAGGGATATAAATAATGAGCATTGGGTAAGTTTTCTTGAAGAGAGTAAAATGATATTGTGAGCCTGGGTAAGTTTTGTAAAGTAATGGTAATGGTTAAGTACATAGTATTGATAAAAATAAAATAAAAAATGTTAAATGTTTTTCTCTTGTTTTGCAATCGACTAGTAAGTTACAAGTGAACCTTGTTTTCAGAGGGATTGTTTATGGTTCCGGGGATGGGAGCCCTGTTTTTATGGAGGGGGGTGTGACGGCCTCCTGCCTGTGATGGCCTCCGGCCTCCAGGGTTTGCTGCTGTTCTTTCTTTTCTCTCTCCCTGGCAGGTTGGTGAGTGGGCTTGGCCACACCTGCGTGGATCTGGCCATTCCACCAGGTGTTAAAAGCCCTCATCAAGGATCAGTGTCTCTCTCTCCCTCCTCCGCTGCGCACCACGGCAGTGATCCTCGTGGCACAATGTTTTGTTTTAGTTTAGAAGCTTTGTTAGTTTAGTTCTTTTCTTGGGTATTCAATTATTTACTTAATCTTGGTTGCTAATAAATCTTTCGTTTTAAGTTTAAACCCGTACGCCTCGCAATCTTTTTCATGGCCTTTGAGCCGGGTCATGACACCTGTGTCCTGTAAATGTTATCCAGCTGTGAGCTGAAAACCTGCCGTGCTTGGACGGGAGTGTGATGGGGCCACCGACACCATGATTCTGGGCCAGGGCCAGATAGGCTGCCAGGGACACCTCCATAGGCGGAGGGTTCACGAATCCAGCTTTTTCCGCTCCATCCAGGTCCAGAAACTGTCCACAACCGGACACTGCAGCGCGGGTGGACAGCGGCTTGTTCCATGTCGAGGTTAGTACCACGACAAAATCCGGGAACATGGGCAAACTGTCTTCAGTTCGGGTAGGAGAAAAAAACCCGAGAACCGCGATGGTTTTTGAGTCGGTGGAGGAGAGGGCCATCCTACTTCCAGTTTCTCAGCTGCACGGCGGTAAAGTGAGAAGAAGGATGTGTCGTCCAGATCAACCGGCGCAGCAGCGGCGGCGTACTGACCCGAAGACAACGGCTCCTGCTCATCCTCCGAAAAACCTTGCACGTCCAGGCCGATGTCCAGCACGTCATCGTCCTCCTGGTAACAGGCTAGCCCGGATAGCGGCTGGCCAGCGCCCTCGGAGGGGCCCGACTCGAATCCAGCTGACCCGTCAGCACACTCCATATGGTCTGCCCAGTTTCCAACTGAGCCTTCGACCAGAAAGTCCTCACCAACGGACTCGGACGAAGCCGGCTCCCTGGACTCGGAGAGGAGGGGATTGTGCAGCGCAATAGCAGTCTTTCCTAATATTCTCTCCACAAACTTGATCCGCCTTTCCAGGGTTGAGCTCCGAAGCCGGTGACAGGACTCACACGACTCGGGCTCAGCCAACACCCTCCTGGCGTGGACAATACCCAGGCAAACGGGACAAGCCTCATGGAGATCTTTCTTGTGAAGGGAGAAGCCGCACCCCTGAGGACAGGGGCGAACAGAAGACTTCGCCTTCACTTTCTTAGGCTCAGCGCTCATTACAAGACGCAGAAGCTGAACGAAATAAGCGCTCCGCGGGTAGCCACAGGCTAACACCAACAGGGGCAGTTAAGCTAAAAACGATCAGGCAATAGCCACAGACAAGACCAGGCTGAGCTAGCAGCAGCTAGTTAGCTCGACTCGGTGGAGGTGTTCTCAGCGAGGTGAAGAGCGTAAGAACTGAAGGATGACTGTGGTGTTACACGTATATATGTGCAGGCGGAGCCGCCCAGACGTCACCACAGATCATCTGCCTTAAAGGCGTGAATAAAGGTGTCTTCAGTCAGGCCACGCGAGGGCGTGATATCCCATACTATATGTGTTGTACCGAGTGAATTGACTGAAAGAGAACAGCAAACCATGAGCCTAAACCCAGGGAAACTGTAAATGATTTAACAAGTTAGTAGCTCTGGATAAGGAGAACTAATGTCAGCTACGGGCAAAAACAGAATTATGAGAGGATGTTTACCCCCTTGCTTTTGTTTCCCTTCCTGTCTGCTCTTCTCTGCCCTCTTGAAACTGAGGGAGGTGGGGAGGGCAACCCAGAGGGAGGTGGGCTCTTGCCTGGACATACTTCTTACCCAGGCTCTGCCTTACGGTGGCCTGGAAGTGCAAAACAAAACCGCAAAAGAGAAAACACGACAGCAAATCAAAACGCAAACGCGAAAGAGAAAACGCAACCACAAATCACAAAACTCAACTGCAAATCACAAAACAAGACAGCAAAAAAGAAAACGCAAAAGAGAAAACGCAACCGCAAATCACAAAACACGACAGCAAAGATGTTGTTGTGTTTTGGGATTTGCAGTTGCGTTTTCTTTTTAGCGTTTGCATATGTTATTTGCTGTCATGTTTTGTGATATGTGTAATATATGTGTCTGTAAAAGCAAACTTTGAGAGGACAGTGGAGCCCTCTCCTTCATCTGCAAGATTTCAGCAGGTAGCTCAGGTTTAGTTTTCTTCACTGTGCCCACCATGGTGAGTTGCAATCCAGCAGTCATGTCGACGATGGCACATTTTCCTTGGTTTTACTCAAGGATGCCTCTCGCACCTTTGCCTATGTAAACCTGTAGCTTCCAGGCATAGCTGGTTCTTGCATCACAGGCTGCCCAGATTTTTATGCCGTACTTCCCTGGCTTACTGGATATGTATTGCCCTGTCACCTCTGATCAGTGTGTTGGCTGACAGTGCACTCATGATTTCAGTTTTGACTGTAATTACTACTTTATAATCTTATTTTTCTACCAGGGTTCAACTAGAGTATTTTATGATGTAGTGAATTTTAAGTTTTTAATTTTGTTGGAATCCAGGTTCCTGACAAAGTGAAAAAGCCTTGATGCAATAAACAAGTGTATGTGGTTCTTTTATGGATTTAAAAGCAAAAAGGGGTCACTGCCGACCCCAACCTCAAGACTAAGGTTAATGTAATTAGGGCTAAAGAGCCCATGTGGGCCAGGTAGTCTCAGTGTTGTCACTACCTGGAGCTTGCATGTATGGACAATGAGAGGTGGAATGGATAGGTGCAGGTCTGGGATGCTAGAGGTCACTGTTAAGTGCCCTCAAGGTATCTATGGCCTAAAGTAAAACAGGTACTCACTTCATAATACTGGTACGCTCATTCTGGAGGCCCATCTGTCCCATCTATCTTCAGCTGTCAGGGAATTTAGAAACCATGTGGTAGAGTTAGGGTTTCCTCCCTAAATGCTGAATATCTGTATGAATGGTTCTTTAGAAGTAAACTTGTCTTACCTTTACATGTTTTATTTTGGTAAAGTCACTTATGACACTTGCTAAAGACTTAGTGATGAAGTTACACTTTTGTTAACCTCATCCAACCTCCACCTACACTCATGCACACCTGCAGTCCTCCTCTGATACACATAAAAAACGTGAGTGCATTCTCTCGTCTCTGATCTCAGCAGTAAATTAATTATCCTCAGATACACAGTCTACATATATCCTGTTCAAATAGTTTCTGTTCACAGATTCACAGGTAAAGGTGTACACACACATCCTCTCATGAACTGCTCCAGCACTTACACTTTGGTGTTAATTTCTTCAGATTTTTGACATGCCTCCAAGCTAGAGCTTGTTCTTTGTGTAAGAGCTTTTCCTGAACTTCTCCCTATCTCTGCAGATTAGTCAGTGAGCAAATTACCTGCCTGCACAATAAAGAGCAGTCCTACACATTTCTGCTGTGCTTGGTGCACTGATCTTCTTTTGAAGACAGGCTATGTTATACCCCCTAGCCTTGCAGCAGTCTGGGCATGCAAATTATCATAAAATTAAATTTAAAGTAGCGCACATGTACTCAGGGTGCTCTTATCAGAGTCTGCACAAACTGCATACAAATCAGGCAGGGATCATACGCGCGCACACACACACACACACACACACACACACACACACACACCACAGCAAAGGTCTTCGTGTAAAAGGCTGGCTAATTACTAATTGGGTCGCAGGGTCTGAAGCCGGCTATGCAGACAAGAAGTAAAATGCGGGGGTGCCTCATGCCTGTGAAGCGTCTCTGGCTTCCTGGTGACATGCCCCAGAGCAGAAACACACTGGCAAACACCACTGCTGTAGTAAGACACTGAAAGACTGCTGCTAGTTCAGCTTTGTCTGTACAGCTGCAGCTCACAGTATAAAATAGAGTCGAGAAAAAGACCCAGGGATTTGGGCCTTTCAGTCACACTTTAATGAGGCGTGTTCACTGAGCAAGGCTAGGTGCACCAGATGAAGCCCAGTCGCTATGATCTCATTTGTATTTCACTTTTCAATGAAATGCTATTCAAATAAAAGTCAAATATTGCCATAAATACTTAACAGTGTCATCCCATTATGTGGAGATGAATAGTTAAACAAATAAATGTCTCCAAACAGTAAAATAAAATCAACATTTGAAAGGGATGAACTCATGAAATTAAACTAATGCTCAGTGTCAGCTGTCTTTTAAAGCGTTGTTTAAAACTGTGTGGGTATCCTTAGATCAAACACTGTGGACAGTCTGATCCAAAACCATGAAGATGTAACCCCCTATGGACCAGCTGTAAACCAGCAGAAGCTATAAACTGTCTGTTTCATGCTCTGTTAAAACAAAGTTAAATTACATTCCCTAATCAGCATGAATCAACTGAATTCAGTCAAAAAGGACATCCTTGGTTTCCTCTTGAGCTGTTGAAACAGCATACAGATTTTAATGGGCTGATCTGGCGGCTTTGTATCAAGTTAGTAGATATTTCCTCTTCCACACCACTGATGGTCACACATGTAATGAAACTCCAACCCCAGTGAAGCTGGGAGGTTTGTGTAAAACATGAATATACAATACACTAATGTTCAAATCCTTTTCCCCCTAAATTCAACTGAATACTCTTAAAAGATATTTAATGTTCAAACTGATAAACTGGATTGTTTTTTCACTCATTTTGAATTTGATACTGCAACATGTTCCTGAGATCTGGTGCAGGTACAAAGGACATCAATGGTTGCAGAAAATGTAAAATGCAATTGGACAATTAAAAATGTGGACAAGAACTACATTTCCCAGTGGGTGTGGTTTTTATTTTCAAGAGTGAATTTAATGACTGGTATGGATTTGTCCCCCTTATCTGAACCTGCCTGATCATGGTTTGATATGTATTCTCTGATGAAGCCTTGAAGAGCCAAAAGTTTAGTTAACTAAAGTGAAAACTAAGAGTGTGGATGTCCTCGATCTTACATTGGAGCTTAGTGATACTGCTGCACCTTACTAAGTTTGTGTCAGGCTGAGCTGTAGTCACTTAACCACTTTATAAATAACTGAAATGCTCTAAACAGATTGCCCCCTAAAATTGGACTCATGTCACTGCATCATCACACTTCATGGGGGCACTAGTGACACTGATGCTGCATTAAACCTAATTACAATTTTTAGTCTTCTGTTGCCCAGATGTTATTATTAATCAATCATAGCAGAACCAGTATATAATATTTTGATTTTAATATGGGCCATGTATTAGGTAAAGGTATATACCACCCCTTGCAGCAATCTTCACAACCATAGACTGTATACAAAATGGACGCCGTCTGCCAGCTTGCTGGGTGAAGCCACCCTGAAAACAGCACCCTCTGGTGATGGGCTGCAGTATACGTCATAAATCCCACCTCCTCCAGCAATCCCTATGAAGTTGTGGACAAACTTTAGAAATTAATTACACAGGATATAACTTTTTCTCCCCCCTGCTTGTGATGTTGACATGTAGTTACCGTAAGACTGGTTTGTGCTCAAGTCCTCTTTTTTCTGTGCAGCTCCATTTTTAAAAGTTATTCATGTTTTCTGTGACTGACACTTGAAGTTTGAAGTTTGAAGTTTGAAGTTTATTTCGATCTGGTCATATCCATTCAATATATACAGTAAATTACAAGAAAAGAAAACCGGACCGAAAAGGCATAGGCTGAAGCAAAAGCTTATTATCGCCTATCCTTCTTACTAAATCAAAATATTCAAAACATCTTACTCCACACGTTAGATAGAAAACAAGAACAAAACACATCAACAAAACAAAGAATAAAAGATGACTCAGAAGAAAGAAAAAAATAAATAAAAATAATAATTATCAAATTAAATCCAGAATATAAATTAATCCGTAACCTCAATCATTTTTTCTATAATTTTCGATCACCTTGCTTTTAAACAACGATTTGAATTTGTGAATAATCTGACACGTTTTTAATTCATCGTCAAGGGCATTCCATAAATTCACACCTTTAACCGAAGTACACTGTTCTTTGGTCTTGGTTCTAGTTTTTATTTTTTCCATCAAATGTGTCCCACGGCGCTCATACCTACATTCCCTTTTTTTAAACATATTGACAATTTTACATGGCAATGAATTATTATGTACTTTGTACATGGTCTGTGCTATTTTGTAGTCCACCAGGTCCTTAAATTTTAATGCTCTTAATTTAATGAATAATTTATTTGATGGTTCTCTGTAAGTTGAATTGGTGATAATCCGTACAGCTCTTTTTTGCAAGATGAAAATAGGTTGCGTATGGGAAGGGTATGCATTTCCCCATATTTCCAGGCCGTAGGTGATATATGGGACTACAATTGAGCAATACAAAATATGTAAGGCATACTGGTTCAATAATTCCTTTACCTTGTGAATTATGCCAATTGATTTTGCTAATTTTGATTTAACATGATTTATATGAGTTTTCCAGTTCAGTCTTTGGTCCAACGTGACACCCAAGAATTTTGCTTCTGACGCTCTTTCAATTTCTCTATCGTTAATGCTCAGTTTAACATCTGTATCTATTTTACGGTTCCCAAATATCATAAATTTTGTTTTACTTGTATTTAACGACAATTTATTTGCATCAAACCATTTTTTAACCAATTTCATCTCCTTTTCAACAGTAGATATGATTTCAGATAAGTGCTCTCCGGAACAAAAAAAGTTAGTGTCATCTGCGAAAAGGATGGAGTTCATATACTTAGACACATTACAGAGTTCATTCAGATACAGGATAAATAACTTTGGACCAAGGACTGACCCTTGTGGGACGCCGCACTTAACCTTCAACAGTCCAGAATCAGTTTTACCCAAAGAGACGTATTGCCATCTGTCACTTAAATAAGAACAAAGCCAAGCGTGAGCTACCCCTCTGACACCATATTTAAACATCTTTTGAAGTAAAAGGTCATGATCAATTGTGTCAAACGCTTTTTTTAGATCTATAAAAATACCTATTGTGTATAGATTATTGTCTATTGCAGTGGTTATGTCATCTATAAGTTTCATGAGGGCTAATCCTGTAGACTGGTTTGTTCTAAAACCATATTGATTTTCACTTAAGATACTATGCTTCTCCATGAAACTGTCCAATCTTTTGTCAAATAATTTCTCAAGAATTTTTGAGAATTGAGGCAGCAAAGAAACTGGTCTGTAATTTGATACCAGATCTTTTCCACCAGACTTGTACAAGGGAATAACTTTGGCTGTTTTCATTTCATTTGGAAATATTCCTGTTGAGAGTGAAAGATTAAAAATATAGGTCAGAGGTCCAACTACAGCTTCGATAGTGTCCTTAATTAATGACATGTCGATCCCGTTGTTATCTGTCGACCGTTTGCTTTTGAATGCTGTAACAATCCCCATCACTTCAGTTTCATGAGTGGGAGTAAGAAACATAGAATTTACATTTGCTTCAATCAAATTATTCACATCATCCGCAACAACTGGTTGTACAATATCGCTTGCCAAGTTAGGGCTAACATTTATGAAGAAATCATTAAACTCATTTGCCATTTGTTCCTTATTAGATATATAAATGTCACCCTTTAATATGGATTGAGGGAAATCCTCTTTCCCCATGTTTTTTTTAATCAAGCTGTTGATTACTTTCCATGTCTCTCTTATGTTGTTTCTACTCTCTTCCATCCGCTTACTGTAATAATTCTCTTTACGTATCCTTAAAATATTTGTCACTTTATTTTTATATAACTTATATTTTCTTTCAGCTTTTTCTGTTCTACATCGTATAAATTCTCTATATAGTCTATTTTTCTTTTGTATTACATTCTGTAGGGATTTTGTTATCCAAGGCTTATTTTCTTCTTTGTTTCTGTCCTTATGTGTTCTCAATGGGCAGTTCTTATCATAACACTCTTTAAAAACACGTAAAAATGAATTATAAGCCTCATTTACATCAGCAACATAAATAGAATCCCAAGTTTGTCTCATTAGATCCTTTTTTAGTAACTCCACCCTTTCTGGATTTCTCAGTCTAAATGTTGTCTGAGGTTTTTCCGCAGGGGGTTCCATTATATTACATTGAAATGTTGTAAAAATTGGTAAATGATCGCTGATGTCTTGGATGAACAACCCCCCTACTGTAGTATCCATGATGTTAGAGTAAATATTATCAATGAGAGTTGCACTGGATCCGGTAATTCTGCTAGGCTTAGTGATCCGAGGTAATAAACCTATACTAAACATGGTGTCAATGAAATCAGATATTCCTATATGTCCCTGTGGATTTAATAAATCAATGTTAAAGTCACCACATACAAATACAGTCTTCTTATTACTTACTTTTTCATACAGTTCAACCATCTGTTCCTTTAGAACGTCTATTTCACAAACTGGAGCTTTGTAGACACAGCTTTTGATGATGTTCTTAACTTTTTTCATTTCAATTTCAACTGTAATGATTTCCAACTTGTCATCTTTCCCTATTGACATATTCTGCAGTTCCTTGCATTGCAGGGTCTCATCGATATATAATACCACTCCCCCACCCTTTTTCCTTCTCCTGTTAACATAAAACATATTATACCCCAGCAATTCATAATCTTTTACTATTTCATTTGTCATCCAGGATTCTGAGACTGCTATTGCACTGAATTTAGTTTTAAACAGCTTCAAGAAATCATAGACTTTTGAGAAATTTTTAACTAGGCTTCTGCTATTGATGTGTATAATTGAGAACACACCTACCATTTCAACCTTTATGTTAAATTGTTGTTCAGTGTAATACCTACAATCATTGTGCATAGTATGGAAAAAATTAGTTTCTGGGTCAATGTCCATATCATGTCTTCTTTTTCCAGAATAGTTAAATGTTTCATAATCTAAATCTAGATATGAGTTTAGTGGAGTAGCTTCATTGACCCCAGACATTACATCTGTATCATCACTATCAGAATCTGTCATTGGTCACAATAGGTTAAATAATAATCCAGTTCCGCACAATTCTCATGCATTATACCAGGTATACTTGATACAGCCTAAGGGCGTACAAAGATCGCGTAGCTCAACCGGGGATACGCTGTTTGAGCCGAGCGTCATCACAGCAACTCTCCCGCCGAATGCGCATAATGCTACTGTGCAAGTGGTGGTTCCAGGAAGTGGAGAAAATCACGGAAATTCTGAGAGCAATTCAGCTTCAATAATGACGGAGGGCAGAGCCAAGTTGTCCAAAGAAAATATAGTCTATGTTCACAACCTGCAGATTTCAGGAAATCAGTCTCAAGCCTAGGAAGTGCTGTCTGTCCCTCTTTGCACTATCTTTTAAAACTGCACAGTTGAACAGTTTAGATGTAGATGAGTTTCACACTCAAAAATTTTGTCACAAAACCAACAACTAAGGTTAAGAAATAACATATAAATGTGTATGTACTGTATATACATACATTCTGGGCTGTAAGAAAAGACAGTAAAGTAACAAACTATAGCAACAGTAAAAAAAAAAAAAAAAAAAAGGGAAAAATTAATTCTGTCTTCACAATATCATCAAACCCACTTTTTCAGTTCCTGTTCCATCAAAATGAAAACACCATTATGTCATAGGGATGCTAATGACAAATACACCATTAAATCTTCAAGGATCTGAGATCATTTGTGTTAAATGTTGTGATGTTAATCTTTTTAATAAAGTGTTTTTTACTTTGCAGACTGTGTGGAATGGGGGCTGTAAGCTGCATGTGCAAACCTTAGACTGTCAATAGAAATTAGAGTCCATGTGGAACAGCTGTTGTTTATATGAAGGGGCTTTTCCCCTAAAATATACCAACAGTCTCTTCAGTTCTCTTGTCTTCTTAAACATATGATATCACAACAATTAGATACATATAGTATGATTATTAATGCCTGTGGAGAAATAACTTGAAGATAAAAAATAATATCCTGGTGAACTACAAATACAGAGAGCAGTACATGGGGTGCAGACTGTACATCAAGGTCATGTTTTCCCAGGGGAGGAACCAGTGCTCTTAGCTGGGAGCAGGCACAGAGTATGATGGGATACTAAATTAAGAAGCTGCTGAAATAACTGCTAATATAACCGCACATTAAAAGAGAGTGTCTTGGAAACAGAGGATCCATGTTTATTTCCTCCTGAACTAGGACCTGTGTATTTTACTGTTGAATGACTGTTGGGGTGTCAGACACATCCTTTTGATTTGATTTGGATTAATCCTCTGTGAGACTGGTGAGCAAAAGCCATTTCAAAGGCTGATCATCACAAATGACAAAATGTTGTACACAGCAATCTTAACAAGAAGCAAAGTGGTAATGGTGTAATTAAGCTATTCAAAATCTGTGTGATAATATCAGGGTAATAAGAGGCTTTTTATAAGGTGCAGAGTAAATTCTGTCTGAGAGTTTGCATAAACTATCCTTTAATGAATTTATGTTGAATCATTCAAGATAGTTGTGTAAGAAGAATTTCCCAAGGTTAGGGGGGAGCTCTATCTGCTTCTCTGAGTGGTTACAGCATCTGCTTAAAAGAAAAGCTAACTTTAAAGCACCAACCATAAATACCCACCAAATCCTTTAAAGAGAACAAAATCAAAGCCCAGACCATGTCATACAAGGTTTCGGTCAGCAGGATGTTAAACTATAGGACTCGATCAGCTCCCTGAAGTCAAACCCAGTAAACCTGCATCCCCTGGGTGTCCTGAGGCCTGCCTTTTCCTGATAAAACCTCCTTCCCAGTTAGGGATTTTTTCATAAAAACACTAGAGTACATCCAATCTTAAATTTCATGTAAAGCCTGCAGATACTGATACTTTCAGTAATAAGCCACTCACTCAGCATGCATTTGTGTGCTGTTCATAGATTCATGGCTAATGATGACAAAGAAATATGTGTGCATAATGTTCCATTTAATGCTTCACACTGACATCATCTTCTTCACTTCTAACCTGTGTGGGTAATTCCACAGAATTAAGCTAAAATGGCAAATCTCAAGAAAACATTCTTTTTTTTATTGACTTTGTGTTGTCTCTCTTGACTGACAGTCTACAATCAGAAAGGTATATCAAACTAATATCATGGTGAAAATAGTCTTGAAGGGCTCATAATGATTCTCGAGGTCACGCTCCTGCAGTCCTCATACCCACTCCATCACACTGTGTTTGTGTAGCTGGTCCCATATGCAGTCTAATACTGCAGCCTTTTGATAGGGAGCGCGCTTCCAAATTTACCCACACGCTGCGCTCGCCCCATGTACCTTAAAAAGCGCGTACACAGCTGAAGGTCACTCAAACACAAAAGGCTTTCAGCGCTGCGGTCCAATATAGCGCATGCGTGCTGCCGGAGGTCTGTTTCACAGACCGCAATATGGCGAGAATGCCTGCCAGCGGAGACACAGACCATGAGCAGATGAGTTCTGAGAAGAGCAGGGATGAGGACAATGAGGATAGAGATGAAGATGATATCCAGGAGGTCCAGATCATGGGAGACGAGGACGAGGATTCTGACAGAGATGGTGTGGAGCAGGAGTGGGAGTCAAGGAGCGCAGTACTGGACTCCAGCACTTCCGCAGCGGGAACACAGGCGGTCGTTATGCGGAGTGTGGACCGAGGAGAGGAGGAGGGAGAGGTAGACCCCTTCAGCTGCAGCATCCCCGCTGGACTGGAGTCTCACTTGGAAGGGGACCTCCAGCGGTCAGAGCGGAACAGGCTGAGCGAGAACACTCGCCTTGCCACCCGGTATGCGGTGAGGATCTTCAGGGAGTACCTCAGTGAGAAAGCTCAAAGTCCAGACTTTGAAACTCTGGACAAGGAGGCACTCTGTGCAGTCCTGCGCTCCTTTTACGCCGAGGCGCGCTCCAAAAGTGGACAGTTGTACAGCAAGTCGTCCCTCATCAGCATTCGGAGCTCGCTGAACCGGTACCTAAACGAACCGCCCTATTGCCGTACCTTGGATCTCACCAAAGACCCTGAACTGCGCAGCGCTAATCTGACCCTGGCCGCGGTCATCCGTAGGCTGGAAGAACAAGGCGCAGGTCCGGTGGTGCAGAAGCAAGCAATCACGCGCTCGGACCTGCGGAAAATGTATGAGTCCTCTGTGTTTAACACCGACACGTCATTCGGGCTGCTCAATAAAGTCTGGTTCGAGACTTGCATGTATTTCTGCACCAGGGGCCGGGAGAACCAGCGAGAGCTAGAAGAGGACTCGTTCGGCCTGGCCATGGATGAGGATGGCAGAAAGTTTGTCTATTTTAAAGCTCTCGGACCCTACCATAAGTCCCGCTCAACCGCTTGGACCAAAAAGCGTCCGGACTCCGATGAGGACACCCTGCCGCGCATGTATGAGACCGGCACCGAACAGTGTCCGTACGCCAGCTTCGTTCGGTACGTGTCCAAACGGAACCCGCTCTGCAGGGCTTTCTTTCAGCGGCCCCGAGACCACTGCTGCGCGAGCGACGTGACGTGGTATGAGAACAAAGCCATCGGTAAGAACCTGTTGGGCACGAGGATGCAGATGTTGTCGCGCGCTGCCAAGCTCTCCAAAACCTATACCAACCACTGTATCGGTGCCGTCTCTATAGCAACGCTTAACAGCATCGTAGGCGCCGCAGGCTCCAGGCCGAAGACGACGCTGTATGTTGCCACGGAAACGGCAAACGGTCACGCGCAGTCCCACATTCAGCTCGTGATCCCGTACCAATGTGAGGTTACAGATGATACGGATCTGAAGGCGAAGAAAATAGAGAAAGAACCCCTATTGACAATTAACACACCAGCAAAAACAGCGAGCAGAGCCAGCACCGCAGAGGAACCGGGGGCTCCGTGTACGAAGAAGCTGTGCGTGCGACTCGGGACACGCGCGGACTCGCCGGTGGAGCTAAACGAAAAAGAGCCAATGTCTGCCAAAACCAAGAAACTCTATATGAATTCTAAGTCTCCTGTCGAGTCTTTAGCCTCCGTACCCGAACAGGTAACAACAAAGATCACATCTCTGCTTCAACAAATCTGTAGTGTCAGTGTGTTTGCAGCATTTGAAAAGTTTGATGCATCTGTAGGCTATAGTTTGTAAAGAATAAAACCTTTATTTAGACGACTCATCTGTCTGTTTTTGTCCATCGACACATTAGTGCTTAAGAAGACAATGTTTCTTGCAGCTGAATATGGTGAGCTAGAGCAGTTTCCTTGTGAACTGAAGTAAGATAATCCATCAGCCTCACTCAATTCAGTTGAAAACTTTCAAAGGATGTTTTTTCATTGAACCTGTCTGACTTGACTCAGTTGACTTTTGTCAGTTGCAGTATTCATAATATTGCACTTGCCACACATGCTTGTAACTACGATTGCCCCTAAACTGCCACTCCTGTATGTCTCTATGTGCTTTGTGTCCCAGGACAGCCGTGGCAGCGGCATCAGCAGTACGTCAATTCAGCAGATGGTCTCGGTGTCTCCTGTGTCTCCTCTGGGCCAAGTAGGCATCCCTACACCAGCTAAGCTTACCAAAATCAATGCACCTGTCCACATAGATGTGGGAGGACACATGTACACCTGCAGCTTGGCCACACTCACTAAGTACCCAGACTCACGGTGAGATACACACTCCACTTTGCAACTAGAAAAGTGAACTCAAGTTTCAGTCAAATATATTTAAGACTGTGTTGGTGTGTAGTGTATCAGAGAGGAGGGAAAGCATTGTGTGTGTGTGTGTGTGTGTGTGTGTGTGTGTGTGTGTGTGTGTGTGTGTGTGTGTGTGTGTGTGTGTGTGTGTGTGTGTGTGTGTGTGTGTGAGAGAGAGAGAGAGAGAGAGAGAGAGAGAGACAGAAGAAAGAACATTTTTAATACACCATGAAAAATTAATGCTGGATGCATTAAGGTCCCTTCTCTTGTAAAGACTCAGTGGACCTGGGGGAGTCAATAACCCCCCAGAAAGTCCCTAACACAGACTGTATATACAATCTATGGTCCCTGGACAGAGGGTAATTACCAGGGGTAATATTTGAAAGAGAAGAAGGAACTCTCTGTGATTGGACATGCAACATTTCCTCAATACTATAAGCAAATATCATCAGCATTTAAGAGGCAGCAGTGACTTATTTGGCCTCTTCTCCAACAAACAGCATGTTTGTCACTATAATGAAAGATGTGGAAACAGAGGTTTTAAAAGCAAACAGCCCACATGATGCTTTTTCGATGCTTTATTGCTGACTTAGACCAGGCTGTTTTTTAGCCTGGCTGGGCCATCCTGTTGCGTGAATCACTTGCCGTTCCTTCCCACCCTGTTGTGGGAAGGAAGCCAGGCTAGCTGTTTTTACCCCTGACAATGATGCTGTAAAAATGCAGTGATTGTGAGGAAATATCACTGACGATGGTGCTTATCCAGGACATTAAAAAAAATAGTATTACAATCTATCAAGGTCTGGGACCTTGTAAGAACAGACAGAAGAAGGTGAAAGAACAGGTAGACTCATGAATCTCTCCTTCTACAGTCTCCAGTATTTGATTAAGAAGCCACACTGTCTCTGTCTTTTTTCCCAGAATTGGTCACTTGTTTAATGGAACTGAGCCCATTGTGTTGGACAGTCTAAAGCAGCACTACTTCATCGATCGAGACGGCCCCATGTTCCGCTACATCCTTAACTTCCTCCGCACCTCAAAACTCCTCATTCCTGATGACTTCAAAGTGAGTGTCTGTCTAGAGCTTGGATCAGGTACTACTACAGTTTATAACAGATGTACTGTACCGAATCAGGACAAACAAACCAAGATCACTTCCAGAAACTAGCTGAGGAATTACTTTGAGAGAAAACAGCGTTAGGTATGACTCTAACTCTAATGTCAAGATTACTGTGTTTCAACTGAGTATGCTTTCAGTTTACTTTTTTCAGAGATATATTTAACAAAGTCAATGTTAAGTATACTTGGCTTGTACTAAGAATTATACTAAAAGTCTAAATATATTTAACCTATACTTATACATAAACTTTTGATCAAGATATAGTGATATGCAGATAGTCGAGTGGATTAAGGCACACCTCATGTTGTCTCCGCTGTGGTCACGGGTTCGGATCCTGTCCTGACCATTTGCTGCATGTCATACCCCCATCTCTCTATCGCTCACATTGCCACTCCTACCCACTGAAGGCAAACCCCCCCCCACAACAACAAAAACATAGTTAATATAAAAAGGTATGCCTTAGAGTGTACTTTTATAAACTAAAGTGGAGACTAGAAGTTTATTACTAGTGAACTAAGTACATTGATAGTATATAGATTAGTGCACTTGTATACTTTAAAGTATACTTTTATAAACTAAAAATGTTCCAATTTAGTCAAAAGAAGTAATAGGTGAGTATACTTTGTAGTACATTAAAAGTACATGGTCGGTAGTATACTTGATATACTTATACTCAAGCATACTTAATAAAATGAACTTACAGTATACTACTTTTTGCTAGGGGTAAATACATGCTAACACACACAAGTTGATCTACCAACAGAGTGCAGCGAGGATAGCTTCTTTCAAATGTACAAAATAACTAAGGTCCATTTCACATGTTCACCTTGGTGAATATTCAGTGTGTTTTGTTTCTACCCTGGTGTGCAAAATACAGGGAGGAACAATGCAGAGAAGTGAATTGAGCACACGCTTTATGATTTACCAAGACTAAGGACAGTTTCTGTGATTTTGACTGCATGTAAACATAACATCTTTGCAAGGAAGGTGCAAATCGGCGTGCTCACTTACTAATACCTGTGATTAAGCTGAATTTTACTTTGCACCAGCTGCCCTAATTTAAATACTACCTCTTCCACAGTCTTTGCACCTGACGTCATATGGGATATACCAGCAACTGTACTGGTTATGTGGGATCTCTGTAAATCAGGTCCAAAGACTCCATATCCTGTATTTTATTACACTGTTTTCTTAATGATTCTTAAAGGGATATTCCGGCATAAAAAATAGTTTAGGGTCAAACACAGCATAACACCACGTCAGACACCCCCTCAAGAGATAAATGTTGCTGACTGCTTGCTTCTCTAGTTACACCAGTTTTAGTAACGAACACAGAATAGGAATACACAGCAGTTTGAGGAGCCATAAACAAACCTCAACCAAAACCCCACTCTATAGCCACTAATAATGCTCAGAACTGCACATAACTTCATCAACAGTACATGTAGGGTCCCAGCTATAGTATTGGCCACCAAACATCTTTTTAACTTTGCCTAATTTCTTTAGCAAAGAGACTAAACACAACTCACCCACTCTTTTCCAGCAGCCGCTTGTTTGACTTCAGGACAATCCATTACGGACTACAGCAGGGTGAAACAGCTCAAGGAAGAACATTTATGATCATTTCTTCATGGAAATGCAATCAGACCGAGACGCTAAGGCAGAAAAACTACCGCGTCTGCAGTGCAAAATGATTCATATGGTGATTATTACTTCAAGGAAATAATAAAGAAATGATCATAAATGTGATCAAGGGTGCTATTTTGAGCATTATTTGTGGCTACAGAGTGGAATTTTGGTTGAGGTTTGTGTATGGCTCCTCAGACCGCTGTGTATTGCTATTGTGCAGTTGTTGCTAAAGTTGGTATAGCAAGTGTTCTGCAACATTCATCTCTTGAGGGGTTGTCTAACTCAGTGTTATGGTGTGTTTGACCCTAAATTAATTTTACACCAGAGTGTCCCTTTAGCGCTGAGGTAAAAGTTCTGGTCAAAACTGTAGCTTTGCCTTCAGAGGAGGTCTTGCCCAGAACTGTATCAGCACAGTTTTGCCCCACTTTTGTGCTGCAAGGCTGTCTATATTGACAAAGACAGTCAAAGAAATCCCCAGACTTGTGGATTGAGTCATGACCATAGACTGTATATACTATGAACATCTTGGCTCCTCCTTCTGTCATTATACAAATTTGAAGCCGAATTGCTCTCGGTATTTCTGTGATTTTCCCCACTTCCTGGAGCCACCACTTACGCAGTAGCGTTGTATACATATGTGAGTGTCAATCATAGAAAACATGAACCTTCGAATAACTTTTAAAAATGAAGCTGCACAGAAAAAATAGGACTTGAGCACAAACCAGTCTTACAATAACTACATGTCAACATCACAACCAGGGGGGAGAAAAATGTATATTCTGTGTAATTAATTTCTTAAGTTTGTCCACAACTCCATAAGGTTTGCTGGAGGAGGTGGAATTTATGACCTATACTGCAGCCCATCACCGGAGGGTGCTGTTCTTGCAGTGGCTTTATCCAGCAAGGAGGCAGGAGGCATTCTATATACAGTCTATGGCCATGATCTTACCAGTATGTGAGGAAAAAAACAGTGATTATTTTCTAGAGTGCACTCCCAGGAGCTGTGTATCTGTGCGAACGTAAATCTAATATCAGTTTTTGAGCCATTCTCTGTCTGCATTTGTTACCTCTGTCATTGCTTAAATTTAGGTCTCCAGGCTTCATCCTCGTATAGGACATGCCCTTTCTGTATGTATATTTGTAGGACTACTCTCTGCTGTATGAAGAGGCCAGTTTCTTTCAGCTGGCACCTCTGCAGACTGAGCTGGAGCGCTGGAGGACAGAGCGGGAATCGGGTGGGCTGTGTGTGGAGTTTGAGTGTGTCATGATTCATGTGGCTCCAGAGCTTGGAGAAAGGATCAGTGTGAGCGGCCATCGGGCTGTGATCGAGGAACTTTTTCCAGAGGTCAGAGACATCATGTCCAATAATCTTCACACCAGCAGGCACCAGGACTCTGCATATATAACTCGTTTCCCTCTCAATGGCTACTGTCACCTCAACTCTGTTCAGGTATAAAACACACTAAATTCATTACCAACCTTTCAGCAGACAGCGAGATGTGACTGAACTGTTTACTCAGAGTCAGATTCCCATGACCCAGAGTCCTCTATGTTAGACCAACCATTCAACGGCTCTGTCTGTTCTTATTCTTGCATCTTATTAAATTGCCCTTGGCACCAAAGTGAAGGCATGTATCAGCGTACACATGCTCACATTATGGAGAACTGTGATGAGAGGATTACAGTTCAGCTGTATCCTCTGCAGCAACGCTTCTCAATGTGGCCGTGCAAAACAGTTTTATGGGAAACCAAAGAGCATGAGTACTGTTATGACAGGGCTGATGTCAAAGGGGAGCTTATCCAACCACAAGAGCCCTAAAAAGCTTTTCAGTTTCCTAAGCAGGTTCTTGTGTCCCTCTTGTGTCAGGGAAGTAAAGGCCTGAAGCCCTGGAAGCGTAGTAGGCTGCAGAAGACCCTGTGTTTCCACAGCTAACCCAATACGTCTAAGATGGTAGTTTTCTGTTAATTAGCCCCTCTATGAACTAAAAAAAAGATGACCTTCAAATAACCTGACACACTGTGTTACTGTCAGCCCCTCTTCTATCTAAAGTGTATCAGAGGGTCAGTATACAGGGACAGAGGACAAAGAGATAATTTCATAATGTTCACACACACTACAGTAGAACAATGAGGGAGAAAAACTTCTGAATGGAAGTGTTTCAGGCTGGACAGGCTGAGTGTGAGATGGATCTTTTTTTTTAAGAGACAAATAAAAGATCTCAGACTCAGAGGGGGTTTGTCCAGTTTGGTTTTAGACCAGTTTCAGGTGTTGGTCATGATATGATGGCGTGTTACCAAAAGCAAACATTCTCCAGATCCACACAGTGTCTTAAAAATAAAGCGTGAAACATTTCCCTGGCTTTTTTCCAGTATCAATAATTATTAATTATTAACTTCAGAAATGTCATTATATGGTCTTGTCAAATTTCATTCTGATGTTTGTGGTCTCGTTTTGTGTGTAACTGCAGGTGTTGGAGCGATTACAGCAAAAAGGGTTCTGGATCACAGGCTCATGTGGAGGTGGAGCCGACTCTTCCCAGTTTAGTGAGTATATTCTACAGAGGAAGGGAAGAGACAGCCAAAAGCTTCCTACACTCATCAGGATCAAACAGGAATTTATGGACTAACATTGAGGAGATCAAAAATCCTTCAGTTCTTGGTTTTGCACACATATCAGTACGTGCATCTGTGCAATGTTTGGAGAGATTTGAATGAACAAGAACAGCTTCCCCTCAGCATTGCATTTCCCATTAACTGCTCACACATGCAAGCAGCCTCCAAAGCTGCTCTGAGGTAAATACATTGATGATTCGACGGTGTATTTTTCTGGGTATTCTTCTTGCAGCTGCACTGTTCACTTCAGACGATGTGATCCGAGTAAAATAATGATTCAGGGATTTATCCGTTCTTTCCTAATTTTGGGGCACACTTGCACAAGTATTTCTGCTCATATTAAATATATAGACAGCTAAAGATGTGCTCTATGAATACAATCTTTCATCATGGCGCATATTATGGAATAACTGTGTTGATGTAATCAAGAGAAGTCAGTGGAGGAAGTATAGATAGATAACACAAAGAGATGCTCTAGTCTTCTGTTTTGGCTTAAATTAAATACAGTTTGATACTTCAAGTCAATGATAAAGTAATGTTAATTGTCACTACCATAAAATAATCCCACTTCCTTGGTAACTGGTCACCCTAATGAGAAATCACAGGGAGGTTAGCTGTGGTGTGATTCTGCTGGCAGCCTGCTGGTGCACTGTGTTGTCATATTTGGGAAGACCTTAAATAACTAAATAAAATAAATAAGAAATAAAAAAGGAGTCTGTGTGTAATCATAATAATCTGTGATAGTGTTGTAGATTACCTGCAGTGAACTTCTGCTGCCCCCCATGCAGGCTAACCCTTTATAACAAATACTGGCCAGTCTTCTGCTTTACTTTCTACTGATTGTATGCTTTTGAGATCTTCATTCCTTGTCATGTTCAGACAGGACTCGACTCTGAAGGTGATGCTTAGTGCTCTGTGTACCAAAAAAATGAACTTCCTATCAAAACTCAGCATAAAAACAATAGCAAGGATGGAGAAGGGTTGACTTTAACATTAAAATGAATATACAGTGGTGTGAAAAAGTGTTTGCCCTCTTCCTGATTTCTTAGTTTTCTGTTTTTTGCATGTTTGTTTGTCACACTTAAGTTTCACATCATCAAACAAATTTAAATATTAGTCAAAGAAAACACAAGTGAACACAAAATACATTTTTTAAATTAAGGTTTTTATTATTAAGGAAGAAAAAAATTTAAAACCTACATGGCCCTGTGTGAAAAAGTGATTGTCCACACCTGTTCTCAATCAAGGCTTTACTTAAATAGGACCTGCCTGATAAAGTGAAGTATACCGAAAGATCCTCAAAAGCTACACATCATGCAGAGATTTAAAGAAATTCAGGAACAAATGAGAAAGAAAGTAATTGAGATCCATCAGTCTGGAAAAGGTTAAAAGGCCATTTCTAAAGCTTTGGGACTCCAGCAAACCACAGTGAGAGCCATTATTCACAAATGGTGAAAACATGGAACAGAGGTGAACCTTCCTAGGAGTGGCTGGCAAACAAAAATTACCCTAAGAGTGCAGCAAGTGACTCATCCAAGAGGTCACAAAAGACCCCACAAAAACATCCAAAGAACTGCAGGCTTCACGTGCCTCAGTTAAGGTCAGTGTTCATGACTCCACCATAAGAAAGACACTGGGCAAAAGCAGCCTGCAAGGCAGAGTTCCAAGATGAAAACCACTGCTGAACGAGAGGAACATTACGGCTCGTCTCAAATTTGTCAGAAAACATCTTTATGATCTCTGAGACCTTTGGGAAAATACTCTGTGGTCTGATGAGACAAAAGTGTTTTTTGTGGAAAGTGTGTGTGAGGATTTTGAGTTTATGCAGCAGTTGGGGTTCCTGTGTTCCTCTCCTCTGTGTGTGTTCTCCCTCGTTCTCTCTCTCTGCAGCGCTGGAGGCATGGCGGGAGGCGGGGCTGGCCTGGACTGATTGCACGCACCTGATTCTTGTTGGTGTCAATTACCTGGCTTTATATGCCAGCTCCTCTGTCAGCTCGGAGCCGGATGATTATCCAGTCATGCAACACTTGTCTTGCCATGCCGAGCTCCCTGTTCTCCCGCCCGTGTATCCAGCCTGCCTCTCAGCGTTTATTTGTGAGTTCTTTTGTTACTTTCCTGAGATTTTTTCCCTTGAAGCAAAGGTGATTTTGTGTTTGTGTGTTTTCCTCCAGTTGAGAAGATTTTTGGTTTACAATTTCCGTTGCACTTTGTCTTTTTATACTCCCTTAGTTGTTACTTGCCCCACGTGGCACTATCATTTGAACTTTGTTTTTCACCAGCTATTTGCCTTGCTGCAGTGACTTTTTTTCTAACTCTGGTTTTGCGTTTGTTCGATTCCTAACAGTGTGTGTCCTATTACATCTGGGGTCCGTTTCACGTAGCAGGTTTAGTGGAAACTCCGAGTTTGTTAACCCTGAAATCAGGGAAACTCTGAGTTTTCCGTTTCACAAAGGAGGGTTAGTTAAACCAGGGAGAGAGGGGTAACTCTAACCTGTTTCACAAAGAGAGGTAACTCAACCTCGCGGTCAGTTACCACAGTAACAGACTCCGTGAACCTAACCTGCTCGGGAGCAGGTTTAACTCAGTAAACCCAGAGTTTCAGGTGAGACATCGGCATTTTCTCATTTCGATCATGTTTTACATTGTCAACTAAGTATTAAGTGACAGTTTGATCCCTTAAAAAATGCTCTTTTCACACTCAAAACTGAATTTTACTCTCTTATTATGTTCCGTTAAATGATTAGGAATATTAAACTAACACAAAAACGGGTGGTGGTCCAGCAGCCCCACCTTTAACGGAGGCAGAGGAGCTGCCCCCCACCCCACCCCGTTCGACGATCGCGGCCGGTCCGATCGCAAATCAACTCAGAGTTAAGGATTTAACTCAGAGTTTGTTGAACCACCTACGTGAAACGGACCCCAGGTGTAACAGTAACGCCGCATTTAAGAAAAACAACATCATAACATCAGTAAAATATGGTGGTGGTGTATGCTGGTGTGGGGCTGTTTTGCTGTTTCAAGACCTGGAAAACTTGCTGTGATAAATGGAACCATGAATTCTGCTGTCTACCAAAAAATCCTGAAAGAGAATGTTCGTCCATCTGTTCATGGCCTGAAGCTGAAACCAACTTGGGTTCTGCAGCAGGAGAGTGAACCAAAACACACCAGCAAGTCCACCTCTGAATGGCTTAAGAAAAACAAAATGAAGAGTTTGGGGTGGCCGAGTCAAAGTCCTGACCTGAATCCTATTGAGATGCTGTGGCATGACCTTAAAAAGGCGGTTCATGCTGAATCACAACAATTTTGCAAAGATGAGTGGGCCAAAATTCCTCCACAGCGCTGCACAAAACTCATTGCAAGTTATCGCAAATGCTTGATAGCAGTTGTGGCTGAAGGGTATTTGACTGTTAAGGGTTATGCTGGTTTAAGGTGGAGTTCAACACAAAGGTTTATCTCCAAGAACAAATAAGCACATGGATCGGGATTTTAGTCCAAAGTTTTTATTCAGTGTATATTCAGCTGGTTTCTCTGGAGAGGATGAGAAAGGAGTAACTAGTGAATTAAATTAATTACAAGCATGATCATTATCATGTCTATCAAAAATGTAAGAGCAAATTAACTATTCAAATATATGCAAACTAAGAAACATTCTTTCTTAAAGATAAAATTATATATCAGTAAGGACAATAAATCAAAGATGAGTTATATAACAATTTTAACAAAGCAAACTCACAGGGTAAACAGTGAATGATACTGGTGGTGTTTCTCTCAGTCAGCCACTTCCATGGTCTCCAGTGTTCCGAGAAAGAATTTACAACAGGTGAGCTGGCTGCCTTTAATGACTCTGGGGCTCCTCACATGCAGGGAGCCTGGAGTTAGGTGGGAGAGTCAGAGGAGGAGGGGGATTTTCCACAGTGGCCAAACCAGCCAACAGGTTTAGAGGGCAATCACTTTTTCACACAGGGCCATGTAGGTTTGGAATTTTTTATCCCTTAATTATAAAAACTTTAATTTAAAAACTGCATTTTGTGTTCACTTGTGTTGTCTTTGACTTATATTTAAATTTGTTTGATCTGAAACATTGCAGTGTGAAAAACATGCAAAAACCTAAGGAATGAGGAAGGGGGCAAACACTTTTTCACACTGCTGTATATATAAAGAGGCAGTGTTACAATAATGAATGACCCCTCACAGATGCTGATTGTTTTTTTTGTCCTCTGTTCAGTGAAGGACGAGCGTCCATGATTTCCAAAAAGAATCTAAAAGTTTGACTCCTCAGACCACAGGACCGTTTTTCATTACCTCTTATTTTACCTCTTTGGGGGACAAATAAAGGCATTGATTGATTGATTGATTGTACGGTGATTTGAAAGGCACATTTTGTTGTGTATTTTTTAAGTTATTGTTACTTTTAAATGAACTTTATTTCCATAAAACACTTTTTCTGTTTCAACATTTGATATGTTGTCTTTGCTCTACTATTTTCAGGTAAATGTCAAGTTTAAATCTTCAACAAACCTTCAAAATTTGCGTGTTAACTTTTGGATATTGGGGTTGTACTTGTTGCTGTTATGGTGACAGCTGGTTTCTCCTCCACCACCTCATGGGGGGTGACCAGGCCTGTGGCTGTTTGTGGCCCCTCATGTTGACATGACAGCAGCTCCCTCTTCTCTGGTTCAATCCCACCATACATCCTAATGTTACTGTATGCCATAACGTTTCTAATCAATTATGGTTATCATGAACAATAAAAAGATTATATGAATGAAATTCCTGAATGAATTCCCTGTTTTATTTGTCTGTGGTTTAAAAATAGTCTCTGAGAACTCAAAGCCCCACATTTCTCTCTGTTTTTTGCACCTTGACATATGAAACTGAGTCTTAAAAACAGGCAACTGGACTGTGTAGAGTTGAGAAGACATTTAGCCTCTTAGCACTTTTAGAACTGAAGTTAAAAGTGCTAGTGTCAGGAGCAGATAGTTATCTTACTGGAGAAGGGGGACAGTTAACGACTGGCTGGAGTTGAAAAGGATGGGTCGTAGAAACCCATCTCTCGGTGTGTCCCCCCCCAAGTCGTTATCCTGAAAGGGTCATTAGCGACTCCTATCATGTGACCACATGACTCATGCCACCTGAGTCATGTGGTTCCAGGTGTGAATGTTTGTGGAGCTTCCTGGGGAGAGAGCTGAGAACTGCATTGTAAGTGCCAGAGAGATTAACGACCGTTAATGACCCTTTCAGGATAACGACTTGGGGGGGGGGGGGACACACCGAGAGATGAGTTTCTACGACCCATCCTTTTCAACTCCACCCAGTCGTTAACTGTCCCCCTTCTCCAGTAAGATAAATATCTGCTCCTGACACTAGCACTTTTAGAACTGAAGAAGCTTCTTGGATAAGAGGCGAAACGTCTTCTTAACTCTACACAGTCCAGTTGCCTGTTTTTAAGTCTTCAAGATAACCATGACCTGGATGAGAATCTACATGGACATGAAACGGAGTATTTCACACTTTTTTACTTTCTCTCTTTAATATATCTCCAACAGAACTTCAACCCCCACCTAGACAGACACACACAATCAGATATCAAAACTGTAAATCCACACCTTATGTTTTATATTAATCCATATTTGGCTCAGTTTTCTTTTCTTTTTTTATTTGTCTGCTTCTGCCAGTTTTTTTAATGTCACTGTTCTGTATTTTATTCTGTGTTTTTTGTTTTATTACAGCTTCTCTTAGTTTTATCTTGTTTGCATTTATATGTCAATCACTCCCAAATACAAAGAAAAAAATCCAAGAGAGCCACTTTAAAAAGTAAAAAAAAGAAAAAAAATTAAAACACTTGAATTTGTCAGAAGCTGTTTGCGTGAACATTTAACTGTCGGTTGTTATTTGGAGGATTTGGAACAACTGGAAGATACGGGACCTGGTCAACTGTGAAACAAGTGGTCAGTTTCCACAGTAATGCACCTGTCACTCATGGCAAACCCAAGGCTCTGTGACGTACCTGTCAAAGTGTTCAGTCTATTTCAGACAGACTGTTTTGGATAGCAGCAGTTTTCTGCAATCCATAAAGTCAGTAACAATATGCTCTGCAGGACTCTTAGGCAGTAATAGAAAAGTACGACCAAGAGTCAGAGCGGAGTTTATGGGCTCTCCTACATTTACTGTAATACAACTGAGCACCTAAGAAACTCAGGCCAGTTCATGGGAACATCAGTGTAAATATTCCCCCAGAATTGCAGGACTGGTCTTTAGCTGATGGGTGTAAAAAGAAGGTGGTGACACAAATTTAGTCTGCGCCTGGCCTGATGATGACCAAACTAATTTCAAATCATCATGAATAATGAGCCTCTGTCATGCTTTATGACACTCCATCTGATCATTGTTGAGACACTTCTTTATGGTCCATACAGTGATGGACCCCCCGCCAACTTAACCCCAAACCAGAGACACAGTAAACGTCAGGATGAGACAAATTCTGTTTTCATTGAACAACAAACAAAGGAAATAACAAAGAATCCAACAAAGAACTCCACTTAACTCACTTTTTAACATTGTAACACTGTGCACACATTTTTAATCATTAAACAGAGAAACAAGGAAAGTAACAAAAAACCCTCAAGATCAAACAAAGAACCCAACTAAACTCACTTTTTCTGTGCAAACATCTTCTTTGGTTAACAGTGTTGTTCTTGAGACATTTATATTCTCATATGTGTCATCTTAAAGTGTGAGCGCTTTTGAAGTCCAGCAGAATACCTACACTCTCAATCTCCTAAGAACTTATTTAATACTGAACAAACAAAGATACTTTATGGTAACGAACCGAATTTAAAGAAACAAAAACACAAAGTGAAACTCAGTCCCTGACTGTAGGAGCAGAAGGTGGAGATATTCAGAGCATGGCTTTGTACAGTGTAAGAGAGTGCCGCAGATAGGGGTCCTGCTCCATACAAGCCAACAGATCTCTCAGCATGACCCGCGTCACTCTCTTTTTGGGGGGCAGAGTCACCTGATGCAAAAATAAGGAAATCTGTGAATTACTTTATAAAAAATCCAAGTCACAAGTTTTCTGTGCTGACAAACAATAATTTCCTTATACCAGTAAATGTGTCACATGATCTTCAATAGAGTTTTTCTGAGGTATCAGCTGAATGATAATTAATTTGATCATTTCCGATCAAAAACAATCCTGAACACTTAAAACACAATGAAACCAATCAGCAGTGAGGACGTTCTTCTTACAGAGTGAAACATGTTTCAGTTAACATAAGCACTCAGGACAAAGTGCCCTTCTTCAATGAGACTCCCTTTACGGCTGGACCTTCACAATATCTAAATCATGGGCTGTATGTAGAATGGACACCGTCTGCCTCCTCCCTGGATTGACACTTGACACAGCCTATGGGCACAGAAAGATTGTATCGCTCATCCGGGGGGATACACTGTTTGAGCCGAGCATCATCACAGTGACTCTCCCACCAAATGCGTATAATGCTACTGTGCAAGTGGTGGTTCCAGGAAGTGGAAAAAATCACGGAAATACAGAGAGCAATTTGGCTTCAAATTCGTATAATGACGGGAGGAGGAGCCAAGTTGTCCATGGTATATACAGTCCTTGATCATGACTCAATCAACAAGTTTGGGGATTTCTTAGACTGTCTTTGTCAACATAGAGAGCCTTGCAGCACAGACGTGTGGTAAAACTGTTCTGATACAGTTCTGGGCAAAACCTTCTCTGAAGGAAAAGCTACAGTTTTGACCAGAACTTTTACATCAGCCTTAAGAAACATCAAGAAAACAGTCTTCTAAAACTACAGGATGTGGAGTCTTTGGGCCTGAAGTGGTGAAATGCGTACAATGCTACTGCGCAAGTGGTGGTTCCAGGAAGTGCAGAAAATCCCAGAAATACCAAGAGCAATTTGGCTTCAAATTCATATAATGACGGAAGGCGGAGCCAAGTTGTCCATAGTATATGCAATCTATGGTCTAAATCCACAAGTCAGAAAGAGTCAGTCCTGAGAACCAACCGTTCACATCCCACCCTAACCTTTTGAGTCAAGTTCAGTATTATGGCCTCGAACATTGATTCTTGTCTAGTTTTTCTTGTCGGTGTGGTATTGGAAAAGTACTACAACAAAGTCTGTGCATTAAAGCAGTCCTAAGACAGGTGTACAGACCAGTTTTGACCTCAAACACTCTCACTATTATAGTTCCATAGTCGCCAGCTGAGGTATAACTGCGAGGATGTAAAGGAAGCCCTGTGGCTGTGAGATGAAAGAGAGAAAAAGTAGGAAGCAGTCAGCTCTGCTGGGTAATGGAGTTCAAAGGCAGGGGGAAGTGTGTGCAGTTAACAACGTCCTCATCTCTAAACCTACAGCCTGCAGGGCCTGGACTAAAAACACACAGAGAATTTAAGACTCAATGAGCTAAACTAACAGTCTCAAACCTGCATGAAGCTGCAAGCTCCCTGTGTGTCTGCATTAGCCAAGGAGAGAGCGGCCTAAAACACATACTGCCATCTCGAGCTTTCCACCGATAGATTGGGCTTTACAGTCGGTGCTGGACTTCTTTTATTGTATTTTTATCTTTGGTGTAAGTAGATATCTTTGAGATTATCTCAGAACATCAGCCATTGTCTGATGGGAGGCAGAAGCCATGTTTCCATAATATAGTATATACTGTATATCCACACAACTCATTACAATGTGGACAGACATCTTTGATAGTGCACTGGTAGTAGTTCCTATTTCAATTAACAACTTGGTGCACATGACTGCAGTTATGTCAGCAGCTGGGTTGTTACTGAATATTCAGATATGTGATGATGTACATCCATACTTGAGCCACAGCAACTGCTCAAAAATACAAAAGCAACACTTTAACCACACATCCCGGATTTCACTGGATGAAATATCCCAGTTGAAAATCTGTATTAATTACATTGTGAGAACAAAATAATATCAGCCCGATCCAATGAAACCATGAACCCACTGAGGACTGGATCCAGAATCAGACTCAAAGGGAAAAGTGAGAACACAGGGTGATCCAGCTGCTCTCAGTTTCCCAAGACCACTCGTACTGTGGCTCAGTAGTGTGTATTGCCTCAACAAGGTCTGGGCATGATCCTAATGAGACAACCTATGGTCTTTTCTGACAGTCTGCGGTGCAACAAGGGGGTGGTAGATGCAGCAATACATGGTGACCAAGAGGTGCTCAACTGGAATCAGGTTTAGAGAACGTGTCGGCATTGATGCCTTCATTATCCAGCAGCTGCTGAGTCTGACACACTCCAGTTCCAAATGAGGCCGGGTACTGTCATTGACCAGAAGGAACCCAGGGCCCATTGCACCAGCTAATGGTCTGACAGTGGGCCTGAAGATCTAATTCTGGTACCAGTGTTGCAGAAAACAACCCTGTGGAGAAACTCACACACTCCCAGAAAAGGTTCCTTATCCGGGACACAGGATAAAAAAAATCCTTTAAGAACAAACTCTTGGTTAAACAGTCGACAGAGATTCACCCAAAGCTCCAGCTTTTCTTATTGATCCATTTGAAGAACCGAGACAAAACTGTTTAGAACCTTTCTGGAACTGATTCCAATACTGCCTCAACCCAGGTTTCCCATTACAGACCTAGTAATGATCGGTCTGCTGGAGGTCATGTTGTGGTGCTCTGGCAGTGCTTCTCCCTTACCTCCTTGTTAAAAGGAGTCGATAGCTGTCCTGCTGCTGGGTTTTTGCCCTCCCAAAGCCTTCTCCACCTCTCCTGTTGTACTGGCCTGACTCCTGGTATCTCCTCCATGCTCATGACACTGTTCTGGGACACACAGCAGTCCTGGCCACTACCTAAGCAACTTCTGTGGGCTGTAGATTCCACCTCCATTAATGGTGAGGTTGCCGGAAAAATGCAGAGCTTTCGGAGAATCACACCGAAGGGATGAAGAGAGGGAAGAGCTCTGTGGCCACTACCCGTAAATCCACTTCTTAATAAGGGTTGTCTTAGTAACTGCCTCACCTGTACACCTGTAGTCTGTCCCAGTTACACCACAGCAGGTGAAACTCATTCACAGTCATCATATTTCCTAATTGGAAAGGTCGATACCGCAGAAGTGCGGTCGTCTCTGAGTTACGTTGTGATGATTGTGTGTTCCCTTTATTTTTCTCAGCAGTGTAATTGTTTTTTCAGCACTTCACCATTTTTGTGTGTCACCCAAAATAAAACTCAGATTACAAGCAGATGCTATAACAAGTACAAGCCTGTTTCCTTCAGAGCTCGGATGCTGTTTAAAACATTATCATTGTAAGGTATTCAAATGAAAATAATGCAGAGGCGAGAAATAAAGTGTTGACTGAATGACTGGAAATCAATTGCTCATTTTAAGAGGGCTATCGACATTTCAAAAGAGTTTGAACAAAGCACAGAAAAAATTTAAAATCCTGAAAAAACACCTGGAGGAACATCATCCAACTAATCCTGTCCCCCATGACAGATACGAAAATGGACTCCAGAAAGACCCAGTCTCTCAGAAGTCAAGATGAGGTCCATTCCTCTGAAAGGCTGGGGTGAAAGTGATGTACATGTCCTTGTATAATATATTTGTTCATGTTTTAACAACATGCAAAATGAAAATATGATTTTAACAGGAGTATTGATCAATCCTGAATATTCTGCTTGTTCCACTCTTCTCCTACCTATCGAGGAAATACTTCCTCTCCATTTAAAAGCCTCTCAGAAGTTTACAGTAAATACTTGAATGTGAATTATTATTATGTACAAGTTTCACTGATAGAAACAGATGCTCTTCAGATATGAACACAGAGATGAGATCCCCCACAGACTAACCTGGTTTTCATTCTGCTCCAGATGTCTTTTCCTGTATGGCCCGATGGCAGCCTGGGCGGTGAGATTTGCTTCTCTTTGCTGCAGCTGTGCTTCTTCCATTTTTTGTAACTGAAAAGATGTAAAGGATTAGCTGGCAGCATTAAGGAGTCTTTGGGGGGTTGGACATCCTACCTAATAGAGTCAATAAGAAAACATAACTGACAAATTATGAAAAACAGTGGTAAAGTTTTCAATCCTCTACACTGCAGATATAAAGTCAGCCTTTTCTCAGAAGATGTGAAACCACAACTGACAGAAAGTTTCTGTTTATATGGATCTGATCCTGGTCTAACTTGTGACTCACCTTTTGGTTGGAGAAGCTACCAACTTGCCTTTCACCAATGAATGTAGATTTTCCCGTTTTTTTTTTTACACAAATCTTTTGACTTTAACAAAAACACTCTAATTTTTTCATTAACTGATCTCATTACATTTCTGGTTTGCTAATATCAGATTGAAAAAGCTGTTCCACATACCAGCTGCTCCAATCTGCTGCTCTGCTCAGCTGATTTCATTTATTTCAGAATTCAAGGCTGTTCAGGATTAAGTCATTTCTTTCAAAGTGATAGCTAAAACCTTCTTGCTTGGCAGATAAGTTATCTGTAATACTTTTCAAAATGTTATTGTCATTACTGCATTTTAAAGGAAGAAGTTGGACAGACAACATCGACCTAAAACACATAAAACTGGCTCCACACCTACTCTGCAGTGTTTGTCCAAGTGTATGTAGAGGCTTAGTGAAGTGCATGTGGGGTGCACTGTTTGAGAGTGTGTGTGGGGGTGGTAGTGACAGTTTATATAAATAGTTAATTCATTTTCCTGGGGAGAAACCTCCCGCAACATCACGGCTGGGAGCTACGAGAAGCCTGAGACAGAAAACAGGCCCTGGGAAGAGTTACCGCCTCCATGAATAACCAAACTCCTATGGAAGCCTTTCTTTGCTCAAACTCCTCTTTTTGCCTCACCAGCAAAAAAATAAATGAATAAATATACATACATATATATTCTACTTTCTTTAGCAAAAATAAAGGAGCAACTAGCATGAAAACTAACAAGGATTCAAGGAGCTCCAACACCATGTTCCTGAGGAATTTATGGATCAACTGGTAAACAAGTGAGCTGAAAGTTATTAAGGGGTTCATGTTTTCTGTGACTGACACTTGATACAGGGCCTAAGAAGAGTGCATCGATCATCCAGGGATATGCTGTTTGAGCCAAGCATCATCACAGCGACTCTCACGCCGAATGTGTACAACGCTACTGAGCAAGTGGTGGTTCCAGGAAGTGGAAGAAATCCCAGAAATACAGAGAGCAATTCGGCTTCAAATTCATATAATTACAGAAGGCGGAACCAAGTTGTCCATAGTATGTGCAGTCTTCCCAACTGGTACTGTTTGACCTCCCAAGTTGCAAAACCCAAGATGCCAGTCAGATAAGTCACCTGGAATTAGGTCTGTGTCGGTTCTCATTCTTCCACGTCATGGTAATCCAATTTCATTCATCAGCCAACTACATCTGTTTGAGGTTCTCAAAGATGTTTTGCCTTTAATAACCTCAAGCAAGTCCAGTTGGCCTTTGGATGAAGAACTGGATCTCAAGAATTAGAATATCTGATCATGATGGCCCCCATGTGCTTCTCACCTCCTGTCACCTGCACACCACCATGAGTTCATGATAGTGAAGGCAGAAGCTGTTTCAGGGGAGGGGCAGTGCACATGTTCCGCTTTAAAGGGAGGGTTTGCCGTACCACTCTTAACACACCTGATCTTGTCCGATCTCGGACGGTAAGCAGGGTCAGGCCAGGTTATGGCTGCAGCATTCATGCCAGGGTTAGGTCTCACATAAATACCGTGAAATTATCATAAATAACGATTAGTTACTGTGGACAATGTTGGAGATCACAAAAAAAAAACCACAAATACAAACACAGAATTTTCTGCTTTTTTCTGGTATCACTGTGATAATAAACAAGTATTTATATACTCAGTCAGCTGACACCGGTATCTAACCACAGCTTTTGTTTTGGCTCTGGTTTTTTCTTACCTCTTTGGCTCTTTGCTTCAGCTGCTGCTGCTGTGGATCCTCACTTTGTGAATGGCTCTGGTCAGGAACAGCAGGTTTTTCCACGCAGTCATTAGCATTCGTTTGTCAAATAAAGGCATGGGTTATGAATCCAAACAAAGTATGAAATTACAGTGAATGAATATGAGCATACTCTGGACAAATGCAGCAGTCTTTCCCTCTCCTCTTCATCCTTCTTCTTATTCTTTAAATTCTCCACTTCCTCTACAAAGCGAAGCTGAGAGCGGACATCACTTACTTTGGCATGCTGCATGTCTTCCTGTTGCACAAACACACAAACGTACTGAGATAAAATTTAGCATAGAAAAATAGAAATAATGCAGGGTCTGAAAGTAACAGCTGCAGATCTGCAGATGCAGTAAATCCTAGAGGAAGGGTCAGTATTTGTACCAAAATTGTCATATAATAAAATAAAAAAAAAAAAAAAACAGTGTTAAGTTTTTCTGGGTTAAGTGTAGCTGAAACGTCTTCCTCCTGCACCTCTGCTGTCCTGACACTTAGCCATTTGTGAAGTATTCTTCATGAGCTAGCCTGAAGGAAGGTAGCTCAGACAACCGGGTTTTTGGGATCAAAATCTATGAAAGGGCCACTGACTTGTAGCTTATTGTGGTTCAAAGGCTTCATACTTATATTTTTTCCAAGAGATGTGGTGATTCTTACACTCAGTCAGTGAGTGCACTCTGCAAACATTTACTCCCTGCCTTGTTGTAAAGCCATGGCGCTGTAACAAATATTTCTGTGTATGACTGGCTACACCTGCTGTGTTTGCAGTGTGCACCCACTTCAGAGTGGCATGTATCTGTAAAGATGGTTCTTTATCAAAGCTATCCAGCCAAAAATATGTCCAGATTTGAACCTCTAGTGGTCAGGTCCAAACATCTTACACCCAACAGAACACTGTCTATAGTCAAGTCTATGGCAGAGTACTTCATATTGGTAGTAAGATAAGATAAGAAGAACTTTATTACTCCCTGAAGGGAAATTTGATTGTCTGGGTTCTCATGTTTTATGTCATCTATTATTTACAGTCAAGTTGTAGAGTCTGATGGCTGTGGGTACAAAAGAACTTTTGAATTTTTCTGTCCTGCACCGAAGTGGGAGGAGCCATCCACCACCATTTGCCCTTTGTTCCATCAAGGTGTTATGAACTGGATGATCCATAATCTTTAGAATAGTCTCCACCTTCCTCAGAGTACATCTCTCCAGCATATCCTCCAGTGAGTCCAACTTGAATCCAACCACAGAGACAGCTTTTTTCACCAGTTTGTTCAGACCTCTTACATCTTTGTGTTTGATACTACCTCCCCAGCAGACTGCAGCACAGAACAGAACACTGTAGACACCACAGACTAGTGGTGGTGTGTGTGTGTGGGGGTTTTCATTGTTACCCCCACTCTCTTGCCGCTCAAGGAGCAATGCTGTTACGTTCACCTTACGTTATGTTACCCATGCTACACGCTGTATGGACCGTGTATAAGCTTGAAAGTTACCCTTCACATTAATGGAAGAGGGTCCAACAGGTACGCTTGTTGATGACCCAAAACAAGTCGAAAATAACGTTGTGTGTGGTTGTGCTCACACAGTGCGAGTACAAATTATAAGTGGTGCGTTGATATTAATAATCAAGTGAAATTTCAGTAGCAGCGCATGTAATTCAGCAGCAATGTGCACCACTGCTGAATGAATGTAGAGGAAACCCTGCTATTGATTGTAGTCTTCTTAGGCTAAAGAGGTGGCTCTTCCCTTTTCTGTAGAAGAAGTCTGTGTTCTTAGACCAGTCCAACTTATTATCCAGATGTACACCTATGTCACCACTTTGATGTCCACACCACAGGTGTTCTCTGGCTGAAGAGGGGGTTTGGATCTGTGGAAGTCTATGATCATTTCTTTTGTCTTTGAGGTGTGGAGTAGGAAGCAGTCAAGAGTAGGAAGCAGTAGGAAGCAGTCTATATATCACCCTCGGCCACCCCGTCCGGGCCGTTCTTGCTTTCTTCCTCTGGGAAATTACGAGAGCTCCCTCAGTACAGCCAGTTGTCAAGTTGGTTGGTAGCTTGACAGCTACCAGATGTCCCGTCAAAGGAAACGTTGCCTAGTGCGGCACTGACAGACGCTGAACTGTACTGACGGTAATTTGGTGGGATTGCAACCACGCTGTGGCGAGCTTCCTGGCAGCAACAGGTGCTCACCTACCCGGCGTCCTGTGCTAGCTTCGGGCTACATTCACTTTTGCTCGACTAGGAGCTAACTTTAGCTTGTTAGCAGCCTTTGCTTGGAGCACAGCTAACGCGTAGAGGCGAGTTGTTATACGATAGGTTTTATTGTTAGGCTCACACTGACTGTATACCCCAATTAAAAAACTAGGCTAACCCCTTCCACAATCCCCCCTAGTGAACATGTCTGCCCCCACAGCTCCTGTCACAGCTGAACTGGGCAGAAGGAGGTAAAGGGCTCTCCCCGCTGTTGTCCTACGTCATGTGGGGCAATGATTTCAGGCAGAGACCCCCACCCGATGTGCATTGTGTGCATGGGAGCTAAGCATGCTAAGGCGTCACTAGCAGACTCATAGGTCTGTGCTCATTGCGCTACCATGCCGGCTAAAATTCTGGAGAGGAGATTAGGAGTGGTGGTCCATCCCTCACCTTATCAGCAACCATTAAGGCCCTTGGGTCCCATCAGCCGCAAGCTGCGTGTAGCTGGGCAGACATGATGGATTAGTTTGATCCCATACCCCCACTGTTCAAAAGATGTCTTTGGCAGGAGAAAGACGATGATGTAGACAGTGATATCAGCTCTGACATCTTTGATATGGATGACATGGAAGAAGGAGAGGAGGAATTCTCCACTCATTCCAGACCCCCGGCTCAACAACCTTTGGACGACAACCTTTAAAAAGTTTGCAAACGAACAGCAGCTAAACTGAACGTCCCCTGGCCTGCGGCTCAGGACACAGAGGGGGTGTCAAGGGACCTTTGCAATGGGAAAAGGCTTCCTCAGACCTGCCCTCCAGCCAAGCAGCTGCTCCCGGCAGTGCCATCCTGCATGGCCGAGATAAGTTGGTTCTGGTTGAGCCAGTTCAAGAGCAAGGTAACCACACAGGGCTACTCCAAGCTAGAGGTACACGGCATGGCGGAGCTAGGGCTGGCCGAACCCCCGGGGATGGAGCCCTCAGTGGCCTACCACCTTCACCAGAACCACTGATCTGTCTCAGCAGTGTCGCAAATCTCCTTCCCAGAAAAACAGAGTGTACAGCAGTGGGGGTGTATCAGCGTATGTACAAATACGCAGCACAATCAGTCTGCTCGCTGAACGCTGTCAAAGTGTTGTTAGCTTATCAAGCAGAGACTTTGGAGGAGAACAATACCTCCATCACTGTTCTGAACAATATTAAATATTAGCATGCCACCGAAAACTACTGACTCCTACAAAGATATTTAATGGTCAAACTGATGAACTTGAATGTTTTTTTCACTCATTTTGAATTTGATGCTGTAACTCACCCCCAAAAAACTGGTTCAGGGTCATGTATCTCTCTGTGTTACATCACCTTTCCTTTAAAGGGGACCTGCCATCAAAAATGTAATTTTGTGTGTTTTTGTGTCAGATTAGGTCCATATTATGTTCGTCTTATGTTGTAAATGTGAAAACAAACCGTTACATCGTTTGCATTCTGTAAAGGTTTAAAATAAAGGAACGGGTAAACCAGGCCAATTGAAAAAGCAGGTCCCTCTGACGTCGCGCTGACCTTGCTCATTATTATTCACAAGCGCGTCCTCGGTGAGCCGCGCCCACTTTCTCGTTCTCGTACCCAGTCACAGTCAACATCCAGCCAGAGCGAGACCCAGCTACCACTGTATCCGCTATGGGTCTCTTCCAAACGACCAGTGTTTCCTTGGGTTCACTGCCGGGAAAATGAACTTAAAGCTGGGCAGAATGAATGAAAACACCACTGGAGATCTCTGGCTTCTTCTTCAACTTCCACCTCCTCTTCGGACTCGGGGTCTAAAATATATGGTTTAATACCTGCCATTTTTAGCCTTTAGCATAAGGTGACCAGACATCCCCGATTTCCGGGGACAGTCCCCGAATTGGATGACCTGTCCCCGGCAAAAGCTGTCCCCGAAAATGTCCCCGATTTAAGCGTTTCGTGAATGAGAGCAAAAATGTTGCTTGTGGGCTCGAACAACGGTTATTACAGTAGCCGAATGGGTAGGAAGCACAAGTAAGCAGTCCTGAACAACAGTTCTTACGGGGGTTATTACAAGGGGCATGCGCTGCTACTAAATAGTACCGAGATGTTGTCTGTGACCACACAGCCCCTGCAGCCCCTGCACCCTCCCCGCCGCCGCACCGAATATCCCCGGATATCATTACAGACATCTGGGCACCTTACTTTAGCACACATTAGCAAAACGGATAAACCGAAATCCGAACCTCCACTGCTGAGCCAATCAGAGCACATCAGGCTTCACAGCAGCGATCCAATCAGAGCAAAGCTCATTACAATAAATGTTAATGAGCCAAAATCAGTTGGTTTTCCTGTAAGGTTTTTTAGGCATACTAAAAACAAACCATCAAATAACTTTTCAGCTAAAATTATGTTGCAAACATGATAAGAGGACAGGATTATGAAAAAGTGATAAAAATGGGTATGAAATTTTGATGGCAGGTCCCCTTTAACAACACTCAGTAAGCCTTTGTGAAATGAGGACACTGACTTTTCAAGTTCTGGAGGTGAATTCTTTCACAGTCTTGACTCATGGACCACATCAGCTGATCTACAGTCTGAGGTCTCTGTTGTGGTATTTTGGGCTTCATAATGCTCCAAATAGATTCAATGGTGGACAGGTCTGGACTCTTTGACTCTGAAGCCACGCTGTGCAGAATGTGTGTTGGCATTGTCTTGCTGAAATAAATAAGGACATCCCTGAAAAAGACGGGGCTCTAAAGGCAGCAGATGTTGCCCCTAAACCTGTATGTACCTCTCAGCATTAATGGAGCCCTAACAGATGTGACAGTTAGCCATGGACACTAACACACCCCCAGACCATCAGAGATGCTGGCTTTGACCTTTGACCTGAGGACCGTCTGGATGGTCCTTTTCCTCTTTAGTCCAGAGAACCCCTTGTCCATAATTTTCAATAACTGTTTTAAATAAGGATTTGACAGACCACAGAACACTTTTCCACCTTGGGTCAGTCCACCTCAGATGAATTCGGGTCCAGAGAAGTCAGCGTTGTTTCTGTCTGTTGTTGATATTTGTCTTTGTCTTTGCATGGTAGAGTTTCAACTTGTTGATGTAGAGACCAACTGTGTTAACTGACAATGGTTTTCTCAAGTCCCCCTGAGCCCACATTATAAAATCCTTTACAGAATTATGCAGGGTTTTAATGCAGTCCCCCCTAAGGACAAAGGTCAAAGATCACAGTGATTCAGTGTTGATTTTAGGCCTTGCAGTTTATGTGCAGAGATTTCTCTGGACTAAGATTAATTATCTTTGTAGAGAAATCAGTTGACTTTAGTTGAAGAGGGTTTGAAAATCACTGTGTTCTTTTGTTATTCATGTTTTACACAGCGTCCACAATTTTTTTGACCCTGTGTGATTATGAACTACTGCTTGGTCACTGGGTTTGACTGCTTTACCTTCAGGGCTGCCTTGTGGTGTTGTGCTACCTCAGTGAGCTTGTTCAGGAGTCCATGGATGAACTCCTCTGCAGCATGAGAAACCAGAGCTACAACGTCTGGTCCAACCTCAGTTACTCCAAGTTCCTGTCCTAATATGGGACACATAAAACTATTAGTAGTTGTATCACATCGAGATGAAAACACTATGGCCTATCAAAGTTTAAACAGATAAGATGAAGAAAACTGTGAAAGCATATGCAATACTGTGCTACAACCACATTTAATCACCAGAAGTCCTTCATGCAACACAGTATTCATGTGGTCAGCTGAGCCCTCCCTCAGCAGGGATCTTGTACCTATATGAAGGATTCGGCTGTGCAGAAGGTTTGGAGAGAGGAAGGGCTGATCCTGGCAGGACTTCACAACAGAGCCAACCATGGTGGTCAAGATCTTTGCGTGCTCCTCCCCCAAGTTGATTCCAGCCATGGAGGTGACGTCATTGATGTCATCATCTTCTCTGGAGGACATCACCCCATCCACAAACAGACAAATGCTCATGCAGATTAACCAGCTTTATACTGCCAGCAAACTCTGTTAAAATATGCTAAATTGTGCAATTTACAAGTACAAAGACATGTTTGAGTTACTTGTAAGATTCAGAAGTCTCCTTCGTTGCAGATTTTGTGTGAAAAGATGAGTCCTGCATGAACAGCTGCTTCACTGGGAAGGTTTTTGTAGAAGAGAGAGACCAACAGGGTTAACCATAAAGTAAACTTTTAAGTCTGAGTTCATGGATGAAGTTTGGTCATATAAACTTAATATGCTCAGTTTGTGAACATCACTCAGCCTGTCAACACCCTCTTTGTCTGGCTAAATATTGAGCCACCATCTGATCAAAAGGCCTTTGAATACACTCTCAATAAAAAAACGAGTTCTGCCTGAGTATCTGAAAATAAGCACAGTTTCTGGATTCTGTGTAGTGTAGCAAATCTTCTTGCACTTTTGCATTTCTTGGGGTTGGGTCAAAAACTTTTTTGTGATTTAAACAGGTGCTAAAGATCAATTATGGTTTGACTAAGATGTTTGATACAAAACAGCTTTTCACACACAGCTGTGTTCATTGTTAAAACACTCAATTCCTCAGTGAAGCTGTGCAGGCTCGTGCACAGCTGTGTTGAATGTAACAATTGAGTCATAGCAGATTTACTGTGTCATCCCGTGGGATGGGAAGGGAGGACTTTGGGTAACTGATGGGTCATCTAAGGTATCTAGTTGGGGTTAGGAGGCAGTTTGTTTCTTGTGCATTCATTATAAAGACAGCTTCATAACTCAAGCTGGATTCCTGCTTTTATGCCTTGTTTAATGACTTCAATAACATGTGTCAGCCTATTCAGTTTGCTCCTTCTTGTTTGTATGACCTTCATGTGACAAATACTTTACTTTGACATCAAAAACTGTTTTTTTGAGCTTTCCTATTCTCCATGCACTGGGATGTAAACAATTGTGAATATCTGAACTAACTGAATTGTGATACCAAGAATCAGAATCAACCTGTCAGATGAAAAAAGTTAAACAATCAGAATTATTACCTCCAAAGTGCTTTCCTGACAGGACCACTGTGTGTTTGGGGGTGGGCCTGCTGGTCTTAGATAAGTAGTTTCTGGACTGGGCTAACATGTCAAACCCAGGTCTTGCTGTGGCTCCTTTAAATTGCTGGATAATCTGCATGTTAAAAACAGTCACAGAGGTTTTCTACAGCTTCACCCCTGACAACGTTTCATTTCACTAACATAATCTTAAACACATTTTAGATTAAAGGCAAACTGACTAATTAAAGCTACTTAGTTTATAACCAAGTCACTATGGTCTTAGAGGTACAACATAAGACCAGCCTAAGCTGATAAAGGAGCTGAGTGAGGGAACACTGCTCTACACAGTATGAGCATAAATGAAGGTTTTTCAGATGATCAGGTATTAAAGATGACAACAGTAATGATGTCAATAGTCTACAATTCAGGGGAAACAACTGGGTCAGGAGAAAGCACCCATTAGGATACAATGAATCATATATCGTACACGTATACAGCTTAATATACAGCTTCAGCTTGGACCTTATAATTGATGATAGGCTGTAAATAACATCATGATTTATAATCATTTTATCTCGAAGCAGAAAACTGCAGTATTTATGGTCACAACTCTGCTAGACCACTCCCCTTAGACCTTCAGCTTTACAGTCCTTGGGTCCTTTTGGACTTTCTGAAATACATCAGACTCTATGCTTCTGTAATCCTTTATGAAGTATTACCATCCAAAGTCTTCAGGACTTAAATCTGACATGTTTGTGTTATCATTACCCTTGGTGCTGGAGTCCCATACATCTGATGTGAAACTGTGAAGTTATCATGTAATGATGTATTAAAAGAACACAGGAGTTTTCTACGGGTGTGTGTACCATATAGTGCTCTCAGGGGTAACAGTAGTTTGTCCTGATATAAGAAATGGCGCCAAGTAACGTATACTAGCATATTTGGCTATTTTGTTAGCTCCATTGTTGTGGACAGAGAGGCTGAGGTTTACTTTTATAGATTACTTTCATAGTAACATGGTCGGTTGTGTTTCGTTAAAAGAGGTTGGACGCTATCTTAAATGCTTAAAAGCAGATGTAGAGGTAAGTCAGAGTCTCACTGTCCCACATCACCATGCCTGGGTTTGAGTGTCAGCTCCAGGTGAAATACACACAGCTGCCTGCTTATGTACTGCAGGACCTGGGCGATCTAGCAGCTACGCAGCTGCAATACTGTGGAAGGTGTGCTGGTATTTTGCAAGATTTACCCCACTTTTTAATCAACAAAATTATTACATAAATACAACTTTAATTTTTAAAGTTTGTCCACAGTTCATCTGAAAAAATTCTGCATTTGTGTTTATGTAATTGTTTACAATTAAATAAATCTACGAGTTTTACTGGAGTCATAGCAGAGTCACAGCGCGCTTCAGTTATCTGGATCATCAAGTTTAAGGTGGTAATTTGTGCTGTCTCATATCATTCTTTCCTAGTCTTGGGTTTGCGATAATATTAAATGTGTTTGATGTTATTGCACGGGATTTCCCCCTTCCTCAGTCCCCACTTAAAAGTTTTTTGCAGAGGAATCAGAAAAGCTCAAAGTGGTTTTTACCACTCTGACGCATACCCATCAGTCCCAGGGCACTTGATGACTTTTAATTTTGATATTGCCAATTTTATTTCCTCTGTTGTTATATTTGCTATTAATACTTTGTTTTGTTCCTCATTAACTTTTGGCAAATTTAGGGACTGAAACAAGCATCGATATGAACTTTGTTATTAATTGCTGGTTGTTCATATAGTCTTCTGTTTTATGTTTCAAAGCTTTTCTGAATGTCTATTGGTTTAAATACTGCCACATTAGTATGGGGATCTCTCATTTTGCATACACAACTATTTGCATATTTTTTTAAGCCTGTAAACCAGGGGGTTTGCTGATTTACCCCAGCTCCATAATATCTGTCGAAAAAAACACTAACTTTTTTGGATCTATTGTCCCTGGATCTTATTTACCTCCCCTTTCATTCCACCACTGTCTCTAATCAACCCCTCCCACATACTTTTCTGATATTTTCTTCCCAATTCTTTTAACTCAGAATATAGACCCTTAAGTTTCTCCTGTTTCATCTGATGTAAACATGCAATTTTTACAATTATTTTTCCTCTCAATACCGCCTTGCAAGCATCCCACAGGACTGATGGAAACACCTCAATCTCAATCCAAATCTTTTAAGCTTTTTGTGTTCAAGCTGTGTTAGGTGAGTCTCTTGTAAAAACACAACTTCCACCTTGTCCTTTCTTCACTTTGATCAAATCTTAGATCTCTTTGTTGGATGAAGTATTCCATTAATATTATACAAGGTGATCTTGGCTATCATTTAAACTACATGGATTACCTTTTGTCTTTTCCAGCTCCTCTTATCATGGAAACCCCTTCTGCTACTAGAACAATAAATAACATTCAACGTCTCATTTCTAGAGTTTACATAAACAACCTTAAAAAAATATAAAAAGAGAACTTCCTTAAGTGAGGTCATTTCTACGACTCTGCTTGAGCCTGGGTGTTGAGTGGGCTCGGAGGGCCAGCCTCTGAATCCCTGAGTCAGAGGGCCTTTTTGCTGTTACTTTGGTCAAAATGTCCTTTACGACACACTAACTAAAAGTGGAAATATCCCCCACTTGAACATCTGACTCAATTTGAGGGGAAAAAAAATAATGATAAACAAAGTAAAGCCCACATAAGTTCTCTCGTATAGAAGGCAATGACTGTACTTTACCTTAATGCTTATTGACAAAGTAAGAGATCAAACATTCATATTTACTGGATCAGTCTTATCACTCCTGTCATTTAGTTCTGCATTTAATTTCTGCCTGAAACTTGTATCCGGAGCTCATCAGCTATGTGATCACAGACTACATCTTGCTACTACTTGGTAGCCTCCCCCTTTATAACTGTTGTTCAGGGCTGTGCGCCACATGCTCACTCGTGCTTCCTACGTGCCCGGCTAACATAATAACCATTGTTAGTCTACATGTAACATTTTTTTTTTCATTCATGAAACACTAAAATCGGGGACATTTCACGGGACAGCTTTAGCAGGGGACAAGTCATCCAAAACAAATGTATGAATTTGTACTAGCTTGGCTCATAGTTGTCTCATCTCTCTCCATTCACTGCTGCACTTCCACTTTTCCTGACATCTTTTTATGATGACAGTTCTTTGTTTACTTCAGAGTTATGCATTCACCACACTGTGCATTACGTCCACACATATTTACCTGCTTGCTGTTCTTGTTTGTGTTTTCATTTTCAGTGCTGGACTGTTTAATGGTGGACGATGCAGTGCTGGGTTTACTGATGCAGGTTGAAGCTTGTTGAATAAATAACTGTGGGTCTGAAGTGAGGCACCTCACTGCTGGAAAACATTTCTGGAATCAATAAGAGGACAGGTGGAAAGACATTTAGCATTTGATCAGCTGTTTGTAATTAAAATCATTTAAACATAACACTATAAGTGTGGGTTCAAAACCTGGTTATTATTTTAAGTGGCCACATGAGTGTAAAGCACAGCTGACCTGACTTTAGCAGGTGAGTTGTCTTTGTTTACCATCAAATCACTCTCAGTAAAGACATTTAGCTGATAAAAGCCTGGCAAGTGATGTTCATTTTCCAGGTTCCGAGTTATTATCAAGAGTTTTAAAATCTGATCCCCTTACGGGGTCTGGGGGTCATTAGAGGCTGTAACATGAACATACATTTGAGTCTCATCACCTTTAGAAAAGGCAGCAGGCAGGGCTGAGGGGTTGTCTTCAATTCCTGATAAAGCTGCTCTGTAAACTCCTCTGCCTCCAGCTTACCTTCCTGCAGAGTAAAAAAGTACAATAACATGATAGTTTTGAGCTGTGCAGTGTGTCAAAAACTGGAAGAAAAAATAAATATATAAACTCTCTCGCTCTCTCTCTATATATATATATATATAAAAATATACATATATACACATATATAAACACATATATATATATATATATATATATACACATACATACATATATGTATATATGTATACATATATACAGACATACATATACACACACACACACACACACACACATATATTGTGTTTGAGAGTCTTCATGTACAAGACTTCTCATGTATGACAATCTTCTTGTACAAGAACCCTCGTGGTCAAGTGTCCTTGTGTTTGGGAGTCCGCATGTACAGGAGTCCTTGCGTACGACATTTCTTGTGTACTAGAGTCTTCTTGTATGAATCCTCCTATATGAAAGTCCTTGTGTACGAGAGTCCTTATGTTTGCAAGTCCTTGTGTACGATAGTCCTTGTGTATGAGAGTCCTCAGTTATGACAGTCCTTGTGTATGAGACAGGACACTTCACAGAGATTAGCAGCTGCACAAACGACAAAGAGATTCTTCAAAAGACCTTCATGAATATAATAATTATTCATAGTTTTGGCCCTTACTGAGTGAACTGCTTACTGTAATTATTTGTTTACCCCGGGCCATTGATAAAACCATGTTGTAAATAACGTTCCTTAAGTTAATTAGGCTAATCAAGATTATGTATGTTGTCATTATGGGCCAGTTGGTAGAAAATAAGGAAATTATGACAGAACATGCATGTTCCTTAAATATCTGTGATCATGGGTCTTGTCTTGTTTTAATTATAGTTTAATCAGTTAATGTTACTGACATGATTGTGTAATCAGTGGAAATGCAGATGCAGCTCTGAATACAAAAGTAAAAAAAGGGAACATGAGATCCGGTCACCATATCCAACATGGTTGCCCACATAAACATTCACTGCGATGTAAATACATAAACAGGAGAGGAAAATTCATGCAGAAGTCTGGTTCACCTTTTTGACTGTTATCCCTCAGAAGAAATGTCCAGTTTTATTATGAGAGGGAGAAAAAACCAAAGGGGGGAAACAGCTTTGTGCAGACAGCAGATGTAGAGGCTAGTGTGTGATCAGAATGAAATAGTTTATACATTAACGTCTAAGAATGTGAAAATTAAAGAACAGTTACAAAAGCAGGTAGAAATACTTCATCTGCTATAATGCAATAACTTTCACATACGCAGTAAATTGTGATTAGTCACAAGTGTGAAAAGGCTGGAAGTTTTTCATAAATCCTTTATTAAACACTCCAAACTATACCCTTTTATCAGTACATCCTGCTCATTATTTTGAAGGTTCTGCTTCCATTTTTCAGTGAGCAGCTTCTTTAACGTCTTCTTCAAAATTAATTCTGTTGATAAAAGATGCTCCGACATGTTAAATCTATATTTGTCCAACCCAAATTTTACCCAGCAGGTTTGTACAAATCTAAAAAATCTCTTAATGGGAGTCTTGGCTTTTAAAGCATGATCAAAATGTGTCCCTTTAACAACAAACAGCCAAAGAACAGTCCATTAAAAGCAGGAATCAAATCAAGATATGAACTATGTGCATGGAGCAACAATATATGAATTCAAGTTCAAACACATTAAGTTCTGGACAACATGTCCAAACTCTTCTGCTATGTGAAACTAGCATGTGTGATGAGCAGCAAATAGAAAAGACACATACCAGCAAACCCTTGACTAGTCTCCTGATATTATCAGCCAAGTTGGAGGATGTGGTCGCCCTGCACGCCAACTTGATCAGTGTTGCCAGGAAATTCTTGCACTTCTTCACATTTTCTAGGGTCTCCTATTTGGAAACAATAAAGGTTCACACTGTCACTTTGTCACATGTTGCCTCTTTATTCCCTCTTTTTGAGCTTGTTTACTACATCAGCGTTCATGTGTTACTTTATGGAATCCTTGTTGTCAATGTTATTATCTGATTTTGTCTTAAAAAGACACAAAATTCACTGACATATCTAAAAGAACCAAAAAAGGCCTTGGGGGGGGGGGGGGGGGGGGGGGACAAATTTTAACATGGTAAACACAAGACAAGTTTTCAAATGGGAAAGGGAAGGATTGAAACAAGATAATAAGATTTTTCCATGTAGATTCTCATTCATCCAGGTCATGGTTATCTTGAAGACTTAAAACAGGCAACTGGACTGTGTAGAGTTGAGAAGTCGTTTCGCCTCTTATCCAAGAAGCTTCTTCAGTTCTAAAAGTGCTAGTGTCAGGAGCAGATATTTATCTTACTGGAGAAGGGGGACAGTTAACGACTGGGTGGAGTTCTTTTCATTCTTTTCAACTCCACCCAGTCGTTAACTGTCCCCCTTCTCCAGTAAGATAAATATCTGCTCCTGACACTAGCACTTTTAGAACTGAAGAAGCTTCTTGGATAAGAGGCGAAACGTCTTCTCAACTCTACACAGTCCAGTTGCCTGTTTTAAGTCTTCAAGATAAGATAATAAGATTCCTCATCACAACACAAACACAGTGAGAGCGAGAATAATGCTGTAAAGGTGGTCAGCATGATTAACAAATACACTACAGAACTTCACTTGCTTGTACACCCACATGTTTTGGTGTTGATGTGATCATTCCTCTCTCATGCATTAGCCTTGATAATCGAGTTGTTAGTGAATGCATTCATTAAATACTGTGTAACTCCTAAAAATCAAATAACTAACACTGTAGTAACTCTCCAAAATAATGTTGCAGTCCAGTGTAATGCATTAATGATGAGAACATGACAGTGTGACTGGGGTAGGTGTTTCCACCTGGACTTGTGTTGCTTCAGTTACATCCTCAGAGGACTTAGGTCACCTGGGACTTGCCTGAGAATAATGGGTTGGTGGCTCTTTGACGGTTTCTGTGACAACTCCATGGAATTGGGGTCTGCTCCGCTGCTGTGGCACAGCACTGACAGACTGGACCACAGCTGGTTTGGGAGCTATACCAATCACCTAAACAATGCAATTAGCTCCATTAATACATGTTAAAGTGACTGTGTTTGGATTGATCGGCCTTTAGCATTAGAGATAGTAACTGCTGAATGAGTTAAACAAGGTTTGTATGGGTCATGAGTCACTGTGTTTGTGACTGTGCTACAACAGAACTTTCTGGTACCTTTACTTCAGCTGTTCTTTGACCTGATGCGTGCTGGACAGTAGGACGGACTGTCACAGATACCTGAAGTCCACATATGACAGACAGTAACTACAGTTAAAGTACCAAATAGATGCCACTACATTCAGCCACTTCACTGTTAAAAGTGAATTTGAAACACACACACACACACCTGTGGAGCCACTAGCCTGGATACTTGGCTACCAACACCTCTTGGTCCTTGTTGAGCTTGTGACAAAGCCTGTTGGGAAACCAGCATCAGCTGACCACTGTCACTACGAACCAACCTCATACCTGTGTATGATAGAGAGAACAGACGTTACTCATTGCAAAAGTATACCATGGTGTGACAAACTGCAGACACTGAGCATGCAGACTTTTCTTCTGTGAACTCCAGCTTCTTCCAGCTAAGTCAAAGTCAAAGTCAAAGTCAGTTTTATTGACAAATATGCTATACGACAGCATACAGCATATATGAAATTACAGTCCTCTCGGACCTGCAGTGCAAATAACGACAGACAGAAAAAAACGTAATAAGTAAACTAAATTACTAAATACTACAATAAATATATATGTACAATGTGCAATATGCAAGTAGACATTCTGTGGTCCAGTAAACATTCAGTGGATTGTTGGATTGTTAAATAGTGCAATGTAGTGCAGGATATTGCAAATTGAGTACAAAAAGAGTCTGTAACCCAGAGTCAGTGGTGGACAGAGGATGGGTTGAGTGGGGGCACAGCAGGGAGGGAGTTGAGCATCCTGACTGCCTGGTGGAAGAAGCTGTCCTTGAGCCTGCTGGTTCTGGCTCTGAGACTCCGCAGTCTCCTCCCAGACAGCAGTGGGCTGAGGAGGCTGTGAGATGGGTGGGTGGGGTCACCTGCAATCCTGATGGCTCTGCGGGTGTTATAAATGTCCAGTAGAGAGGGAGGAGAGACACCAATGATTCTCTCAGCTGCTCTCACAGTGCACTGCAGGGTCTTGTGGCAGGAAACGGTGCAGGCGCCATACCACAGGGTGATGCAGCTGAACAAGATACTCTCAATTGTGCCTCTGTAGAAGGTCGACATGATGGGGGTCGGGGCTCTTGCTCTTCTTAGTTTGCGAAGAAAGTAGAGTCGCTGATGGGCTTTTTTGGCCAGAGATGTGGTGTTGGTGTTCCAGGACAGGTCTTGGGAGATGTGTACACCCAGGAACTTGATGCTGCTCACCCGCTCCACTGCAGTACCATCGATGGTTAGTGGAGCATGCTGAGCCTGCTCTCTCTTGAAGTCCACTTGAATCTCTTTGGTCTTCTCCACATTCAGGAGGAGATTGTTGTCCTTGCACCACATGGCCAAGCGGCTCACCTCACTCCTGTAGTTTGTCTCGTCGTTGTTGTTGATGAGACCTACCACAGTTGTGTCGTCCGCAAACTTGATGAAGAGGTTTGCGCTGTATGTAGGTGTGCAGTCATGGGTCAGCAGGGTGAAGAGGAGGGGGCTCAGCACACATCCTTGGGGAGCCCCTGTGTTCAGAGTGATGGTGCTGGAGGTGTTGTTGCCGACCCGAACTGCCTGTGGTCTCCTCATCAGGAAGTCCAGCAGCCAGTTGCACAGGGAGGTGTTGAGTCCCAACCGGTCTAATTTGAAGATGAGCTACTGGGGGATGATCGTGTTGAATGCTGAACTGAAGTCGATGAACAGCATTCTGACGTGTGGGTCTTTGTTGTCCGAGTGGGTGAGTGCAGAGTGGATGGCAACGGCGACGGCATCTTCGGTCGAGCGGTTGGACCGATATGCAAACTGGTAGGGGTCCGGGGGGGGGGGATACATCAAAAGGATACATCACACTCTTAAAATCTCAGAATCACTTGCCTGAATATCAGGCTGTTTGAGCCTTTGGTTGTCCCTAACCTGTAGAAGTTTACCACTCCAAATAAGATCCTTCCCCACCCCTAAATGGTTTAACTTCTGTCCAAAGACCTTCTTCCTTGGACCTCCCCCTACAGATTAGACCACTGTTATTTCAACAAGTCTGAATGTTTGAGAAAACTGATTCAATGCACTGTTTTTGTTGCTACTTTTACTCTGCAAAGCACTTTGGACAAAATTGGATGTTTTTGAGCTCTTCATTTATTTATGTAGGATAGGTTTTAGAGTTTAGATGTTTGGTTTCTAATATGCAAACCTTCATTTTTTCCTTCAGTATCTCCTTTAGCTAGGGAAACACAGAGCTATCCTTTATTCCAAAGAAGGGGACACGAACATCCCATAAAATGCAAGTGTTAGAAACATTTACAAATTTCCATGGAAGAAAAAAAAAACCTTCAATATGAGTCGAATTAGTTTCCCAAAATAAGACTGATGAATAAGAGATTCTCAGGCCAATCAAACTAACTTGACTTTATATGTGTGAATCAAAAAAGAGAAAGGTAAGAATAAACAATTTGCAGTTATTTAGTCTTAACTTAAGAATCAACACTATTTTTTTTTTAATCAATGTATCCGGAACTTACAAATGTAATTCAGACTTTGGTTCAGATCTTATCTTCCTTTATGGCCCTTGAGTTCTCATATTTGGGTTTGGCTTTCGACAGCTTTAGCAGAAACACATTTTAGGAAGAGTATTTATGAGTGTGAAAGTTCTAGTTTTGCAACATGCTGATGGAAAAGGGCTTGTGAAGACTAAACAATATTCATTCAAGTTTTTAAAAAAAAAAGTTATGTTAAGATAGTATAACTGTCAACAACATAATAACTTACAAAGAAAATACACTCAATTAAAACTGAACACTTGTCCCAATCAGAGGCCATAGATTTTCAGAGCACAGCTGAAGTATCTCACAGAAAGTTAAAGACCTTGGTAATGAAATTCTGAGAATCTTTCCCTCAGTTGTCAGAGTTTTCACAAAATAATACAACAGGTAGGCACGGTGTGAGAGATGCAGTTTCATTTGTATACTCTGCAAACAGTGTAGCTTCTCCAGCAGAGACCTTATCCAAAACTTGTCATTTCCTAAAACCCTATGAGTTGTGACGACATAATGCAGTTGATGTCCTGTGGCTGTGTCTGAGGTTATCCAGTGAGGTCTAGATTGAGTAAGTTTTTGCTAAAAGACAAAGGGTGAGTTTGAAGTTTTTGATCAATGTCACAGTTAAAGTCAGAGATGAATGCAAGAAGTTTTGCTAATGCAACAGCAAACAAATCTGAAGATATTACAAATACTAAAGACACACGACCAAGCTGGACAATGTTGCAAAACTGCAGTGTAGTGGAGCTCACCTGGTGGTATCTGGATCTTTCCTGTGAGGAGAGGGGAAGCCACCTGAGGCAGTCGAGGGAACGTGTTGACTAGCTGTGGAGGTGATGCCCGTGGTATTATTAACACTCTCCTTCCCGGGTTTGTGGCTTGGTTCAATGTCCCTGAGCTCACAGCTGCTTTTAAGACCTGTGGTGTGTTGTTAGCAACTGCTCCCCGTGCAGTGGCCACCTTTGCTAGAACTGTGACAGATGAAGAAGGCTGAAGCTCTGGGGCTGAGACTATAGAGATGTTCTGGTAGCCCCGGCCAGCAGGGATGACTTTAGGTGGGGCAGAAGCTGTGTTTACCCCCGGGACAGGTGAAGCGGTGGGTGGATACATGCCAGTGACAGATCCACATTTTGCTGAGACCTGTAAAGTCTGGACTTGCATCGGTGTGTTTCCACCTCCCAAAGATGACACACAGGACTCCGACCTCTGATCATTAACATCCGACTTTTTTGTGGCCATAATTACTTCTAGAGGGAAGGAGAGGAGAAAGAAAGACACACAGAGAGAGAGACAGAGACAGAGACAGACACACACCCACCAACAGCGTCAGTGATTAGTTTTTCTCTGTGAAAAATCGCCACTAATAAATAATCCATAAAAGACCCCCGAAGTAGTACAACTAGTGGTTACAGTTAGCATGTTGTACCCCATTTCTAGACCACAATTTTGATTTGTTTCAATGATTAAAAAAAAAACAAAAAAACAAGACTGTTCAACATTCAGTTTGCCGACTCAACTCAATAGCTAGTGTTCCCGCCTGGTTGCAATGTCGTGAAGATAGTAGGCTAACGAGAAGGAAACTCTGCAAACCATTTCTGAATTAAACCTCCGTTAGAGTTGCGTCTGCAAATGTTTACATCCTCATCCTGACTAAGCCTCATCCATAAAGTTGACTCAAGGAGAAATGCACACACACACAAACTGACTCACCTGCAGCACCTGTCCACAGGGTAGCGTGGGGTAGTGGGCACGTGCTGTGAGACAGGGCCCGTGCTGCGTTTGCGGTACTCAGTGAAAGTCCGCGCACCGTGAACAGGAAGCTCCGCTATGACCGGACAAAGAATGGGTTAGTCAGTGAATTAGTGGATTGAAATCTGTCATTTAGGACGTACAAGGAGATGTACTGACAAGGTCAACTCGAAAGGAGTGTCCCACCTGTTAATGGCACACAGGTGGGCTGCTTTATGTATTCAATGCACAGCATTGTAAGTAGGCCTGCACTAAGAAAATGTTCTAGGCCATATCTACAAAACAGTGAGGAGATGTTTGCTGTCAGGCTGATCGGTAACTACAATTGTGTGAGACTAACATGCGGTGAAAGAGTGAAAGTGTGGGCGTGGTAGAAGCAATATCATATAGTTAGTGAACCCCTGAACATACGTAATATATTTTATTTCCTATTTATTTATCTACCTTTTCATTCATCCATTTCTTTATATATTAAGCCTATTAATTATTTTGCAAGATTTAAAGATTGGTGCACAGTGCAGTTACTGAAACATTCGATGAGGTTTATTATTATTAATAATAATAATAATAATGATAATGATAATGATAATAATAATACATTTTATTTGTAAAGCGCTTTTCACAAACTCAAAGACGCTGGTTTAAATAATAATAATAATAATAATAATAATAATAATAATAATAATAATTATTATTATTATTATTATTATTATTATTATTGTTGTTGTTGTTGTTGTTATATCATTAATATTATTACTTTAATTATTATTATTATTATTTTATTATTATTATTACTATTATTATTATTACATAAATTAAATATCTTATATTTACATTAGACGGACGTGCAGAACACTTTGCCTCAATAACAGACATTTAACTGCATGAAACAACATTTCCTGGGACAGAAACAGCACAATTGGAAAGAATGACTCCAAGACATGCTGTCCCTAATAATGAATTCAAGTTCAGAAATAACTGGCTAGCTGATACAATTAACTATGTCTCTTAATTGACAAATTGATTACCTCGAGTATGGACTTAGTTCAAATAAAGATTTTTTATTATATTTAAAATTATGAAAATTGAGAAATATAACATGTTCCAATGAAAGCATCAATAAATATTATTTCATGACAAATGTGATTAAGACAGACTGTTGGGGTCAAGAATTGAAGTTCAAAAGAACCTGGCAGCTTTGGATGTGGTCGACAGGCATAGGGTACCCCCCCCCCCCCCCAAAAAAAAATAAATAAATAAAAAATAAAAAAAAAAAAAACCCTCCTAAGTCCTTTTCCTATCCTCTTCTCCCTAACCCAGTAGTAAAATGTGTGAAATAGGAGTTAAGGAAGATTATCTGACTGCTCTCAAACTCCGCGAATGTCCCTGATATCAAGTAAACATACTGAGTAAAAAACAAAATCTACTACAGATGGACAGTAAACCCTTACCATCACTATACATAACGTGAGAATTCAGTGATAAGTGTGACACCTACAGGTGTTTACAGGTAATGAGACAGAGTGAAAACACCTAAATGTTTCATATAAGTGACTTTAATCCTTTATTTGACTGCATTTCCGTCGTGAAATCAGTTCCTGTTTGTTCTATAAATATATTTTGTAGTCCTCTGGTTATTGGAGCTATCTGAACCTAAAAAGGACAATTGGAACAGACCATAGACTGTATGGAACAGACCCATGGCTGCGTTTTATTTATCAGTCACTTTACTGCCATCTGCTGGACAAACTGCTGGCTGTGGTTGATGGTCGTGATGAATCCTGTTGCGAAATGATAAATAGATTCATTTTTATGAATCTTGGAATATTTCGTCATGAGCTGATCCTAACTGCTCTGGATGATCAAAGTGTCAGGAAGGACATGCCATGGCTGACCTTCGCACTGACCCCTGTGGTCGAACATGCATTCACCCAAACAGGTGCCCTTTGCTTGATGTAACTCTTCATAAGTGATCTTCTGGGGCACTACTTAAAGAAAATCTCGAACCTTCTTTGTTTTTATTTCACACTTTTCATGGCCCTGTTGCTAACATTTATGTGCATTTTGAAAAAGCAAATCAACTTTTCTCTTCATTCCCTCCTCAACAGTTTATGAAATAATGGCAACTGTGCTTTTCATCAATATTAAGTCATTTTAAAATGAGACTTACAAGTTTTCAACTATCTTTTTCTTTTTTTTAATCTATCTTTAAATTTGAAATGTAACTATTTGTCTATAAGAATGTAAACTTGGAAATAGAAATGTGTGTGTTCATAAGTGTTTGTGTGTGTGAGAGTTCTTACAAACACATATTTAAAACAAAACAGAAAACAAAAAAAATTAATAGTGAAGGATTTTATTTAATTATTAGTAAAATGTTGTATTAAAGAGTTTGGGGTAGTTTTTATTCGTATTTCACAAGGACTATCTTACAATTACAATGAGAACAATGAGCAGGAACTTCAACAATAAATCATTATGCTTCTTTTCTGTATAAATGTCCTGGGAACCAAAAATGCATCATTTACATGTTGTGTCCCTTTTCGCATTTTACTCGGCATTGTCACGAATAATTAGTCAGCTTGTGTGACACCCCCCCCCCCCCCCCACACACACACACACACACAAGCGCGCACGCACGCACGCACACACACACACACACACACACACACACATAATCATGCTTTACATCCGTCCTTCCAGCAAGTGTAAAACTAACTCTTCATCTTCAGCCAAAGACAGCCCAGTGTCCAGGACTCTGTGCTCATCATCTCCTTGCCTCACCCTTTTCTTCTTCCCCACAGTGAGCTCCTCCTCTTCATTGTCACTGTTCCCACTGTCATGGTGGCGTTTAGCTGGCCTTGGCTGATCCTCCTCTTCATCTGAGTGTTGTGCATCAGGGTCTGGCAATGTGCTGGGATCAAACTCATCTTCACTGTGGTTGGCCAGGTAAGCCAGCACCTCATCCTCCTCCTCCTCTTCATCTGATTTCCTTTCATGCTGCTTGCTCGCTGCCCTCTTGGCTGCCTTTGCCTTCAGTCTCTTTTCTCTGTGTTTGGCTTTCACTTTGCGGCTGTACTCCTGCTTGTCAAACTCCTGGTCCTCACGTTTCAACCTCTCCTTGGCCTTCTCCACATTGATACCCGAAACCTCCTCCAGCTCCTCTTCATCTTCACAAGTCACTGTCCTTTGGACCGGTGGCCACAGTTGTACAGCCTCTCCTTCTTCATTGAATGTCACTTTGGTGTTGACTTGAAACTTTCTCTTGAGGACTCTTTTGACATCTGTAAATTTTGTCTCTTTTTCAGTTTTCTTTTGTGAGACCTGGACAGGCTCTGAACTCTCTTCATTCTCAGTCAGATTGAAGACATCTTTCCTTTTGACTGTAAGCAAGTCAAAGTCTCTTAGATCATCATCGTCATCACTGTTACCTGCTCCCATTACAGGCGACTGACGTGACTCCTGATCCTGATCACTTTCTTCACCGTCACTTGAATCTTCTGACTCTGAACTCCGAGTGTCCTCATGAGGATTCAGCTTAGCCTTCAAACTCCTCTGCTCTTCTTCTTCTTCAGACAGCTCTTCCTCTCTCTGTCCTTCTTTTACAGCCATTTGTGCCTGAGCTTTACTTAAGAAGCGCACTCTTGGAGCAACAGCCAGGCCAAGAGAAAGTGCGTATTCCTTGATCTGAAGTTTGAAGACATCAAAAACTTCTCTGTTCTTCATCAGGTAAACAGAGCGCAAGTAGGAGACAAAGCACCTCTGAGCTCTCTCCTTCTGCTCCTTTTCCTGGGCCAGGAAGGCCTCCAGCTTCTGCTGCACACTCTGCACTTTGTCTGCATTCACCTGCAATCAACAGAATAGCGCAGCTGATAAAGATGTCTGTTGTCTACAGCCTCTTACTGTTAACACCAAAGTTTTTACATTTGAATTACAAAGATGTCCTGATGACTGCAGAGGTAATACCACAGTCCTATATTGTCATACTCACATACTCTGAACACCTTATTGATTTGTCTTCTTAAATTGGACCTTTAAGATTAAGTTATTTTAGCTATTGCCTAAAACTTTAAACGTTTATCAATTTAACTCATCAGATTCAGACTTGATAATAATGTACACACCATGCACATGCAGTTTTTAACATATACTGAAGACAAAAGACAGCTGTGACACAAGGCCTGGTCATAACATTTTGTTCTGTGAAAATGAATTTTAATCTCTGTGAACTATTCTCCATGGCACTGTAATGCTACTGATATTTCTATGCAGCATTTATTAATTCAAAGTTGTACTTTGACATGTTATTTAACAATAGAGTTTTAAATAAAACAGTCAGGCGGATGCACAGACTAACATTGCACATGACATTACAGCAGCACAGCTGATAAAGGACAAAAACTCTGTCCAAAGAAAGAGGGAAGTGTTTGAAAAGATTGTAAGGATGGTATTTGTGAAAAATGATGCGACAATACAAATCATTGAGTTTAACTTAAGCACAATATCCATGTCAAGATGAATAACAAAGTCATTCTTTTTAAGAGATAACAGCTGCACTCAAGCTGTATGACAATCTAAGAAGGGGACTGTTGTTTCATTACATTTTTTTATCAATAACTGGTGGTGTGTAAATCTTTCTCATTCAGTGGGATAGGGGAGAGAGCCTGTTATTTACTGAGCGCTGACCACACACTGTGAGAATACATTCAGACACACCTTGTTTTACTGTCTGCTGAGTGTATATTATTGTGACACTGTGGGCCTGTGAGTTCTCACCTGGATTTTATTGATGGGAACCTTTTTCTCCTGCAGCTGTTTGATCATGCCTTTCTCTTCTGAGGGAACCAGCAGCAACAGGGCCTCTCCACCCTCCTTGTACCTGGCAGTCCGCCCCACCCTGTGGATGTAGGTATCTGCATCCTCTGGACAGTCAAACTGCAGGACCCAGTTAACAGCGGGGAAGTCGAGGCCTCTTGCAGCTATGTCAGTGGCAAAGAGTACTGCATTCTGCTTTTTAAGGAAGTCCCTATAGACCTCTACTCTCTTCATCTGCTGCTGTTTGCCATGTAAAGCAAGGATGGGCATACCGGGTCTGAGGCGACAGAAGGCCCGAAATAAGTACTGAACCTCCTTGCAGCAGGCAAAGAAGACAATGATCTTCTTTTGGAGATGGCTCCTGATGAATGAGTAGAGCATGTTGACCTTCTGGGCCAGATCACACACCACATAGTTCTGCTCAAGCGTGGCTGGTGTACTGAACTTTGCCTTCTCGTGAACCCAGACATACTCTGGGTCTTTGAGGCTGAGTCGGGCCAGGTCTTTGACGGACTTTGTCTGAGTGGCAGAGAACAGCAGCGTCTGTCGTGACTTGGGGAGATTCTCCACGATGGCGTTCAGTGTATCCGCGAAGCCCATGTCTAGGATCCGGTCCGCCTCGTCCAGGACCAGCATGTGAAGGCTGGAGGCGTGGAAGGTGGCTGTTTGGTCCATATGTTGGAGCAGCCTGCCAGGGGTGCAGATGACGATGTTAGTGCGGTGGATCCTCTCAGACTCGTTTTTCAGGTCCTTTCCGCCGATAACCAGCCCCGCAGAGAAGTCGTGGTTTTTGCCCACTTTACGGAGGACCTCAAAGGTCTGGTAGGCGAGCTCCCTGGTGGGGGAAATAATAAGTGCACCAAGGCCATCCATGGAGCTCCACTGTTGGCGGTAGAGACACTCCAGCACTGGTATAAGAAACGCTAAAGTCTTCCCAGAGCCCGTCTTAGCCGCTCCGAGGACATCTTTGCCTCTTAAAGCTGAGCCGATGGTCTGTCTCTGAATCTCGGTGGGCTGTCGGTATTGAGCCTCCTGTAAACCTAACAATGTCTTCTTTGAGAGAGGGAAGTCTGAAAACTTCACTGCTTCTTTGGCGTTGATATCACTGTACCTGCTGACGAGCCCGGCGATGTACTCCCGTTCAACGAGCCACTCAGGCTTCTTCTTAGTCTGAAACCTCTCTCGCTTCACCTGTGCTTTTTTCCTGTTGTACTTTTTCTTCCATTTCTCAAAGTTCTTGACAGGATCGGCGGGGTCTTTGACCTTAGCTGCTTTAGATTTCTTCATAGCGGCATTCTGACCCCTTTTCTCCATGATTAATCATGTACAGTACGAGGAAAAAAAGAGTCAAACACGTAGAGGTGTGGGCCCACTAACACAGCGTGGAGAGGACGGCCCGTCGCGTTTGATATGACCTCATCATCACGCGACACAGTGCTAGGTTTTTTTTGCCCTGATCTGTAACTGTCAGGTTACAGTTCATTTTCCCATAACTATTTACTTGGTGTTTGTTACGACATTAATTGTTTAATCTTGCTCTATAAGGCAGGAATTTATAAGAGCTCTAGTTGTTAGTTAATTGGTATTAAGGACACTCCTTTGATTTGAAAAAATAAAAAAGTCGAGTCAGTCACGTCTCTGATGAAAAAGGAGAAGTCCACACCAGATCACATGCCGCCTTGAAAAAATTGGACACTAAAGTTCTCTCAATGCGAAGTTTCAGAATAAGAGCTAGGATTTTTTTTTTCACATTTTCACGTAATTTCACCGTTTATTATTATTATTATTATTATTATTATTATTATTATTATTATTATTATTATTATTATTATTATTATTATTATTATTATTATTATTGTTGTTGTTGTTGTTGTTGTTGTTGAGGTTGATGACGACAGGGCAACTGCTAATTAGCTTACAGTTTTATGTTATTTGTAATTGCTGATGGATCAGTTCGGAGTGGTGGTTCAAAGGATTGAGGATTTTGATCGATTGGCAGTAAGTTATTGACATTTTTGTCAGAAAAATATATTGGTTTGATAACATTATTCTCGTCATAAAATCATACCCTGTCGCCTTGGAACGATCCATTTTCGTCCTTTTGCGTGATGAAGACCTCATGTTTTTGCATGAAGACAGGGTTGCTTTGAACGTTAACGCTGTTTGACATGTTTTATTTTGGTAGATGTAACCGGAAATGTTCTTACGGTCGTTGTGTGTCCATCTAACACTTCTCCGACACAGCAAGACAGATGATAAACAAGTAGAGAGACAGTCTATATCAGACTATTTCAAGCCAGTGTTGTTCTTCTAAGGATCACCTACAGAAGTGCAGTCCCTATGCTACACAAGGCATGGCAGAGAGACAGGACAATGAGGTAACATGAGCTTTGAAACCTTGGCGGCACAGGGGTTTCCTCAGTGTGAGAAAATATGGCATATACTCTGTCTTTTTTGCCAGAAGTCAGCACAGGCCGATTTAAGAGAACACAGAGATGAAAACAGTCGCTTGTCAGTCGAGCTGGGCTGAAATCTGGAAACGAAGTTCTGTTAGCGGTTCAGTTCAGTACCCAGCAGCTAGCAGCGACTGAGGCTGAAACCTGAGCATGAACACCGGTCAGTTTAGCTCGGGAATAACATCAAGTTGGAAGATTTTTCAGGGGGTAAACCTAGTGTAACCTTGCATAGATAAATTTAAAGAGAGTATGTTAAACTGCTAACAGATTCACGTTATTTCAATGTTGCTTCTCATGTCATCTGTATTTCAGTGGAAATCATGATTGAAATGAACTGAAGAGGGAGCTCAAAGATAGAAGTTTGTTTCTCGTCACTGGACTAGGTAGCCTATAGATGCATTATGACAGAGTCTTTAGGGCACTATGCCCTTTGTTTTATTAGTTATTTGGAGGATTTCAAGATTTAACTCGTGAATTATTTGCGAGAACAAAGCGGTAAACATGGAACATGAAAACGAAGGTCTTCTGACATGACATTTCCAGTGTGTGGTTGGCCTGTGTGTCACACTGTAAGGCAACCTTGAGTGCTTTGAAAGGCGGCTATTATAAATAAAATAGATGATTATTATTATTATTAAAGGGGAATATCAGAAGAGCAGCCACCTGAAGAGTTAGGCAGAAAAACAGCAATTTCATTCACTGCCAAAGTCTTAGTTTCTCAGTAACTTTATCAAAAACTGAGACAGACTTAAAGGTTTTTCTTGTGTCAAAAAATGTCTGTTGTGACTATGCAAAACTACACTGCTCTAATCAAGTCCTCGGTATGTTATCCATATCCAGCTCTGATGAATGAGCAGCATTCATTGTGCCTCACTGCAAAAGTCTGAACACTGTCACAATAGTTGTGTGTCTGTTCATAAGGTGGAGGAGGCTGACCAGATCTACCTGCTGATGAAGGAGGAGTATCGGATCTCCAGGAATGTGCGTCTTGCATGGTTCCTTGGTAAACTAAACCAAGTCATCTGGCCAACTTCGAAGCCTGAACTAGTAAGCTATTCCTGACATTTACCTACTTTTTATGTTCTTATGGTGGTCCAGTCACATCAAAATGGAGAAGGACTGGTGGTTCAGTCCTTGGCATAGGTATCTGCAGATTTCTAACATGAAATGTAAGTCAAGCATACACTTTTTGATAAAACAGCATTTTTCAGTTTCTACATCTGATATGATGTCTTTGCTCTATTTTCAATGAAATAAAGGGTTGCAAATAATCAAAACATTGTCAATATTTTCAACAGTGTCCTGATTTTTTTTTTATTGTGGTTGTCTAAATGACATGTCCATGGTACAGAGCTATATTGAAGTCAACAGATGTCTCTGAAATGCCAGAGTTAAAAGAATATAAATGAACTGATAATCTGAAGCTGGAGAAGGTAAATGTGATCATTAGAAAACCACATCAGAGATATTGATATGAAGTCTCTGATGTCCTGTTTGTCTCGCTTTTTATTTACAGCTGAACTCAGAGAATGAATTGGACTTGCTAAGCATCTTACCTAAAGGATGGCAGCTGGAGTTTTCCCCTACAATGTGCCCCTACATATTAATGCCATCCTCCCGGGCCACTTTTCTGGCCCGGAGGTACCGCTTCATCATCGAGCTGGACCTCAGCCCTTCCACGCTGATTGTGGTATGTCTTAAAGGTTACTTGGTGGTTTCTTGGTTTGATCGGTTCAGTTGCAGTCATCTGGTGTCCTCTAATTTTAAAAAGTGTTTCTTATGCTATTTTGAGATCAGAGAGTATGAAATCAAAGTACAGTCACCTCTCAACATTAACGTCCGTACTGCATATTCTCATTTCTGCTTAGAAAAAGTAGACCAAAGGTTGCAACTGAAAAGTCTGAACAGTAAAATATATCATGAGATGACTACAGAACAGTGGGACACCACATTACTGTTATGCTAGTTTACCTCATATTCAAAGCCAGTATGAGGAATTTACTAATGTGGACCTGCATCAGCCCACGACTGACATCCTGTGCATCATCACTGAAATTCTTACAGTCTTCACGTTTATCATTATAGATCTCAAACCAGAGGGTGATGTGCACTGGTGAAGAAAAGCCTCTAAACTAGCCTCCACAAGTGAATGAGCAGATAAATGAATTCTTTGTCTGAAGTTCTGGCATGTGTCTGTTTTTGTTTCCAGGATGACAGCACAGGAGAGATGATCTTTGACGGGGTGTTTCACGCCTTGTCAAGGTGTCTAGCTGGTCTGGCCCAACCATTTAAAGTCCCTGGAACTGATGAACTTTTCAAACCCAAGATTTTCATCACCATCTTGGTTTATTCATCTATCATTGGTCTCACTTCTCATCAGGTCATTACATTGTTTTCACACCAATCTTTTTAGGTTCCTAGTAATGATTTAAGAGCTCAGGAGTCTTGGACTACAGGATGTAAAATGAGCACATAAGAGAGAGAAAAGATCCAAAAGGCTTCTTGTTTTGGGGTTGAAGGTTTCAAGTGTGAAGGCTGTGTCTGTAAGGGTTTCTGATGGTGTCTGTGTGTAAAAGTGAGGCATTTTGTCTTTATTTAAACTCAAACTAAATTAACTAAAAATTAAGGATATATTAAAGTTATCCTCCATTTATGCGAGTCCTTAAGGGCAGTTCTGTTTTTAGTTGAAGCTTCAGAAACATGAACTTGAATCATTTTCTTCACAGCTCCAGATTCTTAATACTTGAAGTGTATTTGTTCACAGGATGGGCATTTTAGCATGTGTAGAAGATGGTGAAAATTTGAGAGAACATGTGTAACTGACTCAGAGTCCAAATGCTGACTGACTGAGCTCCTACAGTCATACACCTGAGAATGACGATCTTTCAGAACTCACTTTCTTATTAGCAGAGACAGTAAGAGAGATGGTCTGTTAGACTCTTCTGACTGTCAGCAGACTATATCTGCTGTCACTTGTGAACTCTGATGTTGGCTTTAAGTGAGCCACTCGTGAAGTGAAACTTTTCTGATGTCATGTTTCTGTGCTCTCCAGAGATGGAATAAGTAGTGAGCAGTTCGTACTTAGTCGTGGAATAAGAATAATCTCTGTTATCACTTTATAGTGAATAGACTCACGTTGTTGTGATTCCCTCAATAAATCTAGTTTCTGATGTTATAGCCGTTCAGAGTGTCAGCCTCACTCCTTAACTTTCATTTATGTCATGACTGCAGTCAAAAGTCACCAGCCTGACAGTTAAAAAATTCTTGTTTTGATGGTTTTTTGGAAATGCTTTAATTAAATCTGTTTGCTCTTGTAACCCATGCACACTTGTGTTCTAAATTCTCTTCTGCTATAACCTGTTGTGGTCTGTGCTGCTAAATTTTTAAACTCAGGGCCACTTGTGAACTTTTAAAAAGTTAGAGTATAAGGCTCTTATTAGTTTCCATGTGATTCATACAGCTGTTGTTGTTGTTGTTGCTGTTGTTGCAGTCATCTGACAGCCTTTCACTTTCCTTCAGGTTTTGGTACAAGGTTGTCAACTTGACAGGATGGATCTCGATGAGTTCCTGCATCAGATCTATCAGCAGCTCAGAGCCGTCGAAAACAACATTGCACAAGTCCTTCATCAGCAGCATGAACAGGTAAAACTGAGCAAAGTTAAATTATTTTAATGGGAGATATGGAATGTTGCCTATCAAATGACATATGTAAATTACAAATATCATAGCTTTCATAAGTAATTGCATTGCATTGAAATTATTTTTTTAAATATGAATTCTCATATAATTAATACACTTATAATTGTGTCAATGTCAGCATGTTAATACACTGGGGGATATTCTCCATTCTTTTCTCACCATCTACATATCAAATATGCCTACTCACATTAACAATGATAACTTACATGAAGTACCACATGTTTATCTAAAGATGATTTGTTTAATGGTTACTGCTTTCTGAAATCTGTCAAAATAGGTCTAAGCTGTTGCACTGTGTGTCATTGTTACGAAAGGATACAGGATAATACCTAGCCCATACAAAACAAAGGTTCCTTCTCCTGCAGCTAAATGCTGAAATTTCCTTGGGTGAGGCACCAAACCCCAAATCACTCCTGGTATCATTGTCAGCGGAGTATGAATACTTATAAGTGGAGAAGTGGTCTTAAAGACATAGATCTCTATACCACTCCAAGTCTCCTCATCATCAACCACCACACTCAAAGTTTAGGGAAATTTCTAATTTAAAAAATGTTACCCTAATGATAATGATAAAAATAATAAAAATAATGACAATGCTGATAATTATAATAATAATTATAATAATATTGGTAGTAATAACAATATTATCAACAACCTGCAGTAACCACAACCCCAGCATGTATCACATCCCACACCCAGCTAAAATTATTTGTTTATTAATTACTTTATTTATTCCCCAGACTTGAATGGTTTTGTCTCAGACCTCCCAGTGTTAGAGCTGGCTCACTTTGCTGACTCCTCAACTGAGACCAGTTTTTTATGACCGACCTGAGAGCAGCACCTACAGTTCATATTTTTAAACGCAAACTCGAGGCCTTCCTTTTTAGTCTGGCTTTTTAGCTGATTTTTGTTTTATTCCTCTAGCCTCTCTTTTAGTCTACTCTTTTTATCTTGTGTATTTTACTCCAGTTTAGTCCCAGAATTATTATTTTATGTTTTAAAACTATTTGTTTATTTTCTTTTATTGTTTGATTTAAAAACAGTTTTATTGTATGATATTTTATTATTACTCTTTTATTTCATTTTATTTTTTTATTATTTTATGAGTTTCCTATATCTTGTCATAGTTTTATCAGTTTAGTTTCAGCTCCAGTGTTTCCCCATTTTAGTTAAAGATAGCGTTTCCTTGGTCCACTGGGGCTTCCTGCTGAGCCCTGACTTGGTGTCCCAGGTCCCAGTGTGTGTGTGTGTGTGTGTGTGTGTGTGTGTGTGTGCGCATGGGTGGGTGGGTGGGGGGGTCTCTGTTAAATGCGGGCTTTGAGGGTGGGTGGGGGTGGGGTTTTGCAATTTGTATTTTATCTTGTATTTTATTCGGTATCCCCTGATCCTCTCCTTCTTCTGTTCTTTAATGTACAGCACTTTGTGATACAGTCCATGTATGAAAAGTGCTCTATAAATAAAGTGATTGATTGATTGGTTGACATAATGAAAGCAAATCTATGTGCAGCAAAATATCCGCCCTGTATACAAATGAGCATAATTACAAATAACACCAGATTTACCTATACTGGTGCTGGTAGCAGCATGCAGTTAGAGTGAAACTTTTAAAGTCTGCTAAAAGTAGGGGGTAATTACAAGGCATGCAGTCTTCATTTTGGTCAAAATGAGCTGCGATTTGTTAGCATTTAAGGAAGACAGACATATTTAAGAGATCTAAATCACATCTGCCATGTACCAACTCCAAGATAAACTGGTAAAAACACTTTCTCCATTTCCAGCTCATTATCATACATGCATAGAATTTAGCATCATCTGGATTAGAGCTACAAAAATAGTGAGTGTTCTTATGTTTGAATATCAGTGACACTGTATGCTTTATGAGTTTCACTTGGAGACTGTGAGACAAACATAGACCGGCCCTCAGTGGGCCATAAAGTCCGGGTCTATGTGGTCAAACCTGGTCTGTTGCCTGTTTGAACACATAAGTGGAGTTTATCTATTGTACTACAGTACAGAATTGCTTCACTGGGTGTTGAGGATGTTGCTGATAAAATGAAACTCCTAATTGACAATTGACTGTGGAGCCACTCGGTAACCTTTGCTCTCATTGGCTCATATCTTTGATGTAGTGATCGGCTTGAGAGTGAAAATGGGTAAAGGACACGCCCAAATTGCTCAAAAGTGTAATGATCAGATTAACTAGTTGATGTAAAGGAGTGAAATCAAACTTTTGCTTTGTTAGACATGTCGGTGAATAAGTGTTTTTTTTTTTTTTTTTAGCCTGTTGATCCAGATGAAACCTCAGCTGTCCATAGCGACAACCTGGATGAGCAGCCACAAAGAAGGCAAGGAATTTCCATGGTGTCAGCTGATATGGGTCTTGTTAGCATGGTACGCCAAGGCATCCTGGCCCTGCAGCTGCTGCCTCCAAACTCCAGTGCAGGTAGATTTTACTGTAGTAAATGGAGCTGTCATTAGTTACAGTTGTTGGAAGTTCCTCTCCTGATTCCATATTATTCAGATCGATTAGAAAAGATAAATCCTAAAACTGTGAAGCCTGTAGTTATCCAGGACTTAAGTTTTAGCTGCTAAGATGACAGGAGTAGCTGTGTGATAAAGACAAAGAAGCCATCATGGTCTGCAGAAATTCTGTTTTGAATCAAACACTATCATTATGTGACTTTGGGATTAATTGACAGTTGTGCGTTTCAGGAATCATTGTAATCACAGATGGAGTGATGAGTGTTCCTGATGTAGCTGTATGTGAAACTCTGCTGAACCAGCTCCGAAGTGGAACTATTGCCTGCTCCTTTGTGCAGGTAAAGACAATAACATCTGTAGGTTTGTTTAGAGGAAGTGTGTAGCTTCAACTTCTACAATAACACAGGCATCAGAGATATGTTTTATTTAGACACATGAATACAAGCTACAAAAATAACCTGGTAACTCTTTGCTCTGTGGGTCAAATGTTACATCCTAAGCATGAAACACACCAGGGCAGAATTAATTGGAGTATATTTCATCATATGGGACACTTAGTTTATATAGATGTTATACAGGAAAAATTCCTAATAAAAAAAAAGAGAATCTTGCTCTTTTAAAAAAATAAAAAGGAGGACACGTGTGTTGAGATGTAATCGCTCTGCTGGTCGTTGTTTTTCTCACTATCCAGGTTGGCGGTGCCTACTCCTATGACTGTAGCTTTGGCTACATTCCCAATGTAGAACTGATGAAGTTCATCTCATTAGCTACCTTTGGTTCATACCTGCCAAGCTGCCCCGAGGTGGAAGTTAACTGCCAGGAGATGAACGCCTACCATAAGGCCTTTCTGACCTATTCTTTCCTCAAGACCCCGGAGTCCATGAACTCAGAGTACTTCTGTGGTAAGACAAATATGTATGTGGGGTAAACCTAGACTCCAAAGTATCCGAGTTTCCCTGTGCGCTGGTTTTTCTTTTGTCCTGTTGAATCAAAATGTCCAAAATTGACTGATTGGCTTTTTGTTATAAAGCTGATTTAAATATAACATTTGTTTAGGCCCACAGAAAGAGAAGAAGAATACAAGAGCAGTTTAACATCTTAAAAATGCTAAGAGATTATGATCAACAATAAAAACATCAATGATTCATTGATTTAATACTTAAGCTTTAAAGGACCCCTATGGCCTCCACAAGCCTCCAATAATGTTGAATTATTTAAATATACTGATGCCAGCAGTCTACAACCATCGTCTATCAATTATAGTCATGTTAATGATGAAGTACATCTGCACTGATATCACCAATGTTTTGTAGTTTCCCAGCACAAACTGTTCAATGAGCACTTGGTGTCAGCCAGCGGGAACCCTGCTCTGGTCATGCGAAGGAAAAAACACACAGAAAAGGAAGTCCATGCTGATTTAATCAGTGTGGTGTCTGTGCGACTGAGAGAAGGCTACACCATCAGAGAGATCAGCCTCACCAAAGGTAAACAAAGGGCTTTCCTTCAAAGACTCAGAAGCTTCAGTAATCCTGGTCCAAGCTGATGGTTTCTTTTGACACGTGTTTTTCTCCCGCTGCTTTTTGCTCTTTAACCTATGAAAGCATGAAATACTGCACCTTACCCTTACAGTCATTAAGTGCATTAATATAACTGTGTCTATGTGTGTGTGTATGCACATGTGTGTGTGTGCATGCATGATTTGGACAGCTGTACGGCAAAGGCAGTAATAAAGTAACTCTAAACATGTTTAGGCGGGACTCAGCTGGAGGTGAAGCTGGTGCTACTATGGAAACACAACATGCATATAGAGTACTTGGCAGCTGCTTCCTGGCCATTGGATCCTGCCAAGAGAACCACCAGGGTAGAGGTGACCATGGAGGGAAGCTACGACATCCTGCATGATATCAGTTGCACCCAGAGGAAACCCATCACGAGTCCATACCGCACCTCTGTCATTCGGCGCTTTTGGAACACACTGCAAAGGTACACGCTCCTGAAGGCAGAAGTGTTAACCAGCAATTCAATAAAACTAAGACAGACCTCTGTCTCAAGTGTAAATATTTACAGCACTTTTGATAAGAATGAACTCTACACTTTTAAAGCTGGATGTTTGCTGTGTTTGTTGTTTCAGTATCAATCAGACCGATCAGATGTTGGTGCACCTCCAATCATTCAATTCAGGTCCTGAGAACTACATGATTCCTGAGAGCACCAAAAATGGAGTTCCCCTATTCTACATCCCTCCTGGCTCCACAACTCCTGTACTATATGGACCTTTATCAATCATACGAAAGCAGTGTTGTGTTTTAGATAAATTAATAATGGTCATTAAGATGTGTGATGTAAAGATGAGTGAAGAATACGCTCTGATTGCACTCAGTAAATCTTTCATTTGATATTATGAGAGCTAGTTTACATTTGCATTATTGCAAACAGGCCTGCTGCTACTTAGTTTTCACTGTATAAAGCTGTATAATGAGAAAAAAGAACATGGACCTTATCCATAAAACACCAGTATTTTCACTGTATCAATTCAAGCTCAAACTGTTAATGACTGCTGAACCTTTTCTCTGTTTGGAAACCTACAACTTAATAACTGTCTTTTTTAGGTCTTGTCATTGCAGCACGGTGGATCCAAAGACTCCTCTCAGTCCCAGTTTGCTTCTTACTGGAAACCCATCCTCTCTATGGATGCCAACTTCTGGCAGAGATGGCTGCACATGCATCGCATTGCTATCATCCTGGAACATGACATGTGAGAGTTACAAAGTTGTAGTGCAAAGCTAAAACTAAAAAGTAAAGCAGGACATTTTGACCATGCTTGAACCAGAACCATAGAAAAAACAACACCAACTCATGATTTCTGATTTATAAAGCTCAAAAACCACTGTATTTCTTTTATTTTGAATCATTGTGTCTCTCCAGGCCCATCCCCAAACATTTACATACAGCTGGAAACAACGGCCGTTACAGCACCATTCAGTGTCGGATCTCCCACTCTGCCCTCACATCACTGTTGAGGGACTGGAGTAGCTTTGTGCTGGTCGAGGGTTACTCATATGTTAAACTGATATACAGGTGAGGCAGAAGGTTATGGTTTGATGTTCATTCAAAACTGATCAATGGTGTCAGCTGTTTTAGATCCAATCTCAAAACAGCTGATAATTATTCCAGTATCCGGTAACTTCAATTTCTCTAAACTAGATAAACTTCTTCTTTCGTGAGCTCACTGTCCCATAATGTCATAAAAGAAACATAACTTTTGCTGTTGTTATACAAAGTATGAAATCTTTTTACAGTTCATCTGACCAGCCACCCACCTCCTTCTATCTGGTCCGTCTCATATCCAAGACTCCATGTATGGTCCTGCGCTTAGGTTTCCCTATTGGTACACCAGCACACATCAGAAACAAGGTACTAAGAGAGAAGCATACAAGGACACAACATTATATCTGTAAATAACACAACAGCTGACAGAAATGTTAGGACATGAAAATGAAAATGTGAACAGTTTCAAAAGCAGGATCTTAAATGAAGTGTGAATGGGCAGAAAGGCCTAAAGAAGAGCGAGGAGTTTAGCAACTGTTGATCTGTCTAATGTGCTGTTTTGGACTCCCATTCATATTAGGACATTATTGATAACAATGACTCACAATGCAATAAATATACTTATAGTTTATAATGATGTATCCGTTCCAGGCATATCTTTTACTAAATAAGTCACTACTCAGCTTCAAGCATCTGTCAGTCATCTTTGGGCAGGTTGATAGTGATCAATGATCTGCTCTAGAAGTTGAGCTAAAAACAACTGACAGGTAAATCAGTCTGAATGTCTGTTGATCAGTTCAACCTCATTTTTAATGTCTGTGAAGACAGCATGTCTTAAAGTCTCTGAAATATTCCAAGAATCTAAGTGATGCTTTTTTTTCTCTGTGGTCTTCACTGTTTGCACATTTGTCTTCACTGTCAGATTGTGGATGAGTTGAGAGAGCAGATCCTGAAACTCCGCTTCCCCCACCGTGTTCAGAACAAAGAGGCAACTCCAAAGACTAAAAGGAAGATTGTTGGCCATCCATCGCCGTCCAAATCTCCTTCCATCCCTGCTCCTAAACCTGCACTTTCAGACAGACAATGTGTGGTGGTGCTCAATAAGCCTTTAGAAAAACTTCTCATAAGGTCAGTACATCCTTTGACGAGGCATCAGTGACTCAGTAACTGCTCTGACATCAGCCTCTGTAGGCTTGTGACAAGAAGTGAGGCTTACAGTGATCAGGAAGAGCAATTTTCTCTGGACTGGTGTTAATGAAATGAAAACCCGTGTGTTATAGGTATGAAAAGCTACCCCTGGACCTCCGGACTCCTTTCATCTTCCACATGGAGAACTTCCCTCCTCCCTCAAACAATGCCATTCCCCTAAGCATCGCAGCTAACCGGACTGCTTCCTCGACTCTGGCCTCTCTATCACGCTACTTCCTGCACCAGCGCTGGGTGTGGGCTGTGCAAAACAGCCAGGGACTGACTGTGGCCATGCAGGCTGTGGCTCACATCCTGTCCATGCTCTCTGAGTGAGTTGATGCACCATTTTTGATAAGACACTGCTGCCATATTTGGTTGTACTTCAGAAGTACTTCTAATACAGCTGCTCAGTAAGGAGCAAAGGTCAAAGCATTTACCATGTGTCCTTTATGTTTCAAACTCAACTAAACACAGAGGCTGAAGTTTCTGGAAAGAAAGAATTTAAAAAACTTTGATGTGGAATACACACCTGTATGAAATCTGTTCATTCAACCCTTTTCACAGGATCCGCTTATCAGAGGGCTTTCACTTTGCTGCCAGTGGAGACGGCATTGTTAACATGGTGATAGAGCTGCCAATGAAGGTGAAGTACAGCAGGACCTCAAATCTACCAGAACACTTTATATATCAAACTTTCCTGTTTTTTTATTTTCATTTTAAACAATAAAAGTGTTTTTTTTTTAACCATTTCTCTATATTTTACTTTTCATTCTCAGGCTGTGTCCGGAGACACTGACAGAGAAAGTCACTCTTGTATTGTTCAGTACATCCTGTTTCCACCTCACTCCACATCAACCAAGGACAGGTAAGACTCGAGGACCAACTGGACCTTGTTTTCAGCCAAGGTCCTTTGCAGGACTCCGTATTTCTTTCCACCTCTGGTCCATCTCTCCCCAGCCTTCCTGTGTCAATGCCAACTAGGAATCAGAAAAAGTACTCTTCAGTAGGTCACACTCAAAATAAGAGTTTTAGCAGCGATTAAATGAGTATTAACTGTTAAAGTCAAACTCAGCAGAACCAACACATGTTGGTCTGTGTTGATCCTCTCTCCTTTTCCCGTTTTTGCAGACCATCAAAAAAGAAAAAAAAGGACAAAATAAATAATCACTTTACTCTTGTGTGAGTCAGACTTACAGGACAATTGCAGCTGTTTTGGCCCAGCTCCTACAGGACACATAAATAACTTTATGTAGGTTACCTTAGTGTCCAAAAGTTCCGTGACCTGGCCCTGCTCCTAGAGTAACAGATCCCAGGCATTGACTTTTCTGAGTAGAATAAGTTGACAAATCTTTGCTGTAAAGATTGTTGATCTTTAAATGCATTAAGTTTATTTGCAGATGACCTGTGTAAGTGTTTGAGGAGGAACATAATCCAATTTTAGGCTTTCACGGGAAAGCTTCTTCTATTAATTATATATTTCACTGTTAACTCCCTGCAGCGAGGAAATGTGATTCAAAAGTCGGTAACAGTGTTACCTAGTTCATTTGTTGTTTTGACATTTTTCAGTTCTGAAAATGTCCAATAATAACCTTCTAAAGACCCGACTGTCTGTCGCCCCTTAATAAGCTAGTGAAGTGGTAGCTCATTGGGATATGGCCTGTATATCTTGGGATTCACGGTGGCTCTTCTTCACAGCCTGCCACTAAATCTGCAGTTCCTTGTGAGATATTCTGTCCTGTTTGCTCGTACGGTGTCAGTGTTTTTTAACAGGCTGCCTTGTTTCTCGTCTGTGAATCCAGCTTCTCCACTGATGATGACAACGACACTGAAGTGGAGGCTGTAGACTTGGACACAGAGCTGAACCTGGTGACAGAGTGCTGGGTAGAACCACAGAGTGGCACAGTGATGAACTGCATGGAACAGCATTGCTACTTCAAGAACCTCAAGTACCAGGAGATACCTCAAGCAGTGCGTATAACAAGTTAATATAGAACCAGGTCTGATTATTAAAGTGTGGGTTTGGGTAAGAGGGTAACATCTTTGTGTGCATCCAAATATCGTGGAACAGTGGTCAAATCTTTTTAAGACTATCAGATTGTGTTTCATACTTTCTGTCTGTTTTATAGATATTCCCCAGAGATCTGGCCTGTGTGTCCACTATGATGACCTTTGAGTATTTGAGCCAACTTTGTCAGAATAAGGACCAGGTCTGCTCGCTTCCTGCTGGAATGAAGGATCGGCGGGGTAATGAAAAAGTCACTGTCTCCTTAATATTGATATGCTGAGTGTCCCAGCTTCAGCTTGCTCAGACTGACAGCTCCAAATGAGCTCCAAGGTTGATGGTGGACAGATGAAGTTCAGTCATAAAAACAGGCTGTAGAATTGTTAATTTAATGAAGTTTGTTCAGTTGAAAGTTCAAGTATATGAAATCAACAGACTGTACCAACATTCAAATGACCTTCTGAGGTGAGAAGATGTGCTTGTGAGACCTAAACTGATGAAATTAAATGTGTCTGTGTTTGCAGAAGAAGCCTTGGCATCTGAAGAGAGCATTCACATGGTTCCCTTTCAGTTTGACCTCATTCAGCTGCTTCCTAAATGCCAGCAGGTTGAGCTGTTCTTCTACACATTTGGTTCAGGTACAATAGTCATGTATCTGAACAGAGGACTTGAATGAAGCCTTTTTATTCATTTCTTTTCAAATATGTATATTTTTAACTGTTTTAGAAACAACCTTTTTTGTTTACAAGTGAGTCTTCATCTCCAACAGGAGATAACGAGGAGCAGGTCCACAGCTCTCCCTGTCCTCCAAACGAAGTCCTATTGAGCCTGTTCCACAGCAGCCTAGAGCATGAGCTTAGTGACAGAGAGATCTTCCTCACTGAGTGCGACCACGCTGCCTTCATGCTGCACATTTTGGAGCGGGAAAGAGACGGCCATGGGGCTCCTTTCTCCTTACCTGTAATAAAAGGTCAGTACATGTCTCTTATTTGACCGACTCCCACATTACACAGTGACAGGGCTCAGGTGATGACGTTTACCTGCTGTTGTCCTGTGGTCTCAGTACACAGGGTTACCAAAGGGCTCAGTGTGGGTATATCTTAATGTCTCCATTTTGTGTCATGTATCAGAAGAGTGTATGAAGTCCACAGAAAGACACGACACCATGATGTCTTTCCACACCACCTGTAGCAGCAAAGAGGTGATGGGATCAACAAGCACTTTACAGGTAAATCAGTCCTGAGAAGAAAATCTCCATTGGCCTGGCAAAAGGCAGGGGGAGATGAGTGGGGGATACTCTAAACTGATGAATGATCCGATTCATGAATAACAAATAGAATAATAAATGCATGTCGATGATATATGACAGATTCAGGTGGTCCACTGAGTCTCTTTATCTCTTTGTTTAAATGAGTCTACTGGTCCTTACGACTTTACCATAAACATCTACTCTCTCTGCTTCTTACAGAGTTTCAGTAATGCCGACTTTGTGGACGAAGAGCCCCTGCTGGGACCACAGGACTGCTCCACCCCACAGTGGAGGTGCTATGCCAAGTACATCAGCTCACAGCAGATTCTCCTCACCATTCTTCCTGCTTCCTTCACAGGTACACCTTCAGTTTTTAAACTCATGTTCAGCTGTTTGTTTGGTCAAGATCACTCAAAAGTGAGCTCCATTTTCACTTTGCAGATGTTTTAAGGTTGATGGCATCAGGGCTGGAGACAGAGCCTCAGAGTAACATGAGCACACAAGAGGATGATACTCTGACACCCAGCAACAGATCCCAGGCTGACTCCCTTTCTGGTTCCACTAATGGTCTAGAGAAGTCTGAGTCCGGCCTGAATTTGGCCAGTAAACTACGAAGGAGCTCAAGTAGTGGACACTTCCCCATCAGGTCCCCGATACTCTCACCACCTTCCCAGAGCCAAACTGGGAATGTTGAATCTCTCACCCCAGAACACCACTGCTTGGACGACAGAGTGTCCGAGATAGAATCTGGAAACTCAGGGACAGGTCTTTTTATGGAGTTTTATTGTTTTATCGGAGTTAATATTTATATATTCTACTCATACCTGGTATGGGAAAATATTAACTTCTACAACTTTTTCAGATCTCGGAGAAAAAGAGGGAGTCCAATTCTCTGAACCACAGAAAGCAGATTTCCACATCAGCTTCAGCCAGCAGGTTCCTCAGCAGAGTACCAACGACTGCAACCAGCTGAAGTGTCCAGTTTATGTTTACAACTGCTCCCTGGAGCACCTGAAGGAGCTGCTGGTGCATCCCAACTCCAGCCGCCAACCTAAGGACATTTTCTTCAGGTAATAGAAGAGAGAAAAGGCAAGAGCCAGATAGTGACAGAAAATCCAAAACGTGTTGTACAGCCACAGTTGCAATCAGGACAGACCTGAGATCTGGATCTTTGTCCAGCTAATACACTCACTGTAAGCTGATACCTAAATTACAAGAAAAGGAGCAGAGTTCAAGTTTACTGTGAAAGTTTTTACCCACAATTCATCTGCAGTGTGACTCAGATGTCAACGGCGGTGGCTAGTGGAAGTCCTGTTTTTAATGTTTATATGCTTTTCCATTTATTATTATTATTATTATTATTATTATTATTATTATTATTATTATTATTATTATTATTATTATTATTATTAATAATAAAAATAATAATAATAATAATAAATTTTGTTTATATAGAACCTTTCAAGAACAATTGTCACAAAGTACTTCATAATTACAAATTAAAAGGATAAAACAAGAAGACATTGAACAGATTACATAGCAACAGACAATCCTGGTCATAGAAAGGTAAGTCTAAACAAACAGGTCTTTAATTCTTTTCTTTTTTTTGACAGCTGTTAGACCCAGAGGGAGACAGCTCCAAAGTTTCTGTGATACAGTGGAAACTCGGGATAATGATTATTTAACCCACTTATTTTGGTAACATTATGTGAATAAATAGTATTTGATGCCAAGTCTGGATTCACACAGCTCCTCTAGAGGGAAGTTGCTGTAATTTATCCTAAAGTGCACGTGAGGCCTTTGAAGGCTGCTTACCTGCAGTGTTAACAAGTGTAAGAAGACACTACAAGGGCAGTTACATAGAAAAGCACAGACACAGGAGGTACCAGTTAATCTAAATAATAAGTCTTAATAATGACACTCAGATAAATGAGTTGCAGTCTAGTCCTTAATATGTTTGTCTTTGATTGTCTTCATACGGGAGAATAGACCTCGAGATGCTGAATCCTGGGAGCTGACACAGCAGATGAAGCTCAGGTAGCACTGCTCAAACCTTTACTTGTGCTCTCCTTGTTTTTCTGCTGAGGTGTTGTGCAGCTTTCATTGGATACATCTGAGAGGCTGGGATGTGCTTTCTGGAGGAGAATCTCTACCTGTCTGCGCTCCTCCTCAGGCTTATGTTGTTGCGCACAAGTCTTTCGTTTACATGCTTATAGAAGGCTTAATTTCAATGTTCATCACCAAGCATCAACCTGAGAGGGTAAAAAACATTATTTGGATGCCGCAGTCCAAAACTCTGGAGAGTGAAAAGTGAAGTTAATTTTCAGATGGAATACTGAAGGCAGAAAGGTCTCCAAACTCTTCACCACTCCTGATTCATCTTAATTAAACTACACATGCAGTGATTGAAAAAGTCAGAGCAGATGTAATCTTAGCTGATAGATACAGATGTTGTTTTAATGACTTCTTTGTATTCTTTGTCTAATTTTTGATTGAGCTGAGGTTTGGCGTGTTCAAGTGTTGCTAGTCTTTTCTCTTAAAGGCCTTCTTAAATGAAACTTGTCATCTAAACTGCATGTCACTAATCTTTTCAGACTGTCATATTCCCACACTGCACGCTTGTCTTTGAAGCTTGATCACATTTCTTTAATGGAATTAATTAGCTTGTCAGCAGTTGATTGCTTTTGAATGAAAAACGTCTCTGAAGTGTCAGTAGGGTCAATGACTCTCCAGATTTGCACTGTTGTGACGAAGATAGAAGCAGACTGGTAAAAATTGGATATTGTCATTGGTGCATGGAGCGTCATTTGCTACTGTGTGGATATCTGTCAACGGGGCCAATTTTTACCAGTACCAATGATCCACCGATACAGTAGTACACCCCTAGATTTACCTTTCAAATCCAGGAACTGTGACAACCTCAATCAGTTTTATTTATTTTAGTTGAAAATGGTAAATTTTTCATTTTTCTGCAGTTTTAGATTCACTACTGTCTTTACTTTCAACACTAGATCAGATAAGATTAGATACATCTTCATTAGGGGTGGGAGAAAAAAGCATAGTATCACGATATTTTGTTTGGTGATACATATCGTATCGTCTCATTTACCAAGTATCGATTTTTTTCAAATTAATTGCTAATAGGAACTCAAATCTATGATACTGGAAAAATCAAATCAGCTGTTTGTCCAGTGAGGTTGGCAGAGGTGACATTAGAGAGCAGGAGAAAGTTAGTGCAACAAATATAGCAGCACCTGGAGAAAGACATTAGGAATGCAAGCAGGGCACAAATGAAATGGACCTGACACATAAGGTTTACATGAAGTGCTTCATGAAAATAAAATACTGTGTAAATAAGACAAACATAAAGAAAAGACAAATGCTACGTTAGCTAAACAGTTTAAAAATTGTATAAAACGCATTATATTGTATCGCAATACTCACTGTTTTGCAAAATGTTAAAAATCGCAATAATATCGTATCGTGGCCCAAGTATCGTGATAATATCGTATCATGGGGCCACTGTTGATTCCCACCCCTAATCTTCATTTATCCTTTTTGGAAGGTTCTTGAAGAAATTGAAATTACTTTAACAAGTACACACCTATTCCAGATTGAGCTTTATGTGGCGATGCTCTTTGAAAGTTTCATGGCTCTGTATCTGAATGGATTGAGTTTCCAAACAGAATTTCTTGAGAGCGTAGAGGAGAGTGCTGTCGCTGCTTTAGTCTTCTGAGTGAATATGCATGTCGCAGCTCTGGTGCAGGAATACAAGAATACACTTTGCTTCAGATGCACTTTGGCAATGAAGGTCACCTGTTTATGATTCTTTTTTCTGATAAGTGTGTGTGTGTGTACATATATATACTGTTTGTATGTACTGTTTTTAATTGACTTATTACCACATTTATATAGATATATACTCACACAGGCATTTATCAGCTGAAGATCTGCTGTGACTCTCAGGCTTGTTGGCCTCTTTTTCCGTGCTGACTATGTGGAGACCTCGGCGTCTTTAAATCCTCATGTCACCTTGCAGGTCAGTGCCTCAGGACCGCAACAGTTCATCCTCTTGGACAGACCTCCTTACTCCTCCTCACAAACACAAGGAGCTGGCTAACTACTGTGGCCTGCTGCAAGAGCATTACCATCAGTGCTATGTCAAAGGTGAGTCCTCTCCTCAACTTTCCCGATCAGCACCTTGTACAAAAAACAAAAAATGAAGGATTTAAGTGTGTGTCTGTGACATTTTTGACACTCTTATAGGCTAAGAGGTTAAGAAAACAGGAAAATTAAGTTTTCTACATTCTGAACATGTTTGTGTTAAAAATCATCGTGAAACAAGCAGCTGAACAAGCACACATGTACACTTTTCTGTAATGTGACTCATACTTAAGCACCTTGAATAAGTTGAAGGCGGTTTGTTAGCCCCACTGGAGATTCAAGTCCACTGTCACGTCTCATCAGTAATCCATGAAGCAGCGGCTTTTCTCTCTCTCTCTCTCTCTCTCTCTCTCTCTCTCTCTCTCTCTCTCTCTCTCTCTCTCTCTCTCTCTCTCTCTCTCTCTCTCTAAAATGGCAGATGCTTAAGCAGCCTAGGGTCCTTTGTGTGCACATTCCTGTGTCTGAGTGGGAACGGTCACTGACTTCTGTCTAAACTCTGAAAATATAGAGCTTGTTTCAGATTAACTCTACCAAAAAAGTTTCCTGCTGATGGATCATTTGTGTTTCTGCTGTCACTCATTTGCTTTCTGTGTTGTTCAGGAGTATACCGCAGCCTGCAGCAGTCTTACAGCATCAGCTCACAGGATATCCTGATGGCCATGGACTACTGTGAAGAATCCCTGCAGGAGATTGACATCACTTCCTTTGTGCGGACCCTCTGTGGACACATCAGAGGTTTCAGAGAGCATAACAGAGCTCCAGGATGGGGAGGGGATCCCAAACCTCCAAGGAACCTTGCCACCTTCATCATTGGAGAAATTGAGGAAGACAAACCTGATGACAGGGCTTCTATGGCCACCTCATCCAGGTGAGATGATGTACAGTACTTTCATAGAAAATGTTTTCTCAAGATACTTTGTGGAAAGAGCAGCTCTGCACCAACTCCCTCTCCTTTTACTATTTACATTCATCCAACATGAATCCACAGCTGAGCTGGTAACATGTTTGTAACATGATTGGTATAAAAAGTTTCTAAAATTTTAGGATTTTAGTCTTTGACAATTCAAGTCATTTGAGTCATGCTGCTGTTACACATGCAGACTGTGATTGATGACATAGTCAGGGTGGTCCCTGTTTAGTAGCAGTCATGATTTCCAAAGAGAAACCTTGGTTCATCAGATGTAACCTGTGTTTGATGATGCAGCTCAAATCCGTGTTCACCAGTGTTACCACAGTGACTTTTGAAAAGTAATCTGATCACTAATTAGGGATTACTCCTTTAAAAAGTAACTTAGTTACTTTACTGATTACTTGATTTTAAAAGTAATTAAGTCAGATAACAAGTTCCTTTTTAAGTTTATTTCAGCAGCCTCAACATATAAATGACAACAATTTTCTTTCCCACACTCACTTTGTTGGAAGCGTAATTTCTTGACTGACAAAAACATAAAACAATTTCCAATAAAATAAAAAATAAAGGTAGTATTTAAAATAGTGGTTGTATTTCCAGCATGACAACGTGCACCTCTCTCCTCCCTCCATTGTTGTTAATGTTTTTTTGCCACGGCTGCTTATGTGTGTGCACATGTATGTCATGTTAGTGGTCATCTTGCTGAAAACGTGACTTGTCGCCTATGTGACTGACGTCACTTCCCCCAGATGAAAAGAAATCTTTCTTTTTTTTTCTAAGGAAAACGAGAAAAAAGTAACGCACACAGTGACTTGGACATGTAACTTCAATCCAATTACTGGTTTGGAAATAGCAACGTCTTAATTATTAATTGTTACTGAAAAAGGTGGACTTCTTAGAGTAGCACATTACTAAGTAACGCCTTACTGGCACCACTGGTGTTCACATACATCAGCTGTTAATGCAGTGCTACCTGAAGGCCTAATGGGCATCTAGTCCTAGTTATCAGTTCTCCAAAACTTTAAAAAAATATATTATGTGTGTGATGAAATCCAAAATTCTCCACAATGTTGCACTGAAAAAAAATATTCTCAGTTTTTGAACTATTTACTCACAAAGTCTCTCACAGAATGGTGAGCCTCTCTTCATCTTTGGAGAAATGCAGCCTATGTCCCATTATGTTGTTAACCTGCTGCAAGTTAGCTTAATCAGTAAGAAGCAGTTCCTGCAGAATTTTTTTATCAGTTTATTCAGCTTTTTCTGTTTTTACAAGATGTGATTAGGAAGTATTTTACACAGTGTCCTCACTTTGGGGAATTAGTGTAATAAATTCTCTGAGGTCACTGGTGGTAATCTTTGCCTTATTTCACTGTTGTATAGCACAGTCACAAATGTTGTGGTATTTCATTTCCCCCAGTATTGAAATGGAGGACATCAGTGAATCAGAGCTCAGGTGGAAATCCTCTTCCTCCACACCTACAATGATCCTGGAAAAATCAAAAGCAGCAACCATTGCCGAGTTTCCTCTGACATTGGTTCAGACGCAGCCCAAGTGTGAAGTGTATCCAGACCTGCACAAAATCATACAGGTAAACACAAAGTCTCAGAGAAAGAAGTTACACATCTATCAATTTTATTAAATTGTATTTAAATAAACAGTATTTGCTTGCAACAAAAACCATTATAAACTATTATTTAAAATAGAAAGTAAACCATGTGAAGGTTATTTTATGTCATTTCCAACCTTTTAATTCCACAGAATAAATTCATGGAGATTTTGTCTCAGTATTTTAAAACGGTGCCCTCCAATCCACACTACTTCTTCTACTGTCCTCCATCATCCAAAATGGAGGTGAGCTGACTAAGTTGTGTTTCACAGATCTCATTTTTTACATGAAGTGTTTCAGGGTTAGCTCAGACTGAGGTAGAGACATTGATCTCACATTTATGCACAGTTGTTATTGACAGGCAGATCTAAATACTATGTTTTATCCCCTCAGGAGGACTCAGACTATGCTGAGGCCGGGAGGAGACTAAGTGAGGAGCTGGTTTCAGAAGCTGAGCCAGCAACTGAGGATGGCGAGTATACTTCAATGTTTGGAGCTTTTACTTTTTTTTTTTTTTCAAAGGACGTGTCTGTCTCTATTAGAAATGACAGTTAGGACTGTAAAGGAGAGAAACAGAGTAAATGACAACAACAGGAGGCAACAACAGGCGGCCCGGGCTGGAATCACCTTCCGTCATTATATGAATTTGGAGCTGAATTGTTCTCAGTATTTCCGGGATTTTCTCCACTTTCTGGAACCACCACTTGCGCAGTAGTGTTGTACGCATTTGGCAGGAGAGTCGCTGTGATGATGCTCAGCTCACACAGCGTATCCCCCGGGTGTGCTAAGTAATCTTCGTACACCCATAGGCTGTATCAGGTGTCAATCATAGAAAACATGAACCCCCTAATAACTTTAAAAAATGGAGCTGCACAGAAAAAAAGAGGACTTCAGCACAAACCAGTCTGACAGTAACTACAAGTCAACATCTCAACCAGGGGGGAGAAAAATTTATATTCTGTGTAATATTTCTAAAGTTTGTCTACAGCTCCATAGGGATTGCTGGAGGAGACAGGATTTATGACCTATACTGCAGCCCGTCACCAGAAGGTGCTGTTCTCGGGGTGGCTTCACCCAGCGAGGAGGCAGGCGGCGTTCATTCGATCTACAGTCTATGGCCGATACTGACATTGGTGTTAGCAGTTCACAAGGCTTGTATTTGGGACTGAAAGTTATTGACAGTAGAAATGAAAAACTCTCAGTCAATATGTAGTATTTGTAATATTTCAGACTTTAACACAAATCCTAATCTGTACACGTGAGTGAGCTGCCAGTTACACTGACTGGGCTGTCCACAGAGGAAAAAAAATACAAACTGGCAGCAAAAAAAAAACCCGAAACATAAACAAACACTTTTTAATGAACCTATTTTATCAACCATCTGTAAATGAAAGAGCAGATAAATCAGTTTTTAGGAAGATTTAAACAGCCTCTGTGGTTTTTGTAATAGGGACTGTACATTTTGTCATCTGGGACTTTATCTAGAGTTTAAGAGTAAGCTGGACTGCACCCTCAGACACACTCAGATGTACAGGATATTAAACTTTACATCACATTATGAATCATCCACATCATATGTGATGCAAACAGCAGAGGGGTGTGCTGCTGCTCATCTATTCCTGTTCAACATGTAGAAAACACGCCAGGCTCATGCAACATGACGGAAAGCGACACAGACCTGGTGGTGGAGTACGAGGAGCAGTCAGACACCAGAGCCCAAGGAACTGGGGAAGACCAGTCCCTGTCAGATTCCAACACTGTCAATCAGGACCAGGACTCCTTCAGCATCTTGGAAGAGGGGGACTCTTTGCTGGAGCCTGAGGGACCCCAGATGGATATGCCGCCATTGTTTGTTCATGTGACTTGCTCTGTCAATATGAAAAGCTGTCACGGCTCCATGCCCATACAAACCCTGCCGACCTGCCTTGGTGAGTCTCTTCTTGTCCATAACAGAGACCTGCCAAATCCTAATTGAACAGAAGTGTGGTGAAGTTATCTGTTCTCACACTTTTATGATTTACAGGTGAGATTATTTCCTGCCTGGAGAACGCAGAGTCCTTACAGTCCGTGGATTTGAATGAGCTGTCAGTAACATTAGATATTTTTGTCCTGACACTACCTCTGGAGATCGAAGTCATGGCTGAGTTCCATCATAACAGGTAAAACGAAGAATGACCGCAGAGTACCAGTTCAGCATGTTTCCAGGAAAAAGAATGATACAAAAATTTTGAGTTTTACTTGATACTATTCTGCAGAGAGTAGCGAGTGTTGGGAGAGGCAAATAGGTACTACCGTCTCAGAAGATGCATGAAGTAAATGTCTTTTTAGCATACACACATGTTCAGTGAACTCAAGACAACAGCTACCTAAATATAAGGTTATACACAGACTCCATCATTCACGTGTTAATCTGCATTCATTCTTTTCATCCACTTCACCACTATGTGTAAAATGTAAACAGTCTGATGGTACATTGGCACATATGTTCTGGTTTTGCAACATACTTGATAGATTCTGGTGTGAAGTTTTCCTCTTCTACTCTGAAGTTTACAGAAATGATCTCCCTCCAGACCCAGAGACAGGCATCCTTGGCTGGTCTCACCAGCTCGAGACTCTTAGTAACTGGAGGGCTATGTCAATACAGTATGGGATGGCGCCAAGCTGGGCGTGGTGGTGTGGCAGGGGGAGGTCAGGAACAGGGATGTGTCTCTGAGTTTTGAAGCCTGGCTCACAGAACTCTAAAATACCTTATTTATGGAAAAAAATTAGATTTGAGTTGTCAGGGTCATCAGACGGATTCCATCAGATATGGCAACCATTTCTTGATCATATTACACAAAGAGAACCCTCATGACACCCTAATGTCCTGATTGTGTTTGAATATTTATTTCTTTGCAAGAAAAAAGCATAATTTTATAACAGACATTGATGGCCATAGAAACTTTTGTCATAGAGCACAGCTTTCACCGTGGTTCTTTTTTTTTCTCTCTGACCTGCTTTTGGAGATGGGGTGGGAATAAAGGGGTGATTGTTCAGGTTTTTATGTTGTTATGTATCTTTATGTTTTGAAAATGAATAAATAAATTAGCTGCATCAACTCAAGCTCCACTGAGTATGCACCAAGATGCAGGTATTAATTAATTTCCTGTCGGGATCAGTCAGGTTCTTCTTATCTCATCTTAGGTACACATCAGAGAGCAGTGTGTCCCTGAACCGTTCACCTGGGCAGCCCTCCTCCTATCGCTCAGATGATGAGCTGGTGGCAGTGCTGGACAGCCTGAGAGGAGCTGGTGTAGATGGGTGAGTTTTAATACATATGCTTTTTCTGTTAGACGGTGCTGAGCTAATCCAGGTTCCTCTCCTTTTGTCTCTCCTTCAACAGGGTCTCCAGTGAACCCCTTTCCAAACTCCCAGTTCCACACAAGTTAGCAATTCTGGCCACAATGGATGAGGTGAGATTAAAACTGAGCTATCAGAGCAGCGAGAACATAGAGCTTTATAACAAGTGATGATATCACATTAGCAGAAGAGTAGCTTTACTTTTTCGGTTCACCTGTATGTGCTGTGTTTCCTGAGCCACTTAGGGACATTTCACTTTCACGCTGAGGGAGGAGAAGTGACTATGAAAAAAGGAGTTTCTCAGCTAGTCACTACTAACTCGGGTCAGCAAACTTACAAATTCTAATGATATAGTCTGGAAGTTTGCTAGCTCTTCAGCATCAGCCTTTTTTTACAAGAAGAAACCTGTTTCTCTCCTCTGCTTTCATACAAGCCCTCAGTCATCCACTTTTTATGCTAAATGGGGTCACAGCTCATCTCCACTGTATGAAATGTATCTCATACTCTCACCAGTAGGAGGAGCAAGTTGACCACTGTAGTAACAAATTCATTATAGAGTATAGAGAAACTAGCTAGCAATTTAAGGTGTGCTTGCTCTTATATCACGGGAATGTCAATATGAAACAGCACCAAAGGAGTTTCTTGTTTTATGCAGAAAAAACAACCTAAAGTCCGGTATTTTGTCATTATATTAAAGGCCTGTATGCCATTTCAATTACACACGTATGAATGATAGTCTGGTATCCAACAGTAGCTCTGTCAGGGGGTAAATAAACTAATTCCTAGGCCTGTTTGAGATGTTTAAGAAAAGATATCAACGCTGTTGTTCTCAAGCTAACCAGAACTCAATAATGGTTTTGGAAATTTTCTTCCCTCAGTTTTTCTCTCCGGCTACAGCTCTAAGCTCTTCTTGTTCTGCATTTCAGATCCGCTGGCTTTTAGAGGATGAAATTGTGTCTGCTCTGCGTCATTCCCAAGTCATTAGTTCCTCGACTCTGCAGAAAGTTGCGGAGCATGTTTTGAGGTCCAGCGGCCGGCCACACTGTCACTGCGAGGACGTCCCACTGCAGTTTGTTTTTGGGCCTGAGCAGTCACTGGAAAAATTTAAAGAGGCAATTCACTCTTTTTTTTCTTTATAATAAGAGTTAGGAAAGAAGATGTTAACAAATGTCACTCAGGATGATACATTCAAATACTAAAGTATCACTTTAGCTGGTTCAAAGTTAGTTTACCATTCACAGCTGATTGATTTCATAACTCTGAGCTCATTTTCTTTGTACGTAGGAGTTCCGCAGAATATTGTTCTCTGGCTATGTGCTGAATGGAGAACAGGACAGCTTCTACTACATGTCCCTGAGCAGACTGCATCATCAGAGGAGCAGTGCTCACAAGAAGCTGTCCGAGGCCTCCGTAGACACCCCACAACAAACGGTTCATTGCACTGCTGGAGCAGGGGTGGAGGAAATGATGCAGGGGAGCGAAGCTGAAGCTCAGGCAATAGAGGCTGACAGCGAGGTAACAAATGACAGTGAGGTTCACAGCATCAGGAGCTAATTTTTGAGTGTGCACTTCTGTATGATCATACTGCAGGTCCTGAGGTATCTCACAATACTCAAACTCCTGAGGTTCATAGTGATATTATTTCAACAATAAAAACAGAGCTTAAAGCAATTCAGTATTAATACAGCTTTAAGAAACTGGTGCGCAAAGATGGTGCAGAATAATTTTATTTCTGTTTTTAACTCTGGAACAGTTTACTTTAGCGTCTGTTTGACCTATTTAGCAGCATTTTGTAATAAAGGGCTCATCATAAATGTACTGCAAAGAAGGAAAAGTAGCCAGTGACAGCGGTTTGGGAGTCTTTTCCTAACCTCACTGCTCCACAAGCTTTTTTTCTGAACAGTGTATCACCATGCTCTTTCCTTTGATTTTTTAACATTAGGGAAATCACTATCAAGAAGAGGTGCCACCAGAAGAGCTGCTTTGAGCAGCAAACCCACATACAGAATGAACAGAGACAAATGTTTAACTATGTCTGTTGGTACTTGAAGAAAATTTGATCCGTTTTATGTGGTGCAGCACATCACAATAGACATCTGTCTAGATCACTATCCACTGTTCAGACTGAGTGTGATCTACAAATCGATGGAGAAATTATCATCAAATCTGCACCTTTATTGACTCTTTATTCTTGCCTCTGCTGCAAACTAACAAGAGTCGCCTATTTTTTCTGTGAGGGCCCCACGTGAGTGAGGGGAGGCAGGGACTCATGTCTGAGAGTTCATGTCTGCAGTCTGCATAAACAGTGCACTAATTTAAACATACAGTATGTTGCACCTTGTTGGTTGTCTCTTTTTATGAGTGGCTAGTCAGAGACAAACCATCGCTCCACTCACAAACACACACACAGAGGAGGATAAAATGTGGATTCTTCATTTGGGTGATTTGTCATTTTATTAAAATGCTCTAATGTAAAATCAATATTGAAAAATAATGTTACCTTTGTTGAATAAGGCTTGTTCAGGCTTTTATTGAATCATGATGGTAGACATGTGGATTTGTTAGAATCATGGCAAAGAGCAGAGAAGTGATATGAGTATCTCTCTCTGTTGCACCTTTCTCATCACACACTGAAATTCTTCAAAACTGCAGAGTGAAGACAAGAAGTCCCTCAGCGCTGCTGCTGACTCTTCAAGTGACACGACTGCAGAAACCAGTGAGCCGACCAGAGTCTTGAAGCCTGAGGTATACGATAATGTCTCTCCAATCCCCACCGGCGTGTCTGTGGACAAAAGTCAGCCCGGCACCACCCCTCTCCAGACTGAGCCTGGAACAGAGCCCTCTTCACCCCCAAAGACCCCTTCTAGTGTCAGCCTGGCTGAGTCCATGCAGACAGCCTCCCATGGTGAGTCTATCAGACACACCTCATGCGTGCAAGTTTGGGCTCAGCAGTTTTGTCAACATTAAAACATCCTCATAGTTTAGGTAGATAGAAGAAGACCATAACACCAAACGAGAATCAGGTTTCTCAGTGTGTGCTTCAGTAATACCTCAGTGACAGGAAAGAGTTCAACAAAATGATATCAGTCAGAGGCTTTTGTATGTACTAGTATGTAATGTTCAAAGAGGAAAACTCCAAACCAGCTCCCTGGTACAGTTTTTTTCTTCTGTTATGATTCTGATTGAAGTGTAAAACATATAATCAGGGATGCTGTGAGGGAAACACTCATCTTTGAAGATGAGAAGTGACAAATTCAGTGTGACCAACTAAGACTCTATAATACCTGCTGCATGGAGAGAAGTTCTCTATCAATATTTGGAGGATACAGGCTGTTATACTGGAGCCCGCTTATACCTAACCCAGCACCCTGAGACACCACCCAACAGCTGCACTCACAAAGCCGCCCTAAAACATACACTGTTGAAAGGAACAGTCCTCCAGATAAATTTTTAGATATTAAGCCCAGTATATTTTATCAGAACTCTTCTGCATTATGAAGCAAAAAAAAAACACAAGAGCACATCAGTCAGTGTGAAATAATTCACCCCCAAAGCTTCAACAGTCAGTTCCCAAAGGCTCACTTAGTGTTGTTAAAGGAAAGGTGATGTAACACAGAGAGAAACATGACCTTGAACCAGGTTTTTAGAGATGAGTTCCAGTATCAAATTCAAAATGAGTGAAAAGCCATTCAAGTTCATCAGTTTGAACATCAAATATCTTTGTTGTGGAGTCAGGTGAATTTAGGTGGGAACAGATTTGAAAATTATTGTATTCTGTTTTTTTTATACATGTTTTACACAGCATCCCAATTTCAGTGGAGTTGGAGTTTGTAAAGATAAGAAATGAAGGGTCTACAGTGTGCTGAGAAGTTTCTCTTCTTTTCTTCCACTTTTTTATCTGAAAAGATGTAATTCTTAAAATAGTAAATGAAGATGGCTGAATGTACTGAAATGAACGCATACTAAACTCTTGACATCTGAGGCAGTTTATGTTCCCAGATTGTCTGTTTTTAAAACAGACAATCTGAAGATTTTGAATGGATTAGGTTGATATGAAAACAGCTTTTCCAGGTAGACGTAAGTAAGTGAGCTAAGATAGTCTGCTCTTAGCTTGTTTTCTCAGTTCATCATGGCAGTCACAAACACTGTAATGTTGTTGGGCCAACAGCTGATTACCCCACACTATCTGTCAGATCAGGACAGGCAGATCTGGAAGAGCTTTGATTTGTGACTAAAACTCCAAACTGTACCTGCCAACAGAACTGTGTATTTTCTGTCCTCAGGCTGTGGCAAACTAAGGCCATGTCGGGTCCAGAGTGTGGTGTCCAGCCAGGGCAGTGTGGACTCAGACATGCAGGGTAAGTTGCACAAAACATAGAATAATGATTTATTGTAGAGTTATTGTGACAGATCTGCAGAGTTGGGGCAGATACTTCCAAATGTGACTCTCCGAGCTGTCCATCTGTAGACAAAGACATGAACTGTATTTTGTTAAAAAATGAAGCTAAGAGTGACACAGTGTTGAACGATGCTGAAAGTCTTTGATTCTGATTGTTTCTCAGCCACTGTGAGATGGTTGGCATGTAGATAATGAAACCATGGTTTCACTGTTTTGTTTTTTTTTCTTTTAAAAGGATATGACGGTGGCAGCAGTGACTCTGAGTGTGAGAGTCCCACCCTGGATGAACATGAGTGCCAGTCACCACTGATGCCAGACTTTTGGCTCATTGTTAAGATTCTCCAGGACAGAGTCAAAGTCTACTCCCACTCCAGGTCAGAGCAGGTTGAAAAAGTTCACGACTGTAGTCTGGAGTCTGAAGCCTAGATTACCTTTAGGAGCTTGGAGGTAAAAGACTAAACCAGTTTTAAGGGGACCCTGTTTTAAGCATTGATTACGTCTCCATTTTTGATTACTGTTTGATAACAGTGATAATCCCTGATATCTGATATTCTCATATCTCTGATGCTTAGTCCCAGCTGTGTATCACAAGGATTGATGGTCTTGTTTTAGGTGCCTTACGGAAGGAAAAGATGACACTGCTGAGGAGACTGAAAAGAAAGAGGAGGATATGGAGCTACCTGAAGATTTACGACTCTATCAAATGGTGGTCAGAAAGATTGGTGAAATCTGCAGAGTCGTCAATCAGGTAACTGACTACACAGCAAAAACAATTAACATGGAAAATAACTGAAAATAACATCTAGGGCTCTATTTTCATGCCTGCCAGCGGCGCGGCGGAAGATGGCGGACCCCGCGCAGTGGTATTTTTGTCTGGTAGGGCCCGGCATACAGCCAGTTTGGTATTTTCGTAGACTGAGGCACACCGAGGTCCGCCAAGCTGGGGGTGGTGGAGCGGCAGGGGGATGTGTCAACAGAATCAGCTGGCGCAGTGACATTTTCGTGCCCACTGACGGCGTAGAAAGTGCACTGAAAGCTTGTCGATTCAAACCTGGTCAGCTTTCAGCGCAGGCGGAGCGCAGCTGGTCTAGTGGTATTTTGGTAGACCGGCGGCGAAGTGCATGTACGTCACAGATGCCTCACTGGCAGGTTTCCACAGTGTCAGGCATATTTCAGTGCAATAAATAATCAATAACAACAAATATTCTGAGTCAGCACATGAGCGTGTTTGGCACACATTTGGACACACAACCTGACTGAATCAACACAGCTGAAACCGCATTGAATTAAATTAAATTTCTAGCAAACAGACACACATGATGAAGTGAAGAAGATATTTCATTCATCTCCCCCCTATTTCTATCTTCCTCTTCCTCTTATTTCTCGCGCAGCTCGACCTGGACATGTTTCTGTGTCCTCTCCCCGTCCTGCTGCAGCTGCTGCTGCTGCAGCTGAACAGATGATTTTATGCACACAACCCACCTTTTTCATGTGAGGTTTAAATATATGCAATTTTAAGTGAGTGTCTTTATTTGGTGGAAAGGATGTTTGTCTTACCAGTGGGTCCAACATTACACACACCAAATCCAACTGTGCTTATATGAGAGAGTGTGAAGGACGCCCTCTGCAGCACTTACAGCGACATTTGTTGAGGGGCATTGCTATCTTCAGCCATCTCTTGATCTCTTTGACTACTTCACGAAAATTGTAATACGCCTCGCAGGTGGCAGATTTAAAGGTGAGAAGAGTAGCTGATCTGATTGGCAAAAAGAGGTCTCGGCTGTGTTAAACCCACTCCACGCCCTCTCTACGACTTACGCCACTGGGGGGAGCTGAGTTAGGGAGGGGGGATACTTACGCCGGGCTGTGCCGCTCACCAAAATACCAAAATGTGCTTGGGCACGCCTTGTCAGCGCGGCATACCTAACTTACGCCACGCCTACTCCACTACACCGGCGAGGAGCAAAAATAGAGCCCCTTATGTTATTTTCATTTTAAAACTGTATCACTAATAAGATAGTCACACAAATCTAGTTCTAGCAAATCTATCTAAAATTCAGAGTAAGGGTTCAAATTAGTGTAAGTGAATTGAGATTACTGTGATTTCGTTCAGATTCTGTTGGATCTGAAGTTTCTGAACACATCTTTTACACCTTTACACCTTTGTCTCTAAGTTCTCTCCTGATTTATTTTCCTCTCTGTGGAGGTGTCCTGCTTTCACACATAGATAGAAACTTGTTTTCGAGAGTATATTTATGTCCTGACTGAGACTGCAGTGACAGAGTTTTCTGTATGAGATTTTGTGCTGAACCCAAAAGCAGATCGGAGGTGGTTAAGAATGAGGAGTTGTGGCGCCGTCGCCATGAGTAGGCAGTGAAGGCAGATAAATGATCTGGTGTAAGAGTTGTGGCAGCCTGGCAGAGATTGGTGGCTGGGCTAGAGAGGCTTGTGTGTTTTTTTCATTAGTCTAATGAAAAAAACACACATTCACTAGTAAAAGTTTCAAACTTGCAATACTCAAAAGCAGGCTGAGATACCACAGGAGATGTGGGAATAATCTGACACTGAGAAGACAACAGGCAGTGCTTTTAGTGCAACAGGTGATGAGGTGCAGCTATGTCAGTACAGGAGGAGCTGCAGCTGGAGAAGAGCCGCCCAACCTCTGTAAAATAAAAAGAGGGAGAACTCCAAACAAACTCATCTCAACAGAAGTGAATTCTTGATGCTGTTCAGTAAGGTAGTATAATGTCTGTGTGTATGTTTAGCAAATGCTGCTGCAGGACCTTCATGACAGCCATGTTTGTAACTCTCTACTGGTGGCTGAGAGTGAAGAGGACATCTGGAAGACTGAGTCTCTCTACAGGCAGAAACTCAACACCTCTGATGGTATGTTACTAGAGGATGCAAATATACAGAACATATAGGTCTATTTTGTCCTCCTTAGGTTATGAATGTAATGACATTTAAAAATACTTTGATTTCTTCAAACCACGACTCTCCTGATTCTTCCATCATTTCCTGACCACAGATTACAACACGGAGGAAAGTTACCAGGCCAAAGACTACCTGGCAGCCACTATGCAGTTCATGCCTGGACACTTTGCCTGTGACGTTGTGTGGAGCACAATTATACACATTCACCCACGCCTCAAGATGGGTCCCAACATGGGGGTAGCCAGGGGTAAGTGGTTTATACAAAGCCTGAGTTTGATAAGAAAACAGACTCCCCGAATTCAGACTGAAACCTGACCAGTTACAGGAAAATCCTAAAGTTGATGTCAGCTGTTTACTTTCCAATTCTGCCTGAGGTATTCACTGACAATCTTAGTGGTTTGACAGTGCTGTGAGGATTGTTGTCAGCTCTTCATATTTTACAGTTTGCAGAAGAACAGTTAAAAATACTCTATAATGTTGACACTGTTTTATCCATAATTTAACTGAAGAGAAAAATAAAAAGTTTTTTAAGTACCAAAAGAAAGTAAAAAAGGAGAACAGCAGATAATCCACACACAGCAGTATCTGATTTAATGGCATGTCATCATTTTGCACACTATCAAACCTGGGTAATTGATGACCTGTAAAACACCAGGAAATAAAACGATGCTTGCTAGAGTTTTTTTCTAACTGAAGGGAGAAAACAGCTTCTTCAGATGCAGCTCAAAAATGAGTGTCCCGAAAACGATCGTTTGTTTCTTTTTTTGTAAATTTATACAGAAAATGAAACGTTTTTGCTTCCAGCTCATTAAAATCAAATATTTCACTTTTAGAAAACACTAATCCAAAAAAACGGGATTAATAAAACAGGAAAAGTGTTGACCTTCAGCTTCACTTCTGCTCTCAAATCTTGGCTGAAGCCTTTTGTGCATTAATTACTGCAACAGTACTATGTGTCATGGAGGTGATCAGTCTGTGGCTCAGCTGGGTCTTACTGAAGTCCAGGTCTCTCTGATAGCTCCTCAGACCAGTTGGGTGGACAATCAGGCACAGTACCATGGTCATCAAACCAATTTCAGGTAGTTTTGGTGCTGTGGACAGGTATCAGGTCCTGCTGGAAAAGGAAATCTGGAAATCTCCATAAATCTTCACAGCAGATGGAAATACAAATGTCTCTAAGACCTCCTGGTAGACTTTGGGCTGTGTTGACTTTGGACCTGATAAAACACAGTTGACCAACAACACCATCCTCCTTATAAAGGAGGTCAATGCTGGACAACTGTCAGGTCAGCAGTCTGAACCCTGATTGTGGTTGTGTGAACTGTACCAGAGTAAGAGGCTCAGCAATCCTGTGCAGGTGCTCCGTTTATTAGCTGATCGGAGCTGCTTTCTGGACCAACAGAACTGAAAGAACCTGGACTTTCTCACAAGAGTTAGCTTTGAGGGAGTGGATTTTTGGTCTTAATGAGGTGAAAGCTCTAACCATCAAGATTCAAACACAGAAAGTTTGGAAACATTTCAGTTTTATGTGGTAGAAATATGTGGAAGTTTCACTTTTTGAATTTGAAAAGGGGAAAAAATGAACTTTTTCAGGACATTCTGTTTTCTTAATGTGAACCTATTTTGAGATATGCAGAACCTTTAAAGGCCCTCATGCTGTGTCGAAATCTTTTTTTTTACCCAGTTTTTAGGAAATTATCTTCTGATGTCTTTTCCCGTATCTTTAGAAGTTGATGCATTTCCCTCCTGTGGGACTGAGTTAAGAAAGTACACAATTCAACAAGATGTTGAAAAATAGCTTAAAAATAACATCTGAAGTGATAGTCTTACGGTGGTGACACTGAAGCGAATGTCAGCCTAAACACCCCGCCCCCAACCGGTTGAATATTTATCCCCTTAGAAGAGCATTAGATTTAAAAACTACCCTGAAACTTGTAATGGAAGGGGATAAAAAAAGACTAAATGTAAACAAGACGCAAGAAGTGATGGGGGAGAGGCAGTCAAAGAACATGACAACGATGAGGAAAGCGATGAGCAAAATGGCGACGCTAACGAGGAAGAAGCTAACCCCGTCATGCAGGCCATCTACATCGAGATCCGTGCCCTTAGGTCGGATGTTAAAAGTGAAATGAGTGAATTTCACTGAGTCACTCCGTCTATTTTCGAATTGACTATTTATTTATGTAAATCAGATTGGCACAGAGTCAGGGACTGTAAAATAGGGATTAGGGATATATCCGATCATTCAGGGGTATACTTAACCCTGCACTTAACTAAACCGGAAAAATACACTTTGGAAACTTAATACCAGCATTTTAATGACAAAAAAGTGCAGAAACAGATTCAACAAGATTTTGAAACATATTTACAAAATAATGATAATGGAGAGGTGTCTCCAAATACTTTATGGGATGCAGCAAAGGTAGTTGTTCGGAGCAAAACTATTGCCCTCACAGCCTTTCATAAAAAGGAAAGACAGAGAAGACTTCTTGAACTACAAGAAGAAATGAAGGCATTAGAAACTAGACACATGGAACAAAAAGATCCTCAGATATTAACGAAAATAAATAAAATAAAACAGGATATAAATGGTATGTATGATGAAGAAATTGAAAAGCAACTTAAATTTACTAAAGTATTATGAGACAGGGCACAGGGCAATGAAACTACTATCCTGGAGGATTCGAAAACAGCACGGGAAAAATATGATCTATAGGATTAGTTATCCCAAGACACCGAAGGTTTGCAGTGAATCAGAGGACATTCAACATGCCTTTGAACTGTATTATAAAGAACTATATGTCCAACCGGCCATGTCAAATACCACAACAATAGAGACCTTTTTAAGTTCACTAGATGTACCATCTGTAGGAAAACAACAAAATAAAGAAATTATGGCTGAGATAACAGAAGAAGAACTGAGCAAAGCCATTTCAAGATTGAAGGCTAATAAGGCTCCAGGATCAGACGGTTATCCGTCTGAATGGTATAAAATATTTAAACCACAAATAACACTGGTCCTGCTTAACAGTTTTAACGATACACTAAGAACAGGAGTAGCCCCCCAATCATGGAAGTAAGCAGTTATTTCTATCATCCGAAAGAAGGAAAAGATAAAAAGGAATGTAGCTCATACAGACTAAATGAGCATTATACTTCTCTCCAACAGCCAGGATCAGAGTTAATGGACACCTGTCACAAACTGTTCATTTGAAAAGAGGGACATGCCAAGGCTGTCCCCTGAGCCCAACTTTATTCGCACTATTCATAGAACCCCTCGCTCAAGCAATTAGAGAGAACTCTGAGATAAAGGGGATTATGATTAAAGGAGATGAACATAAGACTTGTATGTTTGCGGATGATGTTCTGCTTTTAATTACAAACCCAGACTCAAGCATTCCCAAATTGATGTCCCTTCTAAAAAAATATTATTTATATCCTGGATACAAGCTTGATATCCAAAAAACCCAAACACTCACATTTAACTATACTCCCCACCCAGATACTAAAAGGAAATATAACTTTAAATGGGACTCGCCCAAAATAAAATATTTAGGAAGAAATCTTTCTAAAGATATGTCAAAACTTTTTGAAAACAACTACGGTTAATGAATAAAGAGATCAAATCTGATATTTCTAGATGGACCCTCCTCCCACTGGATATGAGTAATAGAATAGAAATCATTAAAATGAATGTTTCTTTATCTTTTTCAGTCATTGCCTCTAGAGGTACCCCAAAAACAATTTGATGAGTGGAATGCCTGGATCTCAAGGTTCATTTGGAACAGCAGACGACCTAGGGTTCAGCTCAAGGCTCTACAGCTGGGAAAAGAAAAGGGAGGAAGAGCTTTACCATGTTTACAAGACTATTATTATGCTGCACAACCGAAACCCTTAGTATACTGGTGTTCTCCAAATTATTAATCTAAATGGAAATGCTTAGAAACTACACAGTTAAGAATTCCAATACAATCTATAATAGGAAATAAAAACCAAGCGAAAACACATAACAGCTTGAATCAATGGACTATACTCACTCTCAAGCTATGGTTTAAGGTTTTAAAGAAGTTACAAATAGAGAAACAGGTTCGAGTCTTGAATTGGATAGCATATGATCCACAGTTTGAACCTGCTAGATTGGACGGGGGCTTTAAACAGTGGGTTAAGAAAGGTATCACATCCTTTTGTGCGCTCATCTCAGACCGTGGATTTCAGAGTTATGAGTCAATTTCTGCCACATTTGGACTGGAGAAGCAGGACTTCCATAGATACCTGCAAGTCAGAGACTATTATAATAAAAAATTACAATTCAAGGAGGAGAAGGAATACAATTTAATGTCCATATTTCATGATGCATATAAAAAAAATAAAAACAAAGTTGGTCTCAAGAATATACAGAAGTATACAAGCCTCTAAAAATCATTCTACATTATCCATTAAACAAAAATGGGAGAAGGAGTCAGGAATACAAATGTCAGAAGAGACCTGGATAGAAATATGTGAGACACAAGCGACCACTGCAAATTCAAGATCTTTAAGAGAATTCGGCTGGAAAAATGTGATGAGATTTTTTATGACCCTAAATTAACAGCACTGCAAACAGGCACACAGAACCGAGGCTACTGCTGGAGGCAATGTGGAATCCCTATGGCTAATCACTTTCATATTTTTTGGGCCTGTCAATCCAGTCATTTTGGAGGGAGGTGTCAACCGAGATCAATAAAATATTGGGGTTGGATTTAGACTTTTCTTTTGTTGTTTTATATCTCGGTAAAATCACGGAAACAGTCCTACATAAGGACAGGTATCTGTTGAAGATTCTTTTGGCAAGTGGTAGGAAAGCCATAACAAGAAGGTGGTTACAACCAGATTCCCCAACATTAAACCAGTGGCACGGGATTGTCCAAGAAATTCACTGTATGGAGAGACTTACTTTTGTTTTAAGACTTCAGTTGGACAATGATGTCCTCACGTTCTGTAAATAAATAAAAAGTATTAAAAAAAAATAAAAAATAACATCTGAAGTGACCTTTTAGCAGAAGAAGTGACAAATTTCGATGTGTTAATAAATGAGGCAACTGTACAGTCTGTATTTACCGTCTGTAAATCTTATACCATGTAATGTATTAGGGAGTTTTCCCCAAGCAGTCATTAGCTTCCTACAGTAGGTCTGACATTCTTATTCATTGACACGACATCTTATATGATTTGAGTTTTTAATATCTTAATGCTCATCACTACTTTATCTCACAGACATGCCAAACTCATCTCTGTATTTTTTACCCCCTCATAGCTATTCAGGCCCTGCGCTCTGTGCTGAACTCTTTCTGTGTGGTCAACCGGAAGAACATGTTTGTGTACCAGGAGCGTACAACTAAATCCGTCTTCTACCTCAGGTTAGAGTTTTTCCTTTTCAGCACAATGCTTTTTCTGGGGCAAATGTATTTTGTAAAGGTTTGCCCATCACTGTGTGTGTGAGATTGAATAAATTTGTCAGTTTCCTCATGGCCCCTCAGTGACAGACCTCATGAAGGGAGAAAGCAGAAGACGTTATTTACAGAAAAATATTGAGAGTTAACTCAGAGCTGATGGGGCTTGTTAGAGCCTGATATGTAACAATGACCCGAAATGAAATGAAAAAAAGAGTTATAAAGGCCGAAATGTAATAATTGGTCAATAACATAAAAAAAGTGTTTGAACCTGAAATGTTATCAAAAAAATGTAATAAAATCCCAAATGTTATAACTCACCTAAAATGTAACAAGTTGCTACACATTGGGTTCAGCAGCTAGTCTAACCTAAATGTTAAAATGATTTCAGGTGTATCAGAGGTGTATCATTGCTGTGCTTTGTGTTGAAATCTCTAGACTTTGTGAAACATCACTGACAGGGAAATACTCCGACGTAGATGGGAACCTTCACATGACTCGCTCTGTAGCACTTGCCAGGAGTCAAGAGCCCTTATCTCCCGAGGACCACATGGTAAGGAAGGCAGTATACAACCAGTTGGTTCGCTTGTTGGCATGTGATTTCTAGTTGAGAGAAAAAAGGGGATCCCACAAAACTCTCCATTGTGATCAAATTCTTGTTATTCACCTGTGGTAAAATGAATAACTATTATAAACAGTTTTAAGCTCTCTCTGTGGGAAACTCAGTCTGCAGTGAGTCAGCATGAACTCTAGATTCAGTGAGTGGGATTTAAACTGCAGTTTCATCAACTGGTGACAAGATGTCCACTATCTAATTCTCCATTCATTCTAGCACAGGGTTCCTGCAGATCCTTGAAAATTCTTCAAAACTCCTCATTCAGGAGTAAAGATTGGGGGTCATTGAAGGCCTTGAAAAGTTCTTTTTACCTGTGAGAGGTTGTCAGTTTGAGATGAGACAAATTTGCATGACTGAATACAAGGAATAAATATCCAAGTTCTTCCTCTTCTTCTCCTTCTCCTTCTTCGTCTTGTTGTTTTTCTTCTTGTTCTTCTTCTTATTATTATTATTAAAGCCACAGGACAAACATACTGAGGCACTGGCTCTATATAACAGTATAGAGGCCAGTGTATAGGGGCTATTGTTATACTGTGAATATTTTCTAAATCCTCTACCAGACATATTTTGATTTGTTACTTCTAATTCTTAAAGAGTTGTAGGACAAATTATATATCAAAATGTGCTGTTTGATCGGGATCGGTGTGCTCTTACTTTTCTCAATTGTATACAAAATAATATAGAGAAATTTTGCGTGAAGTTTTTCCAAAGTTTTTGGCGAAGTCAACAGAATTTGGAGCACAAAATTGTGAAGCTATGAATAGAACATACATAATAAGTGTGAGCGCAGTGCAGCTGAACTATCTCTGAGGCTTTTCTCTGTTATGGGCAGCTTTTTGTGTTCACTAACTAAGAACAGAGGGAAAGGAAGATACATGCAAATTAAAGGGAGTTTGCCTTTAAAATGGAGAAAACAGGAAATGGTTCAATGGTTGTCAAGGGTAACAAGGGAAATACTTTTAAGTAGCTTGCAAGAATGCTTTTCACCTTTGGATTTTTTTTTACATATATCAGTTGTGTGTCAATCTTCATTTGTTTCTCTGTTCATCAGGTCTTTTCAGGTCTTACATGTCTGAGATGAGTTTTTAGCTGTGTGTTGCAATGTTTTGATATTTTTTCATGTCTGATTCTTAACCATGCCCATATCTCTCGCTTTCATCCTCTCTCTCTCTCTCTCTCTCTCTCTCTCTCTCTCTCTCTCTCTCTCTCTCTCTCTTTCTCCCTCTCTCTCTCTCTCTCTCTCTCTCTCTCTCTCTCTCTCTCTCTCTCTCTCTCTCTTGTTCAGGGCTCTAAGTCTCCTCTGGATGGCTCTCGACTGGTTGGACAGGTAGACAAACACATCCTGCTGCTGGTGCATGGAGTGGGAAATGCTGGTAAGAGCAATAAAGTTATATATGGATTATAGAACAGAACTGACAGAACTGATCAGTTATCAAATGAACTATGATATTACACTTATTCAGCTTGTGTCTAAAGAGCTGTAAGCAGTAGTTGTCCCTGGACTTGTTGGGGGATATAATGACTGTTCTGGATACAAGTAAACACCTTTGTGTCAGCCAAAACTAAAGGAATAATCTGAACCAACTGTAACTGATCTATTGACTTCTGGGAGAGACTGAAGCACATTTGAGCTTTCTCCACAGTATGATTAAAAAAAACACAAAACTGATCAGATTAACAGGCAGGCAAAAATCTCTTCTTTACTGGTGAAGTACCTCAGCAAATGGTCATCAGGCTGGATGGCTGTCAGCGTGTAAAAACCTGTAAGCAGCCCTCAGCACTTCTGAGTGGATCATTGGACTCAACTGTCTGAACAGCATCAGGACCGGCAGAGGGGGTTATTTCATGGCTTTTGTTTACACTTGAATATATTTTCTCACTAAACTCTCATTTTACAGTTTATCCCACTAACAGTCAAACATGAAAAATAAACAGAGGATTGGATCAGCTGTTGTCTCAATAATATGTCAAACCACTATGCCGCGCCTCTATGCACATTGTAGGCCACCATTAAAGCAAAAGAGAGAGAGAGACAGAGAGAGAAATGAAGGGAGAGGAACTCTTAACTTCTCATCTATTAAACATGTAGCTTGTGTGGTTGCGTCATCTATTACTGTGTGTTAGATTTTAAGATGTTGTTTAACACCTTTGTTAAACATCGAAATCCATACTATATTATTCTATTCAAATCATCTGAGTGCTAATGATGAAGAAATTTGCTGGATAAGGCATGCAGTTTCTCCCTTGAAAGCCTTGATGGCACTCTTGACCCGGGTATGTTTCCTTATTGTAGACTAGCTGGGGTTAAACCAATTCTAAATCAACTCCTGTCTGGTCCACCACTTCCTGTTCTTTAGGGGGGTTAGTTTTGAATTAGATTTGAAGAATCAATCGTGAGTTTACTTTAATCTAAGTGTTGGTTCATCTCATTTTAGCCAAACACGATTCAGGTTTCTGAAGGGCTCTGCAGATCAAATGAACGGTCGGCCAGAGCTTCAGAGAAAACAGTGATAATGTTTTAACTTCAAACATGTCTTCACGTGGACTTCCTCAAGATTCATAAAAACAAGACAAGTAGAAATAACAGAAGCTTTGATCACAGTTTCACCACCCTGGTTTGAATATTTGTGTGTTTCTAACACAAGAGTGACACCGAGGTTTTTCTCTCTGCCTGTCCAGGTCCAGAGATCACAGACGAGCTGGTGAAGGTTCTGCGTAAGCGCTTGGATGAGACAACATTGGACATCATCACCGTCATGCTGGTCAGGAACTGTAAGCTGACTCCAGCTGATGTGGAGGTGATTTGCTTCTTTCTCAGTCACTATTTTGAGATGAAAAGTGAAGAATTGTCAAGATTTTTGTGTACGAGGTTTGTTCCTGTGTGATTACATGTGGCGTATCTTGCTCTGAGTGCCTGAACCTGTGCAGTGCAGTGTGTAAATTGCTTACTCTTCCAGAACTGTGGGTTTTATGTCCACTTAGGCAACCAAACTGAAAAACGCTTTGACTTAAGTTTTTCTCCAAATGCTGTCTGGTCAGTTCATCCAGCCTTCTGGATCCCCGGCCACTGAGGTAATGAACTTCAGTCTGCCCCAGTACTGCCTTCCCTGGCTGCCTGCTGTGGCTCACTACCTCAGACAGAACCTCCTCATTTTCCTGCACATACCAAAGTATACTGACAGCAACACAGCACATCACTTTAAGGTAAAATCCCTCGAGGTGTTCGTCCGACTATGTTACACAACTGCTTTGGTTGTTTTTGTTGCATGTTTCATGTTATTGACCTTTTTCATGAGTGTTTATTAAGACAGATTAGTCAAAGTATGTACACCAAACATGTTTTAAATACACATACAAGGGGCAAAGTAAGTATGAAGGGAGTATGGACTGCAGCGATCTTCTGTTTGAATTTGGTAGCCCATGTTGTTTTGTGTATGAGGCTGTGTGGCAGTTACCACGTGTTACAAGGCTAGATCATGATATATAGACATGCCAGTCCTGTAACAGTGGCTCTCATAGACAGCTTATTTGTACACCTCGGACTATTATAAAGCTGCATTGTTACTCTGAGTGCGGATGACTTGATGATACTGTAGTGGAACGAGGTCAGACAGAAGCAGATAATGCAGGACAGCAAAAAGACTTAGAGCTTCCTTTTTTTTTAATTCACACAGAGAGCCAGACACTTGGTGGTACTCCTTCTTTACACTGCCTATGGAGCAAAATAAACTTCTTAATACAACAAAATAGTTATTATTGATGTTGAGCTGTAAGGGGCTTTTTTTTTCTCCCACTCTGTCTTGCAGCATCACTTTCATTTGAACAGCGACTTGGCTGAGGGTGATATCTACCTCTACAACAAGCCTGGAGGCCAGGGGACGGGTGGCAAAGGTACTTTTATTCACCCAGCTAGTTTTTGGGTTTACTTTATCCATCCATCTTCAGCCACTTATTCAGTCAGGTCTGGGGTGGGCAGCAGCCTAAGCAAGGAAGCCCAGACTTCTCTCTCCCACTTCACCCAGCTCTTCCTGAGGGACACAGCGGCGTTCCTAGAGCAGCTGAGAGACAAAGTCTCGCCAGCGTCTCCTGGGTCTTCCCTGCAGTCTCCTACCTGTGGGACATGCCCTGAACAACTCACCAGCAAGGCATCTGGGAAGCATCCTATACTGCCTACATATATATGGTTTACTAGAGTACCAAAAGTTAGCGGTCAGGTCTTGATGCTGAAAACTCTTTTGACTAAAACATCAATTTAAACTGGACTAAAATGATGACTGAGGTCTTAAATGAAACAACACAGAGACTGAAATGTCTCTAAAATCAATCACAGTTTTCTTAAATCACCAAGACTGTGATAAACAGTGAGATAAAGTACTGCAGTACAGTGACAGTGGCAGTGACACTGATGGACTGTAGTATGAACCATGCTGGTCAGTGGGAGGAGGACAACCGTTGATGAACTGAATATACAGTCAAAGTAGTTTTTCCTACACTCACAGGTTAGTTCTCAGGAGAGCTCCTGTCTTTGTTTTCTGCTCTGTATTTCAGAGTCTGGCATGTTCACTCCTGCAAAGAGGTTAATCAGAAACTGGACTTCAGTTAGAGTCTTTTCAGATCAGAATCCACACCTGGACCAAAGTTAAGACTGTGTGTACTTGTTCTGACTCTAAACACTGGTGCACCCCTAATGTTGTACTCTGGGTGTCTCTAATACTGGTCCAGGTACCATGTCGGAGCTGGTTAAGCATCTCTTTCCGCCCTCCCAGTTCAAAGGTACCACTAACTGTCCCAACCTTCCTTCTTTTTTCATCTTCTGCAGCCCTTTATGTTGACTAAAGCCGCTGTGGCTTGTTCGTCTGACTGTATGTGTTCTGCTCTTGGTCTTTTTCTCTCATTTCTTTGCAGTGCTGTAACTCCTCCAGCTAAGGCTTCCCCCTGGCATATGTGTACACTGCTTGTTTTTGTTAAAAAAAATGCTTTTTTTAAGTTATAAACAGGCAGAAATATTTTCAGGTGGGTGACTGCCCGCTCAACAAGCGCTTCTCTGACCATAGAGCACATCCATGAACTCTTGTTTGCTTGCTTGTGTGGTATTTTGGTTCCCAGAACAGAGTGCATGCTGCATCATTTGAAGGAACACACTAAAACCTGAGAGGTAAATTCAATTTAGGCAGCACTGAGACAGTTATGAGGTACTCTGATTGGTCCTTATGCATCGTGCCCAGACTAGTCATCTCACAACCAAGTCTGTGACTCGAGTGTTGGGTCAGTTTGTTTCCTCTTGTGTCATTTTTTCAATATCATTTTTCTCCCATTTAGCTCCTTTAGTTTCCTCATCCATCTAAAGGCATCACATCATGTATTGACAGATTCATCAGGCTCTGATAGAAGAAGCAAATCCACTTCCGATTCTGATTCATCATATACATGCAAGTCCGGAGAAGCTTTGATCGGGGACTGTGTCACTGGAATGGGGAAGGACATGAAAAAGATGTTGTCCTTTTAGAAATACATGTTACTCCAAACCTGTGTCTTTCAGCTTTGGTGGTGCCTTCACAAATGTGCAGCTTCCCCATGCTATCACAGATGTGAGCTTTTGAGCTCTCATAGACTGGATGGTCCCTCTCCTCCTTAGCCCAGAGTGGGCAGCACCCTCATTTTATTTACAGCCAGCACAGCACTAGTCAGGTAAATGAAAAATGAAGAAGGATAGTATCGAAAGTTAAATAAATTTATTTTTTAGGTCTCTACCAAACTTCAAGCAATTTAACTGATGTGTGGTCACTCACTGATGCTGAATTTATCCGCCTCCGGATCCTTTTGGAGGATCTGTTCCACACTGTAAGGTTAATGTGTGACACTCTTACAGTTCTCTAAGGTTTGGGCTTGAGATTGTCACTTACCCTGCACACTAAGTCATCAAAAACGCACACAGAAGACTCGAGGGGGGGTCAGATCCTGTGTTACCAAAAGTCAGAGTTGCTGTATAACTAACATCACCCCCCCACTAGAGAAGAAATGGTGTAAACAGCCAGAAGCAGATATAGTCCTCATTGACGTTGGTCGAGGCGTGTTATGTTCATTCAGAGGAGGAGCCTTGTGCGTACAGCCCGGCAGCACTATGGGATCAGAGAAAGAACATCTGCATAAAAACATCCAAAATCAGCAGCTTTGTCTGCCTCTGCCGAAAAGCCAAGGCCAGAGGTTTCCAGAAGATTGTTTTCCCACAACAACTTTTGAGGTATTCCTCTGTCCCCAAAGCTCCAAGAGTTTTTCTGGTTCTGTTGCGCAGGTCCGATGCTTAGCAGGATGCATGTGTGTTTGTTAACTTTAGAGATATCTCAAGGTTGTGTATGCACTCAGGATTTTAGATTTAACACACAGTTGATTAACAGATTCAGTTTTTCCTGCACTCTGAATTTAGGCTGTTTTATTCATCAGACGTATTTCTGTAATTGTGACAGACGTTTTATCTGTTCCATTAGTTACAGAGCAAGGTGAATCTATCACAGATGTGATCACCAACATTGTGATGTTTACCTCCGATTTTTATAATAATATTATAATACGATTCTTGTCTACGGAGAACAATATTCTTAACAATTGGTTCATTGTTATTTGATATTTTGTGCTATTTTCAGGTAAATTTGGGGGTTTCAAAGTTTTTGCATATCCTCATGTTCATTTTCATAAACTTCTTGCACTGTCCAACTTTTGTAGAAACAGAACTGTAATAACTGCTGTGCCGTGCGATCTTGCAAGTCTTCACTTGGTCCATTTATTCCGTCTTTCAAACAGTCCCCCATCTAATTAGGCACTATGTGTTTATTTACTGAGATAAAGACTCTTTCTTAGTCATGGACAGTAACAGGACTGAGTTACATACTAAGAGAATACATGACAGAAACTAAACTTTCTTTAAGGACATTAAATGGGAGGTACAGTTGTGTCCTGTGAATGGAGGTTGAGTTGGACATTAGTTGGACTTTGAAACACTTGGCTGAATAAACATGGATTAGCTCTGTACAACATAAAAAAAGTCTTTTCAACTGAGCTACAGCTCCGCTTTTGCTAATTCTAAATGGACTTAGTTTTATTAAGTGCTTGCTTTGGCCACTCACAAGTGCACAAGTGCTGTTACATTAGACACCACAATCACACCTTCATACCACATTCATGCACTGAGGCCCAAGGCTGCCATGCAAAGTGGACATCCGTGTTAACTAACTCCATTTGGTGGCAGTGTCGGAGTCAAGTGTCTTGCTTGGAGGCACTACAGCATGTAGACAGTGGGACCTGGGATCAAACCCTCAACCCTCCAATTGAGAGATGACTGACACTTTCACTTTCACAGCCAACCCCTTTCAACACAGATAAAAAAAACATCTGTAGGAATGCTGTTCAGATTGCCTTTAATGAAAGGATACCTCTATTATTTATCGAAACATGTTTGAGGATAAAAAAGTTTGTGATCACTCCTGAACAAAGTTGAAATGTGAGCTTTTTTGGTCAAGAACCTGCTGTATACGAGTAAGTGGAGCAATAAGGACTGAAGGGGGATGTTTACAGTGATATATTTGCTGCCCAGGCAAAGCAGAGGGGTTAAGTGCCAAATACAAGGACAGTTAAATCTGAATAATGCACTCGAGGTGTTAAAATGCAATGGCCTCTTAGATGATCATTGTGTGATCAGCAAAAGAGAGCTAATGTTATGCATCCCAAGAAGTGTGAAGCGCAACACCTAGTGAAAATAAACCAGACCACTTTTTCAAGGTTACTTGTTTTACATGTATCCCTCTATTCTTTCAGGTATTGCCTGCATCACCCTCTCGTTTGTGGATGCCCAAGGTCACTCTCTCCTGGTTCCAGCACAAGACTGTGCCTCTCTGCAGAGAACCAGGAACTGCACTATCCCTCTGGATCCAGAGCATTTTGATGAGCTAACTGCAGTTGGCAAAGAGTTCTCAACCAGTGACACCTCAGGTACAGCCAAACACAAAGCCTGCAGCTGGATGGTAGTAGTGTTTTCATAAGAGTCAGTTTTTTTTTTGTTTTTTTTTGGGGGGGGACTACAGTTTCTCCTACTGAGAATGTAGAGGTCTTAATTGCTGTAAGGGGTTCTTTCTTTCCTCCTTACTTTCTTTCATTGTAAATTACTTACTTATTTACTTACTTGCATGCTTGCTTACTTACTTACTTACTTGCTCGCTTACTTACTTATTTACTTACTTGCTTATGTACATGCTTGCTTACGTACTTGCTTGCTTGCTTATTTACTTACTTACTTACTAGCTGATTTGCCTCATTACTTGCGTACTAACTTACTTGCTTACTTACTTAATGACCTACTTGCCGACTTGCTTGCTTACTTACCTACTTACTCACTTACTCAGTTTTTAAGAGGATGGGGAGGGTTACAGTTTGTCCTACTGAGAATGTAGGGGTCTTTAATTGCTGCATGGGGTTATTCCTTTCTGTCTTTCTTTCTTTCTTACTTTCTTTCTTAACTATTTACTAACTTAATTGCTTACTTACTTACTTAATTACTTCCTTTCTTACTTACCTACTTACTCGCTTGCTCGCTTACTTACTTGCTTGCTTACTCACTTACTTACATGCTAGCTTACTTGCTTACATTCTTACTAACCTATTTGCTTGCTAACATGCTTACCTATTTAGCTACTTGCCTGATTACTTGCTTACTTACATACTTACTTGCTTACCCACAAGATAACTTGCTTGCTTATTTACTACTTATTTACATACTTGCATACTGACTTACTTCCTTACCTACTTGTCTACTTACTTTCTTGCTTATTTGCTTACTTGCTTGTTTACTTACTCACTTACTTACTTACTTACTTACCAAATTACCTACTGACTTACTCATTTACGAACTTATTTACAAACTTACTTTGTTACTTACTTATTTATTTACTCACTCACTTTCCTACTTGCTTTCTTACTTACTTACTTGTGTACTTTCTTACTTGACATTGTTATTTGATATTTTCAGTGCTTGTGTTCTTGTGTTTGGTTCATGTCTAAAACCCGAAAGCATGCTTCATAATCATCTCACTGGATCACCTTTTATAAACCAAGCCTATTCTGTGCAGGACTTCCTGTTCACTTGTTTGTGTAGTGTATTTTGTACTGGTGTGCTTTCTGCTTGTGTCTAACAGAACCACAGCTGTTGGTGCGGTTTGACATCTGGGAACAAGGAAATGTTAGCCCCATACAGCTGAGTGATAAACTGCAGGGGGCGCTACGTCATGCACTCTGTGATGCTGTCATGGAGCTGAGAGTCTTGCCAAATCCTCTATGTCAGGAGGTTTTCTGCTCTGCAAACAAAGCTCAAAAAGAAGAAGCCAAAGGTGAGGACATCAAAAATAATTATTTCTGACTGCAGCATATCCCCTCTGTGTGTCCCCTCAGTCATTCCATCATGGCTCACTCTGAGATCTAAAAGTTCAACTGCCTAAGGACATACAGTATACCTTACAGGACCTGTTGACCCCAAATGGGACTGCCAACTGTAAGACCTAGACACAGTTGTTGCCCAATTGTCTGTTTCTGAATCTCTGTCTACTCAGACTTGTGTATCTGTCATTATACAGTCTACACACAGCTGTCCTCATGGACAGTTTACAAAGTTAGAAAATAAAGGAAATGTCTTTGTGATGCTGTATAGGTGCCTACTTCAGCTACTTACTACCATATATGAGTGACCATATCTCTTCTTTAGGTCTGCTGATCTCTGTGCCTGAAGCAAAGGAAGTAAAGGATGGCCCCAGACCATGCAGTGGCTCACGGGTCTTCAAAACAAGCCCTTCTCCCATCACCATAACCCAAGCTGTAGGGACCTCACCCATGACAGGGTCTAGCACACCTGAGTCCACCACTCCCACCAACAAGAGCACCCGCCGCAGTTTCTGGGATATACTGGTCAGTTTCTTCAGGGGTCTAACCACTGAATCCTGTTCTTTGTTTGTAGACTCGACATTTCCCACAGCCGCATGTCCTACAGTGAAGTGATGATACCTGATTTTGCAGTATTGATTCTATAATGTAGTGTAGTATGATATTTATTGAACTGTGAGATTTTTGAATTTGGTGGTTATTCTGAAACATACATCAGCTAGGGTTAAGGTTAGGGTCTCCAGTGGCCCTTACCCTCTTCACTCTATAAAAGTGATCATCATGGTAACACTGCCACACAGCAGAGCATCTGCAGCAACGGTTTGGAGGAAACAACAAGACAAGAAGCGTCAAAATATGATGAGTAACTTTGAGATGAGAACATTGAGATGAAAAATTAGAGACATGCAGAGAAGAGAGGAGGCAAGACAGGAGCTCAGGGTGCTAGGTCCCTGCAGTCTGAGCTAACCCTATCCCTGATCCTGCAGCTTAACTAAGAGCTGGTACAAGCCTGAGCCAGCTATAACAGCACACATCAACAATAAGTCCAGCTCTAAGTATACTCTAAAAAAAAGAGAGGGTGTCTGCTCCCCAGACCTGAACTGGTGGAGGATTTTAAATAAGAGGGGCCTGATTTTTCTTGTATAACCTTGCATAAAGACGTTAGGTACCACAGCAGGCCGGCATTCTGGCAGCTCACTGTTTTAGAGGGGCAGTTATTATAGATATGATGGTTCCTAACTGTCATAGGTCCGAAAAGGGGTTTTAAGTTTTGTCCTAGAATTTATGAGGAGGCCATCACAGAGAAGCAGGAAGGACATGCTCTTTTTTCCTAGCTCTAGCCAGAGCTGCAGGTTTGTGGACCAACTGAGTGTGTTTGAAGACTAAAGGAAATCACACTAATCTAACCATGAAGAAGGTTTGCTGTGTCCATTTGCAAAAGGATGGGTCTGAGAAGAAGCTGTCCTTAAATTTTTGTATGTAGTAATCAAAGCATAAATCCTGCTTAATGATTATCCTGAGATTCCAAACTGTGGTGCTTGCTCCAGGATCTGAGGCAGTTAAACCATCAGAAAAGATTTCTCTGTGGTGTTTAGGGCTACAATTGTCTTTTAAAAGTCAAGTAGCCAAAAGTTCCTGGTCACCCTGGTCGTTGTGTTTTTGATGCATTCTTCTAGTTTAGCTAGCTGGTGGGTCTCTTCTTGATTCAGTGATAAATATAACTGAGTGTCATCAGCAAAGCAGAGAAAGTTTATAGAGTATTTCAGCGTGATATTACATGGAGAAAGCACAAGTCTGTATCTCTGTCAGTTTGCCTGTTGGCTGGATAGGTATCTGAGATTGTTTCGCATTAAAATGAGACAGTGTACCACCTGAGAATCTCAAATTGTTGGTTGGTTGTTGTCACCAGAGACCACGTTGGGCATTTGTGACAATTGTTTGTTCCTTTCTTTCCTTGCAGAGTAAGCCAGACTCATCAGAGCTCGGGAGCCCAAAAACAACAGATGACATTGTTCAAGAAAAGGGAGAAGAGGGTCGAGCAGCACGAAGACGACACAAGACAGAGAGTGTGAAGCAGCAGTGGAGTCAGGAGAAAGCCATGGCTGTAGAGCTGGAACAGGCCCAGAGGTAAGTATTCTGAACCTGCAAAGACTTGACTCAAAGTTCATTCTGTCTTCTTGAAAGTGGATTGTTCCATCATTTTGTGGCTTTGCAGGAGACAGGTCTCTCAGCTGGAAGAAGGAGATATCGGCACGCTTCACCTCATCTACCAAGTCACTTGCCAGCCCTGGATAACCTTCATGGCTAAACTTGGTAAGTGATACTTTAGTGTAATTTCATTGTTGGGGAAAAACTGGTCTTCATGAGGAACCATTTGACATTCGGCTGAAGTGCGTCTCTTTCTGTCTCTCCTGCTGACCTGGCTGCTGTAAACAGACTGCCCCTCCATTCAGCAGTGCACAGCTGAAATAGCTTCACACTTTCTCCTGCCATCCATCTTGGCAGAGATTGTCAGTTTGGTCAGTTCTCTGGCCAGTGATACAACCGTGAAGGCATTTGAGAAGAAACGGTAAGGTGCTGGGGCTACAGGTCGGTGGTTTTTATCACTTTTCAAAACAACAAGAGGACATGTATTTAAAACGTTTTTACTCTCATTTTTCTTTTTTCCTTGTAATGAATTTTGGCTGAGTCAAACTTTCACATCCTCGTTTTTTCCTTCTTTTTTTTTTCTTTCTTTTTTTTTCAGTGGTCTTTGATTGACTGTAATGATTGCAGTCAGTGCTTATACACTTTCTTACCAGCCTCTATTTTATAACATTTCAGGCTCTTTCTCCTGAAGTACTTGCATCACATTTATTGATCAGTTTTCACTGCAGAATTGTCTTTAGCCCACTAAAGTTTTTTTCTTTTTTTCTAATGCAGGAAATACAGAACATTGTCAAAATTTAAAAGCTTTTGAGGATGGTGCAGGGATGAAATTATTCCTGACAGCCTTTTGTAAACATATACTGTACATTTAAAATATTTATTATTGTAACTTTTCCAACTGTACCATAATTGTTTTCTCTTTCTCTGAAACCTTTTTAGCTGTCCTCAGTCCGGAGACGTATTTGTACCATTTCCCCTGGTCTCAAACCTCAACCAGCCTCCAGGCACCACAAAAAGCTTCATTCTCATTGGGCGCAACTTTTATCAGTGGCATTGCAGCACAGAGCAAGGTATTTGCTCATGATTCACAGAGGTCACCTCCTCGCTCAGAGCTGGACATCAGCCCTACCTCCTCAGCTTTACAGAATACACTATCTATGACCTTTACTTCTCTCATCCTCCTTTGTAAATTACAGAAACAGGCCAAGTCCTAAATACCATTAGAATAAGAAACAACAGTGTGAACTTAAGTTCTTATCCATGGTCACAACCATATAACATAAACTACAGTGGAAATAAAAAGTCTGACACCTCTGTTAAAATGCCAGCTTTGTGTGATGTAAAAAAAATCAGACCAAGATGAAGTATTTCAGAATTTTTCCTCCTTTATTCTGACCTTTAACCTGAACAACTTCATTTCAAAAACAACGGGAGATCTTCTCAGGGAGGAGTGAAAATAAAAAAAATAGATGAATGAGGTTGTTTAAATATGCACACCCTTAAACTAATACTTCTGTTGATCACCGTTTGATTGCATTACAGCAGATTTTGTTCTAACACTGACTGGTATAGAGCATGAAGCGACCCTCTCAATGCTTCCCTGTGGGTATGGGGTTTTTCTGCTGATGTGCAGTATTGTTACTGGGCCAAACAAACCTTTTAGAGTAAAGGCCTATAGGATTACCTCAGTTTTATCAGATCATAGGTCAGTTCTCCACATGAGACTTCAAATTTGCTTTTGTTAAATGTCTCATTTTCTTTTCTCAGTTTTTCTATTCTTAATTTTTTTCTCATATTTTTTATATCACAGAAAGCTGGCATTTTAACAGGAGTGTGGAGACTTTTTATTTCCACTGTATATTAAAAGATATCAGAAAGAGGTGAGGTGGGCAAATTTGCCAGTGCTAACAAAAAAGTTCCTGTAAACGACCTTTAGGTGTGAAAATCGTGATGATAGTGTTTGTATAGAGAGAATTGGACGTGCATTTTGCTAACATGACTCAGCCAGTAATTTAAGCTGAAAATATTGATGGTAGGATGCAGCACCTGTTTTTAAATCACAGGACTCAGTGGGACAGAGAGTCATTTCTCAAATGAAGACAAAAAAAGCAAAAGATTGATTTTGAAGATTGTACTGATCAACAGACAGATATGGATGTGCAGAATCAGCCTTGAGTGAAGTCAGGGTGCAGCATGTTCCTAACACATTCAACCTTAGAAGACGTGAAGATGAGAAGATCCATGCATGAGTGTTTGAGCTTTCTACATGCTGTCCTCTCTGCTGCACCTCTGTGTTTCTCTGTTCATGCTCTCAGCTGTCTAACTCAAGTGTGTTTTTTTTACTACTGTCTGCTTACATTCGTTTGTGTCATGCTGTCTTTCATTGTCCATGCTACCTTGCTGTTTGTACCATGTTGCCTACAGAGGACAGTTCAGATGAGGAAAACGCCCCTGTGCTTAATAGGTTCACACGTAAGTTTTCCTTTCAGCGAGCTACAATCCTGACTGGGTTTTTTCTTACAGATTGATAGTCTAAGGCAATTTGAAGAGGGTGAGGGCCACTGAAAAATTTGGAGGTCTGATCTTATTTTCAGTTTCTGTCTTATTCTCAGGGTTTAAAACTGAATTTTGACTTTTTTCTACTAGTTCGGACTGTATGGTCGGTAGTCTGACTCGGATTTGTCAGAAAACAGCCAAAATAGTGAGTTAAGAGTCATAACTTTGAAAACAAGATCAGACTTCAGCAATTCTGAATTGTGACCTTTTATCTTATTTTTTAGAGGTACAAAAAGTTTAGACACTTGCATAAAAAAATCAAATGACAATCCTTTAAAATGTGCTTTTGAATGTAGAACTCAGATTTAGAAAGTTTTATTGTGACTCACCTTTAACTTTTGAATCAAAGTTTTTAAATAATTTTCTGTTGTCTGTAAGTAAATAATAGGCCCATATTTAATAAAGACAGGTAAAAACGATCTGAGGTTAAGTTGCAGTTTGCACGCAGGCTTCTTTATTTTTGATTTAGAGTACAATCAGAGAAAACTTAGTAAACAGCGACAGAGTGGTGAGTTTTGTCCAATGAAAAAGTCAGCAGATTTGCCTGTTGCCATGTTTCTTTGGAAGATGCTTAAAATGTTCAGAAAGTAAACACTTTAATAAGTTTGGCATTTTTGACATTATTAAATGCAAATTTAAAAGTTTTAGTCTCTCTGTGGGGGAAATAAAATATCTTTCCACAGGTCAAAAATATTGGTCCTTTCTCTGATAATGTTTAATTTAAAATAATTTTTATTTAGTTGTCATGACCACAGCATGGGTACATAAAAACAACCTGTGCAGTTCTAGTGAAATGTGGAGAGGGGTCTGGCTGCAGACCTCTAATAGGAGGACCCACCTCCACTGGGTGAAACAGAAGTTGTTTGAAACCTTTCAAAGTAAAAGCAAACATACCAGGAGTACGTTTCTTTTTTTAGGGCCGTAGTTGATTCAAAGCCTTTAAAAAGAAAAGCGATTAGACTGGGAAGTACGTATTATTTGTCTCGTGTGAATGTAATTTCTTTCTTGGGGCTTTATTTTGGGTTTATAATTTTAATATGATTTTTTTTGTGTGTATTAATATGTTCAACAAAGACAAAATACAGAACTGGATGATCACTTCAAAAAAACTGAAATGCCTGAGAAATAATGTCACCTCAGGTCCTCTCAGTGGACATTTGCAGCCAGACTGTCTTGAAAATGCGGGGAATGAACACGCCCTCCTTTGAATCACTGGTCATGTTCTGCACTTTTTCTCCCTCATTAGGCTTAAATTTTCATCAAACTAAATCATTATTTAACCAATCTTGAGGAACTTTGTTCGATAATAATTTGAGGACCATAAAAACAGTATAATAATAGGCTAATAAAAATATATCAAAAACACATGTCAGAGTCATGTGTTCCCTGTTTGCTCCTGTCTGAGGATGAAAAAGCAACAGTCAGGCTGGTTAGTAGAGAGCCATGTGGGGGAGAACAAGCCTGGCTGTGGTTTGGACTGCTTTTCCATTTCACTGAGTTGTTCTCTCTCTTCTGTCCAGCTCACAAAGGCTTCCAGCGCTTTGAGGCTCTTGAGCAGAGTGATGGGTTCAGTCCTAGTCATGCTATGGCAGGACTGGCTCCCCGCCAGAGGTTCCTCTTCATCAGCATCTTGGACAAAAAGGTGACACCATGTTGAAGTTTCTGTGTTTTTGGCCAACCAAAGAACGAAAAAGCTCCTACAAATTCAGAAGGTCTTAGTTACCTCCAGAAGCATGGAAGTGTGCATACGATCGTTAGGTGTTGTCAGTTCTGTTCATTTAATAACTTTAATAACTTCTTAGTGATTTATTCAGCTTTAGCACTGAAGGCATTTTGAGGGCTAGATGAAGAGAAATCCTAAATGAACGTTAATATTCATGCATTATACTACTGTACAATACTCAGTCCATTCATTGGGTTGAATTTGTTAATAGGAACATGTTTGACCCCTCACCACCTGTTCTCATTTAGTCTCAAAGGTATTGGCTGTAAGAATACAGAAATACTTTTATACTATGGTTATACCAACGTTCACAAAGCTTTGGCTGATGGATGTGAAAGTGGGAAGATAAATACACTGGCTTCATGGACCAGTACCACAGAACTGTCAGAGTTCAGGATCTGTGTATTAAGAATTAAACAGTTGATCTTAGTCAGTGAATTAGGAAAGAGGAATAGGGCCTCAAGAAAAAAAAATGAAAAAAATGTCCAATATTATTTTTTATCATAATCGAGAAAAAAAGGCAGAATTCTGAGTTTTTTTCTCTCAGAATTATGATAAAAAAATAATATTGGACCCTTTTTCATTTTTTTCTTGTGGCCCTATTCCTCTTCTGTAGTAAATACAGTTAACAAAGACTATTTTATTTCTCACATATTTAATGATCATTTAGTCATAATGACTTATAACCATTCTTTGAGGGGGGATTCCTGTGTGTCTCATTTCTGAGCCGACACAAAACTCCAATAAAAACTCAGGGTTAAACCAACCTTTAGGTGTTTGTGATATGTCATGTTTCACAGTATAATCCTCCTCCCTCAGGTGACCCTGTACAGCTATAACTGGTCTGTGGACCTTGGTGCCTCTCTCAACCGGGAGCTCATCCGCCTTGTTAACTGGCAAAATGCAAGGGCCCATGTTGTCCATTGTCTGCTCAACCAGAAGATGGGCCTTTTTCATCACTTCTGTTACTCTGATGCACCCATCCATGAACTGGACTCCAAGCAGGTAAAGACCCACCTAGAGGAACTTAAACCCATAAACCTGAAATCCTGTGGTTAAATCCAGGCAGGGGATCTGCTGATCCTCACCCTTTCTCTGTCTGTCTGTCTGTCTTTCTCCCTCATTGAGGTGAAACGTCGCACTCCCACAAAGCCTGGTTTTCCTCTCACAGTAATAAACTTTGTATTTGAAGGCGTCACACTTTAGAACAGAATATAATTAAAAATACATGTAGACGAAATTCAGCCTAATGCTCAATAATGTTCAACTTTGACTGACATTATGTAAGCTGTAATACAGCCATAGTCTCACAGTCTTAAGTTAGCCTAATATTCATTTCTTGATTGATGATAACTTCATCATGAGAAGACTTTTTAACAAACTATGTTTTGAGGTTTTGTTTATACAGATAATTGTAAGCTTTTGAGCGGATGGGAGACAGAGAGCAAGTTTAATACCTTATTCTTCGATAAAGACTCAGACATGTCTCCATCATCTTTATGATACTTTTCAGATAACAATACAGTACAATACTAGAACTTCATTGACCCATCAAGGTTTTGGGGGTCTTTCATGCCTAAAATTCTCAATACTGCTTGGATAGGAGAGGATTCAGAGAAAGAAGGAAAACCAGGAGGACATGCGATATCAGCCTTCATGGCGGTTGAAATGAAAAACAGAATGTCACCTACTGATTAGATGCTGCAATAATTCAAACTGAAGTGAAACCAAATGAAAGTACTGGAGTTAAAAACCTCAGAGCAGATATTATTAAACACACAAAGGCTTCCAAACAGAGGAGATGTGATGAGCCAGGAGAAAGAAGTTGTTAAAGTATCGAGCTCAACTTTAAAACCATCAAAACACGAATCTAAACAGTGTTTCTAGTCTGTGCGTGAGTCAGAGTCACTTCCGATTGTGTGGCAAGACGTCAGTCTGACAAGTTGTTAGAGATAGATCGTAATAATGCCTGCTAGTTATGAAAAATCTTTAGGAGTGAATGTACAATTTCAAAGAAACAAACACAAGACAGTGGTGAACATAGACAGGTGCTGTAGCTCTGCCCTCTGACCTGTTTCTCAGTAATCAGTGGATACCCCTCATTGTTGAGGTCTCTTCTGTCTGTAAAGCAAAGATGAGTTTGTTTCAATTATCCTTTGAGGGGCAGTTTCATACTCCTGGAGCACATTAACATCCAGAGATGAATAGAGGTTTTTTCTGTTATCATTTTAGAGGTTACAAGGTGCTGAAAATACAGTGCTGTTCTTACATCGTGGTGTCATTTAGAGCAAGGCTTTGCAACAAAGAAAGACACTAAATGACCTTTTAACCTCCCCCTCCCTCGAGCCAGTTTACAAAACAAGCTGAAAGAATTCAAAGATTTCAACTTTTCCTTTCCCTTCAATAGTCCTGTTCATCAACACCACATAACTAATGAGTCCAGACAGGAGGCAGAGTCAGAGCAGCAGAAAATTTGCCTGAACAGAGCTTCATCTGTCATGGTCCTGATGAGAAGCAGAGGGAGCACCAGTGCTCATTTGACCCTCCACCCTGTGGGCATGCTGCAGTCATCTCCCCCACACTGGGGCATCTGGCCCTTGAGCTGCTCCACTGAACAAACTTGCCTGAAAGTTCCTCTCAACAGCAACCAGGGCACATGAACATTGTTCCCGAAGTATCCAGCAGTAAAAATTACAGTGATATCCAACAACATGCATAAACAAGTGCACTCATTATGCAAGCAGCATGGTTTATTTATTTATCTCCCTGCTGTGACACAGGGCTGTACAACAGTGCAGGCATCAGTCCCTACATGCTACACAGAAGACCATGAGTGAAAAAAGAGGATACACTTCTGATGAGGATGAAGTGGAGTAGCAGCTGATCCCAGTGTGCTGTGTAACAGCAGAAGGGTGGACAGAGTGGATATGGTCTTTCTGTGTCCTTTAGACTCAGGCCCTTCACCTTAACTGACATTACTGATGTTTCACAGAAAGACGGTACACCAGTGGGTTCAATACTGCACAGCAGCATCTTAGTAGTGCAGAGGCATCATCCAGCAAAGGAAATATCCTGATCTGTAATATTGAGACTGTATCTCTACAAAGTCTCTGAGTACCCAATACTAGATCAGTGTAAGTCTCCTGTCTTCCATTTGTGTCCCTCTGATCTGAGGTTAGCTAGGAGGCTGGTTAGTCCAAACAGGGTAGCTGAGGTCTTCCTGACTCTCTTCCTGGGGCAGTTGCACAGCTTGTAGCGGTGGTATGCTGGATGGTTGGTTAAAGGAAATGCAGGCAGTGATCATCTCAAAGTCCACTGGACTGAGCCCACCCCTCACTTTTACATATCTTTATAAAGTGATCTACAAATCTGGAATAAAGCTGTCCTCACTGTCAGACTTGTGTTACATCACCTTTGGCCTATTTCCTCTGCTTCAGTATTGGCACTATCTGAACATCAAATTCTTTTCATTTGAGTTTAAAGCTAAAGTAGATATTCATGTTTTAGCCACCTCGCATAATGCATTTGAACCCATCTGTAAGGGTCCATTTGATAAGGTTATAGATCTTTTACCTCCTTCCATAAATCACAGACACTTCTTTAAACTCTTACAGTGAGCACTGATATAAAGATAGACTCAATGACTCTGCCTCTGATGATTCAACACTTCTACATAACTGTACTCTTTTCTCTGTCGCTTATTTAGAAATTGATGCCGGCCTTTTTAACTCAGATGTGTCTCTGCTGTCTGTCTGTCTTTCTTCACTAGAATCCAAACCCATTCCTGAGCTCGTCCATGGAGCCTGATGCCTTGCTGCGCAGTACAGTTCCTCCTTTTCTCAGTAAAGAGCAGGGCAGGCTGGGTAGCTCCGGTCGAATTCTTGCGCCGCTCCACTTCCCCTCTGAGCTGCTTCCCTTTGACGAGGCTCTGAGGGATGTATGCACCATCAAACCCCTGATGGATGGGGATGTGGTAGCCCGGCATGGTGGTCAGCTCCTGGAGATTAAGGCTGCTGAGAGAAGAGGTTAAACTGTCACTGATGATATTTAGGATAAGGACATGGATATTTTCCTCAATTCACACTGTAACACAAACTCTTATGTTGACAGAACTGGAGAAACAGATGAAGATAGAGAACCTGTTTGTGACTTGGCAGCAGAGGTCTGCACAGTCCAACATGCCCATTTCTGTAAGTTCGACATTGCTCTCTCAGTCAAATACAAACATGACTTTTACATCACACCTTTTTTTACTTTCAACTCAACACCAGGTCATTGGTGATTTTTCAGAACAACCATCATTTTGCTCAACATAATAAAATGAACCAGTACTATTTCAGCTTCCGTCCAGTTCACCATAGTTGAGAAATTCCTGATTTTGGTCTTTGACTGGTTTTACTGGTTTTGAAAAAAAAAGGAAAACTTGATCACAAACCAAACAGCAAGCTTTCTAGCTACAGTTCCCCTTTTTTGCAGTCAAGAGAAGTTAAAACTTGTTTCTTTATTTTCCCTGTTTTTAAAAATAATGCAAGCTTGTATGGGTCACACCACTCTGCCATCCACATGAATGATTGATTTATGTAGATCTGATGTAGGTCAATTTTTATCGGAGGCTGGTTTCCTCAGTCTGAGCAGACTTTACCAGGATGTGTCAGAAAAATGGAAACAGCTGCTTTTATTCAGGTTAGGTGTGGTACAGGTTCACTTTGGGTTCAAATAAGGCTGTGCGATGACTTGATTTTAAAATTGTAATCGGATTGATTATGACGATGTTAAAAAAATTAAAATTCTCAAATCCTGCAAGAGCGCTCCTCAGTTCCCACACACACCAGTGTAAACAAACATGGCGTTTGCAAAAGAAGGCAATAATTTCGAGGCTAAATAGGGCAACAGCAAGTCAGTCGTGTGGAATTGGTACGGCTTCACAGTTTCGGATGAAGAGCAAACCACTCCCCGCTGCAAAGTCTCTCTGAAGGCGGTATCAACCCATCCATCAGAAACAAATTCAGAAGTAAATACAAAAGTTTTTTGTCATATTGGCGTTGCATCCACACGGAAACAGAGTTTCAGGTGACTGTAAACAGTACTTTTTGAAAATGGGTCAGAGAGTGCATAAATCTGTAAACGACTATCATTTCATCTCCGTGTGGATGTCTATCTGCATCTCTCTTGAAACAATTATGTGACACACAGCATAACTCTTTTATGGCGCCTGCGCCAGCCAAATTAACCTTTATACCCACGCTCTGTACTCTTCTTCTGTCTTTTGTGTATTTCCTTGGCAGCATTACAGCGCCACTTACTGGCTTGGCATATGCACTACGTCGGATTCAGTGGTTTAGTTTAGAGAGATGACAAAAAAAATGTATTAAAGTGAAGTTTGGTGAAGTTGTAACTGAATCAAAAATCGGAATCAAAAATCGAGTTTCCAGAGAAAAGAATCAAGATTTTATTTTTGGCCAAAATCATGCAGCCCCACGTTCAAACTGTCTCTAAAAGTTGAGTTAGTACTTGGCACATCAGAAGAAGAGTGAAATGTTGCAACACATTGAATCTGACCTACAAGCCAGATTTTTTTCACCCAGTACAAATTAGACTTGAAGTCCATCTGACATGGTTCAGCACACTGTCAGCCTCAGTACCAAGTCTAGTTTTTAATCAACACAACTGTTGCAGTGTCACCCCCTGATACTGAAGTGATCATGTCCATGGATGTCTCAACAGGGAACAGATCTGGAGACTCTGAAACAGTCATCAAGGCTGGTCCACTACTGTGCAACCCCACTCCTCTTTGACCCTGTCTTTCGCAAGCAGATCCAAGAAGAACAAATCATTCCGCCCCCAGTAAAGGTGCGTTTGCTGTTTGGTGTGTTACACAAAGAGAAGTGTGAACAGTGTGCCAGGTTGTGATAATGCTCAGCTGACAATCATTTCCAGATGCTCCTCCTTCACAGTCTGAAGGTTTGCTTTTTTACATAGTTGGAGGACTGACATATTTGTGGGGCTTCATTAGTGTTTCCATTCTTTACCCACCAAGTCCAACAAAACACATATTTATGGTAATTACATCTGAAGATCATTTTCATGAACTCTCAGTGTGACAGTAAAAGCAGGAACAGTCTTCTAGTGAGACCAGCACAAAAGCCCCCCATCAAGCTCCAGTGTTCTATCTGCACACACCAGTACAGGCAACAGTGACAGTGAGACTTTGCGTGTCAGAGAAATCAAACAACAGATTCACACACTGCAGTGAGTTTTATTTGGATGATGAAGTGATGTGCAGTGGCCTTTAACCTTGATTCATGGATGTACCTCTGTGCCAGAAACGACATCGTTCCAGTGACTCAACAGCCTCAGGACGAGACCGGAGCTACAGCACTGATTCAGGGGACATGTTTCCCTGCCGACTGAAGGAAGAGCCCTGGCTGCTGGAAATCTCCAGCACCTTCCTCCAGCAGTATGTGCAGTACCTGCAGAGCATGGGCTTCATTCTGGTTCAGGTCCGGCCTCAGTCTCCAGCTCGCAGGTCTGTGTCTGTGGGGAAGATTTACAGTTGTGTGTGTACTTCTGATCATTGCTGTTTTCCTGTTACTGTGTTGAAGCCAAAGTGGTACACATCTGTACATCACATCACACTGTAAATCAAGGATTCTGTTGTTTTCACAGCAGGCCAAACTTCTGAATTTGAAAAGTTTACATTTTCAGACAGTGAAAGGACAGTTTGTGTTTCATAAGGTCACTCTCTGTTTCAGTGTGTGTATCTGTGTTTTTGACCTCATAATATTTCATATATTGTCCTCTTCAGTCTCAGATTGTCCCGCAGTCTTCCATCCTTAGACTTTGTTAATCCACTCCTCCTTATGTTTGCTTTGGTGACCTCTGACGTCCCGGCTGTTGGCTGATGTAACAGGGGCAGAAGAAGGCCAGATGTCTGTTCTGTCCTTCCTGCTTGTCACTTTCTAGGCTCAGACCCTGGGACTCTCTGAGTAATGTCTTACTGTGAGCTGTTGTTGACCCATCAGCCTATGATGATGTCTGCTTTATGACCCTCACTGACCTCCTCCTCTTCTTTTCTTACAGCACTGCCCGAGCTCGAGCTGCACTGCTAAGCTCCATGTCCTCAGAAGGGAGGATGTCTTTTTCCTATGTGAAGCAGAAGAGTGAGGACAGCCCTAAGGTTGGTATGCAGTCTTTAGATATGCAGAATTTTTATACACACACACACACGCACACACGCACACACACACACACACACACACTAAGTCAAGACGAGATTTTAACAAATGCCCCGCTAATGCAAAAACAGCCTGAAAGTCCAGTCATCCTGAAATATAGTGCTCTTCTCTTTTTTCCTCATTTCTAATTTACATCAAACTTTCTTTTTTAAATTCTGCAAACCAGAATAATAAGTGACATCCAAGTTCAGAACGATGTAAGTCAAAGCAGAAACTAGATCAGACATTCTCAGGTTTAGTGACGGGTACATGAGGGGCAGAGTTTCTCTGAAGACGGGAGGAGCTTCACCGCTCTGTGAGAGACTGTGTGGGCACTAAGTTGAACATTTTCAGAGCAATGTTCCCCATTGTGAAAGTGTAAGGAAAGGATTTATTCATTTACGGTAGAAAATATCATTCGAAAATCAGAGGATCTGTAGAAAAGTCTGTACAAGAGGAAAGAGACCTGAAACTAATATGCTCTTTGGGCTCTGAGGCGGTACCATGTTAGAACAGACAGGACTCTGTAGTAATGATCCTTTCAAAGCTGTTTGGTCTGTGAACACAGTTCATACCACAACAAATGCAGGTTAAAGGTGTACAACATAGAGAGGGAACAATATATAAATAACAATAAACATACCCAGAAAGCTGGGTGGCTTCTCTATCATCCATCATAAAGAGCAGACAGCCCAGCTCATTATCAGGGCGCAGTTCAAAAACCAGCAGCCTGATGGTATTTGGAGGGGGTGCACCTGTGGCAATGGCTGCTCACACACCTGGGAAGGCACCTCTAATACAGAACATTATCTACAGGTCTTGGAGCAGGATCTGCTGCCATCCAGACAGTGCTTTTTTCAGAGCATGGCTCTGTAGTAGAAGAGTCTTGGTGCCAAACTTGTCCCTCATTGAAAACATTTGGAGCAGTGACACATTTTCTCACAGAAACACGGTTAACTCGTGTCTGGAAAAAATGAGGTGAAGTGAAAGAACACAACAGGTTCTGTCTCGTCTCTCATCCTGCCACTAAAACCTGCTCTTACCTCCTAACTAACTTGTCATTAGATTAAAGTGAGACAACATTCAAACGTTATAGAATATAAAGAGAAAGAAAAAATCCCCTCCATCTTATTTTCAAAAGAGAATAAGCTTGTGTTAGTGATAGACACTGGCCCCGCTTACATGGGTAGTTTTCCTCAATCTGATTGAAATCAATCGGATTAAGTGAATCTGATTCCATCTGTATACATGAACTTTAAGTAAAGAGATCCATGTTCAGTCCCTGCTTTCATGGCCCCAGCTGAATCCAATTGTATTGTATTGTATCAATGGAATTGTTAATAGGAACCATTGTTTTAGTTGAGTTTTAGAGTTGCGCATGGACATGTTTGTGTGTGACACCGCCGGAGTTACCAGACCGAGCAGAGTAAGAAACCCTATGTGTTGAAGTTTAATAAAAGTATAATCCAGCCGGGTTACACAGCAAAAAGAGAACACTTCGTCAGTCGCACGAAACAACACACTTTAACACTCCACCGTCCAGTTTTTCTGTTTGTTCGCCATGTTTGTTTTCGTTTGGGCGCGCTCTGCATACGTCACTACGTGACTCTTACGTACTACCGAGCGCCTGCGCAGACCGAACAAGCCTCTCTGTAAACCCAATCCGCTCCACTCAGCCGTATATATGGAGCATGGAGCGGATTATCAACCGGTGTAGACTACCTCTTACAATCCGACCCGAAATACAATCAGATTGGCTAAGGTGTTTATATGAGACATTTTGAATCTGATTGACCTTTCAATCTGATTGTAAATAGGATTTTTGGACCCATGTAAACGGGGCCACTGTATCTCTGACATTGTTTTTATAGAAACATCAGACTCAATCATCAGAAAACAGTTTAAAAAACTTATTATAGTAAAAATCTATATTATCAAAGATTTGAACTATTGCCATCATCATGGTCTGTCAGAATAAACATGGGACTTCATAATGCCAACAAAAAGCCCAGAGCAAGAAATCACCAAAATTTCCAGAATAAGTGAGAGACGGGCTCAGTTTGCTTGCATGTTATTATAGCTGTTTATTTTCACTGTATCTACCATCACCATCATCCAAATTCAGAGAACCCTCCAGTGTCATTGACTTTCTTGGGACATCGAGGAATAAGAGAGTGTGCTGAGTAAACACAGGGGAAACACAAATGTCATTTTAATCTTACACACAATGAAGGGGAAGTAAAGTTGAAACAGTTGGTTTGTTGTACTCTTACTTTGTTAGATGCGTATAATTACAGGGTATAAGGATATTTAAGTCATACTATAAAATACCCATGACCTTTGACACAGTTTAATGGTCTTCACCATCTTACTGGTATCAACAAACAAAAGAAGAACTCTGTGAAAGCTAATGTGAAAAAGTACCTTTGCCTTACTCTTAAACAAACAAATCAATGGATTATTTAACACAAAGTAAGATATGAGTTATTTGGTATAGTTCAAAGTTAAAGTGTCACATCCCAAAAGATAAAGATGTGAAATACATTTATACTCCACTGAAGTTATATGATCAATACAGTATTTTCCTGCAGTTATAATTGAAGACCATAGAGGTAGTTAAGGGTTTGATTGAAGTAATAAGAGGTGCTGCAGGTACGGTTCAGAGAGGTTCAAATGAACCTTTGAAACACATTATCCTCTCTGTCTATTACCCCTGCAGACTGCTCCCTCTGGCACCACAGCATACCACCTTCAGAGAGCACTACCAGGAGGGATTGTGTTAATGGAGCTGGCTTTTCAGGTAAGGTGGCCTTCATTTGTGAGCAGCACCATGCTTTGTATAAACATCTGTCAAATGCTGACCTCTGATCCAGGGCTGAGAGAGAAGATAATGTTTTTATTTATATTACAGTGGAATATGACTATTTATATGTCAGAGAGAGATAGAGAGAAGGATAGAATGATAGATAGTTTGGTAGGGGGGTCTGTCAGATAGTGTGGTAGGCATATGTATAAATGAAATCACCAGGTCATTTCCATGTAAATCCTTCTTCTTCCAGGGGTGTTACTTCTGTGTGAAGCAGTATGCTCTGGAGTGTTCCCGCATTCCCATGGGCCAGACAGTCAACTCCCAGGTAAATGCTGGACTCTTTATAGTCACAATCCTCATCTGTGCCTTTGGGCAGGTTTTGAGAGAACCAATAAGCCTCATTTGTGTCGTCACTTTTAGAGGCCTTTGTATTTACATCCCTCTAATGTAAATGTCACAGAGGTGAGATGGTGGGAACGAGCCCCCTGCACAGCTTTCACATGAGGTCATACCAGATGTGTTAGGGCTCATTTATGCTGTCATTACAGCCGTAAATAGATCCATCCTTGCTAAACTGTGTGACTACCACTACCTCCATTTACTGCCAGCATCCTTTACATTGAGATCTATGTCAGATAACATGCCCACCAAAGGGCGCTCAAACAAACTAGTCTTGTGTGGACGTCACTTTTCCCGTGCTGCCACCTGCCTGACATTCAGCTCCTGCCTGGTCTCCGCTCAGTCCTTCTGTTGTAGTCATCTGTGTCTGTGCCTTTGTAGAGTCAAAACTGATATATTCAGAGTTTCTGACCAACTCCCACAATCTACTTCATCTTTCTCCAATGTTCATATCTTTGTTTTACTGTCCACCAGCTGTTGGCTGTACTAGACATAGTGGTGCTGCAACATTTGGTTCATAAATGTGCAGAAATACAAAGAATGGACAGAAATTTGATTGTTTGGGTTCTCATGTCTCAGGTCTTTTCATCTATTATTTACAGTCAAGTCATAAAGTCTGATTGCTGTTCGTATAAAAGATCTTCTGAATCTTTCTGTCCTGCATTGAAGTGAGAGGAGCCCTCCACCACCATTGGCCCTTTGATCCATTAAGGTGTTATTAAGTGGATGAATGAAGTGAAGCAAGTAGAGGACAGCATCATCCACTCCAATGTGTTCTTTGTATGCAAACTGCAGGGATTCCAGTTTGTCTTTTCTTTTTATTGCTGTGTCCAGAGATGGTACTGATTCCTCTCCACACTTCACGTTCATGTTGCTGTGTTGTAAATTCTTCTCTATCTTCTTTTTGTACTCCACCTATCCATCTTCAGTCTCCTCTTCAACTCTTATTGCACTTGTTTGAGTTGTTCTTTGTCACCATCTTTAAAAGCTTTCTTTTTCTGGTTGAGGATTGCTTTTATGTCTCTTGTGATCCATGGTTTGTTGTTGGGGAAACAGCAAACAGTCTTTGTGGGTATAACTGTGTCTCTACAGAAGTTGACAAATTAAGTAAAGCAGTCAACCTGTTTATCAATGTTCATACTATCCACATCTGTTTCCAGCAGCACATTCCAGTCTGTTGTTTTAAAACAGTCCCTTAGAGCTTCACTGGCTTGAGGTGTCCATCTTCTTATTTAGACTTTGGTCACAGGCTGCCTCAGTACACAAGGTCTGTAACAGGTTTGGAGATAGACCAAGTTATGATCTGACTTGCCCAGTGGTGGTAAGGCAGTGGTTCTGTAGGCTTCTTTGACATTGGCATCAGGAAGAGTTGAAATTGATAACAGCTTTTTTAACTGTTTTTCACCCTTTAGTTGTTTTTCAACATTTTCTTTGTTTCTTGTTATTGGTTCTCTTTGACACGATCACACTCTTCCAGCCTTGGACTTCCCTCAGTATTCCAGTTGTTGAAATCATTTTAACTAGATTTATGAGTTAGTTTGAGAACAGATCTGGATCTGGGATTCAGCTGTAGATCCTCCATTCCTGTAGGGCCTTTCTGTTTTCTTTAAAGAGTTTATACTGAAACTCCAAAGTGCTCGATCTGGAGACCAGCCGTATTCCTCTACTGTGTGCATGTAGGTGTGTGTGTGTGTGTGTGTGTGTGTGTGTCGTCTTAGTCAAGGTCTGAGAGGTTTCTCATTCATTATTGTCGTATGTTGATGAGTCTGGCTTTCCATCCATCTGTTTGTGTGTCTGCCTAGTCCCACCACATGTCATCTCTCCATCAGGGCAGCCTCCTCACCAAACCTCGTTGCAAGCCGTTCCCAGATGTCACCCCTGTATCTGACTGTGCGGTATGTTCCAGATATTCTCAAGGGAGGGGTGAACCACTACAATCAGGTGTCACCTCTGCCTGCCGCTCTGCTTGCTGCAATCCGTCCTGGTCTCTTTCTTTGTTAATTTTAATGTTTGGGTAATTCGGGCAATGAGTGGGTTTCTGCAATCATTCTGCCACCATGTTCATCACAGTGGCTGGTGACAGTAACCTTGGTAAGATGGACGAAGGATCTCAAAGTCTTGCTTGTATTTTCTGTAGCTGTGGATCAGGGCTGGGTCAAGCTCCCCGTGATTTGCTCTCCATCCTTTCGACAGGCTGCCCATCTCCATGCTTGCTGGTTTTGAAATTCATGGGTGTCTCAGCCTCTCATTTTTTTTCAGTGTCCGTGCAGCCACTGTTGTTCTGTTTGCCATTTCATTTACATACTCACTGTTTTTCCTCTTACCTCTCCGGTGTCCTTGGTGTTGACTGAAGCTGTATCATTTTTTTTTTCTCTTTTACTGTTAGCCTGTGTTGTGATGATTGTATGAACACAGTTTCTGCTGCTCTGCTTGTCCTTGGAAATTACAGCATCAGTGAAGTCAGGCTATTTCACCTGACAGTCAGTTAATTCAAGTTGTTCCATTGATCAATATTACTTTTCTAAATGGCCACTTTTGTGAGTTTGAAGGTTATGTATGTAGACTCTCTCAGACATCAAAAGTAGGGAGGCTGCCGGTGCTCCATGTAGTTTTATCAAGACAAAGCTATTGGATGTAAGACAGCCATTTGATGTGTTAAGACTAATAAAGACTGACCCAGAAAACCTCCTTCTCCAATAAAGCACAAGCATCAGGAGGAAATGAAGAGTAAAGGGACAGCTTTTTCTTCATGGTTTATCTACAGGATCCTGTCTAGGAAATCAAAGCTGCTGACTACTGCTCCTGGTGCTGTCATAAAGCACCATCCATTTAATTAGATTCTTCAAAATGTTAGTAGTAATCCAAGGCTAAAGGTTTTTCTGAGGAAATAAAATAAAAATATACGAAATATGATTGTATTAAAAGCAACAGGAAAAAGAAAGGGCAGAAGAAACCCCAAATAACCAAAGACAGTTAAGTTTTAAAAGTATTTCGTGTTTGATATACAGAAAGTTTATGTATAAAATGTCATATTTGAGAGAATCATCCCACAGAGGTTAGGTCACTGGGCTGAGTCACATTCTTTACATATGTTTTCTGCTCATTTAACCCTTTATGGTCCAACCATCAGTGGGTCTCATCCATGACATGTTAGTATTTACACAGAACCATCACTGGTACTAAAAATCACTCTGGGTTCATAAACACTGCAGAACCATACCAAATGTGTTATATATTGATTGTTATAATTATGTTTAAATGACGTGATTCAAAGGCCAACTGTGACAATAACAGATAACAGTATAAATTAAAATAGAGATTATTTTCTGTGAAATCTTCTCTCGCACAAACTCCTCTGGAGCTCAGGAGCAGCTGCAGATTTAGTGAGAAGTTACAAACAAAGAACTACTAAGATATTGATGAATGACGTTTGCCTGTAAATTTCATTCTGCTCATGCTTTCTTGAATGAGACCTGCTGTCATTGTCAGGAAATTGTCACTATTATTAAATCACCATTATTAATCTTTTTTTCTTTAAGTGAGGCTGACCAGAAGTTATTTTTTTTTAGTTACACAGGTTTAATATCAACGTAAAGGAAAATGACAAATCTCAAGATGATGAACAAACTGCAGACAGAAAATGCTCTTTTTTTTAATTCGGGGTCAAAGGGATGTCTGTGATCTCTGTGGCTCTCAGACTTACAGAGCGATAGTCTGCAGGGTCAAACTGACTTGTTACCATCACAGGGGATCAAACTGACAGAGGTTTTTTGCTTTTCTATCAGAAGAACAATCTATCTCTCTGCGACTCTGTTAATAGTAATGACAACGTTCTCGTTCTGAGATATGAACACTAAGATAATGTCTGCAGTCTGCTGTCCCTTTCTTAGATTAGCAATTTCTAATGTAGTAAAGAGGTCATCGTTAAAAAAGGAGGTTGTTCCACATTTATGCTGGCGGAATTTTAAAGGCCCCTGTGCAGTGAGACTGGGTTTAGAGTGACCCCAATGTGGAGGGAGTCTTTATATATGTTTTTTCTACCTTGTAACCATCTTCTCATGGATGTCCTGTCACCTGTTTTAGCTCTCCATGCTGTTTACAGAGGAGTGTGATAAGGTGCGGGACCTGATGCACGTTCACTCCTTCAGCTACGACTTCCATCTGAGAGTTGTTCACCAGTACTTGGTCGGCTGCCACATGACACTTCGACAGAGCTACCAGCTCACCGACTTCCTGGACGACTTCATCTCCCATCATCCTGACATCCCCAAGTTTGGCCGGAACCACGTCTTCCAAGGTGACTTTGGTGGTGATTAATAACTGCAGCTCCTGTGAGGCGGTTTTGGTGGGTTAGGAAACAAGCTGGAGTAACAGAGTGGTTTCTCTAGGACTAACAGATCTAAGTAAGACCAAAAATGACAAGACTGACAAATGTTGTGTTCAAGATTTATTACCCACCTTTCTCCGACTTGTTTATGCAGTTTGACCTCTAAGTCAAAGCCCAGTTTGAGAACTGCGGAGTATACACAAAGGGCCCAAGCCAGTTTGAGCCCAGTTGTGTTGTATACATGCCAGTGAGAGTAGGTCCCCAAAAGAAATCTGCCTCTGTGTGATTTTGGTGCTGCTCCTGTACTTCAAAAGGAACTCCGTGTAATAAGGCAGATAACCTTACTGGAAAAAAACACTGTTTTCATATGTATGTATGAAAGTGTGAATGTTCAGGATGATCTGGGATGTTGTGAGACTTTCAATTTTTTAATTGTCTGATCATTGTGGCGATTAGGGAGTTTCTCCATCTCAACGGGGATGATAACAGCCCACCAGCTGTACAACTATATCACTGACCACGCCAGCACCTACAGCATGAAGCCCCTCCGCATGTCTAAGGGTACAGTCAGCAACGATAACAAGAAAGGAACACCAGACCTACATGAGTATGCACTGGTGGCTCTCTGGAACAGGTAAAGTACTTCAGGACCTGATACTTTCGATAACATATGTTCTCCATTCTTAGTAACTTTGTCTTCATATTCTCTTGGTTGTCTCTTTCCTCACTGCAGCTCTGGCTCTTATAAGGACCTGGAAGGCCTGCACCACCATGATGACTTTGACGTGTCCTTGGTTGCGTGCCACAATGCTGCCCCCTTTGAGGAGCAGTCAGACGGGGAAAGGCATTTGCTGAGGTACATAGATGTGAGATTTAAGTGTAACATCACACAGTACATGCAAACCATACAGGTGTGTGTTTTAACTTCTACCTGCAGAACTTTTTTCTTACTCTCAAAGTACTTGTTAAATAACCTTTTTTTAATGGGTGCAACATTTTCACAACATCTTCTTAACAACATTGAGGGTGTTTCCTGCTCTTTCACCCGTTTCCTGCTCTCTCCTGTCCTCACTTCTGCATATTCCATACCAATTTACCCCCAAAAGCCCCAAAACATTCTTAAACAGATAATAACTCAGCGCTCATCTTTTAAAAAGGACCTGTTACAGTCTGTTTTCGTTTTTCACCTAGGTTGCGGTTCTATGTAATCATGACCAGTCAGAGAGAGCTCTTTCCTCGCCTCACTGCTGACATGCGCCGCTTCAAGAAACTTCCTCAGATCCATCGTGATCCTGATGAGCCGGGTGGTCGGCTGCCCCCTGATCGAGCAGAGGCTGGTGGACCCCAGAGCACTGAACAGGACCTTTGGGAGGAAACCTCGTCTGAAGCAGCAGCTGCCCTGACCCCCATTGATAGCAGTGAGTTTTTCCCTGTGGCAGGGGCTGGGGCAGACGCAGAGGTCCAGGGGCTGCTCTACCCGTCTCCACTGTTCCCTCTGCTTAATAATGAGGTTGCATCCGCCCACCGACTGATCCAGGCCAGTGTGGAGCAGGCCATGGGTCACTGCCGCAGGGATAACCTGTGGAGAAGGTTGTTCCATGGAGAGCACCTGGCCCTGGACAAACTAAAGCTGACCAAGCTATCGTTCGGTGAGCTGGAGGAGCTTTTGGAGGCTGTGCAGAGCCGCTCAGTGGGAGAGATCGACCCGCAACTGGTAAGAACATTCCCTCAGCTGTTTTTCATCCTCTAATCTTTGGTGGTAGATCAGAAGATGGTATTGGGTGATATTCCACTTGAGCCTCAAATCTGAAGAACTTGAGTGCTTCTCTCCACTGAACATGGAGGGTTTTAATGAATCACTAGTGATAGATTATACGGTGAAAGTCACTGTGATGTGTTTTGTTGCAGGACTGTTTCCTGACCATGAGTCCAGCCTGGTATCAGAGTCTGATCAAAGTTCTGCTAAACCGTTTCCCCCAGAGCTGCAGACACTTTGATGACAACGGCATTCAGTATCTGGTGAGAAGTTTGTCTCTGAATCTCTGTTTTACAGTGGGATCTTCCAAAGGGGTTGTGTAATGTGCTGTTTGTATTTACATCGGTACAATAAGACACCACTATAAGCCTTACAGCTGTGTGTTCAATGAAGGAAACTGTGAGTTCATATGGAAGAAAAAACTCTTGAGGGACTGTTTGAACTTTGTACGATCATGAGATCTTTAAATCACTAGTTTCATTTGTGAGCAGGAAAGCTGTAGATGAAACAAATGTTCTTTTTAACACAGTTCAGTGATATGAGCTGCATCAGATTTTATGAAGTATTTATGAGTTTCAGAAGAAGAACTTTATTGATCCCCAAATGGAAATTCAATTGTCTAGTCTTATGTCTCAAGTCATCTACTATTTACAGAAGAAATATAAAGTCTGATGGCTGTGAGTAAAAGAGGTCAAGGTCAAACTAACAGGATATAGTTCCTTGTGTTAAAAGTGTGAAGTCTGCAGAGGCAGTTTCATAGTTGCATTCCTCTTCAGCAGATCTCTGATTTCATGTCCTCAAACAAATATTCACATTTTATTTTCAACATGAACCCAACAGTACCCTTATGTTGGGAGAGTTAATAAGTACTTAAGTGATTTTAATTAATTCTAAATAAAACATGATTGTTGGTGGTTTACCTCTCAATCTTTTCCCTTAACAGGCCGTTCTGAACCAGAAGTTCACAGACTGCTTTGTTTTAGTCTTTCTGGACAGTCAAGCTGGAAAAACAGTAAGTCTTTAAACTGATATAGTTTTATATCAAAGTACCAAATATTTGGACATCAGACATTGGACATTTTTCATCATCTTTCCTCCACAGAGTCTGAAGGTTGTGTTTCGTGAACCACTGCCAGCCCAGCAGCAACCCAGTAGCAGCCCACCTCCTCAGCTGGTATCCATGTATCATCATCTGGAGTCTGTCATCAACACCGCTTGCTATAACCTCTGGACAGGACTCTTGTAGAGCCCATCATTAGTGGATCCAGGCCTCACTTCATGTCCATGTGACTACATTTGTAATAGGACAGAGACTTTAGCATGAAGGGGTGATCACTGTCAGCATGCTCCCTGATGGAGCAGCATCAAAGAAGCCTGATCTCCAACAGGAATGTCGCTGCTACTGCAACACCTGATCAGCTGATCAGATCCATACTAAAGACGTTCTCACGTGTCTTAAAATTAATATCCAGCCCAGGTCGGAATCAGAGGCAGGGTCTTAATCAAGCCCTTCACTTCTCTGTCAGTCATGCTTCGGTCAGCCCACACAGACACTAAAAGAGGTGAGGGAAAAAAATCTGTGACACCACTGACTGTGAAATGATCCAATTTAGTCAGAGAAATCCCACTCCGATCAGCATCAGTGGAAAAACCCTTAAAATCATCCCAGTACCAACTTTACTAGTGCAACCTGAAACTCTGTTGTCTGTGTACATGTAGTAAAAAGTTCTGGAGATCGCAGAAGCCTAATGTTCCTCTTTAATGAGTCGTTTCTCTTCAAACTGGAAATACAGACAGAACTTTAAAAAGTGTAATCAGTTTGTTCATTGGACCACAAACGTTTTGACAATGCTTTGACAGTTTCTAGACTCTTCTCTATCACCCCCCCAGTCATGGATTCTTAAATCATGGAGTAAATCAGAGGACCAGCCCCCATGTTAGTCTGTCGCTGAGTGTGAGGACTGAACTCCTGCTCAGTTATTGTGTATCAAGGTTGATTTAATTAAGATGTCTTCAAAAAATACAGTTTGTGTTCTGCTGCTCAACAGTATTCTCAGTATGTCACATCCTTCTGCAGTAATACTGAAAAAAATTCAACATTTAAGGGGATCTACTAAGGAACACAGAACATTACTGAAGACCAAATGACAGTATACCTAAAACAAATTTATTTCAGAATCAGTCTTGGATAACCGATCTCAGTCAAACGTGAGTTTGTTTGTCTTTTATCATTTCATATACTCAGCATCGCCCACAGTGACTAACAGTTAAACATCACTGTGTCTTTATTGAAGGGGCATGGTATGTACATTTAATCCCAACACTGATCTGTTGTAACCCACTCATGGACACACAGCAGTGCTCCTCTTCTTCAGTGAGGTACCTGGGTTTCACTCTTTAAACGGGGGAGCTAATCAGGGAGGGGGACACAGCTAGTGTTTGTGTTCCCCTTGGCCTGCTGACCCCTGAGGATGACAGGAAGGAGGTCTATGCTGACTCCTCCCACTGGAACTCCTTAATTTCTCACCCCATATTTAAGATCTCTTTTAGCAGAGGAACACTGAAAAGTTGACCTCCTTGTGGTTTTAACAGTGAAGCCTTATTTCACACTCTTGACTGATAATCACCCCAAAGTATTGTAGGAGTTTTCTTTAAAGAAACTAACAAACTCTTCTGGTTATTACATCCCTCTTAGTCTTGAACCCTGTGCCTTTTTGAAAGCATTTTGCTGGCTCCTGATACACCATGAGAGTTACGTATGAGTACAGCTGAGTTGCTGGTGAGCAGAGTGAGTACCTGAACTAACTGCCATATCTGATGTTGTGAAGTGCCTTACCTGGTTTATTTAGTCCTTTTTTTATACCCAGATGTATGAAGGGATGTGGAGTTGACTGTTGTTCAGTCAGCTCTGCATAGATGGTCTTCAGAAACACTCAGCCTGCTGTTCTACAGCCAAAGTGCCTGAGTCCGTTCTGGGAATTATAAAGAAATTGTCTTTCTTCTGAGCTAAAAAGGGTCATTCTACAGCTTGATGTAATCAGAGTAGTGTTTTCTGTGCATGTTCGTAGTAAAAAGCTTTACTTCAGGGTTATGAAATACTCTGCCAAGTGATGCCATCTGGATAAAAGATACACAAAGGCTCGATAAACATGGCAGATTTTCTGAACAGGCTCAGATTTGTATGCATATTCAGAACAAGGACACCAAATCATTGAGTAACTTAGTGGGAGTGAAAAATAAAGACCAAACTGCTCAGAGAACTCGCACTGAATGTGAAACACTGGATGCAAAATGTGAACTGTAACAAATAAGCTCTTGGCATGTTGACTCTGTAATATAAAGATTGCACCGTCACTGTGTATTGTATAGTATTTACATACAGAAATCTTTGTACTATACTTCAAATGCTGAAATAAAGCAGTTGGATGAATGGGAAGATTTTGCTTTTTTTAAAATAAATTTGTGTTTATAACAGCGTTTGAAATGGCTCTGTCTTAAAAACCAATTTTCAAAAACTCTGATCTAGATAACTGAGACCTTGTCATGAATTTGTTAGCTGTAGTGACAGGTCATTTAGCAGATGCTTTTATCCAAAACTTTTTCAAGTAGAAGTAAAAGCCAACTTATTCCCCCAAGATCCATGCTCATGAGATGAGGGAAACTCAATGAATAATGTTATTCAATAATTCGATAATGTCATTCATTAAAGAGAAAGATTTGAAATTCATTATTTCAAACGAGTCAGTAGTCAATGCCGTGACAGAATCTTCAGGTAAGGTCAGGTACATGAGTAAGTAACATGAGAAACTTAAAATGTGAACAAAAATTTATTTGGAGGTCTGAAACCTCAAAGTAAAACACACTTATTGAGAAAAACACTCAAACTCATTATCATGAAAAAGCAAGGAAAAAACTACTTGAAATTATGTCTTCACAGTACTTCTTTAGTCCTGCCATTAACTGATGTACATCATAACTTTACTTTTTAGGTGGTTCACAGTTTGAGCTTTGGGTCGTTTTTGGTAGAACACAGTACTCTCAGTTGCAGGAAACATTCCCAAACCAACAGTGTAAGCTGATAGTCGGAGACCTGCTGAAAGCTGGTCAGGAAAAATGTTCTCTGGTCAGAAACAATGATGGAACCAAATATTCATGAAAGGAGGGGACACAATTACTCTCTGCACTTTGTTAAAAATCTTTTATTACAATTAAAAAACCCTGCATTGTTGTACGTAAGAGCAGCTGTCCATTCGTCTCTGTTGGGCTGAGGCCTTAAGATGAAAAAATTCCTTCAACATGATTTTTGGACCTTCATCATGGCAAACAGTGCAGAAAGGCTTTTCACTGGATTGTAGATGTCAACTCTAAGAAAGGCAAAGTAGAGTTAAAGAGTTAAAACAGAGTTAAAACATAATATAAAGTATTAAAGCCTGTACTATTCAAACTTGTACTTGTGTAAACTGTAAGTACATCGTTGAACCCCTTGCTCTTACTGACAACAGACTGTGACCCTCATTTTGTGGTCGGACTCCTGTTCCAATCACTTCATGTGTTTGCAGTAATCCTTCATCCAGCTCAGACCCTCCTTTGTTGAGCCTATAGTACACAGAAATGATATGTAACATCTGAACAGTCATCCTGGATTTATATGTCAAAAAAGGCTCTTACCTAGTGGCTTGTATTCACAGCCAATATAGCCCTGGTAGTTGTGGTTCTCTAATATGTTGAACAGGTAACTGTAGTTGAGTTCTCCAGCACTGTCTGGCTCGTTTCTACCTGGGACCTGGGCAATCTGAACATGTCCTAGGAAAAAAGACAAAACTCCTTGGAAGACTGGGCTTTTCTAGTTTTGTGACTGAGTCTTTTATAGGTCCAAATCACCTTCACATAATCATACCAACAATAATAAACTAAACCAAACAATAACACTTATGATTCTGTTCTTACAAAGTCAGACTTCACAGCGTGTCACATCATCTCACCGATTATGGGCAAATACTTTGAAATGTTGTGTGTGAGGTTTCCATCCATTATTTGCCAGTGAAAGATGTCCTGCAATAGTTTACAGATATGTTAAGTCAAACGGTTCACAGTTCCCACATTTTCTCAGTGTGACTGATATTCCTGAACACATACCATTTGTAGCTTGATATTTGGCTTTCCAACCTTCTCCAGTATTGCAGCAGCTACAGACAGAAGTAAAAAAGCAGAAACCAGCTGAGACACTGTGGCAGGTAGCAGGACTGTGAGAGTGCTGCTGAAGAGGTTTAGAGGTCAGCTCAATGATACTTCTGTCAAAGAAACTATTTATCATTTTACAGCGATCCTGCATCTCTCAGCTGAACATATTAACCATTGCTTTATAAACACCACCCCCAGTCTCAAATCATCTTCTGCTAGAAATTCATTTAGATCCTGCACTTTCACCAGGAGGCTTTCGAAGAACATATCAAAGTTATTAACATTTCGGATCTGGACTACATTTTTTAACAAACAGAGGCTGGTCTGTTTACTGGCCCCCAACAGAGATATGGACTCTCGCCTGATTCTGTTATTGTCAGTCTGCTGCTAAACTGGACCTTGAGACAAGCCGTGGCGTGGTCACTAATGACTTTCCTAATGGTTTTACCCATTTGGAGAAAGACTCTAAATTTATAATGGGTTTTTATTTTTCATAAAACGTTAAAAGTTTTGAGTCTCAACATCTGGTAAATTTCATTTTATATTAAACACAGGGTTTAAATGACAGCAGCTTTAATTGCATTTGCGGCAGAAACAAATAATTTATCATTTCACTCTAGTGATTTAGAGGGCTCTATTTTCGTGTTCGCCGGTGAGGCTGTGGAGGGTGGCAGGCCCAGCACAGTGGTATTTTCGTGGACTGAGGCGCACCGAGATCCGCCAAACTGGGCGTGGTGGCGTGGCAAAGGGAGATGTCGACAGAATCAGCTGCCGCAGTGACATTTTCGTGCTCGCCGGTGGCGTATAAACTGCGCTGAAAGCTCGCCGATTCAAACCTGGTCAGCTTTCAGCGCAGGTGGCGCACAGCTGGTCTAGCGGTATTTTGGTAGACCGGTGGCGTATCGGCATACGTCACTGATGCCTCACCTGCAGGTTTCCACAGTGTCAGGCACATTTCAGTGCAATAAATAATCATCAACAACTAATAATCAGAGTCAGCACATACATTTAGATCTATGGATATATTCTGATCTATATCTGATCTGATGAGCGCGTTTGGCACGCGTTTGGACACACAACCTGACCGAATCAACACAACTGAAACCGCATTAAATTAAATTAAATATCTAGTAAATAGACACACATGATGAAGTGAACAAGATATGTAATTCGTCTCCCTCCTTTTCTTTCTTCCTCTTCCTCTTATTTCTCGCGCAGCTCGACCTGGACATGTCTCTGTGTCCTCTCCCCGTCCTGCTGCAGCTGCTGCTGCGGCGGCTGAACAGATGATTTGTTTCAGTGATCAGATGAGTTATTTACTTTAAGCCGACATACGGATATTATAATATTCAGTTTTGTGAGCCAAAATTATTTTGTATGCCAACATCAATGAAAGAAAGAGCCAGGCCATGGAGCGATGCGTCATTTACGCACAGATGGTTCCGATTTTAATGCCATTGTTGGAATTTATGTTGTGATCTGTGCGCACAACCCACCCTTGTCACGTGAGGTTTGAATATGTGCAACTTTATGTGAGTGTCTTTATTTGTGGAAAGGGTGTTTGTCTTACCAGTGGGTCCAACATTACACACCCCAAAATCCATCTGTGCTCATACGAGAGAGTGTGGAGGACGCCCTCTGCAGCGTTTACAGAGACACTTGTTGAGGGGCTGCCTTCTGTCTCCATCGTGTGGCATTAATGTCTTTAGACATCTCTTGATCACTTTGACTACTTCACGAAAATAGTAATACACCTCGCCGGTGGCGGATTTAAAGGTGAGGAGAGGAGCTGATGTTATTGGTCAATACAGGTCTCAGCTGTGTTAAACCCACTCCACACGTGTGACTGTGTGAGCGAATGAATGATGTATCCAATGTAAAGCGCTTTGAGGGTCTCTGATAAAGCGCTATATGAAATCTGATGCATTATTATTCTCCTCCCTCGCTACAACTTACGCCACTGGGAGGAGCTGAGTTAGGGAGGGGGATACTTGCGCCAGGCTGCGCCGCTCACCAATATACCAAATTGTGCTTGGGAACACCTTGTTGGCGCGGCGGACCTGACTTACGCCGTGCCTGCGGCACGTCTCCGGCGAGGCACGAAAATAGAGCCCAAAGTCTTCACATCACACCCAGGGCTGAAGGGTGGCATGGTAACATACCCTGATGAGGAGAGTCCAGAAAATACCTGGGATCCGTAATCCTTGTGTTGATTGGTTCAATCGTACCCATGATTCCTTCCTGTAGAAAGCATTTGGCTGTATAAATGAGAGCTCGACAGTAATATCAGTGCTCAGTCACGTAGATCCTCATCAGTGACTTCAAAGTATGGTGATGCAAACATAATTACAAGAGCAGCTGGTCTGTGGTTTTGCAGATTCAACTGTTGCAATGTACCTCAAACACAAAATACGGACATAACCAAGGATCAGGGATTACTACTCCAAGTAACATTCACAGCAGTAATGGAGGGACTGTAACATACTCTACCTGACAGCCATCCTGGCATGACACTGTGAGCATCACAAGCTGACATCATTTGCAAACTATGTCCGGAGAGTGATCACATACTTGATACTGCCAGTGATCACAGAGGGAGAGAGGAGAGGGAGAGGAAAATTCCTCTTTGTAAGCCTTAAGCCTTTCTGTCTGCTTTCAAAGCTCTTTCTGACTTTTGCTTTTGTAGTTCAGCTCCATCAGGTCTTTGTTGGACTCCAGTGTGAACTCAGTAGGCAGGTAGATGTATAAAGTTCTGTGTTAAATACTTGATTCATGGTATATTTGTTTATGTGACAGTGGACATTGAAAAAACTGTATCTAGAGATGCCTGAGAAAACTGTAAAGCATACACTATGAATAAATTTGCTTTATAATTTCAGATTTTTCTGTCATACAATGCAGACAGGTGTGATACTAGACATTTTTGGTATTTCTATTTCATCCCCTAAAGTGTTTATCAAAATATGGTAACATTGTAACAACTGACAGTTTCAACTGTATTTTGTTTATTTGGGTACATTTGTTATAATTAAAAAACATAAATTCCTCATCTGTATGTCATTCCTTTCCTCTGAACTCCCGCTTTTATTTTTGTAGTTTTTATTTTAGTGTCAATTAAATTTTTTGCTATCGGTCATATTTCAATCATTTATCAATTTGTTTGATCCACAGCTAACTCCATGCACTGTCTGAGCAGGTTTCTGCAGAAATCCAATTTTGGTCCATTCATGCAGCATTGTTGCTGTTTTGTTAAAGTCACCCACCTTTGACAGGATATCAGCAGCGTAGGTTAGGTTGTGTACAAAGACAGTCTCCATCTCCTTGGCAACCTGACTTCTGTTCACATCTACGGGAATCCTTCCTGCCATTAGATGGATCCTGTTGAATTAACCACAAACTTTTTACATAAATCAAAATAAACAGGTTATACTATTGTTATTAACCTTTGTTTACAATGATGTCGAGATACAGAATTCACATTAAAAAGAGAAATAAAACAACAAAAATGACAGTAATTATTTAAAACAGTGACACACAACAGGAAAATGGTTTGTCATCAACATCTTGAATCGTCCTAGAGAAACTTAAGTGTCAATTTTGAGACTTTGGTGCAAATAATTCCACATTTTTGGAGCCTCAAAGCTAAAAGCACATTTTTCAAATTCAGAGAAAACTTGTGAAACCTGAAGCATTAGACAGTAGAGCGAGTCTGGTAATGCCCAGAGTTCAAGTTTAGCAGAGATGTAATGTATGCAATTGAAGTTTCCGGAGCACATCACCAGCACAACACTCAGGCCGGACATGGTCTTAACATCAGAGAGTTCGAAGCAGGTAGTGTTACTGGAACTGACAATACCCTGGGAAGACCGGATCGAGGTAGCCTATGAGAGGAAGAAGGCTAAATACCTGGAGCTGGTGGAGGACTGCAGGCTTAATGGGTGGAGGGCCCGCTGTGAGCCCATTGAGGTTGGTTGCAGAGGATTCCCAGGACAGAGCCTGCATCGGGCACTCAGGCTCCTTGGAATCAGGGGGGCTCAAGAGAGGAAAGCCACCAAGAACATCTGTGAGGCAGCTGAGAAAGCCTCTAGGTGGCTTTGGATCAAGAAGGGCGATAAATGGTTTAGTGCGCTGCTTGGACACAAGTCGGGGTCTGATCAGCCCCGGCTGGGTCGCCCAGGTGAGGGTGTCTGATGATCCAAGACCCGAAACACCCCGTGACCCTGGGTTCATCACTGAAGATGTGTCCAAGCTGCACCACTAAGGTGTTTGTTAAAACTAAACTATGCAGGTGAGTGTCCAATCAGGGATAATATATATTAAAAAATCCAAGTGTTTATCTCGTCTCCAGTTATGAATATCTCCAGTTATGAATCTGAGGGCAGTGTGATAAACTGACCTCAGGGATTTGAATAGAAGCAGCAGCATGTCTGTAGAAAATATCCCCATAATCAAGGACTGACAAGAAGACTGTTTCAACAACACCTTTTCTACAACAAGCAGGAAAATTGCATCTATTTCTATAAAGAAACCCCAATGTCTGACTTAGTTTACCGACAAGGTGTTTAATATGATGCTTAAACAAAAGTGATTCATCCAGCCAGATACCTAGATATCTATACACTGTAACTAGGGTTGCAAAATTCCAGGAATTTTCAGAGTTGGAAACTTCCGTGGGAATTAATGAGAATTCAATTTACAAAATTTACAAAATTGAAGATTGGCCCTCAACAGGAAACTTAAATATAGTTGGTGAAAATATACTGTAGCATAATCTTGGCTAAAACAACCAGATTTAATGCAAGTACACTCCTCCATTACATGTACACAGCACACCACTTAATGCAGGGCTATTAAGGCCACACCGCCTACATGCACTGTGCATTCCTTCATCACATGCACAGATGATTTCTTGAACCCTGGAGGCCACACTTTTGAGCTCAAAGCACAAGACATTTGAGACTGTCTACTGGAGGGAAAGGAGTCTCTGCAAGTGATGGCCATGTCCTAGACTGTAAGTATTGAAAGTGACATCAAAAAAATCTTGTTGGATGGTGTGTTCTGGGAAAGAGTGACTAGCAGCCTGAGAATCCTCAAACCAATTGCAGAAGCAATTGCCAAAATAGAGGGTGATGATGCCATCTTATCAGATGTCCACTGTCTCTTTGTCAACCTCAAAGAAAAAATTCAGAAGGTCCTGCCTTGCACCTGTATCCTCCATCATCCTCCAAATCCCACCATCATCAGCCACCGCTGCGCGCAACTGGTCACTGTTCGAGAACACACACACAAAGGTTTGCAACAGGCTCACAAAAGTGAGAGAGGAAAAACTGGTGGCTATTCGGGCAAACCTAAGGCTCTTTGAGCCTGACACAGAGCCATCTTCAACAAGGCTGGACAGTGACACTGAAGAGGAGGAGTAGGAGGCAGATGTTGAGGAGGTGACAATGGAAGATGTTGAAGAGGCCATTGCCTGAAAGGTTTTGGCAAAAATGTAGAACATGCATAAACTAGGCTTACGAAGCGTGAGGGAATAGGGTTTTGTTTTACATGTTGAATAGGGCTATTTTTGGAGAGGGGGGGTCCTTTCATTTAACATTTTGATTGGGACTTTTTTTTTCATGTTTTTGTTGTTCATTAAAATAATTAATTGTTCATACTAGAATTAAAACTAAAGTTTTACTCAAATAAATCTGTTGAAATGTCATGTTTTTTAATTGTAATATTTTGCATGGTTGTCTGTTTTTGACAAAACAAAAATATTTACATTTATGTTTGAATATGATACAGTTTGTTTGAATTACCCCCCATTTCCAGTTAATTTCCAATAATTCCTATAATTCCCATAATTCTCATGGAAAGTTTCCAGTTTGGAAATTTCCAAAATTCCCCAGCTTAACTTCCCATGAAAAGTTTCTGGAAATGTTCCGCCCCTTTGCAACCCTAACCGTAACCCTTTCGATATTGCGACCACCAAGTGTTGATATCTGTAGACTGTTAAAGTCAACATTTCTGTCTTTAAAGAATACCATAAATATAGTTTTGCTGGCATTTAAAACAAGTTTTATACTTCTAGATACATTCTGAAGACTGTTAGGAGCAAGTTGTAGTTTATCAACTGTAGTTTATGTACAGAATTAGCAGAACAGTATAAAATAGTACCATCTTCATTAAGATGAATATTACTGTCAGTTACAGAAGATACAATATTTTTAATGTATGTAGTGAAAAAGATGGGTCCTAAAATTGATCCTTGTGGAGCACCTTTTGTAAATGTTATAAACTTAGACTGAGTATTTCCAGCTTTTACACATTGCTCTCTATTTACCATTAAAAACTATTTAAATCAAACCCATTGTTAGAAGTGACTGAACTAAGAGTCGATGATCAACTCTATCAAGTGCTTGTGATAAGTCAATGGAAACAGCAAAACAATGCCTTTTAGTCTGAATTAAGGATAACATTATTGACCACTGAAGTGACAGCAGAGACTATACTATGCATGGGTCTAAAACCAGACAGACAGAGTCTTAAAAAGGAATATACTGTGAGGAAATTTTGGAATTGATTATTTATCAGTAATGCCAGGATTTTTGACAGACAGGGTAGTTTGGATATTATCCGATAATTATCAGGAACTATCTACTCCTTTATACAAAGGAGTCACTTGTTACATATGTCCTACTTAAAATGGTGCTGCTGGTTTATCTGGAAATACAGCTGTTTCTAAGCATTAATCCTCAAAGATGATAACCCAAAACTGAGACCAGGAGTCAAGATCAGAATCTGAAATACTTAAGTAAATCTGAAGTGTACGTACGGATACGAATGTCGTGTTAAATTTAAATGTGGGATTGTACAGTTTCTTCCCATGGGTTGTTGGTCTAATGGACTCCTAACGTTCACAGAGACACAGACCTACCACTGAGCAATTACCCCTGACGAACACTCACTGTGACATTAGATTACTGTTCATCTGTAAAACCTTTATAACTACTGTTGTTAATAACAACTCCTCCACATATTCTGACAGCAGACATCATACTCTCATCTGACATGTACCTCTGCACACAGTTATTTAATATTTAATATAATGTTTATGTATACAAAAGTATATCTACCTCATGTAATATACCTCATATAATGATACATATTCTCTAGCAGTCTACATTCCTCTGCACTCACTCCTCACCATAACAATACTGCCTAAAACAGTCTGTATATAGAAAATAAATGTCTGAGCTTGTTCATATTTGTGTATTATCTCATTTTAGTACAGACTAGAGAGAGCAAAGTTTAGTCGAGTCAAATTCCTTGTATGTGTAAGACAGTTGGCCCATAAAGCTGATTCTGATTCTGATAGGTACAGATATTTGCCTTTTGAAAATATGTGTATCACCTGATTGGATAAATAAAGGTGATTTAAATAATGAAGCTGCCGACCCTGAGATCTGACAGTGTCTGAAATCCATTATAAAATCCACTGCCATAGGCATGAACTACTTTCTCTGTGTTTACCAGAATGTGATGGAGTGGATGACAGACATTGACAGGGTTATCATGTAGCTTGGACAGCCTTCTTTTCTCTGACTTCACTGTCACGGAGTCTGGCTTCCTCCTCCACAATCTCACCAGCCATTTAGATAAGTCTGTTCATTCTGCTGTTATCATACTTCAGCATTGTCCTGCAGATGTACAAGAGGCTGGGGTCCTAAAACAACCTAGCCTTGAGTTTGAGACACAAATCAACTTTTCAGATTTCATGGTAAAGGTTTAGGTGTGATGTGACCCTTAAAACCACTTTACAGATCTCTGATCTGCCAATGCCTCACCTTTTGCACTCCAAAGCTTTTGCATACCGCACAGCCAGATCAAGACCCTCTCTGAAGTCCTTCTCTCTTCCAGGCACTGCTCCAAGACCAAGATCCCCAGACTTAACATCCCCTACAACAAAAACAGACACAAACACAAACAAACAGCATGTGACATCCTCTCCGCCATCTCCAGGGTCTGATCTTGAACTTCCGTTTGTATTTATGATACAGAGCAGCATTCTGGTCCCCGAAGTCCTTACTAGTGTTTACCTGGTGGGGTGTTGATAAGAATCACTTCGACACCTGTGGCTTTCCTGGCTCTCTGAAGCTCCTGGAGTTCACAGTCATAAAGCCAGGCCGCCTCTACTGCCTGAAATCCGCACGAAGCGGCCGCATATATTCTCTGAGTAAAGTCTGGAAGCTCCGCGAACAACCAGGAGATATTAGCACAGAACTTCAGCGGAGCCATGGTAAACTGTTGAAGCCAACGACCCTCCGTTCAAGGTGTGGGCTGTACTTCAGCCCGAAAAGTATCGCGACAGACCCGCGTTAAGGTAGCGGTTTGCAACAAATGCTGAACCGGAAACAGTTGATGTATTTCAAAATAATGTCACTGCGGCTCTGACAAAAGTTCTTACAAACGTCTCTTTATTCTTGTACCACATCTTCGTAGGTGAGGTACAAGAAGCTGTAAAGCTTCGTATGGGAGCAGTGGGATTTTCGAGACATTTGTTCCGCTTTACAACTCTTTGGTTTACTTTGAAAATACCCTCAGATGTTTCGCATTGGACTGTGAACCATACACAGTTTTTATCAGCGACAAAGGCTGTGTCTGAATTGTCGGCAAACTGCGCAGTACACTGCCCAGAATACTCCCTGTGCAACCAGCGTAAAGTGATTTATTTATTGGGATTTACTTATTATTTATTGATTGGGTAGTTTGTTCTTTGTATTGTGTCCCTTTTCTTTTTATGCACAGTTTTTTGTGTTAAAGTGCTTTATAAATTAAGTCTGATTATAAGCCAAGTGTGTCAGAAGGCAGATGACAGAAGTAGAAACGAGGGTCACAGGACACTCCCTCTTTTGGCCCTTTCAAAAAATTTCTGAGGGAATTTTCTAGTTAGCATAGAGTTTTCTTTGCTGTTGTTAAATGTTCACTGTGAGTGTTTTAATATGACATGAATGTTTCAGCTGCATTAGCATTTCTGCTTTCTCTTTTCAAGGATGTGTTAATGACTTAAAAAATAATAATAATCAAAAAACAGGAATAGCCCCTGAGAGGAAGAGGTGCAGAAATGTCTGGAAAAAATGACATGTTTATGCAAAGTAATTAAATTATTTAAATGTGTGATCAAATAGTATTAAAAGCTATAACTCTGTTAATAGTGTAAAATTTCACAGTCCATTTAAAGCTTTGTCAGGAGTTTATAGTGGGTCAGGTAGATTACTAATATTAGCAGTGGCACTTGATGTCCCACAGCAGCAAAGAAACCCAGAAGCATGAAGTAACTACTGTTAAACTGTTTATTTTACACGTCAGACTGCTGTTGTGGGTCAGGGTAAGAAACAGTGATGAACAGCAAACAGTCTTTTTTTTTTCTTTGTCTTTTACATTCTTTCTCATGGCAAAGATTGACTGATTCTCTGACTCTGAGGAGCAGCAGTTTAAGATGAACTTGTCCAAGCTCTCCTTACATACTTCCATGTGCTGCTCGAAAACTTCATTAGTGATTGCATGTAGCGATCGGTTTTAATTCACATTAAGACAGCACAGCTCATCAGTAGTTGTCTGTAATCTGTGTGATAACTGACCATAGGCCTGGTGTTATCTTTATGATCGGCACCATCGGCATCGTTGGAGGTGCGACAGCCCTAAGGGTTAGCAGGAAGACCATCCTTCTGTATGAAATAATGCACTTCTGGAGACAGTGACTACTGTGAATAGGGCAGTTGGAGTCCAGGGAAGACTGGAGGACAACCAGGATAGACTGGTGGCGGCAGGATAGACTGCACCGGGAGAGACGGGCTAGTAACCCTACCCTCTAGTTTCCCATGGGGAGACACCCAAAACATACTACAAAAAGGAAACAAAGAAAACAGCCCGAAGGCCCCCCGAGAGGCGGGATGGAAGAGGGGCCTACAAGGACGGACCAAACGGTAACAAACGAAAGGACATTGGCAAAAGAGAAGATCCTCAGGAAGTGCGGGTGCGGCTGGGAAAAAAACAACTACTTTGAGGGGACTTCACATCCACATGGGAAAGATGAAGTGTGGTGGTGGTAGCCACGTGCAAGCTTGCACTGCCCCGGAAAGGGCAGGTCAGACAAATGGGATCCAAGGCCAGGTAGACAACCACAGTGCCATCGGGCCCAACTCTGCAGTGGCAGGTCAGGAGGAAAGAGAAGAGGAAGAAAGGGATGTGGAAGAGCCCCAAGAAGCGAACCCAGTTGTACCCCCAAGTGACCCAGGAACGGAGTCATATCAAAGGGCCAGGAGACTGAAGAGACCACTCCGAAGAAGTAAGGTCAAGTGGCCAAAGGCCAGCGAAACTGAAGAGTGGAGAAAGCTGGACGAACACTTGAGCGGGCTGCTGCAAAGTGCACTACGCGGGTCAGTGGAATCCAAGCTAAACCTGTTCGGGGAGATCTTGTATGAAGAATGCAGCAACAGGTATGGTGAGGTGACCATCAGAGAACCAGCAGCAAGGATAAAGGGGAGGAGGGAGAAAGAGATTGATGACCTGGTGGCAAGCAGAAGGCAGCTCCACAAGCGTTGGAGGAAAGCAGAGGAGTTTGAGAAAGACGGTCTGAAAGTCCTCTGGGATGACATCAAGAAACGTCTTGCAAACCTACGGAGGGCAGAGCGCATTCGAAAACGGAGGAAAAGGAAAGAAAAGGAAAGATCAAACTTCTTCAGGAATCCATTCCAGCACGCACGATCGCTCCTCGTGGAGAAGACAAGTGGAACTCTGGATGTCTCCAAAGAAGACCTGGAAGAACACATCCGAGCTCAATACAGTGACCCAGCAAAGAACAATCCTCTAGGCTCACCAGGGTATGTGCCCAGGCCCACAGAACCATCAGCCCTGTTTGATACATCACCACCCAAACTCGGCGAGGTCACACAGGTGATCCAGCGAGCGAGATCTGCATCAGCACCAGGGCCAAACGGAATACCGTACAAGCTTTATAAGAACTGCCCTAGCGTGCTGAAGCTCCTGTGGACCCTGATGAGAGTCGCCTGGACGAAGCAGAGCATACCATCCGAGTGGCAAAGGGCAGTAGCTGTCTCCATCCCAAAACAACTGAACGCCAAGACCATCGAGCAGTTCAGGAGCATAGCCCTACTAAATGTGGAGGGAAAGATATTCTTCTCTGTGATGGCAAGAAGAATGACCACCTATCTGATGGAAAACAGCTTCATTGATACCAGTTGCCAGAAAGCCGGAGTACCGGGGTTCCCTGGCTGCGTGGAGCATGCCTCAATGATCTGGGAACAGATTCAGACCACCAAGAGGGAGAAGAAAGATCTGCATGCCATTTGGCTGGACCTAGCCAATGCCTACGGGTCAGTGCCACACCAGCTGATAGCATACGCCCTTAACTTCTTCTACATTCCAGACAACATCAAGAACATGATCATGAAGTACTTCCAGGACCTGCACATGTTCTTTGCACTGAAGAAGTTCAATACTGGTTGGCAACAACTGGAAGTAGAGATTGCAATGGGATGCTCCATCTCCCCCATCCTCTTTGTGGCAGCATTTGAGGTCATCCTGATCGGGGCAAGGCAAGTGGTGGGTGGCGTCCGATTGCCTGCAGGTCAGAGGCTCCCTCCCCTAAGGAGCTATATGGACGACATCACGTGCCTGCTACGAACTGCGCCATGTACATCCAGGCTGCTGAAGAGGCTGGACGAACTGATCTCCTGGGCAAGGATGAAGTTTAAGCCACAGAAGTCAAGGAGCCTCTCGCTGCGGAAAGGGGAGAGGAATGACAGAGTCACCTTCACCATCGGCGGAGAAGTCATCCCCCTCATCGCGGACCAGCCCATCCGAAGCCTGGGTAGACTCTATACATCTGGTCTCTCAGACAAGGACATGGGGAAAACCATCCTTCAGCAGCTTTCAGAAGGCCTGTCAAAAATCGACTCAAGCCAGCTACCCGGAAAGCACAAGGTGTGGTGCTATCACTTCACCCTGTACCCGAGAGTGATGTGGCCTCTGAAACTGTGCGAAGTCACCTCATCAGCCGTAAGCCGGATGGAGGCAAAAGCCAACTCCTTTATCCGCAAGTGGCTCGGACTGCCGCGATGTTTCTCTGCAGCTGGCCTATATGGTTGGAACTCACTCCAACTGCCGCTGAAATCCATCACGCTGGGATACGGGCAGGAGAAGGCGAGGTTGGTGATGGAACTAAGGGACTCCTCCAACAGGACAGTGGCAGAAGCAAATGCCAGAGTTGCAACAGGAAGGAAATGGAAGGCTGTGGATGAGGTCCAGAAGGTGGTGGGCAGGCTGCAACACCAGGAAGTTGTGGGCAGGGTCCAGACAGGGCGGGCAGGCCTTGGATGGACAGACCCTCCCATTCTGTGGTCCAAGGCAAACAGGAAGGAGAGAAAGGACCTTGTTGTTGCTGAGGTCACCAGAGTGGAACAGGAGGAGTTCAGAGTGAAATCTGTGGCACAGGGGCAGCAGGGGCGCTGGACGAACTGGGAGGGTGTCACGAACCGAGCAATGAACTGGGCAGACTTCTGGAAAGTGCCACAAGCTCGACTCAGTTTCCTCATCAGAGCGACCTATGACACACTACCTAGCCCCCAAAATCTCCATCAGTGGCTTGGAACAGAGCAATCCTGCGACCTCTGTGGGACCATCAATGCCTCCCTCCAACACGTACTGTCTGGATGCAAAACAGCGCTGACACAGGGTCGGTTCACATGGCGGCATGACCAAGTTCTCAGGAAATTGGCAGAGGTGTTGGAGAGAAGCCGCCAGGAGGCCAACAAGCTCAGTCCATCAATGAAGCAACACAGGATCCACTTCCTTAGACAGGGGGAACCTGCAGAACACTCCAGCAAGAGACCACCACCCACCAAGCTGCTAGCGCCAGGGGCGGAGTGGAAGATGGAGGTGGATCTGGGTAGACGGCTCCAGTTCCCACAGGAGATCTGCACCACCACCCTAAGACCAGATGTGGTGCTGTGGTCTGCAGCCACAAAGTCAGTCCTGCTGATTGAGCTGACAGTGCCATGGGAGGAGGGACTGGAAGCTGCCTACGAAAGGAAGATGGCAAAGTATGCTGACCTGGTTGCGGAGTGCAGGGAAAGCGGGTGGAAAGCGAGGACATACCCAGTGGAAGTGGGATCAAGAGGTTTCCTTGGCAGCTCCACGTCTCGCCTACTCAAGGACGTGGGGCTACGGGGAGCCAGATTGAGTAAAGCCACAAAAGAACTTTCAGAGGAAGCAGAGAAGGCAAGCCACTGGCTCTGGTTGAGACGACGAGACAAGTCTTGGGGGGGAACATCAAACTAAGTTTGGCTGCAGGGGGTGTCAGGGAGACGTCCCTGTACACTGCCCCGCCACCAGGAGATGTTCTGGCTAAGGGGCGAAACATCCATGAACGGTGGTCCCCAGCTGAAGACCCTGCAGCGAAACTTAGCTCCCTTCTTTGGTATGCGGTCAGGTTTAGACCTGGCTCAGGGAAGAGGACGCCCCTGCCACGCACAGTCCACTATCGGCACCGTTGGAGGTGCGACAGCCCTAAGGGTTAGCAGGAAGACCATCCTTCTGTATGAAATAATGATGGTTAGAACTAATGGCTACGGTTGTGTTGGAGGACCAGGGTATCAACAGTCTGTGCGAACGAACAGAGGGTTTTGGCCGTTACCCTTAAGCCTGCTCTAGGACCATGTTTCCAGAAAAATCTCAACCCAGTCAGCTGTTTCAGGCATTTTATCTGTTAACACTTCCACATTAGTGCTCCAGAATATTCATGGCATTTGAATTCTAACTCCACAAAGACACTCAGCTCAACTGAAGCAGTTTGAGACTGTTCATTAAGCCTTCAGTGGGTAAATCACACAGCTGAATGCTGTTGGAGAAATGAGGACACTTGCTGGTGAAACAGCATCCCCCTCCCTTTGCATGTGAAATGAGAGAGGACACTATAGCTGGACAGTCTGTTGGCTTTGTACAGCACTGCCAGGGGACAGCAGAGGGAGGCCTCATGGTCAGTGGAGCAAAATGAACGCATCTGCAGTTGTTCACTGCTGTGCACATCAGTCAGTTTCATGTGTCACTAAGTCTTCATACAGAACAGGTTGTTGCAGTTTTGTGATTTCATGTTTCACCCCTCTTAGCAGGTGGTCCAGCTCCAGCCATCCTGTGATCACGACAAATAAGAATATTATCAACTAGAAAATTCCCTCTGGAGAATTTTGAAAGGGCCATGGGGGCTACTACCCGGGTTTGTCCATAGATTTCTTCAGAGAATTTAAATACTTAATACGAGTAGCATTGTGATATTATCCAGACTTTTCTCCAATTGAGCTTGTGCGGGATGAATTGGATCGATTGGTCAGAAAAATGCGTCCCACGAATCAGCAGTCTCTTTTTGATGAACTTAAGAAAGCTTGGAATGTAATCTCTGGAACATACCTTAAAAAACTTGTGGAACGAATGCCTGGTATATGCCAAGCTGTTGTTAAAGCCAGAGGAGGTTACTTTAAAGAAAGCAAAGTCTAAGCAACAATAACTCAAATACCTAATAATTATAGTCAAAATGTCTTCTGATAAGTTACTCTATACACAATAGTCATGTTTACTGTGTTGCAAATTATACATATGAAACTATGATCTTTTTTTGTACAAATCTGATCTTGCTTCCAAACTTTTGGCCTGTTGTGTATAGAGATACAATATGTAATACAGACACATGGAGGCACTTTTGTAGATCAGCCTGCCGTAAAGTTTATAGAATCTCTATTGTATAGCATCTCTTCCATGTTTTTTTGCATTTCAGGACCTATACGTGACACTCACACTATTTACAGCTGTGACAACATGCTGCCACTCACTTGTTTGTCTTTTATTACTGATGCCACTACTGTGATCACCAAATTAAGTATTTTTTTTCTGGCCTCCACCTCTTCCACAAGCCCCTCTATTTCGGTCTAAGGAAAATTCCCTTTTCTTATCTTCTCTGCTATTATTGAGTGTCAAACGCCACTGATCAGCAGGCTTATTCATATGCAAATGCATTCACAATGTACTTTGCACTGACCATTTATGGTAGCATGTGAGTGTATTGAGGGCAAGTTGTGAGATGAATCCACCTGTGCAATGTTCTATGGGTTGTGATTTATAAAGGGTAAAGATTACTTTTTGATGCATGTCATTTTCAGGCAGCTTTGGGGTAGCTACACTTTTAGTATAGATCCTATGCTATGTTTTATAAATGAGGCACCTGATCTATGCAACTCTTTACTGCTGATTCCTCCTCCCTTCTGAGTTGTCCATCTATCTTGGGTCTGCTCTCTCTCTCTAGTATATTCTGCTCCACCATTGCTTCCACCCTGATCTTTTTCAATGTCCTCTATGCTTCCAACAGTATGGGACACACTCTGGTGCTGGTGTCTCGGAAAGTTTTAGCTGGTCAATCTCGATGTTCCTCTCTTTCAGTTTTTTAATTACCTTACCTAATTCCTTTTCCTCAGAAGGTTCTTTACATTTTTTTGCATTTCAGGACCTTCCAGTGGAGATGCAGAAGCGACACACTAGTGCAAGCTTGAAAAAACTCTCTGGGATGCAAAAATACGTTATCTGCTTTCCCAATCCAGTCTGCTGTTAACAATGCAGAGGGAGAAATTTATTTACAGAACTCCAGAAGAGGAGCATCAGGACCTGTGCTATCATCCCATCTGCTTTTGGTTCAAAGAATAAAAAGCAGGAACACAGATCAATGGAGTAAATGATGCATGGTAATCTCTGCATATATTCTTCCCTCACAGACTCAGGTTCTGTGGAGTGTATCTGCAACCCAGACTGCTTTTTTAAAGAGCTGTGTTTGAAAGGATACAGCATAATGGCCTGGTACGGTACTTTGACTGTGCAGCTGAGGTCACAGATCACTTGCCTGGTGCAGAGTGCTATGAAAATGATGGGCATCACGGACCATCCTCAGCCGCTCCAACTGCTTCATGAGGAGTCGGCTCTTAGATAAGCACAGACTCATATTCTACAACTTGCACCTTCTGGCAGGGTTTAGAGTCTCAGGACCAGGCCCAACAGTTACAAACACCAATTCCTGCCAAAGTCCAATGAATTCCTGTGTCAGTTTAGAGGACAGAGTAATGTGTTAAGATACTCCTTTCTTAGTCCCACAAGGGGGAATTTCCAATTTTATAGACTTATTACTTATAAACAAGGCAAAATAAGTTTTAATATGAAAAACACAACTATTACCCCTGCTATGCAGGCTTCACGTGGATAATACAGTACACTGTTTACATTGTGCTGTTGTCTGTGTGCATACACTGTGTGCATGTGAAACTGTTCTGTGCTCTGTGTCTTTTCTACAGTGTTTTTATCGTGTTTACAGTTGGACAGAGGAAGGATATTTAATTGTGAGGTGTATCCATAATAAATTCCCTGTCTTCTCAGCAGCAGAGCTTCTAGGGCCCACTTCACAATAGACCCACTCACACTGCACTGAACCAAAAAATTGTTGTCTCTTCTCCCTGTTTCCCTATGGCCTGCAACACCAGCTTCAGGCCCAACAGTGCCACAGTTATCTCTTGTAGGTATGTATTAACATCCTAATGTGAAATATGCATGGCTGTGATCCATGGCTATAATAGAATAAAGACTAGTTTTGAATGTTTTAATCGATGAAATCATTAAAAAACTTGCCCTGACAGACAGCATGTGAATGCTTATCTAGAGGAAAGACAGAGCCCTGTAATTATAATAATTATAATGATGCGTGTAGTGTTTTCAGACAGGGCTGTGAAGCTTTCTCAACATTTCACTAAGGTATGTTATCGTTTTTATTGTATTATACGGTAGAAAAAAGGCTACTATCCATTGGCCTGGGTCAGGATATATTATTCTGACTAAGAGCTTCAATTATTTGTCAAATTTGTTATAAGTTGTTAGAGAGTCACCATTACCGCCCGAAGGTAAGTCTTTGCCGTTTTCTAAATTTGAACGCTAATTTTATTGCGGGAAGGTTCTTCAAAACACTGTTTAAACCGGGTCAAAGTTTGATTTTTAGTTGAATATCAGCCAATAATTAAACTGGCTTGAAGGCAGACAGTCAGATTCCCGGTTTTTAAAGCTTTCCGATTCGTCTGGAGCTGTTTGACGCACAGACAGACCCACAGACTTCAGTTCATGGCGTCTCCGTTATTTTCAACCAAGAGCAAACAGCTGATCAAGAAAACGACTGACGGTCTGTTACGATAATGTCCCCGGAAATAGACGAATGTGACCGACACCTCCCGAGGATGGATTTGAACGAAGTGAGGATGATGTCTCATATTTCAGAGAGGAGCTACGGCAAATGAGAGTGAGCGGACGGAGACCAGGATCGAACTAGGGAGGAGACCAGGATCTGAATTAAAGAACTTTCCTGCATCCGAGAGAGGGATTTATCACACAGCCATCAGACTGCTTAAACGGACTACTTTCATACTCATCGTGGGGATAACACAAAACCACTGTTAAATCGGAGGTATTTTAAGACCCTCATCCTGACCGTCTGATCTTGGGACCTCGTCCTTCACACCTTTAACATATATATTTTTGTATATGCAGACATCTAGAAGGCCAAACGAAATGGTGAGTACCGAGAAGTTTGGACTACTTTGCTATAAGGCAGTGTGAAATATTGATTTGCGTTATTTTTGCGTCCTGCAAAACTTGGACATATAGCTACATGTCCTAATGCTAGTTTTTATATTCAGTTCTTCACAACTCATTCCACACTGACGGATGTCACCTGTAGTGTATTATTGTATGAATAACTTTGTCTTGCTGCCAAGTATCTCTTACTCCCTATAACCCACCGAAACTTCTACATTCCTCCACATACTCCTGAAAGACGGCGTGGGTTTTGTTTACAGGTTCTTTTGGCTCTCAGGTGGGCTATATGTTAGACTGGTCCCCGGTGGACTCGCCTCCTGTTGCCCTTAGAGTCAGCATCATAAATCATAGAAGTAAAACTGGGCTGATATCAGGAGAGAGTGTCACTGTCAAAACCTCCGCAAAGCACTGCTCAGTATTTCTCCATAGAAATTACAAAGTGCGAAACAACTTGGTTTTCACAGTCTCAGTATTGAGTTAAGCCTTCTGTACTTTATAAGCAATTCTGAGTTCTCTCACTATTTGTATTTTATTCTATAGATGTCATGGACAGTGGAGTCTGACTTTATTACCAAACTAACTCACTATTTCTCTGCTGGCTGTGGAACTACATAACTGTGCAGCTTTCTCATCATCCCGCTGCCTGTCTTTCTCCTGTTGTTGTCTGTTTGTCAGCCTGTGTGACTGAAGTGAGTACAGTATGTGTGCCCTGAGAAATCCACTGAAATACAAATTCATCATACTTCAACACTTCTAAAATAAGATCATTTCACTATAATTGAACAGGAAAAATATCTGAAATGTATCCATAGAATAAATGAGGATGTTGGTAAATCCTCTGATTTGTTGTTATCAAGTTAATGCAGTTGGTCCTTCACTGCTGTTATACTGAAGGTAGAAGCAGAAGACTATCCCACAGAGTCTGGACAAGGCTCAAGTAAAGCTTACAAACCTTCTCTGGGGGAAGAACACACCTTACGTCATATTTCAGCACAGACAGTGACTAGCTCTTCAGCTGTAGCAAATATAAAAGTATGGCAACAGGTGTGACCCAGTGTTTTTCAGATTTAGACGAACTACAGTTACCTGGTCTTTCACATTCACCACTTCACACATTTATTTACTCACTGTTCACAGTGGCAAAGTGTAACCAGCAAACCACAGTCCTACACAAACATATGCTGATGCCACCTGAGGGGTCAGTGTCTCACTAAATGAGACAAAACAAGAAATCAGCAGGAGACTAACAGAAAAAAAAGTTTTAGTAGGTGTTTCTATTTCTACTCCTGCTGAGGACTTACTGCTTTTATTTGTTGTAGTATTTTTCTTGTACTTGTTGGCTGGGTGAAGAGAGACCACCTGACATCATCATGAGCAGTAAATGAAAATGTCATATTGGTAACTGGTGGCCAGAAAGGTAGAGAAGCTGGGTTGTCACAGGTTTGATCTACTCACAAGAATAATGTTGTTTTCATTGTAGAGGAAGTCAGTGAACAAAGTCCTTCTACTGTTTTCATTTCTTAAGCTTCCTGTCTCAGGTGTAAGTGTGCACACCTGAGAAAACAGCTTGCTCATCATGCCATTCCCTCAATAAATCTGACGGTGTATAATATTTTAACTGTAAGCTGAAATTCAGACACTTGGACTTCTGTTCTTTTTTGAGTTTTTAAGACCTGAGAGCAGAGTTGTGATGGCTGAACAATGTTGATATTTACTGTCATTTTAAAGACTCAACATATGAAGTTGAAATTAGGTGTACTGTAAGGTTCAGAGCAGGACTGATGTGTGATTTCTGGAAGGTCCCATACCACCTTGTCAGTAAATTCTCTGTAATGCTTTGCTTCATTTAACTCAAACTGCTGGATTTTATGGCTGAACAGATCTCACTGTTGGAACTGTGACCTAGACATGTCCCAAGATGCTTTCAGATGATAAATGAACTCCTCACCATTAACCCAAGGTGGTCATTTCATTATGGCTGATATATTTCTCATCAACAGAAATAAACCTGCTGACTACAAGGTGAAGATAGTAACAGAAATTCTGATGCATGTTGAGTAAAAAAACTGAAGATGTTGCTTTGTGGCCGTTAAGTCTATGGAGTATGAAACTCCACTTTTAAGTTGTCCTGGTGCTTTTAGAACTTATTTATAACTGATGACAGACTATTCAGTAGTTGTTGAAATGTATGTGTTGGACAGGTTGTATAATATTTGATGAACCTTGTGTTTTTTTCCCTGGTTTCTATTCTTCCAAAAACCCCTAACTTATTTGTGTTTAATTGGGTCTTGGTCCTTGGTCTGAGCTGAATCAGGGCTGATATCCAACCACAGAGCAGACCTGCTGCTGTAGCTTAGACTCCCTCTCTGCAGGAAAACAAATGCTGACATGCAAACATGGACACCAGCAGCTCTCAGAGATCCATGCTCAATAAAACAAAACAGAGAGACTGATTTCTATTAATGGAGTATGGCTGAGATTATTCCTGATTCCCTTCCAATGACAGTGCAGCATAAACACCACTTTTTTTTTGAGTGAAAGCGATTTAAAACACATGTGATAGAAGTTGGTACTTGGTTGTCCTGTTCTGTGATTACTAATGGTTTGTATAGCAGTGTAGTGATGCTGTTTTTGCCTTTATGAGACAGGACAGCTAAGGAGAGACAGGACATGTGGGGGGCAGAGAGCAGGGGAGGACGTGCAGCTAATGGTTAAGGCCGGCGTTGTGACAGGGGCTGTGTCCTATGTACAACTTTTGATATTTCAGGGAGGAGAACATTTTTCAGTATCACTTGAGCTGCTGCTCCACAACCCTCATGGTCACTGCTCTCTTATGCAGAGCCAACTCCTCTCAGTCATGCTCTTGTCCCCAGTTTCCTTTACTGGGAGGTTTTATGCTTATTTTGTCACATGACAGCTCCCTTGGCGGATATGAATCATGCCCATATGTCCAGTACATTATGTGCCCTTCTGGTCAGCAGTGAGCTGAATAAGAAGGAGATTGGCGAGGTGCTGGCCATGTATCTTTGGGAGCGTGATGTCCCTGATGGCAGGAGGTTTGGCCTCTGGCTCGAAAGCAGCCTGTACCAGGCTCCGAGGGGATGTAACCCACAGAGCCTGGCAGAACTGCGAGCCCAAGCAATCTGCTACCCCCCTGGATAGTGTAGGCATTGGTGAGATGCACTGCCTCGTATGTCACATATCAGGGGAATTTCATGCCAAGAAAAATAAAGATGAGCAGCCCTGTTTGTTGTATTAAGCTGACTCTAAATGACTAAATCAGCTTTTTTTAATGTAATCTTTTTGGAAAACTTCCAAAAGAGTCTCATTGCACATAATGGATTTTAGGCCTGTCTTTTTTCAGTTTCACTTTTCAACTCATCTCTCTGATGTATTTTTGAACTGCCAATTGAACTATGTAGAGAGACTGAAATGCCATGATGCTAAACAATGTTGAAAACCAGAATAGAAATGGACGCTAAAAAATTTAAATATCATGCAGAAAAGCTTTGTTAGAATTTCACGTTGTAACCAGTCACCTGGTTAAAAGTAGGTGGCCTCAAGGTCTCATGATTTGGCTCATAAGTTCCCACCTGTCATTTGTTTAAAGGGAACGTAACACAGCTGAGTTGGAGCTGCTGATCATACGCTGCTGATGTGGGGCGGGGCGGTGAATGACCACAAAACTGTAGCCACAAAATCATGAGTGTCCATAGGACGCTAAACAGAGTGACTATATGTGAATATCGTGCAACGGTAAGATTGTTATTTTGATTTCGTCAGGTGTACGATTATTTTCCAAAAAATACAATAATTTTGAGTCTCTGGTACGATAATTCTATATTTCCCATCTGGCAACACTGCTCTGGCCCAGAAATATCAGTGTTATTCAATGGGTAAATCAAATGTGGTGTCGGGTATAAACAGGTTGAACCTTCTAATGATTTAGATCCTGGTCTGGGCTGTATCTAGAGAACAGAGTCAAGGGTTAGTAAAATCAAAATAAAACAAACAGGAAACACAAGACATTGAATGAAATGAACCAAAATCAAGATGAACTGAATTGATCATGGCACATACCTGGGTTTATAATCATGTAGAAGAACTTATACCAAGGTTTATAGATTATTACAAGTGCTCTTAGGTCCTCACCCCTGCAGTTTGCTCAGGACCCCTCTGTTCTGACAGTATGCTCAGCTGTTTTTCAGCAGTTTGAGCCTGTTTCTCTCTCTACACTTACCAAAATAGTGTTACACTTACATCCTGCTAACTTTCCATCTGATAGCATTCCTTCCAGTTTGCTTAAGAGGTTTTCAACTCAGTTCAGTCTTCTATTTTGCCTCTTATAAATCGGTGTCTCAGCTCTGGATGTGTGCCTTCCTCCTTCAAACATGCCACGGTGCAGCCTCTCTTGAAAAAGAAAAGTTTAGATCCCTTGGTTTTCTCTAATTTAATACCAGTTTCCAAACTCTCTTTTATTTCCAAGGTTTTAGAGAAAGTCATTTTTAACCAACTCCAAGGATTTTTAGAAAGGGCAAATGTTTGTGAACTGTTTCAGTCTGGTTTTAAGTCTCTTCACAGCACTGAAACTGCTCTTTTAAAAGTTTTTAATGATCTTTCGTTGAACCTTGATTCTGGTGACTGTGCCTTTTTAATTCTCCTTGAACTGACAGCGGCGTTTGACACACGGTGGATCACTCAATTCTCCTATCATGCCTTGAACACTTTGTAGGCATCAAAGGCACTGCTTTGAGCTGGTTCAGCTCGTACTTCTGAGAGATCATTCTCTGCGCACATGGGCCAGTTTTCCTCCTCAGTGGCTCCTCTGACGTGTGGGGTCCCCGAGGGGTCAATTCTGGGCCCCCTACTGTTCTCCCTTTATATGCTACCCTTGGGGTTGATTTTAAGGAAGCATGGTCTTCCTTTTTACTGCTTTGCTAATGATGTGCATTTGTATTTGACTGTAAAGGTCCCTACCAAAGACTCTTCAGGCTGTGCTTAACTGCATGAATGATGTCAAGACATGGATGGATCTTAACTTCCTAAAATTAAATGAAAACCCTAAAAAAAACAGAGGTTGACCTGTTTGGTCGCCCTGACCTGGTTCAGGTCCTTGCTAGCTCCCTTGGCTCACTGGCACCTTGTGTAGGATCCCACGCCAGGAATCTTGGTGTTATTATTGATGGTGCTTTCAAACTAGACAAACAGGTCAGCTCAGTGGTCAAGTCTACCACTGAGCTTCTAGCCATGGTACAATCATATCTGAGCCAGAAAGACCTTGAGAAAGTCATCCATGCTTTTAATACATTTAGTTAGATTATTGTGACTCCCTGTATGTCAGCATTGAAAAGTCAGAGCTCAACCACTTGCAGCTCAATCAAAATGCTGCACCTCGTCTCCTAACTAGGACTAAGAACGAGAGCACATAACTCTGGTTCTTTCTTCACTTCACTGGTTCACTGTTAGGTACAGGATACAGGATTGGTTTTAAAATTCTTTTATTTGTTTTTAGGTCTTTGAATGGGCTGGCCCTTAAATACCTGTCTGACCGTATTAAATTGCATCAGCGCTTCAGAGCCCTTAGGACAGCTAATCAGGTGGTTAGAGAACTTCCTCTGTCCTTTTTAAATTATGGAGGAGATCGAGCTTTCGCAGTTGTGGCTCGCACTCTGTGGAGCACATTACCCCTAACTGTGAATAGCCTCTCTACTTTTAAAACAATGTTTAAAATGCAGTTTTTCCTTTTGGCCTTTGGTGTAGCATAATTACATTTATTGGGTCTTTTGTTATCTACATTGTTGTTTTTTGTTTTTATATGTTGTATGCTTTTATCGTTTTTATTCTTTCTGCATATCTTAACTGGAAAGCACTTTGGTAGTCCACTGGCTGTTTTCAATGTGCTATGTAAATAAAGCTGACTTGGACATTGACATTGACAAGTGTGGACATAATGCATTCTAAATTAAGCACTCATAATGTTTTTTACCTGCATACTTAAGTGACAACAGTGTTGAAGAATCTGAAGTCCAGGGCTCCCATAGCACGTTATAACCAGGCATAAAATTCTGAGTTAATTATTATTTGCAAAGAAAAAAATTTGAGTGTGAACATTAAATATCTTGTCTTTGTAGTGTACTCAATTGAATATAGGTTGAAAAGGATTTGCAAATCATTGTATTCTGTTTTTATTTACATTTAAGTTGTCCATAGTCTGTGGTTCAGGGGTGTATTATTTTTGGAGCAACGATAAGCTGAAAAAGTAATATTATTTTGTAACTTGTCAGGTTTTCTGTCAATCGCTTTATATGCATATTTGCTGCTGATTGATTTAAATCACTCATGAACCATATGGGCTCTATAACCTATGACCCGTGGGCTGACCTATCAGAATGTGCATTGCTGTTGGGGTGTGTCCCTCTATCATCCCTCTGTGATTGATTGACAGTTGCAAAACATCAGGGAAAAAGAAGTTTGAGAGTGGTACTCTCAAACGGAAAATGATCCGCGATAAAGGAAAAGTAGTTTATTAAGACCCAACCAAAGCTGACAGGATTGGATGGTGTTGGCAACAGGAGAGGAACAGGGGGCTGGCTGGAGTTTTGCAGACAGAGGGAGTAGAGGAGGAAGAGAGGGGACACACAATCATCAAGCAGGTGAGGACAAGGCAGCAAAGCAGGCAGAGGGAGACAAGTCGGATGACTCCTATAGCAGTGACCCAGGCCGTTGGGGAAATGGCATAAACGAAGGAGTGCGTGCTTACTGGGCCAAGATGGGACTGGGCTCCTGTCAAAATAAAGACGCCTCAGAGCGCCAGTATAAGCAACAGAGAAGATTTTTAGACACAAACTCAATAATGGGGATTGTGTGTCTAGAGAATGGCTATGCTATTCTCCATTGTCAGGTATAGTGTTTTGTTTTGTTTTGTTTTGTTTTGTTTTGTTTTGTGTGTAAACTTGTGAATGGGGGTTACTCTGACTGGAAACATGCCAGTGACCGTATTGGCGAACATGGGAGCTGTATCGTTCACAGAAGAGCTATGATTGTCTACATCACTCAAGCAGCTGACTGTGGGTCAGTGGATTCAGACCTTAAGAGACAGTTTAATGAGGAGTGTGAATACTGGACACAGGTTTTACAGAGGGTGATCACTGATGTAAAGTATTAGTATAGTGGACTTCACACCAGATATTACACATGTGGACCAGCTGACTTTTATCCTTCCTATTTTTTAGTTTGCACACGCAATTTAGCACTCCTTATTTGGGATCCTAGTAGATCAGGCCCACCATGTGCATTGGGTAGCAAAGTACCATTCGCCTTCATTTCACTTATGCGCTCTTTATTCTTAGCTGGTGCTAAGATTGCTCAGACAATGCTCAGACCCGTCAGTGCCCCAGGGGGCGCTAGTCTTCTTTTGGGCTTTCCAGTTGTAACAAACATTGTAGAACAATCCAAGATGGTGGATATCAAAATTCAAGTGTGAAAATTCATATAAATATTCAATAGTAATATTAGTTATGTTCACTGCACACACCAGCAGATATGACTTATTTTCCTCAAGACTTGCCGTAGAGTTTACAAACTAATCACGTAGTTCTAAATATAAGCCAGAATTTTCTCCTATGAAGTATATCAGAAAACTACAGTTGTAATCTAGTCAGTGTCTTGACGTGCCAGTATATGTTGATTATTTACAGTACCTTCACCAAAATGCGTCATGTCACCAAAGAGAACAGCAGTATCTGAATGCTGCCCAGCTTACAACTGAGCATTAAAACAGTCCTCTGTTTTTTTTCAAAGAATAAAAGAAAAATTGTGGGAAAAAACCTCTAAAACAGAGAAGACTAACGATCAGCTGGAGGACAATCTGTTGATGCAGCACACACCAAGCAAAACAAAATATTGATTAACTTAACAGTTCTACCTCAAAGGCAAAAGGGACCCTGGGGAAAAAAACACATCTGTCAATTTCTTAGCCCTTTCTGATGATATAACATGGGGCAATATTACTGTGTCATCTGACACAGTTTCTGTCTGAGCTCCTCAGTGTCAACAAGTGAATATAGCTGCCTGTAAGTGTCTGGACCTTTATATGAAAAGCAGAAATCATGGTATCATGGTCTATATGAAGCTTTTCTATGATCAGTTTTTGAAGCCCATCCACAGATTCCAGGCATGAGGTATGGACATGAAGTAGAAAATTACCCTCTAAAAGAAGAGAAAACAAATATTGATATTCAGTTTGATACAAAATTAGCTGTGCGAAACAGTCAGGCAATTTCAAGCTTCAAGTTCAGCTAAAAAGAAATTATGTGTTTTTAACCTAAATGAATTCTGTTAAGAAAACCACAGGCACCTGTAAGTTGAGGCTTGTATTTCACATCTGGCTTATTGACATGTTTCCATTGTGGCCATGTAACTCCACACTGCTGCTCTGTGTGGTGGTATGTTGATTTTAGTCAGTCAGACAGTTCTCTGATGTATCCGTCTGTGCTGTATGGTGACAGACTCTCTGTGTCTTTCAGCTCTGATGGCTCGTGGACAGTGATGCTGTCTGTGGCTTAAATGAGCTCCAGTGCTCTTTGTACCAGCTCCCAGAGTTCCTGCAGAGAGGAATCAGAATTATTTACAGAAAGTGTTTGTTCAACCCTGTTGAAATTTGGAAGTCTTCCAGCCTGGCCTGCGGAAACAGTCATCCATTTGCATCACCTGTGCCGTCAATGGAGACCTTTGCTCTGTTGTACATGTTTTGGCTATCTGTTTGGTGTTAAGATGGAGCTTACATTGGAGGCATTTGTGTGGGCTTTGAAAAAATGATGGTGGAGTGATTTGTACAGTGACCTTGAAGCCTTTGGTCAAGCAGTGTTCTCATTTCGTGCATCCCAGACCTGGAGCCAAATACCAAGCTCAAAACGTGAGCTCCAAGCCCTGACTTCCTTTTCCAAACACCTTAAAGCATGGCTGTTGGAAAAACAGATCTGTGACCATAACTGTGTCTTGTTTTGTATGTTTGTCTAATGGGCTCAGTGTGTGGGGGCAATGTAAAATCAACATACACTTTATATCTGTTGTGAATTTCCCAGTTTGGGATCAATAAAGTATATCTATCGATCTATCTATCTATTTCTGTGCAGTAATTCAGCAATGTGCAATACCAGGAGAACCTGAGCTCCCAGGTAGCTAGCACTCTGCACTTTAGCATAGTATTATGGCACTTTAATTAGCAGTCCAGCACTTTATAATTCACTGTGTACAATTACCATGGTCCCACAGCTACTGGCTCGTTTTATTTTGGACTGTATGTCGCTTAGGTTGTCTACAGTTTATATATGCTGCTTGTCTTTCAATAAGATCTGTGTGTTTTATTACAATTACTGCCAATGGCTTCCTCCTGGAGATGAAACTGAGTCAGTTCAGCACCATAGATACTGACTCAGTATCTGTGATGCTGAACTGCTTTGAATTTATGTTGTATTATTATTGGAGGCCAGGTTGTCTAATGTATTTGCTGTTCTCTTGGTTTGTTAGACTTCATGTCCATTTGATTGATTTCATGATGACGTAACCATGTATAAAAAAGGCAGTAATGCTTGTAACCCCCTCTGTTGTGGGCATATGTATATTTTTATAGTGATATTCCAGCGTAAAATTAAGCTAGGGTCAAACACACCGTAACACTGAGTTAGACACCCCGTGGAGAGATGAATGTTTCTGACTGCTTGCTTCTCTTGGGTCCCAGCCATAGTACTAGCCACCAAATATCTTTTTAGCTTTGCCTGATTTCTTTAGCAAAGAGACTAAACACAACTCACCTACTCTCTTCCAGCAGTTGCTCGTTTGTACGGAGACCTCGACCAAGTCCATCACCTGCAGCAGGGTGACGCAATTCAAGGAAGAACATTTATGATCATTTCTTCATGGAAATACAATCAGACCGAGATGCTAAGGCAGAAGTGCTACCACGTCTGCAGTGCAAAATGATTAATATGATGATTATTACCTCAAGGAAATGATAAAGAAATTATCATAAATGTTCTTCTTAAGCTGCAGACCCCCGGTGCAGTTGATGGACTGGCCCATGGTCTCCCTACAAACCAGCGGCTGCTGGTAGAGAGTGGGTGAGTTGTGTTTAGTCTCTTTGCTAAAGAGATCAGGCAAAGCTAAAAAGATGTTTGATGGCTAATACTGTGGCTGGGACCCTATATGTACTGTTGATGAGGTTAAATGCTGTTCTGAGCATTATTTGTGGCTATAGAGTGGCGTTTTGGTTGAGCGTGTGGCTCTCTGTATTGCTATTGTATGGTCGTAATTAAAGTTGGTATAACTAGAGAAGCAAGCGGTCAGCAACATTCATTTCTCCACGGGGTGTCTAACTCGGTGTTACAGTGTGTTTGACCTTAACTTAATTTTAATATTCCTTTAAGTGATATTATCAAGAGCCTTATTGGGTTCAAAGGCCCCGGTTATGTGCCCCGCCCCCAGCCTGCCTTGAATCTGTCTCTAATCTAGTGGCCAAAGTGACAGAGCAGTAGCTTGGTGAGGCTTCAGTTAAACAGATTGTGTTCAATTAAACTGTGTTCAGTTAAAGTCCCATTCTGATCATTTTAATTTACTACTTAAAGTGTCCTCAGTGGTCTTAAAATTGTGATTATGAAGTTTTTACCAAAAATCACGTTATTTGTGTCATTTTCAAGGATTTTTCTTCTGCAGAGCTCCAGTTGCAATTAGCAATTAGCAATTTGCCTCTCGGTTGTGGGTGGAGACAGCGCTGCTCTGCACACTCCTCTTCACGCTAGCTTGTAGCATAACATTGCCAGTGGAGTAAGAGTAGTAGGTAACATAGGAGCTATTCAGCTCTGGGACACTAATGTCTTTGGGAACATGATGAGAACTGACATAATCAGATTTCTTACAAGCATTGCAATCTGCTAAAGCTCACGCTTGTTCTGTGATCGTCCTCTCTACTTCTTCAAGTCTGGCCTGCCGAGTGGGTTGCCGGGGGCAGAGCTTGAAATTGTGACATGCAGAAATACTCAAAAATGCAATTTTGCTCTCTGTTGTCTTATAATATGTCCTGTAGCATCATAAAAATGCCATATGAACATGTAGACAACAAGAAAAACATGATTTTCATCAGAATGGGTCTTTAATCGGGTAAAGCTGTGTTCAGTTAAAATGTTTAAAACAAATTTATCATATAATTGGAAGTTTAGGTCTAGTGCCAGGTTTAATGCACTCAAATCCCTTTTTATTCTCAAAGAGTGATAAAAAAACTTATTTAAAATTTGAATTGTGTTTTGCAACCAAAGTATCTGTGGATATAATCTGTTTCAATGAGGCCTGTACTGGGCATGTATGTCTGGTACATTTATTTTAGTAAGTGCTCAGTATCAGTAGAAACAAAAACCTGTGTTCAGGAGGATGAAAAACAACAGCCTGATGTTTTTTTTTTAAACTGATAAGCTTGTATAACTGTATAAGTAAGTATCATCTAGTTTTCTTCGCCCCAACGGCAATTTATTTTTTTAGAAATATCTTTCAAATGTCACCCAAGATCTCCACAATTGTATTACAGAAGCATATGTAATTTTTTATAGCATATGTTAGCATAACATATAGCATATGTTATTTATACATTAGAAACATACAGATGCAGGCTCTCTACATCTTACAGCCATGAACCTGACTGAACTGAAGTTTTTACAGTGTCTGTCTCTTTCTAGGTGTCTCTCAGTGATGATGTGAGGCTGTAGACAATGTGAAGAGGTGTAGGAGCTCGGAGGAGAGTGTGCCTGCGGTCAGACCATGGATCTGGGATTCAGATGGTTGTCTCCTCTCACTATGGAAGCTTTTTGTTTCCTGTTTCTGGCCAAACTGGTGCTGCCTTCTCACACAGAAAGTAAGTGATATCCTACACACTTACATATATACTGCATATCCATTACACAAAACTCCTCCCATATTTTAAGGGGATTATTTAAAAGGTCAAATATACCTGGATTGGAGCACATGGGGCAGAGTGAATAAGGGTAGGTCTGACCGCATGTTGTTGGTTAAACGGTGCTTGTTCTGGGCACTCAGGCTGTGTCTCATTTCAGGGAACGCACCGTCGAATGGCGCATTTGAAGCGTGCATGAGGTCATCACACTGCGCAAACGGTGTCCCATTTGGCATGAAATGATAAGTGCACTTCAAATTCGGTCTCAAAACCACACTACCCCCGCCCCTTTTTCAAGCGTGCATTTATGCACATTTTCGTGCCGTTGGTATCCCAGAATTCTTTCCGTGCCGCTGCACAGCTGCGCATTTTGGGTGAGAGGCTGGACTCACTTAGAGACGCAGCGCGTCTTTAAAGAAAATAAAAGAAATCCAAAAACAGCAGACAGTCAGCTCAGGCTGCATGAGCGCATGCTGTCCTAACTCACTAAAATCTGCAGGTGCAAACCAAACATCATAGTCTTTAGAAAAGAACTGATCAGCTCTGCTACAACGATCAAACACATCAGAAATAAGAAAGCTGATATAACTACTGCAGAGTATCAGGACAACATTGAGTTTTTTTTTTTTTTTTTTTTTTTTTTTTTAAGTTTTAGAGATAAAAGTTGTAAACTTGGGAGAATAAAGTCATGGGGCTCTATTTTCGTGCCTTGCTGGCGACGCGGTGCATGCGCGGCATAAGTCAGGTCCGCCGCGCCGACAAGGTGTTCCCAAGCACAATTTGGTATTTTGGTGAGCCGCGCAGCCTGGCGTAAGTATCCCCCCTCCCTAACTCAGCTCCTCCCAGCGGCGTAAGTCGTAGAGAGGGAGGAGAGAGGGCAGGGAGTGGGTTTAACACAGCCGAGACCTGTTTTGACCAGTAACATCAGCTCCTCTCCTCACCTTTAAATCCGCCACCAGGGAGGCGTACTACTATTTTCGTGAAGTAGTCAAAGAGATCAAGAAATGTCTGAAGACAGTAATGCCACACGATGGCTACAGAAGGCAGTTCCTCAACAGGTGTCACTGTAAACGCTGCAGAGGGCATCCTCCACACTGTCTCATATGAGCACAGATGGATTTGGTGTGTGTAAGTTTGGACCCATTAGTAAGACAAACACCCTTTCCAAAAATAAACACACTCACATAAAGTAGCACGTATTCAAACCTCACGTGACAAAGGTGGGTTGTGCGCACAGATCACAACATAAATTCCAATAATGGCATTAAAATCGGAACCATTTGTGCGTAAATGACGCATCGCGCTTCGTGGCTCGGCTCTTTCTTTCATAGATGTTGGCATATAAAATAAATTTGGCTCACAAAACTGAATATTATAATATTCGTATGTAGGCTTAAAGTAAATAACTCAACTGATCACTGAAACAAATCATCTGTTCAGCCGCAGCAGGACGGGGAGAGGACACGGAGACATGTCCAGGTTGAGCTGTGCGAGAAATAAGAGGAAGAGGAAGAAAGAAAAGGAGGGAGACAAATTAAATATCTTGTTAACTTCATCATGTGTGTTTATTTACTAGATATTTAATTTAATTCAGTGCGGTTTCGGCTGTGTTGATTCGGTCAGGTTGAATGTCCAAACGCGTGCCAAACGCGCTCATCAGATCAGATGTAGATCAGAATATATCTATATAGATCTAAATGTATGTGCTGACTCAGATTATTAGTTGTTGATGATTATTTATTGCACTGAAATGTGCCTGACACTGTGGAAACCTGCCTGTGAGGCATTGGTGACGTGTGCCGATACGCCGCCGGTGTACTAAAATACCACTAGATCAGCTGCGCTCCACCTACACTGAAAGCTGACCAGGTTTGAATCGGCGAGCTTTCAGCGCACTTTACACGCCACTGGCGAGCACGAAAATGTCACTGTGCCCGCTGATTCTGTCGACACCTCCCCCTGCCACGCCACCACGCCCAGCTTGGTGGATCTCTGTGCGCCTCAGTCCACAAAAATACCAAACTGGCTGTACGCCGGGCTCCGCCAGACGAAAATACAACTGCACGGGGTCCGCCACCCTCTGCCGCCTCACCGGTGTACACAAAAATAGAGCCCTAAGTGGGAAAAATGTTTTTACGTGTTACAAACTTGGCTCACACATGGCGCACATTCAGCACACAGTCAGTAGTTATACAGTAAGCTATGGAGGTGTGGAAGTCGTCCAATTGTTGGGTTTAGTGCAAAGAAACACCTGCTGGCTGAGAAATGCATGCATGTCACAGAAACAGCTTTGCTGAGTATTTTACTGGAAAAATACACAGAAAAAGCACATTTGCAGACTAGTTTAATTTAATGATGCTACCACCATATGTTCAGGAGCATCTAAGACTACTTTATTATCCAGCTTTATCCACACTGAGGAAAACAACAGGGGCAAAAATACAGTACTGGCTCAGAAATAGTAACTTAACGGGTCAACAAAGTGCCTTTTTAAAGTCAAACAATGTTGACCATATTGCCATGTGGACTGTGTTTACACAATATTTACAATTTCATGACATGATAGATCTATGTGCTGATTGGTTATCAAGGTGGAAATATTTGCTCTGGTTCAGATTTTTCAACTCTGCTCAATAAGTGTTTGAAAGGCGTAGCGCAATAAATGCAAATCCTTGCCATTTGCATCAACAGGCAGCTCAATTTGCACTATTTGGACAACCTCATTTGCGCCATTTGTGTCACAGGACAAGACCATGCATCTAATCACATCTTTCATTGACTTCACATATAATTTAATTTACTGGAGCGAACCATAATTCTTAAACTAGAGGCATGAATTATTCCTCTAACAGAGATCTGTCCAGACAAGTCAGTAATGTGCCTAAGTTTCTCCAGACTGTTGACATAGTTACTGCTGGCAAGCCAACAACAACATCAACCTCTTATTAAATAAGTGCAACATGTTTGGTTCAAATTTAAACTTATTCAAGATAAAAAATAGTTGTTGTTGCATGGGTAAAAAAAAAGTTTAAACTTAACTGAGTCAAATTTGTATTGGAGCCGCTCTCCTGCACACAGAAATCACTCAGGATCAAGAGGAGTGATGGTGAGACTTTGGGTGGGAAAATTAAACTGCGGTTTGTTTTTCACTTTTTTTTCACATTTAGCACCAGTTCTGTAGATGAACAGATGTTTTTAATGATACCCGGCACTGAAAATTAAGCACAGCAGATTAAGTAAAAGGTTACAGTATCGAGACTCGAGACTATCTCTCCACCTCAAACATTTCAAACATTTTCATGTATGATCTCCTGCTTGTCTGGGTCCATGGATATAACTTCAAGACACACCGCCCCGCCAGGTACGCCCAACTGCTCATCTATAAAGCAGATGTGCTGGCATGCAAACACTGATTGCTTTGATTGGAACATGTCCCAGAGCGACATGTAAGCTGGAGAGATAGTCTCTTTGCTCAGAGAACCAAGGTTACAATGTAACCCTACGTTCTTTATCATCTCAGGACTACTGTTCTACCCCAATGTGTTACATGCATAAATAATAAATGATAAAAGGTCTCTCCAAAAAATGCAGTTTACTGTATTGGGGGTGTCCAGGGGAGTTAGCAAACCAGTCAGTATCTGATGTGACCATCATTTGCCTCATGTAGTGCAACACATCTCCTTGGCATAGAGTAGATCAGGTTGTTGATGGTGGCCTGTGGAGTGTTGGTCCACTCCTCTTCAATGGCTGTGTGAAGTTGCTGGATATTGGCAGGAACAAGGACATGCTGTTGTATACACCGATCCAGATCATCCCAAACATGCTCAATGGGTGACATGTCCAGTGAGTATGCTGGCCATGCAAGAACTGGGATGTTTTCAGCTTCAAGGAAATGTGTACAGATCCTTGCAACATGGGGCCGTGCATTATCATGCTGCAACATAAGTTGATGGTCACGGATGGATGGCACAACAGTGGGCCCCAGGATCCTGTCACGGTATCTCTGTGCGTTTAAAATGCCATCAATAAAATGCAACCCATACCATAACCCCACTGCCACCATGGGCCTCTCGATTCACAACATTGACATCAGCAAACCATGGCTCCAAACACGCTGTCTGCCATCTGCCCTGTACAGTAAAAACCGAGATTCATTCATGAGGAGAACACCTCTCCAAAGTGCCAGACGCCATTGAATGTGAGCATTTTCCCATTCAAGTTAGTTGTGACAATGAAGTGCAGTCAGGTTAAGACCCTGATGAGGACAACGAGCATGCAGATGAGCTTCGCTGAGATTCCCTGAGGTTTCTGTCAGTTTGTGCAGAAATTGTTTGGTTATAAAAACCGATTTTTGCAGCAGCTGTCCGGATGGCTGGTCTCAGATGATCTTGGAGGTGAAGATGCTGGATGTGAAGGTCCTGGGCTGGTGTGGTTACATGTTGTGTGTGGTTGTGAGGCTGGTTGGATGTACTGCCAAATTCTCTGGAATGCCTTTTGAGACGGCTTATGGTGGAGAAATAAACATTCAATTTACAGGCAACAGCTCTGGTGGACATCTCTGCAGTCTGCATGCCAATCACAAGCTTCCACAAAACTTGTGACATCTGTGACATTGTGCTGTGTGATAAAACTGCACCTTTTAGAGCGGCCTTTAATTGTGGCTAGTCTCTGGCACACCTGTGCAATAATCATGATTCTAAGCAGCATCTTGATATGCCACACCTGGAAGGTGGATGGATTATCTCGACAAACAAGAAGTGTTCACTAACACAGATTTAGTCAAATTTGTCAACAATATTTGAGAGAAATAGGTCTTTTGTGTACATAGAAAAAGTCTTAGATCTTTGAATTCAGCTCTGAAAAGTGGGAGCTAAAACAAAAGTGTTGCATTTATATTTTTGTGCAGTGTATTTACAAATGTACACTATTTACATGCCAACCAGGGTGAACCCCGCAAGCTGAAAGCCTAAGAGGCAAAGGGGCTGCGTAAGGCAGTTGGCAAGACGCAAAACTGACCTAAAACACGGGCAAAAGCCCCACCAAGCCGTGAACCTGGAGACTTCTCAGGATCAGACAACAGCTGCCAGGCTGACCGAAAGAGACTTCTTCATCTACTGTTGAGCCACACCCTACACCTGCTCCACAAAGGAGGGGCCAGCTGCTACATTTAAGTGGTAGAATCTGGAAAATGTAGATTTAGACGACCATGTGGCTGCTGCACATATGGCAGTAAGGGATGGTCCTGCCATAAAGCAGATGAGGTGGTCACACTACAAGTCCAGTGTGCCTGAATTCCAAATGGGGCTTGCACACACCTGAGAATGTTTATGCCTGATGGACAGTATACACAACCCAATGAGAACGCTTAGACCTGGACTAAGGTCATCCCGAATGTCCAGAGTCAAACCAAATGAAGAGTCAGCCTGTGTGCGCCAGATATATTCTTGCAAGGCCCTCACTGGACACAAAACAGACTGGTGCCCCTCATCTTCCTGATATTCCTATGCAGTGGACAGTGACTGCCACTCAACAGCCTGGGACAAGTTGAATTCAGACAAGACCTTAGGCAGAAAAGCTGGATTGGGCCAGAGAACCATGCTCAACCCATCCAGTGAAAACCTGCAGCACTTATCATAAACTGAGAGTGCATGGAACTCACCGGTCTATCTGCCAGATGCTATAGCCAGTAGAAATGCAGCTTTCAGGGACAGCCATTTTAATTCCACATCCCCTCCGGGTTCGAAAGGGGGATGTTGAAGTGCGCTGAGGACCAACTCCAGGTCCCAAGGAGGGACTGAAGGTGTCCCATAAAAACTCAGTTAAGTGAGATTTAAGAACAAGCTTGTTCTCCTGAGTTAGGGTTGATTCTTAGCTAACAGATGGATGTTAATCCCAGTATATTTTCTGTCCATGCTGTTCATTGCAAGCTGGTTTTCTGTCCTCCTTCTCTCTTTCCAAACTTCCTAACCTTACCTTGGCTTCCCTGTAACCCTCTCTTAGGCATGCCCAACTTCATTCAGACCCCTGACGATCAGACAGGGATTTCGGGAGGAGTGGCATCATTTGTATGCCAGGCTGTGGGTGACCCCACACCTCGCATCACCTGGATGAAGAAAGGGAAGAAAGTCAGCTCTCAGCGCTTTGAGGTAGAGTACAGGAGAAGGCTCTATTACTACCTGTCTGCTGTGCTACATGTGAGGAAACTCTGTTTATAATACCACTGACACTTTTCTCCAGGTTAGAGCAGCAAACATTCTCAGGGTCTTTTAATGAGAGAAGAGTGTGGAGCACTAAGGGCTGTTGAATTTGCAGGACGATATTTGTTGTTGTTCTGGACTGTTGCAATAGCTATAGACTTACTTTTGTATTATTGTTGACAGGATATCTACTTGAGGTACAATGAGAGAAAATAAAAGACTGTTATTCATATGTGATAAATCACAACTTAACTGTGAACAGTCATGCCTCCCTCCACACACCTCCTGTAGGATATGCAACAGAGAGGCGGATATTTCCTCATGTTTATTTTTCCAGGTGATGGAGTTTGATGACAGCTCAGGCTCAGTGCTTCGTATTCAGCCTCTGAGGACCCACCGAGATGAAGCCATATATGAATGCACAGCAGCCAACAGTGTGGGGGAAATCAACACCAGTGCCAAGCTCACTGTCTTGGAGGGTAAGTCCTTTCCAAGACATGGTTTCCTTCTGTTATAGCTGATGAGTGATGTTGGAATTTTGTCAAAGTTTCCGAAAATGTGCAGCTCCTTTATTGGCCAACTTTCAGTTTCCACAGTGAGACAGACAAAGTTTACTCTAAGAAATAAAAATGTATTACACAGTACTGCTTTAAAATACCTCAATAAACCACAAATTGGAAGTCAGACTGATCAGCTGCTGACTCCAGACTCTGGGGTCAGTTCTAACTACTTTCCTTAGAAGATGAAAACAGCTGGGATGACAGAGTTCAACTGAGTTTGTTCAGGATAGGATAAAATACTGCAGCTTCACAATGATGTCAACTTGATTCTCTGTTGTGGCTAAAGCTCTGATCCACTTAGCTCTTGACACTTACTGTACATGTTGAACCTGAGCCCAAATGTTACTGCCAGTACTGCTGTGTTTATGAAGCGTATCTATTGCACCTCCTCTCTGCCATAATGGGATGTGAAATCACACACTGGGACACCAATACAGCACAGTTGCAAGAGTCTGAGTACAAAAGCACGGTGATGGCAGAACTTTGTCCTGGCACTTTTGCAGAGTTGTGTTGTGTAATCACTTGGAGAGACAATTTGGTGACTTTGTTGAGTAACACTTAGTTTGTTGTATTGATTTTGTGTTTCCCCTTTCCCAGCAGACTTCATCAAGACTTGATGCAGTGGTTAAACCAGTGCCTTGGTGGAAAAAAAATGGCACTTCTTTTTTACACCTGTTGGCATTTGTGGCTGTGCTGTAATGTTAACAAATAAGTTACAGTGTTAAAGTGTCAGAGGGAATTCATCCGTCTGGAGTCTCATGTCATCTACTACATCACTAAGAGCCAAAAACTGCAGAATGTTGTCATGCAGTAAATAAGGAATGTTTTTAGTAATGTATATCTGTTTTAAAGGGTGACAAGAGCGACATGAAGTCAGTGGCTTGACATTTTTTACAGTCTGGACGTTCATGTCTCTTATGAGAATTAGTGGTGTGCCATTGTCATGGATGTCAAAGAGTAACATGGCCAGCTTCACAACAAAGTTACCCAGATGACCCCGTGGTAGACAACAGTGTATGCGTGGATAGGAGTGGTGATTTTAAGAGCATGGTATTGGAAAGAGACATTGTTGCTCACTGGGGAGACCTTACTGAAATTCCAGGTCTTGAAAATCAGGATGCCTGTGCTGCCTCTTCGTCCAGTACAACGAGGAGTGTGGGAAAACAGTGTTAGCAGACAGAGCTGTCGGTGTAGCAGTGATTTCAGGGCATACTCGGGTTTCAGTCAGGGCTAGGAGCTGAATATGAAGAAAATAAGGAAAAAGAAAAGTTTAATTCAGAAATTAAACATTATGTCAGTCTTTAATAAATTTGAAATCAATCTCATATCTTAGGCTGAAACTTTTATTTTAGGGACTCCACAAAGGATTTCATCCGTGTTTGGTGTGAACACACCAATCAGAGTCAAAAGCACGAGCACCCCAACTTCACTGGTTTTATGTTCTTCAAAGTGGGAGTGTTACTTGGGTGTGTGTTAGAGAGCAGAGAGAAGAGGGGTCATGTTTGTGTGTTTTAGATTAAGTCAGCTTGTGGGAATTTTAACCAGACAAACTTGAAGAAAGTTGTCTCTTATTCTTATCAACAACATACACCAACATTGAAAATGCATTCAACACAGTATGACGCCCACCCCGTCTCATCTGACCACCTCCCTTGCACATTGCAAGAACAACGTATTACTGAACATGGAATGTAATGGCCCAAGGCCTTAAAACTGTTTTTTCCTCTGACCTGCCCTGGTGTTTGTTTTGAATCCTGGTTGGAACAGCAATATCATCACATCATGCGCACAAACTTTCAAAAATGAATCCTCAGAGAGCTGGATAAAGTTGTGTTGTTTTATTGCAAAAATAAAGGAATAAAACAAATGAGTCACAAAGTTTTTCTAAACAATAAAAACAGGAGACAGAGCTATACAGACCAGCAAATGGCCCTTGGATCCCCTGATCTTCATCAACAGTATCACCATGGAGATCAGACAGAGAACTTAATTTATGGAGGTTGGTGTGGCCAGTAGCTGAACCTGTTCCCTGCACACTCAGGGCTTTGATCAAAACTGCTAGAAAGGACTGCATCAGATTCAGTGAAAGTAAAGAGGTGTCCAAAATCCAGGCTGAAAAGGTCAGTAAATGACAGGAGAGGAACGCCTATCATTATCAACATTTTAAATCATTATTGATGCTCTGAACATATGACATAGTTTTCATTAATCCTGTGTGTACAGGTAATTAATTAACAGTGTAAGGCTTTCTGCACAGCGTGTATACTACAATATTACTGTCTTATTTATTAGGGTATAAATAAGTCTAAAAACCACTTTATTTTGCTTTCAGGTCTACATTCTTTGCCAAGAAAGCTGATTAGCTAAGTTCTTAGCTAAGAATAAATACAAGACTCACATGTCAGAGTTGTTGAAAAAAAAGAGTTCATGTCTTTATAATAACTGAAGTCCAAACCTCAGAACAGTAATGTCCCTCATTCACTTCACAGTTTACCTCACTCATCAAGCAGCTGTCTTAACACCAACGATATCTCATGTCTGTCCACAGACGACCAGGTTCCACATGGTTTCCCCACCATTGATATGGGGCCTCAGCTGAAGGTTGTGGAAAGGACACGTACTGCTACAATGCTGTGTGCAGCCAGTGGACACCCTGACCCTGAGATCTACTGGTTTAAAGATTTCTTACCTGTGGACATTGACAGCAGCAGAGGGCGCATAAAACAGCTCCGTTCAGGTACAGCACTCCTGTCAGCATGTTCAGATGTTCAGCAGGGAATGGCACAGGTGACAGGGAGCGAAGCAATAAGTGATTAACACTTTAAGTGTTTGGGACAAAAAGACTTTAGTAATCTTGTGAAAGTGACATAACATCATATTTAGTGTAGATGTAAAAAAAGGGATTTGTGAAGCTCCTGTTCTGTCAGGGAGAGTCCTCCATGATTCAGATGAATTAAATATCTGCCTAAGTTTGACTTGTTGGAGAAGTTCATAATCATAAAGTGGAAAATAAGATACAATAAAGTAAGACCAGAAGAACTAGTTAAAAGTTAAAAATGTAAGGATGTGATTTCATAGACAAAGATCTTTAGATTTGATGTTTAGACATTTCAGTCTGAAAGTTTAGTTTTTAAGGTAAAATATGTAGGATATGAAATAAGTAGCATATTAAACCCACCTTAATAAATCATAAGACATTACTGAAACATGCTTTTCTGATAACAGTGCAGCAGTCAGCATATTGCTTCAAAGTTTCAATCCCGGCACGGTGAGATCTACTTTTGTTTTGACCTGCAGTTTCATCTCCACTGTTTTAGGATCTTCAGGGGTTGCCACATACAAGACCAGTTACTGTATCATGCCAAACCAACAGGTGTTTGCATGAAAGGAAGCAGGCGAACATGCTGGTCACAGATAACTGAGTCTACTACCCACTGAAAATCAGTGAATCAAAATACTTAGCTGGGTGGGTAAAAGGTCAGCAGATGACAATGAACACTGGTCAAAAAACACAAGTCACTCAATGCAGTCCTCTCTCAACAGTTTGGGGGTTTTCCTCTGAGTTCTCCCGTTCATTACTGCCCAGCCACGCCCCCTGAAAGCTGATGATGTTTTCTCCATCAAATCCAGGAGCACACAGCTTCTGGGTTCCTCTTTTTTTGTGGTTCATCACTTTTCTAATGTGTCTCTGTGTTCCACATCAGCAGCTTGGTTTATTATTCAGATCTATAGCATCTGTATAGTAACCGTTTCTTTGTTTAACTGTTTGCTGCATATGACTTGATATGCTCAAATGATGCCATCAACCAAAGTACTGAAAAAGTGAACTGCAGATAATTTGCTCCTATCAGACTACTGACTGACTAAGAGACGGACGGACGGACGGACGGACGGACGGACGGACGGACGGACGGACGGACAGACAGACAGACAGACAGACAGACAGACAGATAGATAGATAGATGAAGCCCTCTGATCAATAGCAGCTGTATACTCTGACCAAGTTGTAATTGGAAGTAAATATGTAACTGCACAGATGGCAGTCAGGGACTCACAGAAACTGAGAACAGTAGCATCAGTATCTGATATTCAGAATAAAAACAGGGTGACGAAAAAATATGGACAAAAAAATGGCTTCCACCATGAACACAGTCTGCTCTGTTCAGGGAAAAGAAATTTGTTCAGATAAAAATTTTGACTCAGACGTGAAAAAACTCATTGTCAAACAAACTGAGAATAGCCATTTCTATGATGTGTTTTTTCCCTCCATTCTTGTTTCTTTCACCTTTCCCCACCTCTATCTAATGGTTATCTCTTATCTTATTTGCATTCATATTACCTCTCCAGGTGGTACACCAATCAGAGGTAAGAATGCTGGACATAGAAAATGTTTGCTTGTGCTACCCTCGCGCTCTACCATTGTCTGTGTCTCGTCATCTCAGCTCTCCGTCCTTATCCTGGCTGTGACACCTGCTCTGCCTCTATATACACTTACACAAGTGTATATGAAACAAGGGTTGAGTATCATCAAAATCACTGCAAATTACTTTTGTCTAATTTACAGAGAGTAAAGAGTAAATATATGTATTATATTAACTTTATGAATTAGTGAAATAAATAGGAACTCAAATATTGTTTTTTAGTTTCTCAGGAGCTACTGAAAAATTGGAGAGGTGACAAATGAGCTACAATGTTATTTGCTGTACTGTAATAAACCCTGTTTGGTTAAGTTGGTCCAGGCAAAGAATAACTTCCTTTTTGTAGTGACAGTAAAATAAAGCAAAATAAACAAAATGTAGGCCACAAACATGACAAGCCTAACCCTGATGTGAGTTTGTGGCCTGATGAGAGTCTCATTAGAAAAATGTAGTCCAAAAATAATAATATGCAGTCATTTAGGGACTGACCAATAACATGAAGTTATAACAATACGGTTCCTTAAAGGCAGCATTTGCCCTTTAAATATCTGGAGTTAATCACCATAGCTGTGACCATTATTAGTAAGTGTACATAGTTACATTGGTTTTCTGTATCTTCACTTTGTTGACAGTTCCTAGAAATATGCTTATAGATGCATCTTTATGTAACCACAGGACTCTGGACAGCTAATCTGTTATATACTGTACAAAGCAAAGATCAAGAGCTCAGTTTCAAACCTGTCTGATGTTGCACTTAAGAGTTGTACTCTTAAAATATTTACATCATTTCATTTGTTACTAATTTTGATTTTGATGTTTGCCATATTCATTAAACCGCACAGTCACTTAAAGTGTTTCTATCTCAAACCTAACTTCTGCACTGACATTGGAATATTAAATGTATGCGTGCTATGTTTTTTGGAACAAATGGAGGTGTATTATGGTGCCAGGTAAGACTGGGTAAATATTTTACACTGTTTTAACCCAAAACCATAGTATCATTGCGCTTTGAGCTGTACTGAAGCTTTGGACCAAACTAGGGGGTTTAGAGTCTTCAATAAAGCTAACCATCTATGAGCACACAGGTGTGGCATGATTCCCTCCACAGTGATCCAAGAACCAGCTTTAATAATGACGAGTTATTGTATAGACTGTTACATGAAGACCAAAGTAACTCTAATAAAGCTTTGCCAAAGGCTCTGTAGGTGTTTTTTCGCTTATGAAATAAAAAAGAGGGAGAAAAACTATTTTGTAAGAAACTGAAGAACATTTCAACTTATTAAAGACCCACTCTGATGAAAGTCATGGTTTTCTTGTTTTTTACATGTTCATATGGTATTTTTCTGATGCCATAGGACATATCATGAGAAATCGAAGGGCAAAATTGTGTATTGAGTATTTCTGAATTTAAATCACTGTGAATCTCAGACCCAAACGGCAGGCTCAGAAACAGTGAGATTTTCTATGTCACAACTCCAAGCTCCGCCCCTGGAGCCCTGCTCTGCGGGCCAGACTCAAAGAAATAGAGAGGACAATCGCGGAACAAGTGTGTGCGGTAGTGGGTTGCAATGCTTGTAAGAAAGCTAATTATGATATTAACATTCATTATGTCCCTAAAGACATTAGTTTCCAAGAGCTGAATAGCTCCTATGTTACCTGCTACTTCTACTACACCAGCGATGTAAGGCTACAAGCTAGCGTAAAGAGGAGTGTGCAGAGCAGCGCTTTCTCTGCCCACGACTCAGAGGCAAATTACTAATGAGCTACTGGAGCTCTGCAGAAGAAAAGTCCTTGAAAATGACACAGGTAACATGATTTTGGCTAAAAACTACACAATTGAAAGACCATTGAGAACACTTTAAAGTAGTAAAAAAAAAAAAAAAGATTGGAGTGGGACTAGCAGACTATGATCTTTATCCTTTAAACCTTTACAGTTGTTAGGGAGCAGCTTCTTTAACAGGCTTTGAAATGTCAGCCTGCTGCCTTTATTACTGCATCCCTGACAGTGTTAAAGTAACACTATAAGTAACTATAAGTACAGTTCTCTGCAATCTTTGATGTAGTTTCAATCTATACAGAGAAAAAGGCAAAGTCTGTAATATTTAATAGGTTTGTAGGTTTATAAAAGTTAAGCTGCAGAGATGTTGAGGAGGGATATATACTTCTAAGACAGATGACTTCTGTGTGTCAGAACTATATTATACTGTGGGTTACTTACACTTGTGTGATACAGGCCTGTGCTAAGATTTCTGGCCTCCCTCCCCAGGTGCTCTCCAAATAGAGAACAGTGAGGAGTCAGACCAGGGCAAGTACGAGTGTGTGGCAGTCAACAGTGCCGGGACTCGCTACTCAGCCCCAGCCAACCTTTATGTTCGAGGTAAGGTGCTTCAGACCCATTTCAGTTACAGTGATGCCTTTACAATGAGGTTCTCTCTTCACCTGATCTGCATCAGTACTGTCCCTTTGAAAGTTTAACTGATTGCCTGGATCCGAACCAGAATCAGTTTATTGGTCAGGTATGTGTGCACATACAAGGACTCTGATTTTGGTGAACTTTACTCTCTCTGTACAACATAAAACATGATTATTACACTATAATGTACCAGGCTACATTAAACCCTTTGAGTCTACATCTGTTTGTTCTCCAACTGTCTCCACAAAACAATTGGTGAAAGTTGAATCACTTCGCTCCTGCTTCTGAGAAGAGACAGAAAGTCAAGACAGTGTTAGGTTTCATCACACAGGTGGGAGTTTAGAGCAAATTTTTTTGACTGAAAAGATACTTAAAAAGCAGATAAGGTGGTTCCAGATTTGTCTCTTCAGCCCATTTAAAGACTTTATATCATGACAACAAAAATAGCTACTTCAAGTTCTGGGACTGCAATGTGACTAAAGATCAGGAAAAATCTGGTTTGGTTGGAATTTGGCTCCAAATATGTGTTAAACTGTCTACCTGCTTTTCTTACCATCTAGCACATGACAAGGCAATAAAAACAGGTGATCTGTGACCAGAAGTGGGCTTGTCTTTCTTCTGGGTCCGGGTTGTCTCCTCTATATTCTTTGGTGGGTGATGTGTTTAGCCCCATCTCATTAATCATGCTTGTCTTCTTGACCTTCTCTTAAATAAAACAGTTGGTATCACTCTGGAAAGACAAGCCCCACAGACACACAAAAGGTGGGTTAGCCCCACAGTTAATGATCTCCTCACCAACTCACGGCTCCAAGCGTATTCACTAACCTGGACTTGCAGGGCACTGGCTGCTAACACTGGGTGCCCATGTCCATGTCCATGTCACGAGTCTACAAGCTATTCAGCCGGCTAGCTAGTGTGCAGATTGGGCAAGATGGTTTATTTACATACAACAACAGCTTATCTCAGGTTATCTTTGGTCAGAATAACAGATAGTGCCATTTACCCTTAAACAATCATTTTCCAGTGATCTGTCTGTCCAGTAAGAGAGAAAGGATTAACATGTAGAGTGGATTGTCATAGAGAGACTCAGAAACAGAATTTTGTTTCAGACTAACCAGGTAAGTAAATAGAGTATAATTGATTAAGATGCTGAAACACAGGATCACAGGATGCAGATCTAGAGCCAACATCTAGAGCCAGCCCTGGTCCTCTAGGCAGGTTCATGACCACATGCCTGAGCTGATGACATGTTCCTACCAAGAGTTAAAATGCCAGGCTACCCAGACACAGATGATGTTAAACTTTGTTTCCATCCTCTCCATTAAAAACAGCCTCCACTCAGTGAGTGTGTGTGTATCTGTGCTTCTGTAAATGTGTGTGTGTGTGTGTGTGTGTGTGTGTGTGTGTGTGTGTGTGTGTGTGTGTGTGTGTGTGTAGTGTTGTAGTATCTCTGGCTTTTTTTCCACTCAGGACTGGATTGGTGGATATGTGCCTGTTTTACTCTGTCTTTTCTCCTTCCTCTTTCTCTTTATTTTCTTCTCTTCTTGTTTTTTCCGTTATTTCTTCTTTATCTTTAATCCATCACTATTGCACGCCACCATCAAACTATATTTCAAATCTCACCACTCAGATCAACGGGAAGGTTTGTGTTTTTGCTCTCTACCCCTAAAGACAAAGCCTGGCAGACCGGAGCCGTGCTGCGCCTGCTTTTTGCTTGGCGCCTTAGGCCCGTCCCAGCCTTTCTGTTTAGACCCTAAAGTCCTGGTTAACCCCTCACCCCTCTCCTCCAAAACCTGCAACATGCTAATACACACTGCCTGGCCTGATATAATTTATCACTCCATGCTCCTCCAATCTTTGTGAAATGAGCATGTCTAATAGAAAAGCCGGACCGTGCAGTCCACAACTCAGATTTAAAGACCTAAAAGGAACAGTCCCTCGCCACTAAATGATTGTGTGAAGGATTTGTGATATTTCCTGTCTTTGTATTTCCCATACATTTGGCCTTCTTTTGCAGCTTTGAAATAAGTATTAGTAACTTCTTTGGACCCACTGTCCTTTACAAAGGCTTTATCTTGTTTCAACTCCATTATTTTGTTGTTCCAACTTGTCGGTTTGAAGTGGCAGGAGAGAAAGCCAATCAGGTTCATTTTTATGCTCACTGTCAATGGTTCCACAAACCCCCATTAAGACTTCTGCGGGTGTAACACTGGTATTGTATAAGCTCAGTTTCACCTGGATGGGTTTGTAACAGTTTTTAAAACATGATCTCACTCAACAAATAAAACTAAAATTAAATTAAGAACAATTAAAGTTATGAGTTAATGTTAGATCTGCATTTCTGCAGTTCTGTAGATCTATAGATCTGCAGGTCTATAGTTCTGTAGATCTGTAGTTTTGTAGGTCTGCAGTTCAACAGTCTTTTGTTAGCTGATGATGTTTTATTCTCCATATGATGTTTACCAATATATCATTCACGTCTTTAATCTGGGACTGTTGGACAAAGAGTGAAAGACAGGAGTAACAAACCTTGATGAACTCTCAGCTTGACTAAAAAGAATCCTCCCCAATATAGACACATCTCTGTAACTATTTTTGTTCAATTACTGATCTGCTGAGAGAAAGAGTTGAGATATGCCTGTGCAGTGATTTTACTAGATGACCATGTTAAATAAGGCCCCTTTTAAGTACACAGGGGCGTCTCATCAGTACCTCGGCATTGATCCGTGCAGAATAATGTTTGTGAATGCAGGAGTATTGTTTTACAACTGTACTTTTTTATCTCTATTGCTTTTACTTTGAGTCTGATTTAAGTAGCTGAAGAACTAATCATTCTCCTATTTTAGCAACATTACATGATTGTAATGCAAAGGCACAAAGGTTTTGACACTTTGTCACTATCACACATCTCACATCTTTTCATGGCGAGGGTTCATCGTTTTTACTTATTCTGACAGTTTGTGCTCATGTCACAAAACGGTGTAACCATAAGGCCCTTGCATGTTTATCCTTCTGTTGTCTTGATTAAACATACAGTGCATCCAGAAAGTATTCACAGTTACATTGTTTTCACATTTTCCTGTGCTACAGCTTTATTCCCAAATGTATTAAATTTAAATGTTATACTGCAAAATCCAAAACACAATTACTTATAATGATAAAGTGAAAAAAAGACTTTTGAAAATTTATATATATAAAAAAAAGCAAAATATAACATGTACATAAATATTCACAGCATTTGCCATGACACTCAAAGTTAAGCTCAGGCGGATCCTGTTTCCACTCATTATGCTTCACCTGTGGTAAATTTAGTTGATTGGATATGATTTGGAAAGGTGCACACCTGTATATACACTGAACAATAATTTAACACTTTTGTTTTTGCTCCCGTTTTTAATGAGCTGAACTCAGAGATCTAAGCATTTTTCTATGTACACAAAAAGACCTATCTCTCTCAAATATTGTTGACAAATTTGTCTAAATCTGTGTTAGTGAACACTTCTCCTTTACTGAGATAATCCATCCACTTTACAGGTGTGGCATTTTAAGATGCTGATTAGACAGCAAGATTATTGCACAGGTGTGCCTTCGACTGGTCACAATAAAAGGCCACTCTAAAAGGTGAAGTTTGATCACACAGCACAATGTCACAAGTTTTGAGGGATTTGAGGGGTGTGATTGTGATGCTGACTGCAGGAATGTCCACCAGAGCTGTTGCCCGTGAATTGAATGTTCATTTCTCTGATCAGTGGACTCCATCATCTGTAAGTTTCGAAGAAGTTTGGAACCACTAGGACTCTTCCTAGAGCTGGCCGCCCAACCCAATCTGAGTGATCCAATAGGTGCATCTATAAAGTAGTGAGAAATGCTGTAAATATTTTTTGTTTTTTATTTTAAATAAATTTGCAAAAGCTTTAAACAAACTTTTTTCACTTTGTCATTTAGGGTTATTGTGTGTTTGATTTTAAGGTAAAACATTAATTTAGTCCATTTTGGAAAAAGGCTGTAACACAAAAAAATGTAAAAAAAAAAAAAAAAATGTAGCACTGTGAACCATTTCCAGATTTACTGTAAGGAATGGTTCATCTACACTGTTGTCTGTTCTCTCATTACCAACCACTAAGAAGCAGACTCACAGACAACACTTGCCATGCTCAAATAGCTCTTCACCACAAACCTTTAAAAAAAATTGCTTTGAAAGTTGCTGGAACCCTTATCAAATGTGTTTTTGGTTTTATTAATGATCATGGAGAAAAGAGGATTGATATATGGATTACTTGGATCAGGGTCACTACTTAATGAAGTGGCTCTGGGTCTCCTCTTGAGTTTTCTCTGGCTAAGGTTATAATCATAGACTGTATATAGAATGGACAGAGTCTGCCTCCTTGCTGGGTGAAGCTACTTTGAGAACAGCACCCTCTGTTGATGGGCTGCAGTACAGGTCATAAATCCCGCCTCCGCCAGCAAAGCTTATGGAGCTGTGGACAAACTTTATAAATTAATTACACAGAACATAAATTTTTCTCCCCCCTGCTTGTGATGTTGACATGTAGTTACTGTAAGACTGGTTTGTGCTCAAGTCCTCTTTTTTTCTGTGCAGCACCATTTTTAAAAGTTATTAGGGGGTTCATGTTTTCTTTGATTGACACCTGATACAGCCTATTGGCGTTCAGGGGTTGCATAGCTCTCCCGGGGGATACACTGTTTGAGCTGAGCATCATCACAGCGACTCTCGGCGACTCTCTCGTCGAATGCGCACAATGCTACTGCGCAATGCTGGTTTCAGGAAATGAAGAAAAATCGCGGAAATACTGAGAGCTATTTGGCTTCAAATCTGAATACTGGCAGGAGGTGGAACCAAGTTGCCTATGGTATATACAGTCTATGGTTATAATACAGTGTTACAGTGCCATTTAACAGATGCTTTTATCCAAAGCGACAAGAGCAAGAACAACACAAGCAAAGATCCAATCAAGAAGAAACCAGATCAGTAAGAGCAACAAAGTCCGTTTGGACACAGGTACTGCCAAACAGTGTAAAAGGAAAGGCAATGCACAAAAGTGAATTAAGATTTTTTTAGTTGTGTTAACAGATCTTACTGTTCATTGTTGTATTTTAATGTCCCCACTTTGGTATTTTTATTGTTTCAGACCATTTATGCTGACTGGATCTTGCATGGATCAGAAAAAAACACATTTTTATATCCATTTCTTATTTACAAGTTAATTTTTCAAACAAATGACTTCTAAGTCTTTGTACTAAGCATCTTGCTTAGGCCTCAAAATTGATCCTACTAGAGCAGAGGTAAATGGAGGCATATTCACTACAGAAAAAAAAATCCTCTACGTTTTTCAGAATTAATGAGATAACTATCTCAGATTAATTAATTATAACTTAGTTTTTGAAAAATTAATGGACACATTCCTTTTAATAACATTTCTCAGGGTCTGGCATTCAACACAAATATCAGGTGATTTGATACTTTTCGAAAGATGGTATGTTTCATGCAGTATGTGGGTGGGATAATGTTTTAAAGAAGGTGGAATTTTTGAAACAGGTAAATGTTCTATTTTTGTTCAGTGTGTCGCTTTGTGTCAGATTCAGTATGTGGCTTTGTATTGTCTTCATTCACTGACCTGAATGCATTATTGTTGTTGTATAAATGCATAATTGTCTGAAGTAAGTGAATTTTGGCCTGAGTGTTCTGAACAATAACAAAACAACAACAACAACAACATAGATAGATAGAATTTTATTGTCATTGTGAAAAGCACAATGAAATTAAAAGCACATTAAAAAAGGGACAATAAAACATTGGACAGTAAAACAGTAAAAAAAAAAAAAAAACCAGTGCAGAGTTAACCTGCCATCAACCAACCCTATGCATTTTAGGGAAAAATCCAAGTCCAAAATAAAAAAGGCCTTGGAGAGATGAACGCACCTACAAAATTTCATTGTCCTACAAAAAGTCCCCAATCATGATACTCTGAAGGGACGCTACTGTGTCTTTTTTTACCATCCATGTATGTGCCTGGTAAAATACGCAAATTTTCAATGGACCCAACCCACCTGCCAAATTTTTGAGCCCTTCTAGAGGGTTGTACCGGTGAAAAACTCTGCCTTTAATAATAATAATAATTATAATAACAATAAATAATCCTAGCGTTTCAAAAAGACTCTTGCCGCTTCTTGCAGTGCCGGCTTTGGCCCCAACAATAACATCAACATCACCAACAACAAAAAACCACAACAAATTTAAATAACAAAAACATCAACAACAAAAACAACAGCGTCATCAACTAGAATATTAACAATAACAAGACCAAGAACATCAACCACAAAAACAAAAACATCAACAAAAACAGCATTTACAACAAAAACTACAATAACTGGCTTTGTTTTGTCTCCATCCACTGACATAAATGGAAGTAAGTGACTTCTGGCCCGTGTGTTTTGCACAACAATAACAAATACAACAACAACATCAACAGCAACAAAATGTAATCAACAACAACATCAACAACATCATCATCAACATTAACAACAACAAAAAACATCAACAACAAAAACAACATAATCAGCATCAAAAACAAAATCAGTTCAGTTTGGTCCTTCAGAGCATTAAAGAATCACTGTATGATCTGTGGAAGTCATATTTAATGATTATCAAGTTATAATGAGTCTTAAACTCTTACCCGATATATTTCTCTATATGCTGATGACAGAAGAGTAAAAAGTTTACTGAGATTAACATCAGTGACTGACTTTAAACATAAGTTATCATCACCATTGATCAAATGATAAAACTCAATGAGGCCAGCTCTTATGTTTTTCAATTAATCGATCAAACTTTGTCCATATAGCACTCTTCGTGCACCAGACCCCCCCCACACACACACAGACACATACACATACACACACTCTCTCTCTTTCTCTGTCTCTCTCTAACAGTCCCTTTCTTTGCTCCTGCAGTGCGACGTGTACCTCCCCGTTTCTCCATCCCCCCCACTAATCAGGAAGTAATGCCAGGCGGCAGTGTCAACCTGACCTGTGTTGCAGTGGGTGCACCGATGCCTTTTGTCAAATGGATAATTGGGGAGATGGATCTGACTAGGGAGGACGAGATGCCCATTGGCCGCAATGTCCTGGGGCTCACTAGCATACAGCAGTCTGCCAACTACACCTGCGTGGCCATATCCTCCCTGGGCATGATCGAGACCACGGCCCAGATCACTGTAAAAGGTCAGAAACACCTACAAACGTGAAGAAGGCTGTGGAGGCCACAAATTTCTGATCTCTTTATTTAAGTGCACTTGATCTTGATTATACTTTGGAGTTTAACCTGAGATTTAAGAAGCCTTTAGCTGTGATTTTATAAAGACACCTGTCATCAATCAATCAATTAAAACATTTTTTAATCAGACTCTTCCTCCTTACTGGTGAGCGTATTGCATCATTCCGTTTCCTGTCATTGAACTGAGTGCTGTACTCTTGATAGCTTTGTCCCTAATAGATTATTTTTCTTCAATCCATCAACACATCTGTGATCTATCTATTATCTGTGAAGAGTGAAGTGAGTAGCTAGAATCCTTTTGTAAAGAGAAAGTTTTGAAGATAAATTTTTAGCCTCTCCTACTCTAAGAGGAACAGCCTCCACTCTAGCGGCCAACATTCAGCTCAATACACACTTATGTTAAAACCTGAAGAGGTCTGAAAAGTTCATGAAGTTTGAACTGTCACTGCAAGAAAAGTATGAATGTGATGAAGGAGTTGAATGAATGTGTGAATGCCTGAAGTTTTGTAAATGTTTTAAATCTTCTAGGTGAAAGTATGAAGGAGTGAGAAGAGGTTGAATTTGAGTGAGTTTGAAGCCTTTTCTCATTAACTCCCATAATACAAATCTAAATAGTTTTAAAAATTATAATGGGATGACAAAGCTTGAAGATGTGGAATAATGCTGAAAAGTGTGAATATTTTGTTTTTAAGTCCTTAAAAAGCTTTTAATACCCTAGTTCCCCTCTAGACCAGTCTAGAGTCTAGAGTCTGCTGGTCACACCAAAAGTCTCCAAAAGTAGTATAAGACGTAGAGCCTTCAGCTATCAGGCCCCTCTCCTCTGGAATCATTTACTGTTCGACGTTCGGGGGCAGACATCCTCTCAACTTTTAAGAGTAGACTTAAAACTTTCCTCTTTGATAAAGCTTATAGCTAAGGCTGGTTAGGTTTGAACCAGCTTTTAGTTATGCTGCTATAGGTTTAGACTGCGGGGGACTGACACTCTGAGCTCCTGTCTGTCCCTCTCTCTACTCTCTCCTTTAGATCTTCATGTCCCATTTAAGGTACTAACCAGATCTCTCTGAGTGTCCCTGAGCTCCCCAGGCTCTTAGGCCCCTCTGGACTGATGGTACAGATGGTTCTCTTCCCTAACTCAGTGGCAGCGGGTAGCTGTCTGACATGAGTCTGGATTTACTCTGGCTTTCTGCCTATTAAAGTGAGGTTTTTCCTTGCCATTGCATCTTGCTAAATACTGCAGAGTGCTTCACTCTGTTGGGTTGAGATGGATCAAATCTTTCCCATCTTGAGGTTGGGTCTTTTTAATACATCAAACAATAAGTGTGGTCTAGACCTGCTCTTTAGGAAAGCGCCTTGGGATAGCGACTGTTGTGATTTGGTACTATATAAATGAAAATTGATTGATTGATTGACTATCTCAGGGGAATTCAGACTTTCAGTCTTTTTGTGGAAACATTTTAGATGGTCTTCAAATATACAGTTAACTAACCAGCTGACCAGGCAGTTTACAGCTACAGTCGTATAAAAGGGCCAGCTATTCCAGGAATCACTGCAGGAAAGGTCCTAACAGTTTTTAGACAGCAGCTAATTGTTTCTATAGATGAACTTTGCCTTCCTTCCTCTTCTCCTCACTGTTTTTCACCAGCTCTCTGAGGTGCTGAGATATGCCAATCACGGCAGATGCTTTAGTGCTTCTGTCATTTATCAAATTGCTTAAATAAGTGATCCCAACAATGTCCTTGCTATTTCTTAAATCCTTTTTCCATTGCATGTATTTCCACAGCGGAGAGCAAACAGAAGATATCAGAAAGAATCATCTTCCATATTTCAGCTCGTCTTTATAAAATCAATCTTTTTGACAAATTTACTGGAGCATCTCCAGGGCGCCTGAGCTGTGATTTCAGTGCTGAGATATGGTTTAAATCTTAAATCTGAGACACAATTTCAATCCATTTTTATTTTTTTATTTTTTTTTTCAGAACAAAGTAAATTTCTTATTATCTCCAACAAACACTGTTGATAAGTATGCATTATTCTGCTTGCACTTGTCTACATGGTAACACCTGTTGGCTCTTGGCTAATCGGAAATGGACAGAAATGAGCTCCTGGACGGTCATTTATAACAGAGTGACAAATGTTCATGTAAACAGAAAAGGAAGAAGAATAAAATAATGTGTCTAATGGACTCTCCTCTCCATCTCCATCTTTAACAGCTCTCCCCAAACAGCCCAGCTCCCTGACAGTGACAGAAACCACAGCTACCAGTGTCACTTTGACCTGGGACTCTGGCAACCCAGAGCCAGTGTCCTACTATGTGATCCAGTACCGTGCCAAAACATCAGACAATGGCTTTCAAGAAGTAGATGGAGTAGCAACTACGCGATATAGCATCGGAGGCCTCAGCCCCTTCTCAGAATATGAGTTTCGGGTCATGGCTGTCAACAACGTGGGCCGGGGGCCTCCCAGCAGTACCGTGGTTACTCGCACAAGTGAGCAAGCACCCTCATCACCTCCTCTTAATGTCCAGGCACGCATGCTAAGTCCAACCACCATGCTGGTCCAGTGGGAACCTCCAGAGGAGCCCAATGGCCACATACATGGATACCAGGTCTATTATAGTTCAGAGCGTGATGCCCTGCTCAGCTCCTGGCAGAAACACAACACAGATGACAGCCAGCTGACCACCATCTCAGGCCTCACAACGAATCTCACCTACAGTCTGAGGGTGCTGGCCTTTACCTCTGTGGGGGATGGGCCTCTCTCTGATGTTCTGCAAATAAAGGCCCAACAGGGAGGTAAGAGCATCCAGATCAGTTCAAGACAAAGATCTTTGGAAAACTTTAGATAACTCAGGATTAAATTTTAAGTTTTTTTCAGTTCGAAGTTTTTGAGTAGGCTGCATTCTTTCTGTAACTCTGGTGTGTTTAGAGACACCTTACGTATTTCCATTGAAATACATTTATAAGGTTGTCAGCATAGGGGAAGCTCTCTCTACATCAGCAAGCTAATCAGGATCAAATTTAATGAGTGCAGAAAGTTCTTATATTCTGGTTATTGCAGGTAGTGGCAGCCTTCTGCCTCTTCTCCTCATTTGGTTCCATATTCCGTTTCTGGATCCCCTTTCCCTACAAATGCGCCTGATGGGTTTTTCCCTCAGTAGTCTTTGAGGAATCCCATTTGGGTAATCGGATGGCTCTTGTAGGTCCAGGGAAGCAAGCTGCAGATCCAGCTGCAAGGAGTAGGTTAGCCTGCCTCCATGGTGTATGACAGGATTTCCTGGTGTTACACAGATTGCAAATACTTGCTCCAGAAAGGCAATCAGAATGCATAAACTTGCCAAATACTGAAATCTGACAGCCATACCTGCTACCCATTCATACTGCTACTGATTACTGCTGGGAACAACACTGACAAAAAATCTTTCTTTGAAGACATAGTAGATAAAAATTATAAAGAGTCTCACTGACCTCTGCAGACCGACTGTACAGTTGTGATGATCACTTTTAGAGTTAAGTGTCTCCAAAAATTAGCTGAAACATTGTGACAAAAACTACAATATAACAGGGCCAATAATGCTGTCACAATGGTGACTTTTTACCACCTGGTTCTGGTACTCTGTATTGCCTAGTCTTAATACCTGCTCTGTCCCTAAGTCTCCTCCTGATCTCTGTGTTTATGCCTCCAGTACCAGCTCAGCCATCTCATTTTGAAGCTGAGGCTGAGCTGGACTCCCGAATCATGCTCACATGGCTTTGGCCAGTTCAGGACCCTATCGAAAGCTTTGAGCTGCTTTACTGGGAGGCCAACAATCCCACAGACAAGGTAAGTACTCAGAATCACACTATTCTCTAACATGATTAAATAATTTCAATTAGTACTGTTTATTTCTTATGTTAATATGTGTATTTCAGTATTTTTGAGCTTCAATGTTTTGTATTTGTGCAGTTATAATAACAGTATTACGGATATTAATGAACTGTTATTTTTCAACCCGATTCATTGTTTGTCAGATCCAACAGTTTCAGACTATATGTGGCACAAGAACGGATAACCTGCTTAAATGAATGAGTGGATTAGATTAAAATTCACACTCACCACACTAACAGGTACCCAGCTGACAATCTTAAAATGACACGGATACTAAAACCATGAACAAGTTAAACCCAATTAAAATAACGTACACATTTGGACCTCATTCATGAAGCTTGACGAATTCATGCTGAGATAGAGAAGCCTGACAGCTTGAGGATGAGATGTGTTTGCTCTGGAGAATGATGCATGGTCTGAAGGCTTGAGGCTGCTTTACAGGTAAAAACAGTACAATTAAACCACAAGATAAAAGCAAACGCAGTATCTATCAATCAACCAATCAAGCAGTATATCTATAGCACTATTATACCAGTCTGTCGTGGCTTTTGAGGCTGTGATGCTTTTACTCTGTCTCTGCGTTGTCTTGCTGAAATAATCAGGGAAGTCCCTGAAAAAGACAGGGCTTTGATGGCAGCAGATGTTGTTGATACCTGTCTTTGTCTTTACATGGTAGAGTTTGAACTTGTAGATGTGGAAATAAACTGTGTTAACTGACAAAAATTTTCTAAAGTTCTCCTGAGGACAAGGTGAAAATGTGTAGCTCAGTTATTGCAGCTTTTGATAGGTTTGTTTGTGTGTGTGTGTGTGTGTGTGTGTGTGTGTGTGTGTGTGTGTGTGTGTGTGTGTGTGTGTGTGTGTGTTGTTTTTGTGTACTAACTTCAGTAATAAAACTTTTACAATAACTCCTTTGGTTTTTGCTTCTCCACAGCATCATGTCAGTTTTGACCCGGCCGGCTCCTATGCAGTCGATGGTCTAAAGCCCGATACGCTTTATGTGTTTTCGCTAGCGGCAAGAAATGACATGGGTTTAGGACTCCAGACTCAACCCATTGAAGCAAGGACTGCTCAGACCAGTGAGTACTATGCTCTTCTGTTATTAGCTCTATTCAGTAGGTAACAAGCTGGTGGCTTCACTGAATCGTCCTGTCTCTGTTGTTCATGCGCTTCTGTTGTAAGATAGTTATTAAGTCTTGTTGGTTCTTGTCTTTTCCCCAGCTGCCTTTATGACCGGCATTTCCTGTTAATACTTTAAGAACTTCATGATTATGTTCCCAGTAAAGCTGCAGCATCCTTTCTTGATCTAACTCCACGTGCTTTCTCTTTCACTCTTGATGGAGGCTAAGATGACCACCTCCAGTATCTTTTTTTCCAAAAACAAACAGGGTTCCAGTCCTTCAGATCTTCCTTCCAAGATTTTATGTAACCTGTCTCATGTAACCCTGTTTGTTTGTCTCCCACTGTTGATGTGTGTCCCTCCGTATGTCCCATTCCTTTGGTTCCCTAGACCAAGGCTCTCCTCGTCTCTTCAATAGCAGTTAGTATCCCATCGAAGTGAGCTCAAATTCTAGGTTGTTATAATTACTCAGGATTTCTTCTTTCACCTCTGTGAGATCACTTTCACCTACCTCCAGGTCTTCCATGTATACTTTGACTGTATTGGTAGTTTTCTCTTGTCTCTGCTTGTTTGTCCTGTATAGAGTTAGGGTTAGGATCACTATGTGAGGTGGCATGTTCTTCCATCCTGTAAAATATGACAGGATTTATCTAAAACTGGAGTAGGTCTACCCTGCAGTCTCTCAGCAGTTTTAGTTAAGAAAAAAGTCCTTAATTACAAGAATACAAGAAGACATGACCTCAGCAGTGGGAACATACTTCAGCAGACTGACTCACAGACTCACATCTCCTATTTATACTTGCAGAAATGTGTTTGTAAGTGCTTTCCACGCTCCGTATCTACCGTCTTTTTTAAGCGTTTCCGTGTCATTGCGTTTCTTGCCCCTCTATGCTTATGGGCTTCCCCCTGGGAATCCCATGGTTACATCACAATGCTATCCCCTAACACGTCTGCAGAGATGCTTGATTATGGATAGGGTGCACAAAGGGCTAAAAAAGCCCATCAGAGATCACAGGCTTGAAAAATTCAACAGTGGGACTGCCTTGTGGACTCGGCAAGTGGACACTGTTTATTTTCTGGACCTTTAAGTGATTTACTCCATATAAAACACAACAGTCTACACTGCCATCTACTGGATAAATGAAATAAATTTAGGAAAACAAAGTAACACAGTATATAGTATAATAAAAAAAGTGGTGCACTCAAAGGTGACTGAACATGAACCAAAAACCATCAGGCTCCACAGGTGGGGTTGTAAACAGAAATCACTAGATACTTAAGTGGGAGAGGTCAGGAGAAGACGATAATAACTTTATTCATTTAGCACCTTTAAAAACAGATGTTGACAAAGTTGCTTTAATAGACAAAACAAAGGCAGAAAAGGCAGAACTTTGTGGACAATAAATCATCAATCAGGTCAAACAAAGACCAAAAGAATCAGGCAAAAAAGCACAGAGGTTCATGTCAAATAAAGCAACAAAAGGAAGGTGTGGCAGTGTTTGCATGGGCAGCCGCCCTTCTTCATGCAGGGGAGACCCGCGGTCCTGACATGCTCCATTAAAGACTCACTTTTTCCAGTTTGTCACAGATTAACTGATCTCATGTGTACAGTGTCCACAGTAACTTGAACTTGAGTCCTACTAGCAACGAAAATCAACAAAAAGAGAGAGAGAGCGGTCCAAAAACAGTAGGGGAGAGTGGGGTAAGATGAGCCACTTTTTACTTGTGTTGGTCAGGACATAAAGAAAAATGACACAGAAATAGAATAAAAACATTTTCTTTTATTTCAGGATGTCTATTATCAAATGAAATTAGCAAAATGCATCCTTGACAAAGCTAAAAAAAGTGCTCCTGTGGCTCATCTTGCGCCAGGTTAGGGGTAAGTTGTGTCACTTGATGAAGCACATGTATGTGCAGGGCCTGGTGAAGGTAGCTCAGCAGAAAGGGAGGTTAAAACCACAGGTGCATCACCTGCAGCTGCAGGATGCTGCTCCAGGTTGGGCCTGTCTGACACTATGGATGGCTCAAACTCTGCATCAGAGAAGATATCTCTATTGTAAGGGAAAATCCCAGTGGATCTGAATCCAGAGGAGATATTTCCTGGTGTCATTGCTGACATGAAAGCATCGTTCACACAGCCAGGGATTTGGTATATGTTGGCTGTTTGGTCTGGGTTGGATCTCATCCAACCATCAAGAGCTCTGTTGTAATAAGTCTTAAATGGACCGTACACATACTTTTCGAGAGGCTGCAGGTGATGGGATGTGTGAGGTGGAATTGTGAGCATAACAATACCCCTTGTTTTTGCTATCTCCAAAGCCTTCAGGGAAATGTGGGCTTCATGGTTATCCAAGATTAGTAGCAGTGGCAGGTCAGTGGAGCACTTGGTCTGCTGAACCAGATATTCAAGAAACTCAACGAAGGTGTCTTTATTGATCCACCCTGATATTGTGGAGGTGCCAATTGACCCTGGAGGTGCTCCTGTAATGAAGTGGTCTTTGTATCTAACTCTTGGGAAGATAAACATGGGTGGGACTGCATTACCAGTCGCATTGACTGCACAGACCACAGTCACAAGTTCACCTCTTTCTGCAGATGTGATGGCACCAACTTGGTTCCTTCCTTTATCTGTCACAACATGCTTTGGTGTCTGTACTGTTGTTACTCCTGTTTCGTCAACATTGTATATCATGTTTGGAGGGAATTTATGCCTGTAAAATAAAGAAAAGAGCAATGATGATAATCATAATAGTTAAACCTTAAGTAATGCAGAAATGTTTAGCATGTACACATTCCATAATATACTATGGTAATTAGAGCTGGTAACTAAACATGTATCAGTTTGTTTTTTTATTTACTTAACTGTACATGTAGTTGTCATAAATAGTTATTAATTTTAAATACTTGAATTCTGTTACCTGTCCATCACCTCAGCCAGATTATCGAAGAACTCTCCAACTGTTCTTCTATTAAAGGCTGTAGCCCTTCCCAAAGATGTTGCTTCAGGCATATGGCAGGAGAGATGGTGGCGTGCCATAAAATTCTTGAACCAATCGTTACCTAAAAAAGGAAATGGTACTGTATTGAACTACAAAAGATAAACGGGTCTATGCCAACCTACTGAGTTGTGTTGCTTCTTGCACTTCCTACCGGCTAAACCTTTCTCTCTCCAGTTGCTGGGGGTGGGAATGTTGTTTCTTTCTGCCAATTCTAATGACAGTTCACGGCATTTCTTTGGTGTAAGGCCATGGAACTGGTCGGCGAGAATCTTGATATGGTCTGCCAGCTCCTTCTCCATCTCCTCTGAAAAGACTCTCCTTGCTTCTGTTGTTCCTCTGTACCCTGCTGTTTTTACTTCTTTTACCTCTTTCTTCTTTATGTACCTCCTCAATGTTGACCTGTCAACATTTCTCTCTTTTGCCACTGATCTGACGGACTTTCCAGCCTTGACATCATTGGCTGCTCTCTCCAGTGCTTCAAGGGGTGTTGAGCCCCAGTTTGTTTTCCTCTTGTAGGTTCTCGGCATGATTCCTTTTCTACAATGGTAAACAAATGACAAACATACCAAACTAGTTGAGTATACCCTACTGAAATAGCATTTTATACATCTGAGATTTAGCTGAATTTAATTGCCTTATGATGGGGTAAGTTAAACCATTGGCTCAATTTACTCCATAGCCTTTGTGTAATCTTTAGTGAAGTGATTTACATGATCTTACATGTACGAAAATCACCAACAAGTATATAATGTAATTTTAGACCCTGATAAATTTGCTTTGATTTAACAGTCATTTTATCTGATTAAGGAGAGTGGGGTAAAATGAGCCATTTTTCATATTTCGGATCACTATATCAAGGCAATCATAGTTCTGTCTTTAACTGGTGTATCTGCATATATTTCAATATGTTGTGCATCCCTGCAAACCAACAGAATGAGGTAAACATAACTGTCTTGATAATATAGCATGCCCAAAAAAAGTGGTCTCCTATGGTCGTCTTACCATAGGAGCTGTATTCCCCCCCCCCCCCCACACACACACACACACACACACACACACACACACACACACACACACTCTCCACCCCAGCCCTCCCTCACCTTCTCTCTCCCTAAATAACAGTCACTTCTTCACATTCATGTGTATTTTTATAAATTATGCGTGATTCAACTAGTACAATAATTATTTTTAGTATTATTGCATATAAATGCCTTTAAGTGATTCAGAACATTCACAGCTGTATTTTTATAAAGAAAAAGTAACACATTTCAAAAATCTGAACTGAAACTCTGATCCTCTCATCAGACTCCTTTACTTCCCCCTGGCCAAATGGCTCAACTTACCCCAGAACTACCATGATGACTTCATTAGTCCTCTAAGCTAAAATAGTGGAGTTTTCTGTTAGGTTTTTAACCTCATGTTGTTGCTTATAGTTACCACAATTGATGTATCAAACAAATTAAAAATGATCTTTTTTGGTCTGAACACAATTCTAATAAACCTTATGACTGACTGAATTCACTTTCAAGAGAAAAACGTTTTTTTGTAAATAAATATCTAACCCCTTCACCCATGTGCTTCCAACCTTCACAGACTCCATGAATTGATGGCCATCTCCTTAATATTTGGTCACATGATCAATTTCTTTTACCATTTCCAAGCAACAGGGGCTGGCTCAACTTACTCTTTGGCTCAACTTGCCCCACTCTCCCCTATGCTGAAAATTTACTTTGACAAACAAAAAACTGTTTTTTTGTGTAAAAAAAAGTACTTACCCTTTCTCCCATGTGCTTCTCTTTATCACAGCAAGAGTGGAATGTCTGGTTCCTGACAAAACATGTGAGCGGTTACCTAGATACAAGAGTTGGGTCAGCTTACCCACTGGCTCATCTTACCCCACGCTCCCCTATAATTAGCAACACCCTACACCTGTCCCTCACTCCTTCTGGGGGGAGGGGTACCTCATAAACATGTTCAAAGTTAGACTTAAACTTAATTTCATATATCATTTTAGGATATAACACAATAATATTAAAAATAACAGTATTTAAACAAAATTTGTGAAATGGCTCTAGTAGAAAGAAAATAGTTAACTGGTAAACTGGATAGATGATAGACTGTACAACTGAGCTAAAAACTACTTCCTGTTTCATGTTAAACACCCAGCTTTGAGGCTCACCATGGCCACACTCCTTGAGTTTTGTACAGAGTATTTGTTTTTCCTTGTTGTGTTGTCTTTGATACATTTTGCTGTTGGTTCCCCTGTTCTATATCAACATCATGGGCTTTTATTTAGTATCATCTGTTTTAATGAGCTTTTTGGCAACGTGTTACAGCATATATTTACAAAAAAAGGACAAAGTTTATCAGTCTGAAAATTAGCTATATTTTTAGTGTATTCAGTTGAGTTTAGGTGGAGAAGGATTTGAAAATCATTTTGTTTTTATTCATGTTTTACACAGTGTCATTACACTGGAGCTGGGTGTGTAAATAGAAAAAAAAAAGGTGAAGATGATGAAATTGTGTATTGTATTGTGCTGCAGTGCCTGTAGGTCCTCCCAGGAAGTTGGACGTGGAAATCCTCAACTCCACAGCCCTCAGGGTGACCTGGAAGCCTCCCCTGTCTGTAATGAAACATGGCCAGCCCAGAGGTTACCACCTGGTCTATTCTAGGCTAGAGAACGGGGAGCCCCATGGCCAGCCAGTCATCATGGATGTTGTCCCCTCTGATACCCAGGTACCGTCCTGTCCTCTCAACCAATTCTACGGGCTCTAATTTTGTGCCTGCCAGCGGCACAGGGTGGCGCACATCTCGCAGTAGTAAAGTCATGCAGCGCAGCCTTGTGTGCGGCCAATTTGGTAAAGTGGTAAACTGAGACACCAAGATGCTCCAAAATGGGCATGGAGGGGGAAGTGTTGACAGAATCAGCTTGGTGTATTAACAAAACTGTACCCACTGGTGGCGCAGAGAGTGTGCTAAGAGGTCGCCGATTCAAACCTTGTCAGCTTTTGGCGCAGATGGAGTGCAGCTGGTCAAGTGGTAAATTGATAGACCAGCGGAGTGCTTCGCACACGTCATCAATGGCTCACAGGCAGGTTTTCAGTGTTAGGCACATTTGGGTGCAATAGATAATCAACCACACCCAATATTGAGTGCAACTATCTGAGTTAGCATACACATTTAGATCGATATCGATTTATTCTGATCTATATCTTAAATGATGACAGAGCATGTGCCTTTGGCACATGTAATAGACACTTAACCTGACTGAATAAACACAGCTGAAACTGTGTTAAATTAAATATCCAGTAGTCACACATTGTGGTGACACAAGATAGTCACACAAGATATTTAATTTGTCACCTGCCTGTGGGACTGAAGGCTCACCTCCTGTCCGTGGAGTCGGAAATTGATCGCCCCCATTATGTTTCATCTTGTTCAAACATTTAAATTTTTGTATTTTATCAAATGTAATAAAAAACAAACTAAACAACACAGTGTCACATCTGGCATTGTTATTAAAAACTGCAATGGTTCGATCTTAAGTATAATCTTGACAAAGAACCTTCACAACCTTGCTCAGAAACCTCAGATTTCTTGAAAGAGCAGTTTGTGTTTCTGTTTTCATTAACCTTCTCAGAGTGGAGTAGCTCACCAAAGACTGCTGTCCCAAACACACTTTCTCTAAAATTCTCTTTCTGTGACCGTCATTTTTTTCTCTTTATTCCTTTTCACTTTAAAGGAGGCCATTATAATAGGCATGCTCCCAGAGACCACATACTCTGTGACTGTCACTGCGTACACCTCCAAGGGTGATGGAGCTCGCAGCAAGGCCAAGGTTGTCACAACTACAGGGGCAGGTAAGTGCCAGATGGACACCTGTGTATAATGTCTACGTGTGAAGTAACACACTGAACCAGATGTCTAAAAAGTGGAGTACTGGCATAAAAGCTGGGCTACCAACCACAATAGACAGGCTCACTATTACACTGTAATTTTGCTAAATGTATAGCTTCTGAGTCAAACCCAGGTTCAAAAGTTAGACTGCAGTTATAAATATTGATAAAAGAGGGTTTTTGATGGTTTGCAGTAAGTTAAAAAACATGACTGGGTTTAGGGCTGCACGATAGGGGAGAGTGGGGTAGGTTGAGCCAAAGGGTAAGTTGAGCCACACCCTGTTGCTTGGAAATGGTAAAAGAAATCAATCATGTGACCAAATATTAAGGAGATGGGCATCAATTCATGGAGTCTGTGAAGGTTAGAAGCACATGGGTGAAGGGGTTAGACATTTATTTACAAAAAAACATTTTTCACTCTTGAAAGTGAATTTAGTCTGTCATAAGTTTTATTAGAATTGTGTTCAGACTATGAGCAGCAACATGTGGACTAACATAAAAGTCCACCATTTTAGCTTAGAGGACTAATAAAGTCATCATAGTAGTTCTGGGGAAAGTTGAGCCATTTTTCTAATTTTTGAAAATGTGTCGAAAATACAGCTGTGAATGTTCTGAATCACTTAAAGACATTCTCATGTTAACATTGCATTTTCCAAAACAGCTATTTTGCAGTTATATGCAATAATAATGTAAAGAATTATTGTACCAGTTAAATCGTGTGTAATAGATTAAAATACACATGAATGTGAAGAAGTGACTGTTATTTAGGAAGAGAGAAGGTGAGGGAGGGCTGGGGTGGAATGAGAGAGAGGGAGAGTGTGTGTGTGTGTGTGTGTGTGTGTGTGGGGGGGGGGGGGGGGTACTGTTCAACTTACCCCATACACAGGGTAAGTTGACCATAGGAGACCACTTTTTATGGCATGCTATATTATCAAGACAGTTATGTTTACACTCATTCTGTTGGTTTGCAGGGATGCACAATATCTTGAAATATATGTAGATACAAGAGTTAGAGACAAAACTATGATTGCCTTGATGTAGTGATCCGAAATATGAAAAATGGCTCATCTTACCCCACTCTCCCCTATATTGGTTGAGCATTGTCATTGCGATGTACGTGTACGCCATAGTCACAATGCAGTGTCTGCTAGGCGAATGAACCCATGATCTAATTTCAAGGGTAGCTGACTGAGAAGCACTGCATGTGACTCTGTGTGTGCTGTGCAGCGATCCACCAATCACATTCTTTCTTTACTCAGTTGCCAATCAGACTACCCTCCCAGCCAATCAGAGAGGAGGAAACCACGCCCCTGCAAATGGTCTGCACATAGTCGCTGGTGCTGCCGGTGTTGCGCTGAGAAACCCATACCCCCCGAGATTTACTTTCTCTGTTACTCATAACTGTTCAGCCCAACAAATAACAATTATATGGGTTTTAAACATAGACTGTATATAAGATGGACAACCTTGTTCCGCCTTCCGCCTGTATACGGATTTGAAGCCAAAAAGCTCTCGGTAATTGCAGGTTTTTCTCCACTTCCTTGAAACCAGAGCTGCGCAGTAGCGATGTGCGCATTCGGCCGCGCAGTCGCCTAGAGTCCCTGTGATGACGCTCGGCTCAAACAGCATATCCCCCCGGGAGAGCTACGCAATCCCTGAACGCCCATAGGCTGTACCAGGTGTCAATCATAGAAAACATGAACCCCCTAATAACTTTTAAAAATGGAGCTGTACAGAAAAAAAAGGATTTGGGCACAAACCAGTCTTACAGTAACTACATGTCAACATCACAACCAGGGGGGAGAAAAAATTTATGTTCTGTGTAATAAATTTCTAAAGTTTGTCCACAGTCCCATAAGCTTTGCTGGCGGAGGCGGGATTTATGACCTGTACTGCAGCCCACCATCAGAGGGTGCTGTTCTCAGAGTGGCTTCACCCAGCGAGGAGGCAGACTCTGTCCATCTTATATACAGTCTATGGTTTTAAATTGTACATTTCCGTGGACCACTCTATTATAAGCGGTGTGTGTTTCCACGAGGTGCATGCGATTCTCAGCAGACATGCATTTCTCTGCACAACACCGGTAACAACAACAATTGCAAAATGAGCAACGAACTAAAGAAAACCACCAAAAATTAAGACTTGTTGCCAAAAAAGAAAAGAGCCAGTTATCTGGAATTATTTCGGTTTCAAGAAGGATGGTGTCGGCAATGCCTTTCACCTGTTACTATAAGGAGCGATAACAAGTTTCAGCACAATAAATGCAAGCTAAAAATATCTCTGAGACAGACAGAAGCCATTCTACTAACTTTCACATAAAGAGGTAAAGTCAGTGCAGGTTAATTGTCCACAAGATTTCAGCAGTGCAGCATAACATAAAGTGCTATTCAGGTCATCTGTTGAAAGTTCTTGTATTTTTTATATTGTAATATATATTTTAGGATTGAAAAACATTGCAATGTTAGTTTTTTTTCCAATATTGTGCAGTCTTACTGGGTTGTACAAGAATATTTCAGGCTGAGTCTCTCAGAAGGATGAAAAAAGGTTCAGTTCCATGTTATAGAGACAGTGTGAACAAACAACAGAACAATTGTAACAGGTACCAGCATATGACACCAAATCACAGATATATGTTTACCTGTAAACAGGATAAAGATGTTAAAATAATTAGAGACAGCAAACTGTGTCGTGTTTGTTCACCATCATCCTCTCACTATGTTTATTTACACAATCACAATTACAGTAAATTCCCTGTCAATAACCTACATGGCTATACTGCTGCATTGTCCATTTACTTATATTTATCCAGCATAATAATAATACTGCATTTCACTAAGCATAAACAATGCTGTTACTTTCCTTACTGTCTGCCTAGACATATACTGGTTACACATTCATATTCATTCACATTTTTTTTGTACACATAACATTCCAGTTACAGCCAAATACAAAACAAAATACAATAACCATTCTCTTTTGTCACTCAATTTGTCACTGTGTTATTCTTTTGTCCAATAAACTCCAAATCCCTTTTTGGTCAATACTGTAAACTTGCCCTGTAAGGTGCATTCTATATCAAAGTGCTAAAAAGCAACATCAGGACTCAATACAACAGTAGCAGGTACGAGTTCAACCTATTTACATAAGTATGGTGTAAAGCCATTTCCCCTAAACCGTTTTTATGTCGGTAATGTATTAATGTACACAAAAATAATCAATGGAGCCAGCCATCTTTCATATAACTCAGAACAAAGCATTAAACAACTGGAGAGGTGTTACTCAGGCACTTATCAATGAACTAACACACAATAGAGTTGTGGCGGGAGCCACCTTGACTCACTATGTGGTCCTCATTCACAAACAATGGGAAAGTTTCAAAGTACTGGTTTTACTCTTAATGACAACACCATGTCTGCAGTACTCTCCAAACGTGCATAAACAAACGGTAACCATTTCTGTGTGGTTTGTGAAGCATTACCCACCTGTAAACGGGGCAAAGATGTTAAAATAATTAGAGACAGCAAGCAGAGTAGCGTTTGTTCACCGTCATCCTCTCGCTATGGAGGGAGACGGTCGGCGCATGCGCTAGACACACTACCCTGTACAAACCAGTACAGTCACCGGTTTTGCCTGTGGTCCTACACTGCCACCTACTGGCGTGAGTACAGTGGATATGTTGGTAAAATGACAGTACACAGAGAATGATTATAAAAAAGAAAGGCACTAGTTAGAAATAAATAATAAAACACAAAACTGTTTTGTGAGCATTACACAATGACAGCATGATGGTTTGAGGGTTAGATAAAAGCTTGGCTCATTTAGAGTCTTTGACTCCATGGCTCATCAGTCTATATCTTGTATGACTTTCTAATATCTGTGATGTAAATAAAGGAGAAATGGAGGAGGGAGCAGCATAAAAAACAGTGCTGCAGCTGAGAAAAACCTAATAACCTTCCCATCCTCACCTGACTGTTATTTGTGCTTATGCACAATATTACCCAAGAGTTGTGGATAGTGACTGAAAGAACAAGATCGGAGGTACAAGTGGCTGGGCTCTCCTTTAGAGAAAGGAGGAGAAGTTCAGTCATCCAGGAGGGTCTCAGAGTAGAGCCGCTGCTTCTCCTCATTCAGAGTAGTCAGATGAGGTGGCTTGGGCATCTAATCAGGATGCCTCCTGAACACCTTGCTGGTGACGTGTCCAGGGCACATTCCCCTGGTAGGAGACCACGGGAAAGATCCAGGACACGCTGAAAACACTATGTCTCTCTACGGGCCTGGGAACGCCTTTAGGTCCCGTAGGAAGAACTGAACTAAGTCTGGGCTTCCCTGCTTAGGCTGCTGCCCCTGTGACCCGAGTAAGCGGTAGAAGATGGCTGGATGGACCAAATCCCAGTTTGCTTTGACTTACATACTTTCCCTGGTTGCATTTCAATACATTTCATTTTCACTGAGCAGTTATTGGAAAATTAAGTGTGCATTGGCACAATGTTTAGTGTGTTTGAAACCTCATGATTTTCTTTAGCTGCTAATGGATGTCAACACTTGCAAACTTTTTTGAGAAATGTCCATTTGTTTCAAGTTTTGACTTTCATTGAAGAATGCTTTGAATGTAGAAAGTAGTTACTTTGTGTTCATGAAGGTTCAAAAAGAAGAAAACAGTCATGTTTTCAAGGGTGGGCCAGGAAACATCTGTATCATGATTGCTAACCTTTTTAGACTAACCTTGACATAATTTTGAGTAAATGTCTTGTTTTCTAGTGCCTGGAAAGCCCACTATGATGATCAGCACAACTACAGGAAATACTGCCCTGATCCAATGGCAGCCCCCAAAAGAGATGGTGGGGGAACACATGGGATACTCTCTGCAGTACAAAAGGGCAGAAGAGGAAGCATTCATTTCCAAAACCTTCAGGCATACAGATGATCATTTCACAGTCACAGGCCTACATAAGGGAGCCATCTATGTCTTCAAACTGAGCGCCAAAAATCGAGCTGGCAGCGGTGAGGAGTGTGTAAAGGAAATCAGCACCCCTGAAGATTTTCCCAGCAGCTATCCCCGTAATCTGAGTGTTGTAGGACTTACTGCCACCTCCACCATGCTTGCATGGGACCCCCCTCCCTTGGCTGAGCGAAACGGAAAGATAGTCAAGTACGTGGTGATGTATCGTGATATCAACAGCCAGCACAACCACACCAACAGCACTACAGACACAAGGATGACTGTCCAAGATTTGTTGGCTGACACAACATATGACATTAGAGTCCAAGCCTTCACCAGCAAAGGGGGAGGACCAATGAGCCCCAGCATCCAGAGCAGAACCATGTCTACTTCCATGCCAGGTAGGAACCTCTGTATACATGTATCAGTGCTCCATTGTGCTTGCTAATATATCTTCATATTATCAATACATTACTCTATGGCTTTACAGCACAAACTTGGACTCATCTCAGTCGTTTAATTAATTACATTACAAACTGATAATCATCTGCATCTTCTTCAGTGTTCATCAAGAACTTTGGTGTGACAGCTGTGACAGAAACCTCTGTCCTGTTGTCCTGGGAAATGCCGGAAACGGACAAAACTCACGTGCCTCTCAAGGTAAGAGAACCACCTGTTCCATGGTAGCAGCTTTAACTGGCACCTGAAGCACCTGCAGAACATGGAGAAACAAAGATATTTTATGTAGGGTTTCTTTGTTAGCTATAACTAAGAAATAGTCAATGGTCCTCTCATGGGCCTTACTGTATTTATTTGTCTTACATTGACATACAGTAATATTGATGTTGAAACATTTTAACTGTAGATGGACTGTGTTTCTCTCTGTGTCTCCACTCAAAACTCTTAATGCGTCTGTTAACCTGATTCTTTAGTTGGAAGTCCAAGAACGAACTGGAGAGATCTTCAGTTCACAGATATAACATTTATTTAGGTCACAAGTTAAGTAATACAGTGCTGGACTCGGAATGATAGAACTCATAGAATTTTCACAAGAGTGGGCGCCCATTTCCGGGTGTAATTCGCATTTATTTTCTTGAGCAGGGGTTGTCCTGGACAGAGGTTTGACTTACAAACGAGTCTCAATGGCCAGTTATCTTTGACGTGAACACATGATCTTGCTAAAATGTGCCATGAAACATGTGTTTGTTGACTTTGAGGCATGTCTCCACTGGTGCAGATTTGTCCAACAGAATAAAGAGAACCTTGTGGTTCATTAGGTTTCAGCTTATTAAGTTAAATGTCACACTGTTCTGATAAAATTAAAACAGCCGGTAAGTTAACTGAAAACACTCAGTTCAATAATTTAGTGAAGTGGAAAAGTACAAATCTGGTGTCACATTCTCTTATTCACACCACATTCACTCACTCATGGCAAAGGCTGCTATAGAGTCCACCGGTTTAGACTAATCCCGTTGACTGGGCACAGCCAGCAGGGTCGGGTGTGGTCAAAGGTCTTGTCTAAGGACACTTCAGCATGTGGATTGAACCCCCAACCTTCTGATTGGGAGATGACTGACTCTGCCACTGAGCCACAGCCATGCACAGCTCCCAGGTGCACTACACTTTGGGCTTGATCTACTAAGATCCCAAATAAGGAGCGCTCGATTGTGCGATCGAGCGATTGTGCAAACTACAAATTGCATGTGCTATTAGTGGGCATGTTGTGGATGCACTATAATTGCATGTACTATTGATAACAAGTGCAAAAGTGGTAATTTTTTTTCCTCTGTTTGTGCCAATTGTGACAAACTGTGAACCACTTCTCCTTCCTCACTTTGCATACTGGCATTTATTTCATTTATTTCTTTGTGAGACTTTGTGAGAATAACATAGACATAGATTTTATTTTTCTAAACCAATTCACATGTTAAAGCCACTGATTGGCTTATCTCAAGCATGTTGTCTTGTTGTCTGGCCATTTATCCCAAACTTAAGTTGACTGTTTGATTAAAAAAATGATCTTGAATAACTCAAACTCAGGAATGACAGCCTTATTGGCCTTCCTTGTGTACTGGTCCATACTGACACATTTCTAAGCTGAGTTACACTTCTTTACGTACAGAGCTGTTGTCTGTCTCTTGTCTTTTTCCTCAAATGTAAATTTTTTTTTCTCTAAATCACTTCAAATACATTTATCTATCACTTCAAGATTGAATGAAATGTCTGAATTTTATAGACAAACATAAATATGTGTCAATGCAACTGTAACAAAGTCAGTAATGAAGGTCCTCCTGCCCTTAGATCCTCTACAACCAGCAGAGCCTGGAGGTTCAAGGTAACCTGAAGAAGAAGTTGATCACTCAGTTACAACCCTCTACAGACTATTCCTTTGTGCTGATGAGCCGGGAGAATGGAGCTGGTGGTCTACAACAGCAAGTCTCCATTCGAACGGCTCCAGATCTTCTGAAAATGAAACCAGCTCAATACAAACAGGACTCTGTGGAGGATGGTCAAGTTTCTATCAGCCTGCCCAGGGTACCTGCTGGAACTGCGGTCAGGTCTGTAAGGTTTTCCAGTCTGGAAAACAACCCTAACTAAAGTGAATTAGACATGATTCAGGAGAGATATGCAGAAGCAAACTAAATCTAAAGGCCAAAGCAAAGGGGATCCTGGGGGTTTACCACTGCGAGCAGTACCTTATTTAATTTAGTCATTTAATTTATTTGCTGTAAAAACCATTTAAGTTGAATGTTGAGCGTGTTTTGGTCAATTTCATCACACTTTTTGTTTAAAACCCTTATCAACTTATCGTGTCTCCTCATCATCTCTGCCTAGTCCATCATTAAAGCAGTGTTGGAATGAGCTTTTAATTTATATACAGTTATTTTAGTAATCCCATTTCATCCTACAGTCCCTTATCAAAAAGAAGTATGTTTGAATGTACTTTAAGTATACTGTGTTTAAACTAAGTATGCTTTCAATTTACTTTTTACACACTTTTCAGAGACATACTGAACAAAGTTAATGTTAAGTATACTTGGTTTGTACCAAGAATTATACTAAAAGTCTAACCTATTACTAAAAGTAACCTATACTCATACATACACTTTTGATCAAGATATACTTATGTATGTATTTACGCCTCAGGTTTAACTATACTTGGTCAGTGAATACTTCAGTGGACTTCCATATATCTTTTTAACAGTAGACTCTTATAGGGTATACTCTTAAAAAGATAAGCAGTACAGGCCAAATATACAAATAAGCACTACGATTGAAATAAAAGCATACTCAGAGGTAGTTTTGAGTATTTTTTACAGAAATACAACCACCATGTTTTTCTCTATTTTTTGGATCAAACCACTTTATTTGGTTTTCTCTTTGTTCAGTCTTTAATCCAAGCAGTCAAAGCTTTACATGTTTCTGGATGTGAAGTCATTCTGAACCTGCTGCTGCTGCCATATGTGAAGAGAATTTACCAAACACATGAAGTGGTTATTTTTTAACACACAGTTATCACTAAATAAAAAGAACTGAAGCTTCACAGTTCTGACTGCAGAGAGGTCTTTACTGGGGGGGGTTATTTCTGGCATAGTGTTTAATTCTGACACATAGACTGTGTATACTTTGGACAACTTGGCTCCGCCTTCCTTCATTATACAAATTTGAAGCCGAATTGCTCTCAGTATTTCCTCCACTTTCTCCACTTCCTGAAACTTCCTGGGAGAGTTGCAGAGAGTTGCTGTGATGACGCTTTGCTCAAAGAGCATATCCCCCCGGTGAGGTATGCAATCTTTGTATGCCCACGAACATGAACCCCCTAATAACTTTTAAAAATGGAGCTGTACAGAAAAAAATAGGACTTGAGCACAAACCAATATTACAGTAACTACATGTCAACATCACAACCAGGGGGGAGAAAAATGTATATGCTGAGTAATTAATTTTTTAAGTTTTTTCCACAGCTCCATAGGGATTGCTGGATGGGGGCAGAATTTATGACATGTACTTCAGCCTGTCACCAGAGGGTGCTGTTCTTGAGGTGGCTTCACCCAGTGAGGAGGCAGATACTGTCCATTCAATATACAGTCTTTGTTCTGACAACACTGACAAGAGTTGAGGTCAAATGTCTCTTTTACAATCAGAACCAGAACCAGAATTAGCTTTAGTGGCAGAGTATGTGAAACATACAGGGAAACTGACTCCAGTAGACTTTGCTCTCTGTGTACAAACATGAAATATAACATAGATATGAATAAGCTCAGACATTTTACGTATATTTGTAACATTATCTACACTGACAGCGTCAAATTGATCAGCTGACTTTGTGCTCTTTAAAACGCATATTTTGTTTCAAATTATCAAAAGCCACTCACAGAGTTTCTTGCAATTAAAATGTTGCTTAAAACATTTCAAATTCCAGAATTCATTCCAGAACCTGTGCTCAACCAAGTAGCTGTAAAGTCTGGTCTCTCTGGGTTTCTGCAATTTTTTCTCTTGTTTTTTTTTTTTTTTTTCATGCTTTTGTCGTGTTTTGTTGACTGCTGATGGATATTCCTGCTGAGAGGAGAGGTAATTCAAGAAATGAGCTTCTCTCATTGAGACAGAGCAAATTTGGACAACGGCATCCAATCCCAGAGAACATCAGGAGGCATTATTGTGGTTGCTGTGGTGGTGCAAAGGTGAAGGCAAGGTTGAAGGCTAAGAAGTGGAGCTATAAACCCTTTCTTCCATCAGTCATCACGGGAAACGTCAACTCTCTGCCCAACAAAAATGATGAGCTGTAGATATGGGTGAAGACTTTAGAAAGCATACCGTGAGTGCAGTCTCTTGTGTTTTACTGAAACCTGGATGAATCAAAAAACTCAGACTCCGGTGTGGATCTATCTGGCTTCACTCTCATAAGGTCAGACAGAGATGCTCAAGCTAGTGGCAAGAAGAAATGAGGAGGTCTGGCTTTATTTGTCAACCAGAGATGGCGTAACCCTTCACACATAACTGTCAAGGAGAAATTGTGTTGTCAAGATATTGAACTGTTGGCAGTTGCTCTTCGGCCATATTATGTTCCAAGGGAGTTCAGTCATATCTTAACAATACTTGAATACATACCAAAGGCTGAAGTTCCATATTTGGTTTCAAGTTTCATTTGGTTGGAATCAAGTTGGACTCACTGGAGGGTGTTTTAGAGAGCTGCACACTGAAGAACGTGGAGGCTATTTAAAAAAAACATGGATCATAATTTCACAACACCTGGATGGAGGAATAAGACTGGATGGTGATGGTTAGCTCTTTTATACCCACAGCCATTTACTCTACTGTAAATAGTAGATGAGATTCCAGACAAACGAATTTTCTTTTGAGGATCAACAAAGTTCTAACAAAGTTCTTGTCTTGTGTTGCCATCCATCCATTTATGTTGTATACAGAGATTTTTCTGTCTGTATAGATAAACAGTATTAGTGTCTTCTTACAGTCATTTCTTTGTTTTTGATGCAGATGGTACTACATAGTTGTTGTCCCGGTAAACCAGGCCTCGCTGACACACTGGGAGAGCCCAGACTACATGGACATCGATGAGGTATGAGCTCTTCAATGATAAGTGCCTGATTCTTACAAAGACAGAAGTTGTTGTTCTTACAGCCACTTTTCAGACACTCAGGGCTCATTTAGGGAGATAACTCAGATTAAGGGTCGAGGTATTTTAATGTTTTGTACACTGTGTTTCATGCACAGATCTGCATGTATAAAAATCTGCGTCACATAAGGACAATGTTATGTATTTTTTTCTGTCAAGCACATTCTCCAGTATAGACTGGGAAAAGGTGAAATCATCAATCTGAATATGAATTATGGGTATGAGAATAGAAAGTGTATTCCTGAGCTGCAGGGATAACAGCTTAACATATGTCTATCATTGCCAAAGAGTCTCTTCCTTCATTAAATCCTGCTGATAGTGCACCATCAGATCATGAGGGTTCACAGTGTTGAACAGTGAAAGTAATACTACACAACAGTCCAGTCTACACTGTGTGCACAATTATTAGGCAAGTGAGTATTTTGATCATATCATCATTTTTATGCATATTTTCCAACTCCAAGCTGTATAAACTTGAATGCTTATCGGATATAAGCATATCAGGTAATGTGTATTAGTGTAATGAGGGAGGCCGGGGCCTAAGGAGATCAAAACCCTATATCAAGGTGTGCATAATTATTAGGCAGCTTCTTTTCCTTAGGTAAAATGGGCCAAAAAAGAGATTTAAATGACTCTGAAAAGTCAAAAAATGTAAAAAGTCTTTCAGAGGGATGCAACACTCTTGAAATTGCTTAGATATTTGGGCGTGATCACAGAACCAGCAAACATTTTGATGCAAATAGTCAACAGGGTCGCAAGAAATGTGTTAAGAAAAAAAGACGCAAATTAACTGCCAAAGATTTGAGAGAACACAAACGTAAAGCTACCAGGAACCGCTTATCCTCCGGTGCTGTCATATTCCAGAACTGCAACCTACCTGGAGTGCTCAGAAGTACAAGATGATCAGTGCTCAGAGACATGGCCAAAGTAAGGAAGGCTGAAATCTGACCACCACTGAACAAGACACAAGTTGAAACATCAAGACTGGGCCAAGAAATATCTGAAGAGAGATTTTTCAAAGGTTTTATGGACTGATGGGATGAGAGTGACTCTTGACGGACCAGATGGATGGACCTGTGGCTGGATCAGTAATGGGCACAGAGCTCCACTTCGAATCAGACACCAGCAAGGTGGAGGCGGGGTACTGGTATGGGCTGGTATTATTAAAGATGAGCTAGCTGGACCTTTTGGGTTAAAGATGGACTTAAAATCAACTCCCAAATCCAATGCCAGTTTTGAGAAGACACTTTCTTCAAGCAGTGGTACAGGCAAAAGTCTGCATCTTTCAAGAAAACCATGATTTTTATGCAGGACAATGCTCCATTGCATGCAACAAAGTACTCCACTATGTGGCTCGCCAGTAAAGGCCTTAAAAACGAAAGAATGATGACGTGGCCTCCTTCTTCACCTGACCTAAACCCTGTTGAGAACTTGTGAGCCCTTCTTAAACGGGAAATTTACAGTGAAGGAAGACAGTACACCTCTCTGAACAGTGTCTGGAACAGTGTCTGGAAGGCTTTGGTTACTGCAACACAAAAAGTTGATCGTCAACAGATCAAGAAACTGAAAGACTCCATGAATGAAAGGCTTATGACTGTTAATGAAAAGAAGGGTGGCTATATTGGTCACTGATTTTTTTTTTTTATTTTAACAATTTTTATTTGTAAATTGAGTTGTTTGTTTATCATTCTCACTTGAACAAGTGAAAATAAACAAGTGAGATGGAAAATTTTTCATTTTTAATTTAGTTGCATAATAATTCTGCATACTAATAGCTGCCCCCAATAATTGTGCACACATAGATATTCTCCTAAGGAAGCCAAAATCTCACTTTCACTCCCTTAAATATTAAGGTTTGAGGTTTATTAACATTTTGGATTGACCGAGAGCACTGTAGTTGTTCAAAAATAAAATTTATCCTCAAAAATACAACTTGCCTAATAATTGTGCACACAGTGTAATACCTGACCTTCTCAGAATTGTTCTCCAAGAAGGTTTCATCAACCTTCCTCTCATATCTGAGCTTCCTGTTCTCCTAGATAGAACATATGGCTGACTTCATCTCTGTTGGTCCATTTGCCTCTCCCTCCTCTGCTGCCTCCTCCTGCCCTTGGTCCTTATCTTCTTCCTCCTCTGCTGACCTCTTATACTCCCAGCATTTATGTCCCTCATCCTCTGCTGCTTCTCTCTGTACCTGATCTACATATTCCTCCTCTTCTGTTGGCTAAGTCTTCATCTTCCTCATTCTACTTTTCCATCTGTGTGATCTTCATTTAGGTCTACAGCTGCTGCTTCTTTCTGTCTCTGGGATTCACTGTCACCTCCTGCTCCTGTGCTCTTAGTAGTAGTACCTCCATCATTGTCACACAGCTTACTGCTATTTTCTACCCCTGTCGTCTGTCTGCCTGCTGTCCCCTGCAGCTCCTGGAGTCCAGCACTAACAGCAGTCTACAGAGGATGTGGAGGAACAGCCAGGATTTCCTTCAGCCTTATATCACTGCCAGACTTGCTCATCTGCCTGAAATATTCACTCTTGGTGATGAGAAGACATACAACGCCTACCACAACAGACCCCTCGCTGGCCAGCAGCAGTATCGCTTCTTTGTTCTGGCCGACTTGACTCAACACGAGTCTGTGAGTAATGTCTCCATGTCTGAGAATGTACGCAGCATTTAAAAAACCTACACTGTGGGTTTATTTTTAGTTAGTCTAGTAGTCATATATTTTTCATCCCCAGATTTTCACTGACCACCATCAGTAAACCTCTAACAGAACACAGATTGTTGCTCAAATCGAAAAGTGCATCTTAAGGACACCAAGTTTCAAGAACGCAGCAATACTGAACAGCCCTTTGTTACTATATTAAATAAGTAGAACTGATAAGCCATTGATCACGAGGCTGTTCTAAGTTTCAAAATCACTAAAATCTTTGTAGCTTTGTCTGAGCGCCCAATCACTGAACATTTCACAAACAATGTACTTTTAAAACTATTCAGTCACATCTCATGTAGTCAGCATCATATTTGCGTTTCACTATGCTTGATTATCATATGAAAACAAACTTTATGATCTTCTTCTAAACGGTGAAATAGCAAGTGTGAACCAGCATTGCTTGGTGTTATCACCATGTGCTGTTAGAGGGGGGATGGATATCTGTCAGTATCTGTCAGCCTCTGTCAGTAGGAGGGAATTACATTAAGTTTAGTGTTTTAATCCCGAGTCTAGCTCTGCAACAGTATACGGAATCTAAATCAACTTGTGGTCATTTGCAGCAGAGGACGTTTACGTCCAGCCCATTCTCTGAGCCCATCATGATGATGCTCCATAGTGAACTGGACCAGCAAACGGAGAACCCAGAGATGCTGTGGGTGATGGGTCCAGTCCTGGCTGTTATTCTAATTATTATCATAGTCATTGTTATTCTTCTCTTTAAGAGGTGAGTCTTGCAGATGTCTTGCAGATATATATGTATAGATGAAGCTCCTCAGAGTAATGTAAGTCACACTAACATAAATAACATTATAGTAGAGGTAACATGAGTTTGTCCTTGACTACACCTGACATAGCTTTTGGCCTCCCTGCTGTTAAACTCTTGAAAGTTAATGCTTTCTTTCTCTGCTCTTTGTTTCCTGCCTCCTTTTTGTAAATGCAGCAAACAAGAAAGGTAAGTACATTTGTCTGTTGTTGAACTGCTTTACCTACCAACCCTTTTTCTTTGTTTGGTAGCCCTCCTTTAACAGTCTTTTGGCAGTGAAACACACTGTTTTCTGAATGTGTTGATGTAGTGGACTCAGTGGACTAGTACTGGACCCTGAAGCACACATCATGACACCATGGCTGTGACAGATAGCTTTAAACCAGAGTCTAATAAACCCCACCGTTAAATGACACTTGATAACTTTCTGCTGCTAAAAAGCAACAAAAAGCCACCTTATCACTCTGTCCTGCATTTCATTTCATTTCATTTCATTCATTCATATTTGCCACAACAGAGGACTTGGGCAGAGGGTGATGGGATTCACGAAACTATAATCTTCATCCTGGAAAAACACTTCTGATTCAAAGTTTACTAGAATCAACACATGTTCCTTGTCAGTTCCTCATGCAACATGGGAGTTTCTCTCAGTGCCTTTGAGAATCTCACCACCACACTCGCATATGTGTGCGGTTTTCAAGCCTATTTATTTCATTAATTCATTAATTCATCATAATTGCTGAGTTCACCGTTTCTTATTTTCTTTCTGAATGATCCCACTTCAGTGCCCTTTTTTACTATGAAAACCTGCAGCTTGGCTTTCAAAGCGAATACAAGACACCACAAATAAACAGCAAGTCCAACATGACCAAGTTTCTTTTCTCAAGGGGGCTTCACAAAACCCAAAGCTTCAGACAGACAGTCAATAAATAGTATCCGTAAAGAAAAGCAAATAAGAATCTGCTACTTTGTAACTCTGCAGGCAAAATCATATGAAAAGTGTCCTATAGTAAGTGTTGCTTCTTGGGAAATAATGTATAAAGGGGCCCTATTGGTCTGAAGAATAACGTGTTTAAAGTCTTTAGTGGCAGACAGAGGGTGTTCTTTCTTTCACCCTGAGTCCACCTCTGGCATACAGTAGCATTAAACTGAAGGTATGTATACCTGCACCTGCAGAGTGATACAGCTCTCACAGATCAGCTTGTACTAACCAGTGTTGAGTGCAACGAGAAACCAGAGCCTTGGAGAGGTAGATACAGGATCCATGTACTTGTTTTTGGAGTTAGGCTGAAGAAGCTACGTTTACACTGAAAAGTGGTGGAGATGAGCAACAGAACTTCAGCTACTTGAAAGTACTGAGCCCTTCAGCAGCAGCAACTCTATCTGAGCAGATACTGATACTGATGAAGGAAAAATTGTCAATAGAAGTGTTGTTTTAAAAAAACAAATAGGTGTAATATCTGCAGACATGTGGTTGATTTGTCTTTTGATTGCACAGTCTGACAGGAGAACTCAAACAATTTCTTGTGCGTGTTCTGGGTCAGGTAATTTATAAACAGCTGTCGGATATATAACTGTCTTCAAACATGTGAGGCTTCTGACACTTTGCTTTTGTTTCCACTATATGCCTCCTATGCTTTCCTTGACACTTCATCACCTTATCATCGCCTTCTTCTGCTGTTTATTATTCAAGCAAATTGAACCATCTGTTTCTCTTTCTCAGTTTCATATCACAAACCAGACTCTGGGAAATCACTTTGTCCTCTTTTTTATCTCACTGCTGCCCTCATCTACCCCCACTGCTGGGGAAACACTAGGATATATCCTGGACCAAGTGGACTCCCAGATTCTTAAGATTGGTGCTGGATGCTAGACTTCTAGTCATCTACTGCAGTTATATCATTGGAAAAGGTCTCTCTCTGGTGTTTTGGGCCAAAAACAAAAACTTTAGTTTTGTCAGAATTGAGTCGCATAAAGTTTCTGGTCATCCAGGCTTTAAGTGGAGTTATTCTGTTGGTTTCTCCTGGCTTCACTGATGGGTATAACTGGGTGTCATCTGCACAGCAGTGAAAATTTATGGAATGTTTCTTGATGATGTTAGGAAGAAAAGGATTGGTCCTAGTACTGAACAAGATTTTAGCCTTTCTTCTACTGGCTCACCTCAAGGATGTGTTCTCTTACCACTTGTGTTTGTTTTATACACTAATGAATGTCAGAGTCAGTATGAGAAGCAACACAATTAAATTTGCTGACAACTCTGCGATCGTGTCACTTCTTTTCAACGATGATTTTATTGAACGGTTTGACAAATCCTTTTTAAAACATTCACTCAAGACATATTAAAACTGGGATCTAAACCAGTTGGTGATGATAGGTTACTAATTTAGCCTCTAATGTTCCAGATGTTCTCATTGAAGGAGTTCCTAAAATCATCACAGCTGAGCACAGGAGGGATACACAGCTGAATAGAGCTCTGACTGTCTGTTAGCTCAGCTACAGTGCTGAAAAAGTACTTGGATTATTTTTATTTTCTTCTTGAAGCAGGAGTAGTAGGCAGTCCAAGCACGTCGTAGAGCTTTCCTATAACCACTGAGACTATCTTTCAGAGTAAGTTAGCTGTTGATGTAGTGGAGCTCCGTATCCTTTCAGGTTTTCTGGGTGTTTGTTTCAGCTCAAGAGTTTCAGCATTTTACCACAGAACTAATCTCTTACCTCTGATGGTCTTGAGTTTGAAAGCAGGCGATGGAGATGAAGAACTGAGAAGCTACATATATGCTAACAGCTAAAGAGGGAAACATCATAGGTGAGATCAAGCGGGGTGAATCAGAGGGTGTTTGGTGACGACTACAGACTACTAAGACTACTATGGATACTGCAGTGAGAGGAGTTCAGAGGAACAAAGAACAAATTTAAATAAATGAAATAAACTGAGCAGATATCAACTGCTTGGGGTAGCAGAACACAGATCACCAGAGTAGAAGTGATGCAATACGCTTACCTGGTACATCATATGTCAGGTCTTTGTAATTTTTGTTTCTTCCCAAATTTAGTCACAGGGTTTTATGATTATCTCCTAACTTGTCTTCTTTACTTTCCAGGAAACGAACATCTCCAGCAAAGAAAGAGCTCATGACAGGGGTAAAGGACTCTCTTCTGGTCCACTTCTCAGACCCTGTTGAGGATAGGAGAATCAACTATGAGACTCAAGGTATGAGAGCATAAACACACACCATCTGTAAGTGACTATAATGTTTGTGCTGTCTTAAACATCTTGAGTTACAGCTGGTAACCAACCACAGTTACAGTCTACCCTGGAATGAGAGTAGACTGTGTCTGTGTCTGAGATAACAGAAACAGAGCTCAAAGTCAGAGCTCTTCCACCCCTTAAGCCATATTTTACCAGAGGCTGAAGATCCAACACATCACTCAGCCTTGTCAACATGAACTAAGGTCCCTGTGGTGCCATTGTAGTCTGTAGCCTATAAGCACATATGCATGCTTGTGTTTGCTTTTCAGCCTCTCTCTGGTTGTGCTCATTCTGTTCCTCTGTTGGAGTATCTCAGTCAAATTTAAACAATTTAACGAAGCCTCTCATAGACAAACAGCTATTCCTCACCCCTTATTGTAATAAACCACATGATGAGGTCAGTCATTCCCTGTTCAGTGCAACATTGATACTCAGATAATTAGACAACAGGATGGTACAAATAAAATGTGTTATATGTGATAAATACGATCCAACTAACAAGAGACGTCTGTAGTTAAACCCATCATGTGGTAGTTATTGCTGTAAAGTTCAAAGAAGACCAATTTTCTAATTCTATGGTGTGTGTGTGTGTGTGTGTGTGTGTGTGTGTGTGTGTGTGTGTGTGTGTGTGTGTGTGTGTGTGTGTGTGTGTGCCTTTGCGTGTGCGTGCATGCGTGCGTGCGCAGTGTGATGTCAGACAGAGTGTTTGGTTTGTGTGATAATCTCAGTAGTTGTAGTGATACAGCTGAATCAGATATTTGTGTGTTTCACTTTTGTTATATGTTGTGGAATTTTTCCTTTAATTGGTTATGCTTTTGTTATATGTTGTGGAATTTTTCCTTTAATTGGTTATGCATGAATAAGTCTTTATACTAATTGATATCACATGTATGATTATTTTGGTTTTAAGCAATAGATTATTCTGTGTGATCAAAGGAAATTGTATATATAGTAAATTTTTGAAAATATTTTATTCTAAGCAGAGACTATAATGGAGCTCCTGACAACTGGCCTACTTAGACGGCACAGACCGATCATGTTCAAATCATAAATGAATGTATTGATCCCACTGAGTGATGCCTCTGTGGTGTTCTTTAAACAGTTTTATTAGTGGGTATTTCTTGTTTGACCACAGAGTTCATAATGAAATGTTCTTGTCAAACTTTCCCTTCAGGCATGAGGGGACACCCGCCTGTGCGTGTCTGTGACCTCTCAGACCACATAGAGAGGCTGAGGGCCAATGATGGTCTATACTTCTATCAGGAGTATGAGGTAACTCATGGAGCATCACACACACACTTGCTTGGCATTACCTGCATCCTTATTGATCTTGTTTCTTCCTGTACATCCTTATTTTCTTCTCTTCTTGTGTCAGTCCATCGATCTAGGTCAGCAGTTCACCTGGGAGCACTCAAACCTGGAGGTCAATAAGTCAAAGAACCGCTATGCAAATGTTACTGCCTACGACCATTCCAGGGTCATCCTGACTACAGTGGATGGTGAGAGACATCCAGTTTATTGACATTATCAGAAGGACAGACTTGTCATATTTCATACATATATTTCGTTTAACTCTTGTAAGCTGTGCTGTTTTTAAAACTCTCTTTTATTTGTATGTCTTTGTGAATGTGTTCACCTTTCTCCTCATAAAAGAAGTCATAGGGAGTGACTACATCAACGCCAACTATATTGATGGTTACAGAAAGCAGAACGCTTACATAGCCACTCAAGGGCCCCTCCAGGAAACACTGAGCGACTTCTGGAGGATGGTTTGGGAGCAGAGGACATGCACTATCATAATGATGACCAGGCTCGAGGAAAAGTCCCGGGTAAGTTCTCAGATGTTGATCTGAGTTGAAATTAAACGCCTTAGGCTACTATGGCTATAGATACATTTGCTGCTTCATCTGTGCAGGTGTGATATAAAAATATAGTTTTTCAAACTGATGTTACACAGGACAAAGTTTACCTTTTCTATTCATAATAAATCATTGAACAGTACCATCCAGCTCACCAACACAGGCGCTGATGGTCGTGCAGTTTTCGTCAATTTATCGCCATTTGCAGAGAGTAGATGGTGACTGCAGAGCAGTGTTTATGAGGAGTCATCAATCATCATCCCAACATTTCCAGCTCTTTGTTTCCTAAAAATAACCCTGTCCGTGAGCACAGAGGGCTCTATTTTCGAGTATGCCCGTGAGGCGACGGAGGGCGGCGAGCCCCGCGCAGTTGTATTTTCGTCTGGCGCAGCCCGGCATACAGCCAGTTTGGTATTTTCGTGGACTGAGCTGCCAAGCTGGGCTTGGTAGCGTGGCAGGGGGAGGTGTCGACAGAATCAGCGGGCGCAGTGACATTTTCGTGCTCGCCACCGGCGTGTAAAGTGCGCTGAAAGCTCGCCAATTTAAACCTGGTCAGCTTTCAGCACTGCAGCAGGAGCTGGTCTAGTAGTATTTTGGTAGACCGGCAGCGTATCGGCATATGTCACCGATGCCTCACCGGCAGGTTTCCACAGTGTCAGGCAAATTTCAGTGCAATAAATAATCATCAACAACTAATATTCTGAGTCAGCACATACATTTCGATCTATATCGATATATTCTGATCTATATCTGATCTGATGAGCGTGTTTGGCACGCGTTTGGACACACAACCTGACCGAATCAACACAGCTGAAACCGCATTAAATTAAATTAAATATCTAGTAAATAGACACACATGATGAAGTTAACAAGATATGTAATTCGTCTCCCTCCTTTTCTTTCTTCCTCTTCCTCTTATTTCTCGCGCAGCTCGACCTGGACACGTCTCTATGTCCTCTTCCTGTGCTGCTGCAGCTGCAGCGGCTGAACAGATGATTTGTTTCAGTGATCAGATGAGTTATCTACTTTAAGCCAACATACGAATATTATAATATTCAGTTTTGTGAGCCAAATTTATTTTATATGCCAACATCTATGAAAGAAAGAGCCGGGCCACCGAGCGCGATGTGTCATTTATGCACAGATGGTTCCGATTTTAATGCCATTTTTGGAGTTAATGTTGTGATCTGTGCGCTCAACCCACCTTTGTCACGTTAGGTTTGAATATGAGCATCTTTTTGTGAGTGTCTTTATTTGTGGAAAAGGGTGTTTTTCTTAACAGTGGGTCCAACATTACACACACCAAATCCATCTGTGCTTATATGAGAGAGTGTGGAGGACGCCCTCTGCAGCGCTTACAGTGACACTTGTTGAGGAGCTGCCCTCTGTCGCCATCTTGTGGCATTACTGTCTTCAGACATCTCCTGATCTCTCTGACTACTTCACGAAAATACTAATACGCCTCGCCGGTGGCAGATTTAAAGGCAAGGAGAGGAGCTTATGTGATTGGTGAAAACTGGTCTTGGCTGTGTTAAAACCACTCCATGCCCTCTCTCCTCCCTCGCAACGATTTACGCCACTGGGAGGAGCTGAGTTAGGGAGGGGGGATACTTACGCTGGGCTGCGCTGCTCACCAAAATACCAAATTGTGCTTTGGAACGCCTTATCGGCGCGGTGGATCTGACTTACGCCGCGCTTGCGGCACGTCTCCGGCGAGGCACGAAAATAGAGCCCAGATTGTTAATACCTTTTTGACTTTATAGTCTATCTTTCTTACTAAGAGGCTCAGTGGGTAGGGTCAGTTGTCTCCCAATGAAAAGGTCTGGGGTTTGATTTATGAGCTGTTGACTTACCTTGGGCAAAACACTTGACACCAACCTGCCCCTGCTGGCTCTGCCCAGTGGTGTGTAGATGGGAAAATCCATAAACTGATGGACCCTATAGCAGCCTATGCCACCTGTGTGTGAATGAGTTGTGAATGGGTGAATGTGACATGTAATGTAAAAGAGCGGTCAGAAGGAAACTAGAGACAGATAGAAACACAGTCCTTTTACCATCTACTGAACACTCGGCTGTGTGATTGATTAAAACCCCAGGACAACAGTTATTAACAACCAAAAGTGCAAGTCATATTTCTATTAGCTACAGTGTAGCAAAGAAAGTCACATCAATAGGCTAAAAAATATGGTTTTCCTAACACTGGGTACAGTCAGTGACAGCTGAGCAGGTGAGTGGATCCATCTGTTGCTGATCTCTGTAGTACAGTGAGGAAATCAGTCATACTTTAAGTTATGTTTTTGGCCTCATTTATCTTAAATGGGTCAACTGCAGATCCTTGAGAGGAAGTAGAGCCAAACCAGGGCCAAGAGAAATGTTCTGACAGAAGTTGTGTTCACATGTCTAACTTTGCCTTTAATGAAAATGTCTGGTGTCATGTGAAATGTAAAAGAAGTAGGAGTATGGCTAACCATGACTTAACTGAGGGTCAAAACTTTCAGTTTAATGTTATGTCACTGCTCGAGCAAATAAAATCCATTTTCATGGAAGCATTACAGGCTGCGAAATCAGAGGGACTGTTGATATAGCTGAAAAAATAAACAGCCATCTTTATATCAATCAGTGGTCTGGTTTTCAAGGTTTTCCCACCTCCCAATCTCCAAATCTAATGCAACAGCTATGTAAAATTAATGTCTAACGTTTGTCTATTTGCAGGTTAAATGTGACCAGTACTGGCCCAGTCGAGGCACAGAGACATACGGAATGATTCAGGTGACCATGTTGGACACCGCAGAGCTTGCCACATACAGCTTACGTACATTTGCCCTCTACAAGGTGAGCCATTGGCTGGTGATAAGACATAGTGCGCAGAAGAAAGGGAACAGTCCCTAATGTAAAAGCACCGTCGCTTTTTTTTATTTTTTTAATTAAATTTCTATTATCTGTACAAATTTTTTTCAGTTTTTTCACTTTTGTTATTCTCCACCCATACACAAAGAATAGGTGAAAAAAACAGACAAAATCCAATCACTGCTATAAGAAAACCAAGTCAAACTTTATTCATAATGCACATTTAATGACAATTAAGTGCTTCACAAAGTAAAAGAAGAAAACATTACATGGATAAAAGTGTCCTTATCTCAGAGTGGAGGCCAAAGAGAAAAGACAGAAACCATTTAAAGCCTTTAATAGAACAGATGTGTGAAAGATATCTTAAGTCATGAACCACTGCATCCAATTTAACAGGCAGTACAGAATGAGACAAAAAAAGTCAAGATTATGGTAAGAAGAGGAGAAAGGGAAACAGAAACAGAGGAAAACACAGTTTAGGTTCTGATGTGCCAGTTCAGGTCTACAGAACAGTTTTTCTACTTTACTCATAATATTTATTCTTAGTTCTCCACAGACTACAACATTTAACCAGGGAGCTCTGTTTAAAAGTTTAATTCACTCATAAGCTATCTTTTCATTTGTATTGATTTGATATGTTTTCCATGGTGTGTATGCCCTTCATTGACTGTAGCCTCTTGTTTACCTTTGGAAGGATCTATTTTTTTCCACCCTCTTGTTATTTTCTCCAATTCTGTTAATTTTGGGATCCAAAAGAGACAGAATTCATGTTTTATACCGTCAAGATGAAATCCCAAGATTTTTTTTGTTATGGATATGAGAGAGGACTTTTTATCAACCCTGAATACTTCTTTAACACAGCCAAGGTTGACACTATTGTGTAAAATGGTAACCTGTTTTGTCTGTCTCTGTATTTTTTTCTGTCAAACTTGTTTTTGCTTGTTTCTTTTCTACATGTAGTGCCCTTATGGCAATGTGATGCAAAAAATGAGGGTTTTTTGATTGCAATAAAATCACATTAATCCATGCTTTAGTGAATGTGTGTATCTGTGCTTCAACAGAATGGGTCCAGTGAAAAAAGAGAGGTTCGACAGTTCCAGTTTATGGCTTGGCCTGACCATGGAGTGCCTGAGTATCCTGCCCCAACAATTGCCTTTCTACGAAGAGTCAAAGCTACTAATCCTCCAGACGCTGGACCCATGGTAATCCACTGCAGGTAAACTTCCAGTTCTTGGGAATCACTCAATCAGAAACAACAGAGGACATTTTACCGAGCAGTCTATTTAAGCAGAAAGGTTAAAATCCTCCATGTTAACAGCAATGTGCCTGTCTGCAGGTGCACTTGTGAATGACAGCAAACACATATACTTATGTTACACCCAAAACCCATCCAATCAATGACCAAAGGACTTATTTTGGCCTTTTTGTGCCCCATCAATCATTTGGTTTGACCCCTGACACTTTGGTCTGTGTGCTGTAGACACTTCAGTTAAGATCATTTAAATAGAGCCACAAGCTTAAACTAAACTTCAAGAATGGAAGTTTTGATTATGTAAATTAAGTAGGACTGTCAAAATTACGCTTTAACGCAGATTAATCCATCATCATGATTAATCTGATCATTTAGGCAAGTTACAGTTAAATCTATGACAGCAGCTTTTTGCAATCTTTTTGGGTTGAGTTCATTTCATTACTCTAGGATAAAGGTGATTTTGTTTGGCCAAGTGACCCTCTGCAGACCTGATAACCTTTGAGAGGGCCCCTAAGGGTTGGAGTGCTGTTCTGTGAAGATCTAGAAAATCCTTTAAGCTTCAGGTTCTAGTACAGGTTCCTTTATTTATACCTGTTGATAGGTTTGTTTGCAGCAAGCCAATGACATCTGTCTTGACTTCTTATCACACATACTACACAAATCAATCTGAAGTAAAAAAAACAAACTAAAACATGACAAAAAGTATTCTTGCGTCAGCACTCAGAAATGAGTTTCATCGATAAATAACACTCAGTTAAAGAGATAGCCTAATCAGAAGATTATAGTGTGATTAATATAACTAACAGTCCTAATGTGGGTGAATGCAAAACTGTACAGGGTAAGAGGACCCTTTATAGTGGAGGCCTTGGACACCCTAATACATTTGGTCCTGCCTATTGCTGCAAGGTGGTGGAGAGCAATAAATAAGGATCTTTCACTGACCAAGAGACCGGATGTTGCATTTCTAGCTGGCCTGTATTGGGAACTTAGTATGAGTTATAGTCAAAGGCATTTTTAATGAGACTGTTGCTGCGGTGAAACTTTTGAGCATCATACTCAGCAAGTAAGTTATAAAACAACTCTTACTGAGAGAGTTCTGTTTGGCTCACTATACATGACCCCTGACATAACCCATGTTGATGTAACACAGATAAACCAACAACAGAGTCTACAATGTTTTTTCTTTGTTTCCATCAGTGCTGGTGTGGGCCGAACTGGTTGCTTCATTGTGATCGATGCCATGCTGGAAAGAATGAAACATGAGAAAACAGTGGACATCTATGGTTACGTAACATGTATAAGAGCTCAGAGGAACTATATGGTGCAGACAGAGGATCAATACATATTCATCCATGAAGCCCTGCGAGAAGCTGCCACATATGACAACACAGACATCTCTGCCCGAAACCTGTATGCCCATATACAGAAGCTCAGCCAGACTCCTGCTGGAGAGACTGTCAGCGCCATGGAACTAGAGTTTAAGGTAGAGGTCTTTTTTTGTGATGGTTACTCCTGCCAAGAAGTTTTCTATGCTGTAAGTTTGCTTGTTTGTCCAATTGTGTGGAAACACCAGGGTTACAAAAAAACTGACATGGTTTTATGAAACTTTTTTAAAGCATGAGGCAAAATCTGAATTAGGCTCATGTTAGACTGGGCCCAGAGAAGACCCACCAATAGCAAATCTGTCTAGGGATCAAGCAATATCAGTAGATTCAACAAACAGTTACAGATTTTATCCACTGAAACAATATTGGAATAAAATGGATTTTGGAATGAGTTTTAGTGCTTGAGATTTTTTGTTATTCTAAGGCACACTGTTAGTGATGTTTCCTTCAGTCATCAAGTGTTCAGATTGAACATCAAAACCTCTCTCAGGTAATTCTGTCCAGGTTCATAAAGCATCAACATGTGCTTGAGCAGCACTCTCCTAATTACTCAGTTCTCTTACTCAAGAACCACTTGCAGGCCTTCGCTTCAGCTTCCATGTTGTTTAAGATGCCCCTTCTTCTCTCACCTCTGACCTCAGGTTCTTTGTAAGGCTGTGCAGAGAGACCACCCTGGAAAGCCTCTGCACCCTACTTCCACAGGCCAGCCCCTCATTTTCCAGCGGTTGCTATCTGACCTTTATACTTATTCTTCTTGCCAACTTTTGATGGCATGGATCACGCCGATGACCACATTTCTACTTGCCTACAATACCAGGTTGAGGGTAGTCTTGGCACGCTGGGAGGGGCTTGAGTTGTCAATCCAAGTCCACTGACAGCTGCCAGTCCTGAGTGGCGTTCAGGAATCCTAATTCTGCCTTAGATCGTATCCCCAGCTAATCTTCTGCTCTGATAAAGCTAATGGTTTGCTTTGTAGGTTTCAAGAGGCAGCAGGTGGTAACTGCATTACAAAGGCTCCAGCAGCAGTTTTGATATGATGGTGAAATCATTTAATATTATTTAATTTGTTTAGAATAATCAAACTTTTATTCATTACATTACAAGCTCTCCCCAATGGGCAACGATATTGATTATTGATAATGATGATGATGGTGATAAAGATGTTGTTGTTAATGATAATGAGGATGATAATGATGATGATGATGATAATGTGGTGATGTTGAAGATAATGTTGATGATGGTGATGATGATGGTGAAGCTGATGATAATGTTGATGATGATAATGATGATGATTATGTTGATGATGATGATGGTGATGATGATGATGATGATGATGATGATGATGATGATGGTGGTGGTGATGGTGATGGTGATAATGGTGAAAGTGATGGTGATGATGATGATGGTGAAAGTAAAGGTGATGATGATAATGGTGATGTTGATGATAATGATGATGATCATGATGATGATGATGATCATGATGACAATAATGATGATGATGATGATGATGATGATGATGATGATGATGATAATGATAATGATGATATTGATGATGATGGTGATGATGATGGTGATGATGATGGTGATGATGGTGAAAGCGATGTGATGATAATAATGGTGATGGTGATGATGATGGTGATAATGATGATGGTGATAGCGATGTGATGATAATAATGGTGATGTTGTTGATGATGTTGAAGATGGTGATGATGATGATAATGGTGAAAATGATGGTGAAAGCGATGTGATGATGATTATGGTGATTTTGATGATGATGTTAAAGGTGATATTGATTAGTTTGATGATGGTGATGATGATGTTCCTCCATAGCCTACTACTCAATTATATTTTATTAGTCATATTTTTACTTATTCATCTGATACTGCTTTTGTTGTTGATTTTTAATGAACCACAGCAGGCCTTACCTAATGAAGTCCATTAGTCTAACAATATGACACACACACTTACCATTGCTCAATGTTGGGCAGCCTGGACATTAGAGGTGGCATTAAATTTAACCCCAGAAATCTATTTTATAACACTTTTGCATTTCTCTGGTGATCTCTTGTGACTGTGTCTTCTTGTGACCACTTATCAAACCCAATGAAGGTCTTTTTGTGGACTCTGGCCCCAGTGAGCATATGAGTGATCTCTGATATTTGGGGCATTTTCAAAATAAGTTTTAACATGAAAATCTGAAATAAAGTCATTAATCGAAAGTGCATCATTGAAATAGTTTGAGAGCTTTTATTTGAAGTTATGAAGCCTCAGTCATTTCTGAGCTGAGAACTGGTTGTCTCAGGGTTGTCCTCTTCTCTCTCTCTGCAGAAACTGGTGAACTCCAACACACACACCTCAAGATTTATCAGTGCCAATCTACCATGTAACAAATTCAAAAACCGCCTGGTCAACATCTTGCCTTTTGAGTCCAATCGTGTCTGCCTGCAGCCAATCAGAGGGGTGGAAGGGTCTGACTACATTAACGCCAGCCTTATAGATGGATATAGGCAAGTACAGACAAACTATATTAGTTGAGTTTGCAGCTGTATTGCTGGATGAAACTGTAAAACAGGGTGGTGGAGAGCAGTTTTGTTAGGCACAGCAAGATGTCCCATTAGTTACTGTATCCAGGACAAGACAAATACAATCAAAACCAGGGCAAAAGGACCACAGAGATTTTTGCTGACTTTTTTATGATGAAACACCTACTGAATGTCATAATTTAGCACAGCTACAGGCAATTTTAATAGCAGTCAAACTAAATTCTATTGTGGGACAACAGCTTACAAACGTCATTCTTTTCTCATTTTCAGGCAACAAAAAGCTTACATTGCTACTCAGGGCCCCTTACTTGAGACCACGGAGGACTTCTGGAGAATGCTGTGGGAACAAAACTCCACCATTGTGGTCATGCTCACCAAGCTGCGTGAAATGGGACGGGTAACACATTTAAACTATGTATTATTATCATCAGAATAACATCCAAATATATTTTTGGATATGGTCCTGGGATGGGTGTGACCTGTACCTTTCACAGTCTATCATGCTGCTCTTGGATCGTCTCTGGTCAAGGTTTTGGTACACACCAACTGTGACCTCCCTACAGACAGGCCCTGCTATCAGGGAAGCACATTAATGGATTTTTGCCTTTATCTTACATGTTAATACTGGTATGAATACAAATATACACACATTTTTTTCTCTTTACTAAGCCGCTCCAGCAACAGTTTTGTTGTTACTTTTATTGTGACAGTCTATTTAAAGTACGTAGACACAAAACAAACAATATTTGATTTTTTTCAAACATGATGATTGCATTCGACTGCACCACTTTGAATGACCTTCATATGGCCAAAAAGTGTAGGCTGTTGTTGAGCGCACTTAGCTAATGTGTTACCTTTTCAACCCTTATTACAGACATTACAGACAATGAACTTTTTAAGTTGTGAAAAGTGACCTGTACTGATATCATGCTGAAATTTTTGAGCATTCTTATTTATGTTCTTTGCTGAATCCTAAATCAGTCAGTGACTGTAACCCTGACTGATCTCTCTTTGGCAAAAGTCCTGTTAATGCCTTTGTTCCTCATCGTGGACCGTATGAAAGCAACTGGTTACCAGAAATCACAGCAAAAGGTTAATGTGAAAATTGAAATAGATAATTAGAAATTCTTTTTAATTTTTAGAATATTTGTAAATTATTTGACTCATAAATTCAGTTCATATCTAACTGTGTAATTTGCATCTTCAAGAATTTACATTCTTTAACATGATTAAAATAAAAAAGAGAAAACAAAACAGACACCTATAAATAAAAGTTTAAAAGCATTTAAAAGCAATGGTTAAATAATATAAAATACTTTTGCTGTCTTAGGGCTCTTTTAACCTGTGCCAAAATTAAAAATCAAGGTGTCAAACAGATGTTGAGCAGCCAACATGTGAAAAAGGGGGTCATTGGTAAATCTGTCTCTGACTTCACTCACTGTTGATAATTGAAAATAAGATTTCTGCTTATTAGAATAAAAGTGGTTTGATGATGGTGTCAGTGGCACTTTGACATGAAAACATTAAATTAATGTGGGTGCAATGGCTTCGTGGACTTATTGTAATATGTTTACATTCTTTAGGAGAAGTGTCATCAGTATTGGCCTGCTGACCGCTCAGCACGCTACCAGTACTTTGTTGTGGACCCCATGGCTGAGTACAACATGCCTCAGTACATCCTGAGAGAGTTCAAAGTGACCGATGCAAGAGTAAGTTCTGCTGCTGTTTGTTTTTGGAGTTGTATTAACAAGACAGCTTTATCGAACCTGGCTCAATTACAACAACCATCCCAGTCAGTGATATGTATTTCAGGTGTTTCTCTGTACCAGTGTAACCTTTGGTATCAGTAAATTGCCTGCCTATAGAGGTTCCCCCTAATAATCAGATACTGTTGTTACAAAGCAATGATAAGATCTATGCAACACGCACACACACACACACACACACACACACACACACACACACACACACACACACACACACACACACACACACACACACACACACACACACACACACACACACACACACACACACACACAAAGAAAACATTTCCCTCCTACTTGAGCCAGGGTGACTGAGAGTATGTTTCAATTTTATTCCAGGATGGTCAGTCAAGGACCATAAGACAGTTTCAGTTCACTGACTGGCCAGAACAAGGACTGCCAGTAACTGGAGAGGGATTCATCGACTTCATTGGACAAGTTCATAAAACCAAGGAGCAGTTTGGGCAAGACGGACCCATTACTGTGCACTGCAGGTACGTGTATAGATTTGTGTGTGGAGGATGGATGGATGAATGATGAATGGATGAATGGATGGAACTGACTTTCTGGAAATTGTTAATTTATAACAGAATAGTTCAGTTTCATAGATGAGCTGTTTTTGAAAGAATTATTGGATCATTGATAAACTTGGTCTACATAAACATATGTGAAAAAACACCCCACAAAAGAAAAACATCCTTGACAGGGAACAATCAGGGAAGGGTTGACTAACCCACTAGACTGCTGATAAATGAATTTAATTTTTATTAGGTCAGTATATGAATTGGAGCTACAGCTTACTCACTATAATGAATGTTGTCTTATTAACTCTCTTACAGATACAATTCAGTGTGACAACACAACAATTGAGTGATTATTGCATGTATGGAAACACTTCCCTGGGTGTTTTATAAGAAGTACAAAATGGTTTTAGAATATTAAATTATAATATGGAATCATAATAATTAATATACTATGATAATCATATGAGAATCTTTATTGCCTTTTCTATTGTTTATATATTGCTAATACTTAACCAATGTTTTGGTCCTCATGCAAAATACTGTAATGAAATGTTGATGATTGATAGCATCCTCACACACTCTGTGGTAGATCAGCAGTGATTAATAGGTCACTGGCCATATGAGCTGTATGTCGTTCTCCATTCATCAATCAGTTCATCTTTATTTATAAAGCTGTAATTCACAACAAGTGTTATCCCAAATTAAAGTCTTGTTCCTTCATCATATTCAGGTGTGTTCTTTAAGTGTATATTTGTTTGTTTGTGATGACCTTCATAATGAAGAATTTAGTAATGAATGACTTTGATATGTATCCAACAGTGCTGGTGTTGGGCGAACTGGTGTGTTCATCACCTTGAGTATTGTCCTGGAGAGGATGAGATACGAGGGCATGGTTGATGTCTTCCAGGCAGTCAAGACTCTACGAACCCAGAGGCCAGCCATGGTGCAGACCGAGGTACACTTTTTAGCTCCAGCTCATCACACATGTAACATTATCTGTAGCTTCAGCCCTGCCCTTTTACAGAAGCATCCTTTCTTCATCAACTCACTAATTCTACATTTTTCTCCACCAGGACCAGTACCAACTATGCTACAGGGCAGCTCTGGAGTACCTGGGAAGCTTTGATCACTATGCATAATAATTCAACCAAGAGAGACACCATGAGAAGAGCTCTGTGTGGCCCTGTGCCTTACCCATGTAGCTCAGGTCCTTCAGTCCCTGTGGCCTGTTAAGGATAAGGAACACTGGCAAGAGCAGAGAGGACAACATGCTGGACATTCTTATTGGTTTTATTTATATGAATTACTTATAATGCCATGATCAGTCATTTTTATACATCTCACTGGGTTTTTTTATAGGCTTATCTTTTTACACCTTTTTGAATGACACACGTATGTCCACCACTCTCTACACACTGAAAGCTTATCAACTCAGCAGCTATAAATTAGGATATTTTGCAACTGTTTAGTTAAAAATCTATCAGATTAAATAATCAGTGAAGGTTTGTTATCAACTGCTCCTTCCGGCATCTGGACTTCTTGGAAATAAAGATATAACTTTTGTATGGTTCTCATTTTTAATGTATTTCCCTCTATCAACAACTCAGGTACACTAATTGCAGACAGCACGTGTTTCATATTTATTTTACAAATTTTGACAACTTTGCTGAAAAATGCTTAATGCATGAGAAAGATCTTTTCATCAGGAAAGAACTTCAACATTTTAATTTCTTATAAGGTGCTGTCTCCTTTGTCACCAAGACATTCACAGTTTCATCTTCTTTGTTCCAAACTTATCAGGAACATATCAGGAACATGTTGGGACAAAAATAATGGGGTGGTTAGTCCCTGAATACCTAAGAGAGACAAGCTCAGATTTCTGTGTTAGTTTTGATAAATTTTTATATTTTCCATCCAGTTAACTGTCATTGTAGGACACCTGAGTGTGTGTGTGAGTTCAGTTTGATTGTTGTTCATTTGTATGTACAGTCAGCCCAGTCTTTTGTCTTTTGGAAAAGTAATAAACTCAAAGATGTTATTTTTAAAACACATACTGTCTGTGGTTTTTCTCATTGTATAAAGAAAGAAAAAAAAAATTCTTGTGATTAAATTATTAACACGTCCTAGATTAGGCTGAAACAAACCAAGAAGAATCATATAGACCTTTTCTATGTTTTCATGAATTATCCCTGAACCAGACCCCAGCACACCTTGGCTTTTCATAGAAAAGGTGTGGCTTTCACTGAAGCCCTGTGACAACCTGGTGGGAGTGATAACTAGTTTAGTTGGGATGGTTTGGCTTCTATTCGACCCACATGCCAGGGAAAAATATTTAAAGTGATGGGCTGATGAGTCTGGCGATGCCAAGTCTATGATGCCAAGCCACTGACACAAAGCTATTGACTCTCTGTGCAAAGCAGTCAGTTGTGAGTGTGCTCCAGTGAAGGGCTGGCTAAAAGTCATACTGGACAGACTTTTATTGTATAGATTTTCATAAGCAAGAAAGCGTAGACAGCACTATGTGTTCTATCAGACATCGTATGTCCTTTGGTTTGAAGTTTTAAGTTTAAGGTTTTAATTGTCAATCACTGCAAATTGTGAGTACTTACACAGGGGTGAAAAAAATACACTGCTTTCCAGCCCATAGTGCCAAAATACAGAGAATGATTAAAAAATATACAAAAAAGTACAAAAGAGAAGAGTACAACACAGTATCCAGCTTTGCTCAGCTCAGACGGAGAAGTTGACCAAAGAGACCCAGGTACAAAATGCATCACAGCTGTGGCACGATGCGAGAAAGCAACACAGCAAAGAGGTTTCCACAGTGTAGCTCGACTAACCCACAATTTTTGAATGAACATTTGCACCCCACATTCACTGGCAACACTGCCACCAAGTACTGGAAGGAAGATAATGATAAAGGTGGGTTAACGATGTTATTAAGGCCACAGGGCAAACGCACTACCCATCTTCGTGCAAACAATTACGCCTGGATCTTTCTGTTTTGGATTCGTTGTACACAGCTAAGTCATCTATCCTTGACGTCTTCATTCTACTATCGTGCAACGGGTCCCAGCGGAGAGTTAGGTAGCCCCGCCCACTGACTGACATGTAAACAAAGACGCATTGAGCATGCGTCACTCCATAATGGAGGACTGTCTTCACTACTCCGTGTGAAGATGTTTGTATTTGCCCATCAGAACCTGTGACTACAGGAAGGACGTCTCTGCAGCTCTTCCGTGGCTGTAAGTTCTTCTGCACCCCCTTCAGTTGTTTATGTTTTCAGTTTTCGTGTAGCGAACTGCAGGTACCTTTTAATTGCTGCTTAAATGAGAGCAGTAGGCAGCTATTAGACCTCGGACCCTTGATGCTAGCTGGTGCTCATACTTGCCACAGCCGACTATCTGTTAAACCTAGCACATGTAACGCAATGGTTGGTTACTTTATTTGTATTTGCTAATAGGAGTGTGTGCGTGTGTGAGTGAGTGTGTGTCGTAAATAATCAGAGCCCCTGAGACCCCCCAAGCCACCAAGCACTTAGCACGTCGGCTAACGTGAAGCTGAATACATACTTTTTTTCCCCTGATGAGCAGTGTTATCACTGGGTCATGGGATGTGACGGATACGCGTCTCAGCCAATCACAGACTGAGGATCCGAAGTTGGCTTCCGGTTACTGAGGAGACAGAGAGAGAAAACCACAGTTTCAGATTTACGACACATTTTTTCTACATGTGAAGTTGTGAAAATCAACATTTACTGTTTTTTTATTGAATTTTTTCTAACCTCATTTGATTCACTATGCCCGTGACACCTGCTTTGGGTTATCACTGTGAAGCCACAGCCTTAAAAAAACTTGACTTGTAACTTGTAGATTTATGACTATTTTTTATTCATGAAATGGAAAACCAGAAACTGCAGTAGATGATCAAAACTTAAATGTAGAGTTGTGTATCTATAACTCAAAATATAAGTGTATGAAAATGCAAAAAGGGGAGATACCACTGTTTTTCTACCTTAACCACTGAGACCAGGTCCTGATTCTGTTTCTGAAAATGAAAAATGGGAGATGTCGTATTAGTGTGTCAGTTTTCTGTTGAGGTTGCATTTGACCAGGTTCTTTTGTGGAACCACTAGACCTCTATCCTTAAGGTTTGAACTATATTATTGCTATGTGACTTAAAGGGGCAGTGCAAAGAATGAGGCTATTGAGTGACTCTAGAACAGTTTTTATGAAACTTTGTACAGCAATGGCACCTTTCAGTAGTGCAGACGTTGCCATCATCGTTGGCCTCACTGCAAATAATGACAAGAGGGATTACAGAGAACTGAACCTGAACTTTGTTGACAAGAGTAAGTAGAACAATGGAAAAACCAAGGAGCTGATGGTAGATTTCTGCAGGTGCAGACTAACTCCTCCTGCACTGGTGAAAAGTCAGGGGAGGGGCATTGTGATTGTGAACTCGTACAAGTACCTGGAGGACAGCTTATTAATAATACAGCCAGAACAGGGGTAGCAGGAGTAATGACAATGAATTGGGAGTCATTCAGCTGCAGGAAATCGATCTGATGATGATCTGAAAATGTGTTTCTCACAGCCTCTGAAGTTGGTCTGTGTGTATAGGCTGGGTTGATTTTGTCTAATAACACGTTTTTTATATATTATTGTTATCGTTAAAATGCAATAACATCATCCCTTTGTCTCCTTTTAATATCAAACTAACATTTCTAAGCTTGACATTGTGTTTATGATAATTGTGTTCATAACTATGATGTTTAATACTGTTTCAGTAACTTGTAAACCATAATGTATAGGCTTTGAAATATTTCCTCCATGCTCCCATGCCATCTCTATTACAGAGTAGGACAAGAAATCAGTGTAGGTGGTCTGTTTTCAAGAAGTGAAAACAGTTGATCTAGAATTAATACTAAATCAGTGAGATACAGTCACACCTGTTACTAAAACTTTTCATGGTTTTGCCCTTACTCTCCAGAGGTATACCCAAAAGAGGAATGTCACGATGACCACCGACAAGCTAGTCGAAACTACAGAGTCCAGGATAATGATCTTCACACCCTCCATCGAGGAGTTCAAGGACTTCAGCTCGTACATTGCCTACATGGAGTCACAAGGGGCACACAAAGCTGGAATGGCAAAAGTGAGTTGAATCTGTTGAGTTCACTGATCTGGAAACAGGAAAAGGAAGTTATTTCTTCTTAATGTTTGTGTTATAAATGTATACTGTTTGACTCAGAGTAATAACCTGTGGGTGGGGGGACTACTAAGATCAGGGCCCTATCATTTTGGGGTCATGATGAGCTGGAAAAATCACATTGTTCTGTAATTTGATTTTTTTTGTCAGTCACTCTAAATGCATGTCTGTGCATATAATCCAAATTGCAAGTGACCCATGTGGGCTTTTATTGTTTATTATCAGCATGAATTGCTGTGTGTGTGTGTGTGTGTGTGTGTGTGTGTGGGGGGGGGGGGGGGGGGGGGTTGGAAAAAAGTTTTTTTTTGTAATGCTCAAGTGGGCTTAGTGATTTATTAAATAAAATATAATGGTGTTTTCTGGGTCAGAAAGAGAAATCTTACTGTTGTATGTCTGGAGAGAATTCAATGCCTTTTGCGATGTAGATTACCTAGATATTGATAACAGTAATAATAAACTTTATTTATAACAGTTTTCACAAAGTGCTTCACAGTCCTCAATTAAAAAGGATAAGATATTTTACTTTATTTACGATGAGACCTAAAATCAGAGGGTGTGGGGGGCCCCCTAAACCTCTCAGCCCCCAGCCTACAGCAGGTTAAGGCAGCCCTGGACACGTGCAGCAGGGCGGTAGCAGCTGAGCTGTGTCCTGTACCACCAACTAAATATGACATCTGAACACTAAACATATTTTTTGATATGACTAATTCATTAAACCTTCAGAAAAATAGACTTCTGGGTCAAAGCAACAAGTGCTGGACTTAAAAAGGAAGGGTGAATATCCTTTAGATATCCTTAATATCCTTTAGGAAACAAACTGGTGAAAAACCTAAAGAGAGGGCAGTAGAACTCATCGCTTTGGACCACGAGTCCATTTCCATTATAGACAACAGAGCTCTTTGGGTCTTTTGGATTCATGGTAAGTCCCACCTTCCCAACACGACATGTCAGACTTTGCGGGGCTGTCAGTAAAGCTGAGATTATTTAAAACGTGATGTGACAGCTGTTAGTTTATCATAGGTATTTAAGACTCTGACATTTGTCACATGTTCCTGCTGGGCCCCACTGCACACTTGACAGAGGAATCCATCTGCTGCAAAATGTTTTCTTATTGTGTCTTTCCTGTTCTCCTCCTGCAGGTTATTCCGCCTAAAAGCTGGAAACCAAGACGAACGTATGACGACATCGATAGCCTGGTTATTCCTGCTCCAGTTCAGCAGGTGGTGTCAGGCCAATCAGGACTTTTCACACAGTACAACATCCAGAAGAAGCCAATGACAGTCAGAGAGTTCCGCAAGACCTCCAACATGGACCGGTCAGTTAAATGGTCCAATTATGAGACATAGTCAAGTGATAGAATGAATTCACACTATGACTGTTTGGTTAAACTCCCACAATAATTAATGACAATAGTTTCACAGGCTTTCACCTTTAGTTACACTCTCCTTGTTCTTGCATTGGTTTTCACTGATATCATTACATTCTTTAGGTTCTGCAGTCCACAATGTGAGGACTTTGATGAGCTGGAGAGAAAGTTTTGGAAGAGCCTGACCTTCAACCCACCCTTGCATGGGGCTGATGTCAGAGGAACACTGTATGATCCCGTGAGTAGTAATTGAGATCTCTTTATTCAATTCAAACAGCTCTTTCAATTTGATTCCAATATCCTGGGTGTCTTTTCTAAGGCAGCACCTGGTCCTCTTGTAGTTCAAAGGAAGAGCTGATTATCCCTCAATTTGATTTAGAGCTTTATAAATAATAATAATAATAACTTCATGTATAAAGCACTTTTCAAAACAGAGTTACAAAGGGCTTCAAAAGACGGTAATACTTTGATATCTGACAAACAAGCTAACCACCATATAGACCTAATGGTCAGCCACATAACCAGTGAGCAGGTGGTAAGGACATACGTCAAAGACAATTATCAATATATTTAAAAAAAACTATTTTGACAAAAATATTGGCAAACATTAAAAAAGGTAAACATTAGATAACATGAATCTTTATTGTTCATACTCTCCTAAGTAGTGAGAGTGGCAGTTGATCCCACTCATGTATTAATAAATTGATTGATTGATTAATAATAATGCATCAGATTTTTATAGTGCTTTATCAGAGACCCTCAAAGCGCTTTACATTAAGTAAATCAGCTTTGACTGAGGCCGTAACAGCAGATTTTTAAACCTAGAGTTGGATAACCTAAATGGCGCTGGTGTTGTAGTAGCAAAGTATTCATACTCAACCATCCGTGTATATTTACATCCTCTTCTGATTTTTTTGTCCAGTTTACTGTTTGATTTTTACATGGGTTTAATGTTAAAGACCTCAGCTGAATCCTTTTCTTGCAGGACGTGACTGAGTGGAACATTGGTCGTCTCAACACCATTCTGGACACTGGCGAAAATGAAAGTGGGATCAAGGTCAGAGGAGTTAACACGCCGTACCTGTACTTTGGAATGTGGAAAAGTGCCTTTGCATGGCACACAGAGGACATGGACCTTTACAGCATCAACTACCTTCACTTTGGAGAGCCCAAGTCTTGGTACAGTTACTGTTACATCCTCACAATAGAAGACAGACATACAGTATATCCCACAGTGTCTGAGCTGTTTTTGTTCTAACTGCTGTGTAGTGTAGGTCACTAATTTACAAACTTCTTCATCAGCTTATGGTTATCTAGTTTTCTTTGCTGCAACCCATGTTGTAGTACTTGAGTCCAGATCTTGAGTCCTTATTTTTAGGCCTTACCTTTGTGACATGTTACATTATTGCTGACGCATTTTGGTCTGAATACATGAACCCCTCCTAGTGCTTCCTCATCCTTGTAGGAAACTCTGTACCTGTGCAAACAAGGAAAGATCAACAAAGATGAAAAAGGTCAAATGTTACCCCAAGCAAGTGATACCCCATGCTGACATACTGCAAAAATGACTGCACTGGTTACACCTGATAAATTCATGTTTGTTACTCCTCAGGTACATTGTCCCACCAGAGCACGGGAAAAGATTGGAACGACTTGCCAAAGGTATGTGCTGGTTTGTAATAAAACCTCATATAAATACACATTTATTAACATTAGCATTCATCATTGACACTGTCCAGACTAAATTTGAACCTGAAGTGCCACAGGGAAGAATTTCTAGGACAGATTTTTCCATTGTTTATTTAGTAACAGTTAGCGTTTGCTAACCTGCCTTACCAATTTCAGATCTTTGTTTTTTGACTGTTGAAGACAGATGAAGACACACACATGTTCTTTAACTTGATGTTTAAAAAACAAATAAAGACTATAACAGGGTTTATGTTTCCAGGTGCAGTTGAACAGGTTGACAGAATATACTGTACATACACAACCAGAAATGGTTAGCTTTACTGTTTCGTTTCCTGTATTTCAGGTTTCTTTCCTGGAAATGCTCAGAGCTGTGAAGCCTTCCTGCGCCATAAATTGACTTTAATTTCACCTTCAGTTCTGAAAAAATATGGCATACCATTTCAGAAGGTATGCGGGCCTCATAACATTATCCTGAAAGCATGTCTGTGTTTAACATCATACACTGTGGAGTGACTCAATGATCACACAATGAATCATCAAAAGATATGGAAAGGTCCAGGTGAAACGGTGTAACAGCTCTGTTGGTTTCCTGTTCTCATGTTAAGGTGACTCAGGAGCCTGGGCAGTTCATTGTGACCTTTCCCTTTGGCTATCATGCTGGTTTCAACCATGGCTTCAACTGTGCTGAATCAACAAACTTTGCCACACAGCGTTGGATTGACTATGGCAAGCGGGCTACACAGGTACATGAACTGTCTCTGAACCTTGGGGCTGTCTGCTAAGTAGTCATTTGAGTAGTCTTTTTAATTACACAAGCAGAAGCTTGAGTAATGAGCAGAGAGAGGGAGTGAAGAGACAGCATCAATAACATGCTTTTGCTGCACTGATGTTCTATGCATGAATCTGTACATATTTACAACTTCAAGCTGACATTAGATGATGACAGATGAGCTCCAGTATCCTGCATTATGAAGCAGTCTGTTCAGGGGATATTCAGGTACATTCAGTGAGGTAGTCTGAGTCCATGGTACTGGTAAGTATTCCAGCCACATCAGAGACACATCAGCTCTGCCCCCTTAATGAAAAACTGCTATGAGAACAGGTGCTAAGGTACAGTTGTTCTCATAAGTCTACATACCCTGGCAGAATCTATGATTATTTGACCATTTTTCAGAGAATATGACTGATAACATAAAACCTTTTTTTCCACTCATGCTTAGTGGTTGGGTAAAACCATTTATTGTCAAACGACTGTGTTTTCTCTTTTTAAAATATTATGACAACAAAAATTACCCAAATGACCCTGATCAAAAGTTCACATACCCTGGTGATTTTGGCCTGATAACAAGCACAGAAGTTGACACAAATGGGTTTGAGTGGCTACTAAAGGTAACCATCCTCACCTGTGATCTGTGATTCATTTGCTTGTAATCAGTGTGTGTGTATAAAAGCTGAGTGAGTTTCTGGGATCCAGACAGACTCTTGCATCTTTCATCCAGCAACTGATGTTTCTGGATTCTGAGTCATGAGGAAAGCAAAAGAATTGTCAATGGATCTACGGGAAAAGGTAGTTGAACTGTATAAAACAGGAAAGGGATACAAAAAGATATCCAAGGAATTGCTAATGCCAGTCAGCAGTGTTCAAACTGTGATTAAGACATGGAAAATCCAGGGCTCTGTTAAAACCAAACCACAGTCAGGTAGACCAACAAAAATTTCGTCCACAACTGCCAGGAAAATTGATCGGGGTGCAAAGAAAAACCCATAAATAACATCTGCTGAAATACAGGACTCTCTGAAAACTAGCTGTGTAGCTGTTTCAAGATGCACAATAAGGAGGCACTTGAACAAAAATGGTCGCCAGAAGAAAGCCATTATTGTGCAACTGCCACAAAGTATGTCGCCTACAATACGCCAAACAGCACAGAGACAAGCCTTAAACTTCTGGAACAAGGTAATTTGGAGTGATGAGACCAAAATTGAGCTTTTTGGCCACAACCATAAATGTTTCGTTTGGAGAGGTGTCAGCAAGGCCTATAATGAAAGGAACACCATTCCTTCTGTAAAGCACGGAGGTGGATCACTGATGTTTTGGGGATGTGTGAGCTACAAAGGCACAGGAAACTTGGTCAAAGTTGAAGGAAAGATGAATGCAGCACATTATCAGCAAATACTGGAGGAAGAATTGCACTCATCAGCCTGGAGGCTGCGCATGGGACGTACTTGGACGTTCCAACATGACAATGATTCAAAACACAAGGCCAAGTCGATCTGTCATTGGCTACAGCAGAACAGAGTGAAGGTTCTAGAGTGGCCATTTCAGTCTCCTGATCTCAGTATCATTGAGCCACTCTGGGGGAGATCTGAAGTGCGCAGTTCATGCAGGACAGCCCAGGAATTTATAGGAACTGGAGGCTTTTTGTCAAGAAGAATGGGTAGCTTTACCATCTGAGAAAATGAAGAGCCTCATCCACAACTACCATAACAGACTTCAAGCTGTCATTGATGTTAGAGGGGGCGGTACACGGTTTTAAGAACTGGGGTATGTAAACTTTTGATCAGGGTCATTTGAGTGTCTTTTGTTATCATTATGATTTAAAAATAGAAAACACAGTTGTTTATCAATAAATGGCTTCACCCATACACTGACCATGAGTGGAAAAAGAGTTTTTGTGTTATCATTCATTTCATATTCTCTGAAAAAAGGCCAAGAAAGCAAAAATTGTGCTGGAGTATGTAAACTTTTGAGCACAACTGTACATAATTCGTTAGAGTTTTCTTCAGATGAGGTCATGTCTGCTGTATGATGCAGTTAAATCTAAGCCAGTCAGACCCAAAAACTCTCCTTGGTTCAGGTGTATACTCTGCTGAAAGATTTCAGCACTTTGCCACCAGGAAGCTCCTTTATTCTTGCACTACTTGTTGACCCTACACAGATGTGCTCCTCCACCTGCAGTGTATTGATGGTGCCAGTGAGCTGGAGTTTCTCAGAAAACATGTCTCAGTGAACCTTAAGAAAGAGAGGAGAATTTTCCACACTGGGTCATTTTAGACTAATAAAATAGGTCAGTAGTTTGGTAAACCAGATGTACCTTTCAAAGTAGACTGTATGTCATCTGGACTAACCAGACCAGGTTTACCCCCAAAAGATTTCCAAGTACCTAGGCTGATCTAGACCCTGGCCTCCAGTTCTTTGAGTAAACTACATGTCTTATAGTTACTGAGATCTGTAAAGGAGGACAGGTGTAACTAAACATCTGACACACTGAACAGCAGAGAGCAGGTGACAGAGAGACAGACAGAGAAGCCATAGGTATGATGAGGAGCTGAGAAGCTAGTTGCTAACAGCTAAAGAGAGAAAAATCAACACAGGTTAGATATCAGAGGGTGTTTGGTGAATATAAGACTACCATAGGTACTACAGTGAGAGGAGTTCAGAAGAAAAGGAGAAGTTTTTTAATAAAGACAATCAACTTGAGAGATAATCAAGCTAGAACAGCTAGAAGCAACAGAACACATATTACCAGAGCTTGATGGAGGTTTTGCAATATGCTCACATGATGCATCGACATAAACTTGGGTGTTCTTTTCTCAGTGCTCTTGTCGGCAGGACATGGAAAAGATCTCCATGGATGTGTTTGTGCACAAATTTCAACCAGGGCGTTACAAACTATGGAAAGCAGGGAAAGACGACAGTCCCATCGACCACTCCAAACCTACAGTGGAGGCTGCTCATTTCCTGGAAGACGAGACGGGGAGTCCAAAACCTAATCCTGGTGAAAATGGATCAAAGGAGTCAAATACACCTGTCCAGGAGGAAGAAAGGTCTTCTTTTAATTTCACTACTAGAACAACCTTTAAGACTTTCTGCATTAACTGTACTGGGAATCTGACCCATGATTAATCCTTAGAAAAATAATCACCTATTAAATGACAAACGTTCAAACAAATTTGAATCATTAGAGACTTTTGAGTCTGAGATGATTTAGAAGAAAATCCTGATCCACCATGAAGGTACATTACACATAACTTCTTCACCTTATTTTGAGTCAGGTACAGTTTCTGCTGAGTTGAATTTTTTTTCAAGCACATTTCACTCTGAAGTTAATCTTTAAATGAACATATAAAACAAATAACTGACATCTTCAAGGTTAAGTGTTAGAGGTTTGTGAGAATGGTGATGCAGTATAGCCAAGTCATGAACAGTGTTAAACATTTTTCAGAGATATCCTTCACACAAGTCTGCTTCACTTGAATTTGTGGTTTAAAGTGTTCCCTTTAAATACTGCCTGACCAGTAATGTCTCACATGCATCAGTCCTCACAAACATCAGCTTGAAGCTCTGGAAGCCCCGGAGGACTTAAAGCCAGTGCTAACAGTGGAGGAATCAATAATTGTAGAGCCAAAGATGATGGAGGCGACTGTTGAGGGCTCTCTGGTCAAAATCAAGGATGACCCAGATAAAGGTAACACACAGTGTGAAAAAATCATATATTTTTTGGGTTAGTACTAACAGTAAAACCTTTTAGAACTTGGGAGCTATGACCATAACTTTAGAAGACCGTAAGAATGAACAGAAACTTGATATTGGTGAAATTTCTTTGAAAGATAATGAAACTACTGCTTGTGTGTATTAAATAAAAATTACACTGCTGGTCTAGCAGTCAATTACAGAAATTAAGCCTCAAGCATAGTAGGTGTTAATAGCTGTCATAGTAGCTTGAAGTAGGTGTTCTCATTTAGACTACCTTATGTGGCTCCAGGAAGTCAGTGTGAAGAACTAATGTGGCAGGTTTAGTGCTACATTTTTAGAAAAGCTACTTTTTCTAGTTGAACCAGAGCACATGAAGGCATACTTTGGGACAATCAAGTGAAACTGGCTGTTGGTGTATTATTCTAGTGAAAGAGACTTACCAAGCTATCTCTTAAAGGGATATTCCGGTGCAAATTTAAGTTATGGTCAAACACACTTTAACATCGAGTTAGACACCCCCTCGAGAGATGAATGTTGCAGACTGCTTGCTTCTCTAGTTATACCAACTTAAACAACGACCGCGCGATAGCCACTCTATAGCCACAAATAATGCTCAGAACAGCACGAACTTCATCAACAGTACATATAGGGTCCCAGCCATAGCACTAGCCACCAAACATCTTTTTAGCTTTGCCTGATTTCTTTAACAAAGAGACTAAACACAACTCACCCACTCTCTTCCAGCAGCCGCTTGTTTGTGGGGGAGCCCTGACGAGTCAATCACTGAATGCAGCAGATCATTTCCTTGAAGTAATAATCACCATATTAATCATTTTGCACTGCAGACACGGTAGTTCTTCTGCCTTAGTGTCTCGGTCTGATCGCATTTCCATGAAGTAAAAATCATAAATGTTCCTCCTTGAGCTGCAAAACTCTGCTGCACTCGGCGATCAACTTGTCAGGGCTCCCCCACAAACAAGTGGCTGCTGGAGGAGAGTGGATAACTTGTGTTTGATCCCTTTGCTAAAGAAACCAGGCAAAGCTAAAAAGATGTTTGGTGGCTAGTACTATGGCTGGGGCCCTATATGTACTGTTGATGAAGTTAGGTGCTGTTCTTAGCATTATTTGTGGCTATAGAGTGGCTTTTTGGTTGATGTTTGTGTGGGGTTCCATAGATCATTGTGTATTGCTATCGTGCGGTTGTTACTAAAGTTGGTATAACTAGAGAAGCAAGTGGTCGGCAACATTCATCTCTCGAGGGGGTGTTCTAACTCGGTGGTTACGGTGTGTTTGACCATAACTTAATTTTACGCCGGAATATCCCTTTAAGTCATCATCCTGCAATTGGCTTTAGACGATCCAGTAACATCAACACTTAACATGGTGTATATCATCGTTGTTCTTTTCTTTCAGACACAGTAACAGTCAAGAGGAAGCTGAAGCTGAAGCTGGACAAAGACAAGAGGCTGCAGAATATATCTAACCTCAGAGTCAGCACAAAAAAAAGCTTCAATAGACGAAGTTCTCCAAATAAAGAGAAGAACAGCACGTCAACTGTTGATGCCTCTGAGGAACCAGTGTTTGCTCAGTGCTCTGAGAAGGCAAACATTAGCGAGGAGCTCAAGCTCAGCACCAGTTGCAGCAAGGCACGAAACTTGTTTCAGAGGACTATGAGTCCTGCAGATGTCCTTCACGTTCACAGCTACGCCAAAGGAGACTACGGAGAGGGAGAGGCCCCAACTAAAGAAGAGAGGGAGAATGAGGGCAGTGATTGTGAGATGGAGAGAGAACACAAACATATTTGCAAAACTGTGAGTGAACATACAGGTGGTTGCATTTGATGTGTAGCTGCAGATGTTCAATGGTCCTAAACAGTGGTGTTTTCAGAAGCCTTGCAGGACTTAGGAGAGTTTTCTTAGAGCAGCTTTTACACAAACACAGTGACATCCAAGTGTCAAATTAATTCTATAATCAAGTGAATCTAAAAAAAACAGAGGACATTAACAAAAACAAGAACAAAATCGATGACCAATTAAAGGATCAGTCTGCTGGAAAGGGAAAACCTCAGCTGTATTCAGTCTTCAGATTGAGAGTGGACTCGTGATCAACATTGTCAGTAGGGCCATGGGAAAAACACACCGAGTCACTATTGTTATCCTGTGGATTTTTTCTTATTCCTCTTCCTGACAAATTTCGATTCCCTATTAGTCCTCCAGTCCTACAAGAGGTCAAAACTTGCAGTTTGATCAGGATTAATATGCTGTTTTTTTCTCTATATTATACAGATTTTTTTTGCATTTTTCTCTGTTTTATAAATTAATATTTGAAAAAGGAATGTTTGTAGTAGGTGTGCCCCTTGTATAAAATATCACAATGCTATTTGAAATCTCTAAAGACTCTCATCATAATATTCACACCCCAGCAGTAGATCCCATGGCCCTATCAAAATTTCCCAGAGGGAGTTTTCTAGTTATACTTAATATAATAAAAAGAAGAGAGAAACATTTGTAGAAACAGTCAAATAATGCCACTTTGAAAAGTGGTGATAGTCTCACTGAAAAGTTGATAGTAAGAGGCCAACAGCCTGGATACTGATAATGAGACGTACTGTATCTCCTTCAGCTGGCAGAAGAGGGAGGAGGAGATGGAGAACTGAAACCAGACCTTTGGCAGCTGCCAGGCCACCACCCTCTTATAAAGGATGGCATGAGTGATGAAGGTCTGTCCTATCAACTCGAACTTTTTTGAGTGGGTTGCTTCACCATTAGGATTAGCTGTTAAATATAAATGTTAAAATAAGTAGAAATATGTATCCCCCATTGGTGTCTGACCATTTATGACCATTGCTCTTGTTTGTTTCAGAGGCTCCACAAGAGGCCTTACCAGTTGAGGAGGGGGGCTTAGAAGGGGAAAGCTGGGCAAAACCTCTGGCTTATTTGTGGCAAAGCGGACCCCCCAACTTGAAGAAAGAAAAGGAGTACAACCAGTGCATGGGCTCCAAACCCCCGTACTGTTCTATTTGCATGCTGTTCTACACGTACCAGCAGGTAATATGCATCAATGCTATTCTTCAGTCATAACCAGTTAACTCTGTATGTATGCACACTTACCCCTTTCATGTAGGGTATAAAGTCTGCATTTGATTTATAGCTATGATTTTACAAAACCAAGGGTGAACCAGGTTTTTAAATAAAACTTGCTCTCATCCTCTATCCACTGAAATAACCAGCTGGGTGGAAAGGAAAAGTCACAATTAATAAAAGCTAAAGGAAAGCAGTACAGAACACTTTACTTTGTGTAACTGCGCAACATGTACATGTGGAAGGTTGAGCTGCTAGAGGCATGATTATTACTATTCATGTCATTCCTGAGGGAGCTACTGTATTTATGATTATGGGTGAAAATTCCGATGATATAACAGAAATAGAATAAAGATGGTTTCTCGTAGTGATTAATCTTAGTGATCCAGCGTTAATAGCTGTTGTTTTAAATCTAAAATATCTCACTGCCTTGTTTTTAACATAGGCTTGATTTTTATTGAGCCTTACATATTTGGAAAGGTCTATATATAGCTCTGGTTATATACCTACATTTGAAAGTTGCCCATAATAAAAAAAAGAGTCATAGTAATTAAAATGTATTTATTTAATAATAATTTTGTGTAGTAAAAAGAGAGAAAATCTGCTAAAATACGAACACACCTTCCATAGTATTTAAGGATCACTCTGGTCCCACAGTTAATGTTCTGTTTGTATTTCACCTGGGGTTGACACTCAAACCCACGCACGGTGATGTGGGACCATAGACTGTATTTAGAATTGACGTCGTCTGCCTCCTCACTGGGACAAGCCTCTGTGAGAAGAGCACCCCCTGGTGACTGGTTGCAGTATAGGTCATAAATCCGGCCTCCTCCAGCAAAATGAATGGAGCTGTGGACAAACTTTAAAAATTAATTACACAGAATATACACTTTTCTCCCCCCTGGTTGTGATGTTGACATGTAGTTACTGTAAGACTGGTTTGTGCTCAAGTCCTCTTTTTTTCTGTACAGCTCCATTTTTAAAAGTTATTGGGGGGTTCATGTTTTCTGTGTGTAGAATTCAGAATGGAATATTACTTATTTTAACTCAGTATTTTTTTTTGCTGTCTTTCAGACTGAATGTGCGAACAATCTAGACAGTCCTGTAATGGTGGCTGGTGGGCACATGCGGACAAAGCCGTTGATCCCGGAGACATGTTTCACCACCACAACAGAAGAGGACTCTGACTGTGAGGACCAACAGCTCACACCTCATCTGGAGGAAGATGGAACCAGCCTTCTCATCAGCTGCTCTCAGTGCAACGTTAGGGTCCATACCAGTGAGTACACATTCTTTGAACTCGGATTGTTTTCTCTGAATATCATGATTAGTGTTTTCCAGCCAAACTCTTTCAGCCTTACCTGCCTCGTTTCCTCCCTTTATTTCACTGTGTTCCTTTGGACTTAACTGTCTTACTTTACTTCATACTTTTCTGTAAACAAAACCTTGGACCATCAAGGCAAAAACTAACGGACTTGAAAACAGCTTTGACTCCGAAGCTGTTACTGCGCTAAAACTGCCCAAACCTGAACACTTTCATTCAGAAATGACTCCATACCTTGTGAATTATACTACTTGTTGGTGCAATATCTTGAGATGCAACACAGTTTTTTTGTTGCATCTCGGTGGCTGCAATGGAATTGAGGATTTAATATGTACAAACCAGTATCAACCTGATAACGAAGATTTGAACCAATGTCATGTGTATGATAGAAATAAATTGTCTAGCTGCCCAGTTTGTTGTGGCCCATTGTGCCAAATGCAGCAGGATGTCTCAGTACAGTGCTACTGTCATTTTAAATACCCTAAAAAGACTACTAAGATCTTCACTGTGACACAAGTGTTTCTTTGTGATTGTGTATTTCAGGCTGCTATGGTGTAAATCCAGCTAGTGTGAGTGAAGAGTGGAAATGTGCACGCTGCAGGGCCAATGCCATGACTGAGGTCAGTGTACTCTAATAGTTAGAATTACTCTGTGTGGTGTATGTTTTTGTCTGCAGGACTGAAGCGGTGAACAAAGTGGAGATCAGCATTCAGACCGCCTAAGATCCCACTTTGCTTTTTTTTTTTACCTGCTTCATTCATTTCATCAGTTTAACACTGGCTTACAGTGTGTTTTTTCCAGTGTACTTCTCTTTTTCCACCTTCTCCTCTGTCTGTTTCTCCTCTCTCCCCAATAATATTTTTGTGCGTTAATTTAAATTGAAGAGGTTTTTTTTTTTTAGCAATCTTTTTTCAAGAAAGCAAGAGAGTACAGAACCCCTGAAGGGACATGAAATTTAAAAAAAAAAATAAAATTCTTGAGATTTTTTGCGTACCCTCGCAAAACTATTGCGAGATCTTGCAAATGTTGTCTCACGAGTTATTTATTAATCAGTGTATTACTTCCGGGTCAATTCAACAAAAATATTGGAAGGTACGCAGCCAAGGGAGAGGTTCATTGAATTTTATTTCCAACTAATTTTCTGCCCTCCTTGTCCCTTGGCATGCACATAATGTCCTCATTTGGGACGTCCCTTGACTGTAGGAATTTCAAATCAGGTTTAAAAAAAAACAGTACCTGCATCGCAGAACTGATTTAATGTCTTTTTATCTGAGGCCAATCTCAAAAAAGATGCAATGAACCTATCCCGCAGTTGTGTGCGTTCCATCGTCTGGGTTGGGTTGACATGGAAGAAATACACTGATCTTTAATCTTATTACTTATAACCATTTGAAAACATTACAAGAGCTTGCAAAAGGTCTTGAGAAAATCCTTTTTATTCTTTTTCCTTCGTGTCCCCTTAGGGGCTCCATAAGAAGAATTATTGATTATCTCAGCAACATTTACATTTTGTGCTTTATCAGATGCCCTCTGGTGCAGATAAGGTTGCTGGCAAAATAGATATACCCTAACCCCCTCAGCTGTAATCATAATCCAAACATAATCTAGTGTAGATAGTAATTTCACTCACAGACTGATGGAATAAAAACAGATTTTGATTCAGAGTTCAGAATTAGGAGATCCTGTCTGATAATAAACTGTGGCAGTCTTTGGAGATTTTTACTGTCTCAAGTGTGCAGCTGTGATGGGTAAAGTCTATTTTCTTTTAAGAGGAACTACAACTGTGTTAACGACTATTTTACTTGATTAACAGCAGAAATGTAGTAACATTGCCTTCACTTTACCTTTGGTCAGAACTGCTGTCTGTGTTTGCTGAGAGGCGGAGCTCTGCAGAAAGCAAACAACAACAAGTAAGTCACCACATACATGTGACTGTTTTTATTTGTAATAGGGTTTTATTCTCAAACAAGTCTTTATTCCTACTGCTTCAAGTGTTCTGCTGCTTAAGATTTTTTTTTTTTTAATTTTTAAGGATGGCAGAAACTGAAGTGTGCATGTGAATGTACTGAGTGGTGTTCATGGTCCCACAAATGTAGTATTTCCTAACACAAATGCACTAATGAAAATGAAAAATTATTATCTGACCAATCAGAGTTTCATGATTGTTTTGGACATGTAAACTCATTTGGAGTCTTAGCTGCATTTCTATCAGGTTCCCACAGAAAGCTTATCAGCTTTAGTTTAGCAGGAAGGTGACAGTGATGTTGTCTTTGTGCAGTTCATGATTGTCATTACAGTATTAATAAGTAGCATCAATGTTAATGTCCTAATGATAAAACTTAAGTGACTCTCAGTCTAGGAAGGACCTCTTAATTTGTCAAATTACACAATTTTCAGGTTTGTTAATTTTTCAACACTTAAAACTTCTGTTGTTATAGAATAGAAATGATACACTCTTCAGAGCCATCAATCACACAGCCTCTAAATATTTATGTCTTGGCTTACTATATTCAAAAGTGAATAAGAATGAGGCCCAAGTGCAGTTGATCAATAAAATATTGAATTAATTACTCAAACTTCATATAGTACTTTATATTTGGAGGTCATAATCAAGGCAGCCCAAGTTCAACTCTGACCTGTGGCTTCTTTCCTGCGTGTTATTCCCCACTCTCCCTCTGCCACTTACTTGATCCAGTCCAGTCCTTTCAAGAAGATAAAAACCAAAATAGTAAAAAAAAAAACTTCAAATCTTAATGCAGAGAAGGTGTGAGGGAGAGACAGGAAAAGAAGGTGTGTGCTGTTGAGATTTAAAACAGTCTAGAAAGTGGAGAGGGAGGTCAGCCCACTGTTCATCAGCGTGTCTGGGTTCATGTCTTCCTCTCACCTTTACGTGTTGCAGGTGGGTACATGTGCTGTGTGCCATAGCTGTGTTGGAGGCACGCTTTATCAACATCAGTGAAAGAAGTCCTGTGGATCTAAGTGGAATCCCTTTGCAGAGATTTAAACTGGTGAGTTAGAGCTGATAAAGGATCACAACTTGGATTGAATTTGACTTGTTACTGATGATGACATGACTGGTGGGAGTGACGGTCAGTGTTGGCTAAGAAGTGAGTTTGCGTAAGAAATGTTAACTTGCTGATTTTGAAATTGCATCAATATTTGGTGGACCTTTTTTATTTAGTTGATTTGAGTGTCAGACTCAAGACAACTAGCACTGATGCAGACTCTTGTTTCCCTAATGTTCACTTTGACTTTTCATATGTGGGAGCTGCTCTGAGCACTAACAAGAAGAGGTGGAAGCAGTAAAGTAAAGTTCAGGTTACTGCGTTAAAAATCTCAATGGTCCCTCTTAGGTCAAAATACACCTGATTTCTTCAGATGGATCCATAAAGACAGTAAAAAAAGTGTGATGGATTAAATGTATGTGACAAATAGGTGCAGAGTTATCAGAGCAAGCTTTTAAAGCCTACTTGTTTGCATGGGTGTGTTAGTGAAGGCTAAAATTAGTATCCTGTAGTAAAGTAATGTCAAGTATAACTGTGGTCCTCGGTCGGGCTTCATCTCAAAGGACTGAAGTGTTGACAAATTTCTTTAAAAACCTTACTTCGGATTGATGGAGTCTTTTTCAGAGCCTCCTCTGTTTCCTGAGCCCCTCTGTCCATCTTTTCATCTCTAACAGAAATGTTACTTCTGTAAGAAGAGGATGAAGAAAGCATCTGGCTGCTGTGTACAGTGCTCTCATGGCCGCTGTCCGACTGCCTACCATCCCACCTGTGCCCAGGCTGCTCGAGTTCTCATGCAGCCAGGTGAATGGCCCTTTGTGGTCCATGTTACCTGCTGTAGACACAAAGGCCCCATTCCAATTGAAGTAAGGTGCCAGTGAGGATCTCTGAACCTCTTTTTAAAGGACTTGCTGTGAACTAGAGTTGCCATATTTATAGTTTTTAATCCCTTCATAATTATGTAAGAGTTTAGCATATATTACTGTAGATGTAAGGGGATACAAAATAAGATTATCATCAGATCAGAAACATATACTGTTCTTTATCTTCTCAGCGCAATAAAGCAGCCATGCATGAGCTGACTGTGGGACAGAAGGTGATATGCAAGCACAAGAATGGTCGCTACTACCAGTGTGATGTAGTGCAACTGTCCAAAGACACATTCTACGAAGTCAACTTCGATGATGGTTCCTTCAGTGACAATCTCTTCCCCGAGGACATTGTGGTACAGATCATTTATTTTTATCGAGTTTTGTCATTGAAAACAAAAGTCATACATCTTTCATTTATAGAACTGTAACCCTGTTTTCATCTAATTTTGACTGATGTTAACATGTTAACAGACAGTCTATTTCTTTTAAGGTGGCCCGAGCAGTGTCACTCACAGCTGAAGTACTGAGTTTTATTATAAAGCTACATCCAGAGGTGCTCACTCCTAGCAACAGTTAAGATCCTGTGCAGAACAGATGGGTGTCTTCCATTGGAAAGACACCCATCTGTAGAGAGTAGATAACAATATTGAGGAGATCCAAAATAAAAGAATGATAAATGTTTTGAGAAGAGATGTTAGGGTCGGGTCTAAAAGGCAAGTTGCCAGTTTTAAGTGGGAAGTAACTTTGTCAAGTATTTCAGCATCAACCAGGACAAACTTCTCTTGTGTTTCCTCATTTAAAAACACAGACTTTACACTGTTACAAATGTTAGGCTGAGTGTGAAAGAAATAAGCTCTGTTAAAAAATTAGTTTACTACTGAAGTAGACTGCAAAATCCTCAAATGATGAGTCTGTGCACAAATCAGAAGGTGAATTAAAAACAGGATTTAGTATGCGGTTAATTGTTGACAAGAAAAAAGTTGGATTGTTTGGATTTTCAGTTATTAATTATGAAAAAGATTTTTTTTTTTTTTTGCTTGTTTGTTTGCCCTATCATAAATATACAATTGTCCAGTTGTGAAACTGGGCTTAAAACCATCACTGAAGACCAGGTCCAGGTGGGGTCATTTTAAGACATCATTTAAGCCAATTTTTAGAAAGTCTGACACAAGCATTAATGGCTCTATTAGTTTGCATTAAAACCTATTTTATAGTGAGGTTGGAGTTTATTGTGGACACCAGGAAACCTTTTTTTAAACAAGAGAGGGAGAAAAGGGGACAAACTTCAATGCTAGCTGGAGAGTGGCAGAGATCCCAAGTAACCTGGTGGTGTTTAAACTTGAAGCTCATGCTCACAAACATGAATGGAGCTTTGTAAAAACTAAATATACTTATACAGTCACATACACTCTATCTCAAAGCTTCCTCCCTTGTTGAACTTTCTGAAATGTTAAAACTGGAAAATCAAGCGAGTATAAGTTTGTGTGAAAGTCAGAATTTGGCTTTCACTGTTTCATTGAAGCATGATGGCACCGCCTATGGTTTGCAGAATATCCACATATCCTTTGCTAGCTGTGGAAGTCTGAACTGATATGAAAAGCCTTTAGCTGACTGTGTCAGCTTGATCAAATTCACATGCATCAGCATATGAAACAAAAGCCAAGTGGACTTGTATATCATAGACCTAAACAGCTAATCAGTGCCCTTCAGCAGAGACATATGTTTGTGTTGTGTACATGAGTATTGCTAAAACAAACAGGCTTTCTGATGGCAAAGTGAAGTACGGAATAGGCTTTTAATATAAAGTACATGTACGCTGACATGTTTGTATTGGAATTTCCAAAATTGAGTGAAATTATGTGGTAAAAATTACCTTGTAGTGTTGATGGCTCAGCCTCTGTGCTATTTCTCTGTCTTATTTCTCCCCAAAGAGGTCACGCTGACCAATATTACCAAATGTACTGTTCATGCAGTCAGATCCACGAGATAATTAATGACTTAATATGACCCAAAGTTTTCTTCGCTTTCTTCCTCCTGTTTCAGGTGTCATACCTCTCAACTTCATCACGTGTTAGACATCAGAATCAGCTCTTGAAAAATACAAAAATCAATTAAAGGAAAGTAGAAGTATGAGTGAAATCAGGACAAATGAGAAATTAGAACAGTTAGTACAAAGATAGACATGAGGTCAGGGCAGCTGTGGCTCAGCTTGTGGTAGAGGCAGTCATCTCCACATTGGACAGTCAGGGGTGCCATCCCCGGTCCCACTGTCCACATGCTGAAGTGTCCTTGAGCAAGACACTCAACCCCACCTGTCACCACTGGCTGGTGTGTGAATAGGATCAGTGTATTAAACACAGTTTTTCTTTGACATGAAGGGAAGAGCTGTTGTTGTGAATATCCATCCAGTTTTCCGTTCCTCATGTCAGGGTGCAATAATTCTATTGATTTTTCTCTATGTGTGTGTGCTTGTGCATGTGTGTGTGTTGGTTTTAGAGTCGAGACTGTTGTCAGCTTGGACCCCCTCCGCAGGGTGAAGTGGTTCAAGTGAGATGGACTGATGGTCTGGTGTATGGAGCCAAATTTGTGGCAGCTCATGCGATCCACATGTACTTAGTAAGAGTTCTTTATCTGTCAGAGTCTCCACTGATTATAAATACTGACCACTGGAAGGACTCAAGCTCAACTGAACTGCAGCATCTAAGTTGTTTTGAATTTCTGAAATGTAGGTGGAGTTTGAGGACGGCTCACAGCTTACAGCAAAGAGAGATGATGTTTACACATTAGATGAGGAACTCCCCAAGAGGGTCAAATCCAGATTGGTAAGTACAACCCAACAATTGGATGTGTTAATTCTTCAATAGACACCAAGTTTGAAGGTTGATGTATAATTTGCAAATGACAGAAATGTTACAGTGTTGATATTTGTATTTGTAGTCCAAAGCCTCAGACATGAGATTTGATGGAATCTTTGAAGAGAAGGAGATCATCAAAGCTTCAAAGAGACAGCGAGTGATCAACTCCCGCTACAGAGGGGACTACATCGAGCCTGTGATCTACAGAGCTATTATGGAATAGCCCTCACTTCCTGCCTACCACTCAGCACCAGCACTGACTGACTGGACTGTGATTCAAGGATCTTTCCTGAACTGACTTTTTTTTATAGCCTGGTGTCTGAACTTTATTAAAGTGGACTATGTTTGACTCCCTGGACTGCACTTATGTAAAAAGAGGCCATTTTGTTTTCAATAGGGCTCAACACCCACAGACATACAGCTGTGACGCTTCAATAACAGACATAACTAGACTGAAATTACAATGTGGACACATTAGTAGTATTAAATAGCAACAAACAGTGTATCATCTAAGAATGAGGAGGCTGCCAACTTTCATGTTTAGATACTTCAAAGTCCATTTTATAGAATTTGTAAATGAGTGAATTGTTTAATTGTGAAATATTAAAAACACCCCTTTATTTCAGTTTTCTCCTTTTACTTTTAATTCATCAGATCCTTTCATGAATTATTCACAGAAACCATTCCAACCATGAAGTCCTCTACTGATCCTGCTCAGGTAAAAAGCTTCTATAAGTGGCAGTGTAAACCTGATATTACCAGTCAGAGGCTAAAAATGTAGGATGGAGCAATTGGTAAAGGAGGGGACCATTCAGATCTGCTAAAAGAGAAGATCCGCCTGCAGCTTTTTGATACAAGGTTTTTCCCCTTCTATATAGCTGTCCCCCACAAAAAAAAATCCAGCTGTAAACACAAACATTATTAAAATATTGTGGTTTATTGAAAGATATCCCAGTAGAGGAATGAGATGCTTTTATAATGAATTCATTAGGTACAGCAAAGTCAAAGTAAAGAGGCAGGCACTGAGAGACAAAGCTGCTGTAGTGGTGATCAGACCAGTGTTTATGGTGAGTAAAGAAATTCTGTTAGATCACATAGAAGTTCCAAACATCTAATTTGATTCACATTTCATACAATAGATAGTGAATTCATGCACATTGTACCAAACCTGTGAAACAAGAAAAAGTTTTGACATGTGGAATCACTTATAATAAGAAGTATAATTTACCCCCTATCACTGCGATGGTTTCTGGATTTATGATTTAAGTGGGATGATGAAAAAAACAGGGCTGCCGGTGCGGCTTAAGAACTGTACATGATGAACTGAAATGCTGCCATGCACAGGACGTGTCTTTATGTTGCTATGACAATGAATCTGTTCTCAGAGTAAAATATATTTATCTTCTTTTTAAATATGGTTTGCTGTGTTGGCTGCCCCCTCAGCCCCTCTCTGTTCTGGTCTGCTATCATCTGGTCTGGTCTGGTCTGGTCTGCTATCATCGGGTCTGGTCTGGTCTCCTCCAGTCTGGTCCAGTTCAGAGAAAATCATCATGTTGACATTAATTGCCCTCAGTACAGAAACAACAGCTTCTTTCCTCAAGTGATCACAGCAGTACATTGATAAATGAAATCAGTAAAAAGTCATGATGCTGTGAAAATGTGTAACCTAAAGAGATGTCATTTACTGTATAATTTAATTTAGCTCTGTTCTAAGCTTTATTCTCCTTCAAGGGGGATTCGACCTGAATTTGGTGATGCAAATGCGGACCAAATTTTCACAAATTTCAGTACAACTGATCAGCTCCTTGTCAGGCAACAAAAAAAGTACCATCAAGAGTTGTGCAAGTTACGTGCATTGATTGCACATGGATCAAAAGAAAGTCAATACCCATTTGATCTTGCACTTGTGTCTTTATCCAAAGAGGAGAGGAATAAATGCATCCAAGAGCTAGACAAGATTGGCTGTGCCTTCTGCACAACCTCTCAGTCATAGATCTTAATGGGACAGAGCTGCTGAATGCCAACTATCTTGCTGCTTCTATAACAATTCTGGACATACAGTTTTTGTGTTTTACGTAAGGATTACCATAAAATTAAATTAAAGATACAAGATCTGTTATACAAACCCATCAAAGTTTCATCAACAAGGAAAGAATTTAGTCTGTACAGGAAATACAGTCTCTGCAGGCCCTTTCGGATGTGTTTCAGGTGTGGGTCAAGTTTTTAATCCATCACTGTCTCTGTGAACTTACAAGACTCAACCATCTCCACAAATACCCTCTCCACTGTGGTGAACTACAATGAAACAATAGTACAAATACGTATGGATGCCTCCAAGGCGAGATCTTGTCTGTAAGGAGAGCTGTATTTAAGCTTTACATTTGAATTTTTTTCTTCCTTGAGCTTGTCAAAATCAAAGCAGTAGACATCATTCCATCCCCTTGCTTGTCAGCTTTGTCAAAAGATTTTTGAAAACAGACACAAAAACAAATTCCCGTCTTTATTACCTCAAAAAAAGAGACACTTCTCAACTCTGTTGCTCTGCAGTTGCCTTATCTCCCAGTCGTTTGCTAAAGTCTAACATTTGTTTGTGTAGAAGTTTGCTGACACTCCTTAGTTGTTGATTCCTGTGTCCCAGGTGGTCTAACAAGTCGGTGAAAGACCTCAACAAAACTCCATCACCGTCCTGGCAGTCCTGAATTAACAGTAAGTCCTCCCTCAATGCTGCTTGTAGGCTTTCATACAAGGCTGTCCTCTTCTGTTTAAACTGCTGGGCCTCCTGCCAGTACCTGTCTTTGTCTCTCCTGGCTCCGTCAACATCCTCTGTCATCTGTCTGATACAGAGATGCAGCCTGCTGTTCTCCATGCGGACCTGCTCCAGCATCACTCCATTGTTATAGATGTCTGTCTCCACAGCTAGCAGCTCTGACGCCTGTTTGTCAAGCAAGTCCATGTGATTGGCTCGCAGCTTCTCCAGTTCAGCCTTCATCTCCTCTTTTGGCTGAAGAAGTGTGCTGGTTTTGTCCTGCAGGCTCTTAATCAACAGTTCCAGATGGCTCTCTTGCCTCCTGAGCTCTGAGATAAAGGTTTCCAGCTTCTGGTACCTGCAGTGCTCTTCATTCGCCTTTGCCTCCACCTCTTTCAGCAACTCCTCCTTCTGCTCCACCTCCCTCTGCTTCTCCCTGTTGCTCCTCGTGATGTTCTCAGTCACTGTGATGCACTGCTGTATTTCCTCATGGCACCTGGTCTCTCTCTGTCGGTGCTCCACCTTAGACTGATCCATATAACTCCTCAGCAAGTCTTCATCCACACTCTTGGGCTGTCGCTGATGTAGCGCAGCCTCCTCTTGACTTAGCTCTTCGTATCTTCTCCAGGTGCTGCTGATATCACTTTTAAGTTTTTGCATGTGCTCCTTTTGCACCTTCTTAGCCTCCTCGAGGAGCTTTGTTAGCTGTTTCTTCTCTTCCTCATACTGGCTGATGTTCTTCTTTTCTGTGTCCACATTACCGCAGATCTCTTCTTGATTTCTCTCAAACATGTGTTTATTCATCTTAGAAGCTTCCTGGAGTTCTTGGATCTGCCTGGCCATCTCTCTGATTTCCTGGTTGTGTTTGATGATGGAGGCGATGCGCTCCTCCAGCTGCAGCTTGGACTGCTCCAGCTTCTGTGAGATGTGTAGATGCTCAGCCTTAACGTCACTCTCTTCCTCCTGCTGACGCTTTAATTTCTCACACATTTGTGCCCATGAGTCTTGATGGCGCATCCCAGATGCCCGCTCTTGCTTGATTTTATCTTCAACTGAGGCAATTTCCTCTTTAAGACTTTGGATGGCAGCTCTGAAATCTTCTTTTAAGTCATTTAATTTCTCCTTTAACATGTCTTTCTGATCCCTTAACTCTTGCTGCTTCTGTATCTCCCCCTCCAGCTGTTTCTCACACTGGCACCGTGACTCTGCCAGTCTTTGCATGTTGCTCTCTAGCATGGCCAGGTCACTTGTGAGCTGATCCAGATGTGCTATACTCTTCACTTTCTTATCATTAACTCTGTTTAACTCTCTTCTGCACTTACTAATAGTTTGTTTCTGCTGCTTTATTTTCTCCACAACCTGGTTCTTTTCCTTTGACAGGCAGCCTTTCTTGACAGAGGAAGCCTCTCTTTCAAGCTCCATGTTTTGCTGTAGGGCTCTAATGTCCTGTTTGACTGCATCTATGGAGAACTTCAGCTCCTGTGTCTTCTCCTGTGTCTGATCTATCTGATTCTGCAGGCTGTACTTGAAGGTGATTTGATCATTCAGAGCTCGCACCATCTCCTCATGTCCAGCCATCACCTGCTCTCGCTCAGGTAACAGTGCTTCATTGTGGCACGAAAGAGCTTCCTGTCTCTTCATGGTGCTCTCTTGAAGCTGAGATACTGAGCAGAGGTCTTGATGCAGCTGTTGTATCTCATTCGCATTGGATGCTCGAGCTGCTGCAACATCGGCTATAATGTCTTGGATCATTCTTTCTCTTGTGATGTTAATTTGCTGCCTGAGCTTGCTGTTTTCTATGGTTTCCACCTCTAAATGTTCATGAGTGGCCCGTCGGTCTGCCTCCAGTTCACTAATAGCAGCTGTGATCTCTAACAGATGCAGGCTGGCCTCTGGTGAGAATGGTACTCCGTCCTCTTTCAGCTGCTTGTCCAGCTTCTTTATGTGCTCCAGAGCGACCATGACAGCCGGGAAGTCAGGAACAAGGCATGATGAGGCCATTTTTTCCGTGCAATGACTGCTCAAATAGGCTACTTGGTAGCAGTTAACAGTTTTCTTCAAATGTTTACTTTGAGTGAGGTCGCCATGACAACAGTTACCCAGCAACAACGAAGACGCCATGCTACGGGAAGTCTGCGAGGTCAGTTCGTCCCTAACTGTGGCTTTTCGTAAACTAATCGCCAACGGGGCCGGCTGTACGCTGGAGCAACGCTCCCTCAAACAAATGCCCCCCATCACATTTTTAATAGTGGAAAATCCGCCGAAAAAGCACAAGTTAATTATCAGCCCCCCTTTATCTCCGTGCAGCGTGTGTCTTCACCCTGCAATCAGAGATCGCCGTCCCTCCCTCCCTATCAGTAAACATCCAATCACTGTTCAGTATGCAAATGAGCTAAGATGCACGGACCCAGAGCAGTGGATTAAACAGAGTGGCGACAACTTCAGATCTCGCCGCCAGAGCGGTCACGTGGTTCATATACCCCTCCATAGTTCCAAGCGCAGCCTGCACTGTCCATGCTCTTCAACGGGACAGACTGTAGTGAGCGCGCATTTAAGAGGTAAATATTAAAATTAACCGTAAAAAGTCAACATTTGCAACTCTTATTGGATTACTGTGTACACGTCAAAATCACGTACGTGTATTTAGTGGCTGGGTGACACATAAAAGTGAAATAAGACAAGTTTGGTAACAGGTGTTACTTTTTAATAAGAGAAAATATTACAATAAAGTGGCAAGTAACAGATGTTAAAAGCTGTTTAAAAAATTGTGCAATGTTTTGGTCTTGCAGCATGGCCTGCATAACATTTTTCCATGTTTAATCCACTGCTCTGCTTTGATGTTGACTAAAACCACAGAAAATTACACAACTTTAACCCGGAAACGCCATAAAATCTCAACTTTTTACCTGATTAATGCATTCAAAGTTATTTTTAACATATTTTTTTTACCTACCTTGAGGTATATTTGAGATTAATGTTTGACAGAAATGTAGAGTTCTTCAACACAGAGGCGTACTGCATTTATTTGAGGATAAAACTGCTCTTGTTTCCTGAATTAACAAGAATTATATCTCAGAATTAACTAAAACATTTTCGGGGGGAAAAAGTTCTTTTTTCATATAGTTAACGAAAATAATCATGTTAGAATTAAAAGATGAACTTCAATTTGTAAAAGAAAACATTCTTCCCAGTTTTTCTGTGTTCAAAGATTGGTGTCTTAGCTTTAAAGGAATATTCAGAATAAAAATAATATCCCTTTTTCTCTAAAATAATGACATAAAGCAGCCTTATTTGTTTTTATGATCTGGATATAGCACACACCATGTAAAATTTTAGCACACGGGTGTCTAAATTCAGGTGAAAACTGCAAACATAGGTAGGGACAAAAGCGATATTTAGGATTGATACCACTGAAACACAGAGGAAAACCAAATGATCATAAAGATTTATTTTGAGTTCTTTAAAAAAATAATCAAACAATTCATTTCCAATTCACTGTAGTGTGTGATCAGCACAGCAGATTTGTTACACTAGATAAAACTATTTTACGACTGTGTACATTATTTTTTTTATGAAGATACAATATTTCAGCACATCTTTTCAATAGCATTGTATTCGTGGTCCAGGTGATACATCCGTCCGTACAGACAGGCGGTCACCAGTCCAGCAGTCATGTCTGAGTGTTTTAAAGTCACTCTTCCATCTGCAGATTTGTCAAAATGCTTTAATGTTGGTTCCAATACTTCCCCTCCATCACAAAGTCCATTTTGGTCTCAGCTTCTTCGACTCCCTGTCCACAGGAGCTTGGGTCCGACCCTGCACAACGGACGAGTGCACACACCTGCAGAAGGAAGGATACAGGTGAGACATGTTGTAAAGGACAGTGTCTATATCCATAAACCCTTTAGTTCATACCTGCAGGGATAGGTCTCCATCCAAAGTGTGCAGCCCAGCAAACGCACCAAATGCATACATCTCCTCACTGTCACCCTGTGAAATTCGCTTGTACTGCAGGTGACAGCAAAAGGAGCCATTGCACACCTTCACCCTACCCTCTTTTTCATTTAGGAGGACAAATGTGAACGGGTCACCAATCATGAATGATGTGAATGTGGCTGATGATGAAGGGATTGAAGATGCATCAGAGCAGCTCTCACTGTGACAGAATCCAGAGTCTGTAACAGGGGATGAAGTGGACTCAGACTCCAATTTCTCCTCCTCTGTGGCCACCCTTTGCCCCGACCACTCTGGGTCTAAGACCGGCACCCTGGCCACCAGCAGCTTGCCCTCCTCTGGGTCTCCCCTCTTTGAGTGATGGTAGATGGATGAAAAAGGTGTGTAGACACCACTCCCAGCCATGTTCTTATTATCATGGCAGAGGTTGGCTGCTAGCAGGGTGACATTGGTGCTTCGGCTTAATGATCAAAGGTACTGGACAGAGTCAAGCAGGGGGAGGGTGTTAAACCAAGCTGTAGGGAAGATCAGCTGACGAACACCCTAAAAGGAGTGGGAAGAGAGTCTGCTTTTAAAAAAGAGATCCGACACAGGGACATAGAGCTAAATACACAATTGTGAGTGGTTTTACCTTTTCCACTAGTGCTATAGTGGGCTTGTAAAATACGATGTCAAAGCATATCAGGAGGCCAAATTTTCCAGCAAAAGGAGTATCAAATGTGATGATCTCAGGCTGTGGTGGAGTGTCAAAGGACTCCTCAGGGAAAAGGTTGTATTTATGGTAGCGTGCCACCAGCAGGCCATCAGACCTAGAAGATAATGAAATTAAGAATTCATGTGTTGATGCATTTGCTGGAGTTTAGCCAGATGTCTCTATTTTAAGATCTCAACCTCACCTACAGGCAATATTGGTGTTGAACTGCCAGCGTCCATCAGATGGACAGGAGGAGGTGGGATCTGTAGACAGGGGGCAGGGCTGCCGGTCAGGCATATTAGCTACAATGTAGATGTTATTCCGACGAGCTCAATGACAGGGTGAACCTGTAAAACAACCATTCTGAAATGTAATTCATGATAACAGACCAGTGTTGGCTGTTCGTGGGTATCTTTAAATCAAGATAGACATCAAACATGAGTGTATATCTGTGCACCTCAGTGTTGTTGTGTTTCTCCGGCTCTGTGCAGGGGTTCCAGCTCTCCTGCTGGGGGTCAGGAATTGTTTCAAGATAACCTACGATGGATGTGCGGATGAAGTTAAACCCATGTAGACCATCTTCTGGAAACACCAGGATCTGGGCACCCTGATAAAGACAAGAGAAGACACGACTGAAAAAACATGCTAGGATTCTGAATGCACAGTCATTTGCTGTCATATACGGTATGACCCTTTTATTGAATAATACACTTACTGGTTACGCAATAGAAAAAACCTGGCACATGGTGGCTCATTGATTTTTAGTAGAGCAATAAGTAACCCTTTTTATGAGTCGTTACTAAGCATTTATAACTTTCCAATAAATCATACCTGCTGAGCGGCTTGTGCAGCCTGCACTTCCAAGTTTTTCTGCATGTGTTGAAGGGCAGCCTGCCGCAACATCGGGACACGAGGGTCTGGGTTGGTGATTAAATTGTGCTCATACACAGCGATGTATGAGGACTCCATTGCTGGCTGTGTTTGACCAGCAGCCACTGTCAAATAGGTACCGAATAGTTTCATGGCGTCACTCGACAGAGACAGAAATGAAGTCAATAAGATCAACTAAGTCTATTATAGCTCTTGAGGGGTCAGGAGTCCAACTCGAGTCTACAGTAATGAGGGGTGAGTCAGCTTTTTTTTTTTTTCCTTTTGTTTGTTTATTTTTTATTTTTTATTTTTGTTTGTAGAGTCACTTGGGAAACCCATTTTGCGAAATGTTAACTGAACATATATACGGACAATTATAGTTGTAACTTCTACATACACCGTGCACATGGAGAAAAAGGTTGTAGTTTTAAAAAACAAGATCTTTATATAACTCTTTTTTTTTTTTTACCATTTTTTTGTCTTTCAGTTTTTGCCTGTAAATATCTTGAGTAAATTTCACAGGCACCTTCATACCTATCTGTGGAAACAAAGTATACAAAAATTGGTTAAAATTGAATGATACTGTGAGGGAGCTGGAAAACCCTCCCCTCACTGAGGTGAAGTCGGTACAATATCTGACTATTCATGGACATGGTTTTTGTTTATTTTATTGTGTTAAACACTGCTAACCTCTCCTCTCTTCGAGGTCACCATCTTGTGGGGGTGTGTCCGCATGGAGTGCACACATGGGGATGCAGCAAACAGGTCCCAGCAGTAGCAAATCAGCTTGTTAGGCTGGGTTAGTGAGCAGAGAAAGGGGGAGGGGTAGAGTTATTTAGTGGGATTTAGCTTTAGTTTGGTCTGTTTTGGGTTATTTAGTTATTTCGGGTTAATTTATATTCATTTATGTTCTTCCTATTAAGTATTAGGGCTATTGTATATCCGGATTAAGTTGTTAGAGGTCAGATTTGCACATACCTATCACTAATCACTGTCATGCAGGTGAGAGAAAGAGGGAGGGGGGAGCAGGTGAGAGAGCCCCACTCAGCTTAAAAGTGGACACACCTGTGTGAGTGGGGAGAGGTGTGGGTGGCTTTTTGCAGCCTGCTACTCAAAGGATGATCATTGTTAAGACTGCTGTGTGTGATCACTTGGATTTATTAAAAATATCAGAGCTCTGAAACCTGCTGTCTGACACCATCCTTTTTTCCTCATGCTGGATATCTTCACTACCGCTTGGTTCCATTCCGTTTAGAGGTTTTATGACCATCAAAACCTTACATGTGGTGTCAGAAGTGGGATCTGACGCAATCAGAGTGAAGAGTTTCAGCTTTGAGGACAGACAGCATGGGACCAAAAACTCAAGCCAAAACTCCAAGGAGAGAAGCTGTTGAGGATTGCCCGGATGAGGGTGCAGCAGGAGAGTCCAGAATTCTGAGGCCAAGGGAGGCGCACCAGGGGCCTCCAGAAATGGATTCCATTAACAGCATGTTGCAGCAATGTCTTCACTTTCAGCATGACCTGAGTGAAAGGTGGGAAAAAGAGACAATTAAACAGGACAAGAGGTGGCGCCAAATGCAGATTCAAGTCAACAGCATCAAAGATGAACTGGAGCAGCAGCAGAGGGGAGAAAGCTATCCTCAGCAGAGCATGCCAGGGGCACAGCACGAGGTGGAGGAGCAGGGGGCCCAACCCAGCACCCGCAGTGAGTCAAGGGGTAGGAGCTGGGGGCAGGCAGCAATTCCTCGGCTGGAGGAAGGGGACGATATTGAGCAGTACCTGACCACCGTTGAGCGCCTTGCAGTGGCCTACCAGTGGCCAGAGGATGAGTGGGTCATATGGTTGGTTCCTCATCTGACTGGTAAGGCTCGAGCAGCTTATGTGGCCATGGCTGCAGAGGACACATTGGACTATAAGAGGGTCAAAGAAGCCATCCTTGCCAAGTATGAAATCAACGAGGACATCTATCGGCAGAGGTTTAGAGAACCAGACATCCGACCAAATGAGAGCCCAAAAGAGTTCTACAATCGACTTAAAGACCTCTACAACAAATGGATCCAGCCTGAGAAGAGGACAAAGGACCAGGTGGGAGAGATCTTCATTCTGGAGCAGTTCTACCGTTCCCTTTCCATGGAGCTGAGAGTGTGGGTGAAGGAAAGAGATCCAAAGACTGCACGAGAGGCAGCTCAGCTGGTGGAAACCTTCCTTGCCGCTCGACGGGGGTACAAGAACTACAGATTCGAGTCTCCAAAAAAGTCCAGCCCGGTACGGGGTAAGCCATGCGGGTCCGGGGTTGGTAGTGGTCCTAAGGAAATAGAACCAGTTAGACCTGTAGAGAAGCCTGTAGCTAATTTTAAACCAAGGTCAACTGCTAAGCCTGTATGCTTTTATTGTGGTCAGGAAGGTCACATTAAACCAGAATGCCCAGCTAGAAAAGCTAAAGCTGCTTATTTCTGCACTGTACCTCGTCCTAATCAGAATGAGAAGGGCATAGTAGTAAAACAGCAGGTCACCACTGTTAAAATTAATGGTAAACCAGCAAATGCTCTACTTGATACTGGCAGCTCCCATACTTTGATCCATCCTTCATTAGTTTCAAAGGAAATTGTCTTAGGAAAGCCAGAACTTGATATATCTTGTGTACATGGACATTGTAAAACTTACCCAACCACAGAGGTGTATCTGGAGGTGGCAGGGCAAACTTACATAGTGTCAGTGGGGGTGATAGAGAGCTTAGCTCATCAGGTCATTTTGGGGCAGGACATTCCAATCCTTCAGGAGTTGGTTCGGGGATGTAGACCAGTTAACATAGTTACTAGGTCACAGAGACAGACTCAGGCTTTGGAGGAGAAGCAAGTGAGTGGGAACCAGCCAGAACCAGATGTAGAGGAGCAAGTCCCCCAGCCAACATTGCAGAGTGAGACAGATGTAGGGTGTCCACAGTCCATAGCTGAGGAGGATTTCAGGGCCCTCTCAGAGTTTCCTTTCTTTAATGAGGACTTTTTAGATAGTTCTGTTAAAGTAAGGAAAAGTCGTAGGCAGAGAAGACTAGAGAAAATGGAAGGGACAATTAGATCAGGTTCAGGGCTGGCAGAGCTAGAGCCTAGGGGTGAAGACACAGGTAGTAAATTCTTACAGCAGCAAGAACAGGATGAATCATTGCAGGATTTCTTTCAGCAAGCAAAAGTAGTGCAGCCGGGGCAGGTAGCAGGGATGGGTTTTTTCCTCAGGGGCCAGGTACTGTACTACAAGGCTGATCTAGATGACAGGGAAAGGTTAGTGGTTCCACAGGGACATCGGGAGCAGGTGCTTAAGCTAGGCCATAGCATTCCATGGGCGGGTCATCTAGGGGCCAAGAAGACATTGGACAGAATTTCCAGTCGGTTTTATTGGCCAGGGTTAAGCTCAGATGTACAAAAGTATTGTCAGACCTGCTCTGTTTGTCAGCTAACAGGGGATAAGAGGGTTCCCAAATACCCATTGCAGCCTCTTCCAGTCATCGATGTCCCATTTAGTCGAATAGCTATGGATATTGTTGGCCCTCTAGAGAGAACACAGTCAGGACATCGCTATATACTTGTAGTCTGTGATTACAGTACCAGATATCCTGAAGCATTTCCACTGAGAGATATTACTGCTAAACAAATAGCATATGCATTGTTGCAGCTTTTCTCGAGAGTAGGCATTCCAACTGAGATAATAACAGATCAGGGCACAAACTTTCTTTCAAATACACTGAAACAGGTGTATAGGCTCTTAGGTATTAGGAGTATTCGGACCACCCCTTACCACCCACAGACCGATGGCCTGGTGGAGAGATACAACCGAACTCTCAAAAGCATGCTGAAAAAGTTCATCTCCACTAACGCAAAAGACTGGGATAAGTGGCTCCCGTATCTCCTTTTTGCCTACAGGGAGGTGCCCCAAGCATCAACCGGTTTTTCACCGTTCGAGCTCCTCTATGGAAGGCAGGTGAGGGGTCCCCTTGATGTGCTACAGGAATCCTGGGTGGCACCCCAGGAGAAGAAAACAGGTCTGCTGACATTTGTACTGGAAATGAGAGAGAAGATGGAACAGACTACAAATCTGGTGAGAAAAAACATGATGAAGGCACAAAAAGGACAACAAACCTGGTACGACAGGGCGGCCAGAGAGAGATCATTCAACCCAGGGCAAAAGGTACTGCTTTTACTTCCAACAGTGGAGAACAAGCTGCTGGCAAAATGGCAGGGTCCATATACTGTGCAGAGGAAGCTAAGTCAAACAATTTATGAGATTGAGGTACCAGAGAGGAGAAATCCAAAGCAGACTTTCCATATTAATCTGCTGAAGGAGTGGAAAACCCGGGAAAATCCACCCCAACAGCAGTTTTTTGTTCGAAATGTGGAAGAGGAAGATGATGTTGTTGGTGAGTTTACTCCTACCTGTCAGAGCTCTGCATCCCTTGACCTCTCTCATCTCTCCCCAACCCAGCAGCAGGAGCTACAAGCCATTGTGCCACCAGACCTGTTTCAGGAGAGACCGGGGGCGACGAATCTGGTGGAACACGACATCCGCCTGAAAAACAGTACCCCTATTCGGCAAAAGATGTATCGCATTCCACACAAGTTGATCCCAGTGTTAGAGGAGGAGGTGGCAGTCATGCTGGAGCTGGGAGTGATTGAGCCCTCGACCAGTGAATGGAGCAGTCCTATTGTGCTGGTAATCAAGAAAGATGGGAGCATCAGGTTCTGCATCGACTTCCGGAAGGTGAATGCACAATCTGAGTTTGACGCCTATCCTTTGCCCAGACTGGATGACCTCATTGAACGGGTAGGCCAAGCCAAGTTCATAACTACCCTGGATCTCTGTAAAGGCTATTGGCAGGTGCCACTGTCTGATGCTGCTAAGCCTCTCACTGCCTTCAGAACACCTCAGGGACTCTGGCAGTTCACCAAGATGCCGTTTGGTCTCCACGGCGCCCCAGCGACCTTCCAGAGGTTGATGAATCAAGTGCTGGTGGGTATGGAGTCCTATGCAGCAGCTTACCTGGATGATATTGTTATTTACAGTACCTCCTGGAGGGACCATCTGAGCCATCTGCAGGTCGTGCTGGGGAAAATCAAGGAGGCAGGCCTTACTATCAACCCTAAGAAATGTGCAGTGGCTAAGCAGGAGACACAGTACCTGGGCTACATCCTTGGGGGCGGAGTCATCAAGCCTGTACAGGATAAGGTGGAGGCGATCCGGGCAAGGGAGAGGCCGACAACCAGGAAGCAGGTGAAGTCCTTCTTGGGTCTGGTCGGCTGGTACCGGCGTTTTATCCGGGATTTCTCTGCCAGGGCGGCCCCTTTAACAGACCTCACAAGCACAGCAAAAACCAAGGTGGTGTGGGGTGACGAGCAGGAGAAGGCCTTTCAAGACCTCAAAGAAGCTCTGTGCCAGGACCCTGTGCTGCAGAGCCCAAACTTCATCTTACCCTTCACAGTTCAGACAGACGCATCACAGCGGGGGATAGGAGGAGTCCTTCTACAAGGGGATGGAGAGGGGAGGAAACCAGTGGCCTACATCAGCAGGAAGCTTTTTCCCCGGGAGACCAGATACTCGGCGGTGGAGCTGGAGTGTTTGGCCATTAAGTGGGCCATCGACACCTTCAAATACTACCTGATGGGAAGAGAGTTCAAGCTGGAAACCGACCACCGAGCACTGCAATGGCTGGAGAAGATGAGGGACACCAACAGTCGCATCACCAGGTGGTTTCTGTCCCTGCAACCGTATCGGTTCTCCATCCACTACATGCCAGGGAAACAGAACACAGTGGCAGACTTCTTGTCTCGCAACCAGGTTGGCGAGCCTGCCGGAGGGGAGGAGAAGTGTGAGGGAGCTGGAAAACCCTCCCCTCACTGAGGTGAAGTCGGTACAATATCTGACTATTCATGGACATGGTTTTTGTTTATTTTATTGTGTTAAACACTGCTAACCTCTCCTCTCTTCGAGGTCACCATCTTGTGGGGGCGTGTCCGCATGGAGTGCACACATGGGGATGCAGCAAACAGGTCCCAGCAGTAGCAAATCAGCTTGTTAGGCTGGGTTAGTGAGCAGAGAAAGGGGGAGGGGTAGAGTTATTTAGTGGGATTTAGCTTTAGTTTGGTCTGTTTTGGGTTATTTAGTTATTTCGGGTTAATTTATATTCATTTATGTTCTTCCTATTAAGTATTAGGGCTATTGTATATCCGGATTAAGTTGTTAGAGGTCAGATTTGCACATACCTATCACTAATCACTGTCATGCAGGTGAGAGAAAGAGGGAGGGGGGAGCAGGTGAGAGAGCCCCACTCAGCTTAAAAGTGGACACACCTGTGTGAGTGGGGAGAGGTGTGGGTGGCTTTCTGCAGCCTGCTACTCAAAGGATGATCATTGTTAAGACTGCTGTGTGTGATCACTTGGATTTATTAAAAATATCAGAGCTCTGAAACCTGCTGTCTGACACCATCCTTTTTTCCTCATGCTGGATATCTTCACTACCGCTTGGTTCCATTCCGTTTAGAGGTTTTGTGACCATCAAAACCTTACAGATACCATGAATCATTATTGGTTAATGAAAGCTGACAAGGGCAAAAACTTTGTTTGGGCTCATCATTCAGAGCAACCTATTTTCCAAACCCTCCAGAAACCTCACCATCAAAGACAGGACTAAAAAATTATAGGATATACTACTACACTCTTCAAAGGTTATATTGATTGAAAAAAAAAAAAAAAAAGCACAGAACGCAGTTCCATCTTTGCAAAACATTTTAATTCAACATCAGTTTCACCTGCAAGTAAAGCAAGTTCATAAAGTTTGATGGATATCATAAGTCAATGTTTCTGACCTCTGGGTAGTCAGTTTTAGCAACCAGGCTAAAATTAAAAAATAACTCCACACTATGGTGGAGAAAACAGAAACACTGCAGAGTATTTCCTGGGTAGAAAATAATGATGTGCTGTTTTACATTTGGCACTTTGGTTATTTAATGTTGCGTAATATGCGGCGAGCATGACTGTTTTTTATGGCGGCCAGAGCGACCTCTAGTGTGGAGATAAGGTGGAGGAGGGTGCTTGGGTCTGTCTGGAGAATTCTGCTGTTGTGATCAGTGCTGTTACTGTCCTTCGTCAGGAGCAGGCGCATGGTCAACCTTGGGACAACCTGATGCCGGACTGAACGACTCCCCAACTGGTGGGAAAGAGTTAGTGAATGTGTACAAAATGACAAAGAAAAAAAGAGAGAAAAAAAAATCTCTGTTTTTACGGACAATAAACAATACAAAGTGACCTTCAGGAGAGCAGTACATGTGGGAAAAAGTGGTTCAAACGTAGGACTTCTGAATCAGCCAGTGTAGTTTTGCTGTCTTTCCTCTTGCCCTACAACAAATCTACAAACCAAGAGGTTCTAACAGCAAAAGCTAGTCACTGACTGACGTTTCAATGTTGGTTGTTCAGAGACTTAAATACCTTAAATGATGTTTCCACAAAAACACAACACATTTCTGAAAATAACCTGCAAACATGTTCTTGTAGTTTATGCATTATTCATTATCATCAACACTTGTTCACTGTAAAACTATAAAACCCTCTAGCAAACACACATGCACAAAGGTTAGAACTGCACCTGAACATCCAGTCTCCATTCCAGGTTGTGATACGCAGGAATATTTGTAGGTAGCTGGCTAAGGACACAGCGGATCTGACTGTGGTGCTGCAGGTAGAGCTGCAATGAAAACTCACCATCAACTAACTCAGAACATACTCACTGTATTAGAACAGTTGACATGGAAATATCCATTAAAAAAAATTGTCACCTGTAAGAGCAGCTGATTGAGCTCTTCACCAAACCCCAAAACCAACACAGAGTCCAGGAAATCCACTTCACAGATCTACAAACATGCAAACAAAGATGCAACTATCAGTTGTCAGACTGCTATATTTTATGTACCTCATAGTAAAGGAAAAATCTGTCTCAAAAAGTTTAGGTATTTAATTTATACAATGCCATGGTGTACACTGAAAAGGGATTTATACAACTGGATCTGTCACTGTTACATGTTAAATATGTGCTGAAAACTTTGAAATAATGTCAGATAGTTTACATTATTTATATAGGCTGGGCAAAATGGATGTTACTCCTACAGATTCTAAGAAACAGGGTTTGCAGAAAATTTTTATCCCATTATTCAGTGAAATGATGCAAAGACAACATATCAAATGCTGAAACTAAAAAATGACATTATCTTATATGCATATTTTACATTTGATGTAAAAAGTTTCCCAAACTTAACCCGAACCCTGAACTGAAAAATGCTAGTGCTAAAAAAAGAACACCTGGATTCAGGTAAATTTGCCACAGGTAACAGACTGAGTTTCTTCTAAGTAAAGATGGGGAGAGGTTCCCAACTCTGAACTGTTTGCTGAGGCAGTCTTTCACAAACATTTCAAAATAATGTTCTGTAATAATCATAAACAAGATGAACTGGGCTAAAAACCACTACCTAATGACAACGGTCTTCAGGCCCTCAGGCAGCACTGCATCAAAAAAAGACATGACTCTGGAGTTGAAATCACTACTGCTTCCACAAATGAGGATAAAACTAACTGAACCATGCAAAGAGGAACCTGGAGTATGAAGATGATTTCAAAATACCAGCAAGTTCGCCAGACCTCAGCCCACTTTGATGAACTGAGGTGAAAAGAAACACTGTCTTGTGGTCTTTCAAATGGAAGTTTGACATGCTTTTTGGAACTCACAGAGGCTACATCCTCAGCTCAAAGACTGGAGGGACCACCTGGTCTGTTATCAGCACATAGAACAAAATCCAGCATCTGTGATGGTGTGGAAATGCATTAGTGCTCATGGCACAGATAGTGTCCTCATCTGTGAAGGCTCCATTAATGTTGAACAAAATACAGGTTTAGGAGCATCCACACAATGTCTTTTTAAAGGCTATGCATATTTTAGCGAAACAATGCTAAATCAGATTCTGCACATACAGCAGGAGAGCCCAGGTGCAAACTGGCCTGTGAGCAGTCAAGACTCGTCATCTAATGAAAACATTTGTTGTATCATGAAACAAAGAATGCTGAAATCATATATCAGACAACAAAGGGAAAACATTTCATTTTTTAAAATCCACAGACACTACTCCCCTAATTTCCGGTACATTTACAGAGTTGGAAAATAAAAAGCTGTTGCAACTTATGGTAACCATGCCTCTGTCCCAGTTTTTCTTTTTTTTTTTAAAGTGTCTAGTTGGCCCACCCAGTGAGCTAATCACACTGGTTTAGACAAACATCAATCAGACTGATGTCAACAGGTCTACAAAGCCAGCAGAGCATTATTTTGGAGGAGGAATCACCACTGATTTGTAGATAAAACTAAAGCCAATAAGTCTGGCTGCGGGCCAGTAGAACATGTAGAAAAATCAGATCCAATTTTGGTATTGCTCGATAGATTGATAATGTCTTATATCTTAATTCCCAAGAAAACTATTGTTTCACATATACATGACCAGTCATACCTTAGTTTCACCATATGACATGTTATCTTTGCACTATTTTCAACAAAAAAAAGTTTAAACAGATGAAAACAATCAAATTCTATTTTCAATGAGCATTTTACACAGTACCACATCTACTTTGGTAAAAGGCCTGTATCATTGTGGTTAAAAAACATTGTTTTCAGCAATAAGTATGTTGGGTGCATCAAAGATTATTTTTTCCCCCAGAGAAAACACTGTGGGCCAAATAAAATTAAGGCATCTATGAGAACAGGGACAAGTCAATGTTACCAAACCAAAACAAAAGCCAAAGCAGTGTTAAAGTTAATATGCAAATTTAGGCTTTCAACCAACAGACAATCTTTTTAGGTATGCACAAACTGTAAGTCTTACCAGGGTACTGTTTTGAAATAATCGAGAGTGGAAATTTTAAAAAAAATGCCTTTCACAAACAAGGTGTACTGCAAAATGAAAGTTGTTGGAAAGAGACACTAAAACGTCTTTAGCAGGTGTGTGTATACAGAATTGTGTGGTTGTTTTCCCATTAATATGCAGGATGTTTTTCTCTGAAAACATACTCCTTTACCCATGACACGATGCATTAAGTGTTGTGTTACTAAACCAATCTAATCTAAAATAACCAATTTTAGAAGCTTGAAAATTCAGAGTAGTCAAGAATTTACAGTAGCGTTACTTTAAATTTGATGTAGAGTATATTAGTTTTTATGAACCATGTGTAGCACATGTAGGAAAAAGTTCAAAGTTTGTGTAAATCACCATGTGTTTGGAGCTCTCTGTCATCAGAAACATCAGGCCTTCCACTCCATGCTGCACCATTTCCACAGGCACACACAGCTTTCCTGTAAGCAGTCAGTAATTGTGGTTTTAATTGCAAGTCTTGGAAAGAAAAACTTTTAAGACAGTGTGAAAGATTTGAAAGCACCTGGTGTGCAAGTGTATATTCACTCCATACTGTGTTTATCCATTGCAGGGTATGTGATTTTATTCTGTCACACTATTTGCTGCGTTCTTCACAACCTCCTGCCTCAACTTATCAGGCCACACCTGAGGAATCATAAGGCCATGCTCAGTTTTTGCTTATCTGTCAAGCATGTTGACCCGCATACCATGCTTACCAATATTTCTTGTTGACCATGCACTAGATGGATTATTTGTGTCACTACTGTGTATTTGTAGAAGTTAATCCTGTATCTTTGTTAAAATACGGATTTAGTTTTTGTTTGTCTTTAAGCCACAAATGATCTAAACACTATTTGATACAATAAATGGGGGGAAAACTCTACCTTGGTCCTCATACATTGACTGGTTTGCTATTGCAGAGGCTTTAAGGCTAACCCAGCCACCAAGAAACACTCTTTTGCATGATCCTGCACGCTGTAATGGGCATGAATCAGATAGAGCATGGCAAAAATCAGTGCCATTATATTTCAAAGATAATGAGTACTATCAGGCCTCTTCCCCACCCCACTTAGCCCAAGGACACTTTAATGTAAATTAACAAACAAATGAACAATACTTGAGTCCACCCACCATGCATGAACAATTAAATACATAAGGAATATGGTCAAGACGTTAGTCAGTCAACAAGGTGCCAGAGAGAGGCAAAAAGCATACAGATACAGACTCCACCTTTGAGGCTAGCTCAGCTACCAAATGTCCTTTACACTATTCATGTCACAACAATAGATCCTGGTACTTTGAATAAAAAGGCTTTAATATCAATCCACAGAAAGAGGAGCTCTGTTTCAAGGCCACTGCATAACTGGTAACCTTCAACGTGAATCAACTGTCTAACTTTGTTAGATCCATTCAGCTCACAAAAGTTAATATAGTCAACAGTCAAAACTGTCCAGGAATTGTCATGTAATTCCCCCCAAAGCTTTGAGTTGTAGTAATTTTAGAGGCTGCATTTTGTGATACTGTAAAAATTAAGGAGAGGTACTACTGTGTGTTTACTATTTTTACAGCGAGTGAGAAGAGAACTACTTTAAGTGCAGGTTATCATTACTGGGTTGTTTTATCAAAGAGGAATTTTGGTATAACTACTTATACGACAACCAGTTCAGAAGGAGCATACTGCAGTTTAATACTGCGTTAAAAAGATAAGCAGAAATACCACATTTTGTAATACCCATTAAAAGTTCAGAGGTGCCTGTTCAGTGATTTGAGCAGCAGTATGAGTGTGAGTATGGAAAAAGGTCTTACTGGCTGCTCCCTCATAGATCCTGGAGCTGGTTCCTCTTCGCAAGAACTCAAGTGCTATTCGACCAAACTCTCCAACCACTAAGGGGACGGACGGACGGACAGATGGACAGACAGACAGACAGACAGAAATGCAGGGGTTTTCAAAAAGAAACATTATATTTCATGGGTGTCAAAAGCAACCTATGGTGGAGAGCGACTGTAAAGGCCAACTTTGTCCAGCAACAGTAATTTTTGACAGCTTTACGGATACACTTGGTTGTTTTTTCCATATGAATTACTCTTAAGAAACACAAGTATTTCACACTAGTATAAGTCAGCAGGAACGAGAGCAAGCTTTTAGATAGATAGATAGATACTTTATTAATCCCAGAGGGAAATTCAAAACCTAAAATATATATATATATATATATATATAAAATATATTATTGCATTAGCTACAGGGCACGTCCGGGTAGTGAGGGCATACACACACACATATATATGTGAATATATACAATTCGCATATATATATATACATATATATGTGTGTGTGTGTGTGTGTGTGTGTGTATGCCCTCACTACCCGGACGTGCCCTGTAGAACTGAATTACTTTTTTTTTGAGTGAGTTTCCATCTTATGACAGAGGCTAGCAGCTTCCCATGTTTCCAATCAGCGCTGTCAGTCAGTCAGCTGACAGTCAGCTGTTGCTGAACTGGCTGAGGGAGCACAACTTCGTTAGTTTTATTCACCTGCATGTTTTTATCTGTCGAATCTGTGACATGTCAGTACGTTACCTGCTGCGTCAACCTTAGGCAGGAAGGAGAGATGTTCTTTATGGTCTTCGGACAAAACTAGCAGCATCCTGAACAATCAGAGTACTGTCCATCAAGTAGTCTGAATCAGAAACGAGAAGACTACAGTGCACTCGATCAAAGATAAGACAGCGGCTGCGCAGATCCGCTCGGGGTCCTGCGCCTTATAATGACGTCACGGAACATCACTTTCTAACCGTGATGTGCCTGTCTTCTGTCTCCATTGACAAAATAACCACATCAAATTGGGTTTGGGCCATTATAACATTTAGCTAGGCTGGCTATGTGTTGCAGATATCTGTAATTTAGTTTTGCCTGGTCTGAAAGAACATTTCAGATATTCACAACTACAAGGCTCTCAAGTTTTGAACTAAGCTTGGAGTGAGATTTCCTTGGGGGGGGGGGGGGGGGGGGTATAAGGGGCACAATTAGAAAAAAAAATGTTATTAAATCTTAAAGAATAAAGTTATTATTTGGGAGAATAAAGTCATTAATATCAGTATTAAGTCGTTTAATCTGAATTAAGTGACAAATTGATGAGAAACAACTATGAAACTGATAAGATAAGAAGAACTTTATTGACCCCTGAAAAGAAATTCAATAAAATGATAAAACTGTAGATAAATCACTGCATAAAAAGATAAAACACATGTAAAAACAAAACAATCAAGACATTGACAATGTAGAAAAATACAAAAATATACATGTGTGCAGTAGGACAAACAAAGGTAATTCATATTTTCTCACTCCATCATGTTACCACTAATGAGCTACAATGGCTTTGTAGGTGTCTTCTTTTAATTTATGCAAAGTTTGTAGAAAAGTTCAACATAAAAAAACACCTTTACATATAACATTAAAAACTGATGTATCATTATCAGCAAAAGCATACTGAGTAATGCCAAATCATCCACATTTTCTAACATCTTTTCACTCAAAATGACTTAAGTCTTAAGAAGCTGAATGAATTCTAACTAGAGTTCAACACTTTAACAAAGCACCTTCACAAACACCTTTAGCCTACATTTTTGCATATTTCAATATATGCTTTCTTTGTTTCTTGAACTCCTTTTATTTGATTAGTGTGTAAAATTTAAAAATGACTTTACCTGGACTGTAGCTGTTTGCAACCCTCTACCTCACCCCACACCTCTCAATATGAAAAGGAAGACAGTAGCAGACACGACTGTATACCAGACTCTCTTTGGAGTGCTTTGTGCATCACAAACTGGCCTGTGAGGTTGAAGTTAGCTTATATTCTTTAGTAGTAGATTTAACTGTTCCAATAAGCCTCTTACTCATTCTCCTTGTGAGCTTTCATCATATTGTTGCTCATGCTTAGCAGTGAAATGACTCCAAGTTCTGTCAGTCTGGTTCTGGCTTCTCCTTCCCAGCCTTTATTGGCCTTTGGGTTTCTGGGTGATGGATGCATGATGCTTTCTACTCGCACACTGACACCTGCAGCAGTCAAGGCTCGCCAGGCTCTCTGCTCTGCCACCCTTCCAATTCCAATCACCATGGAAACACCCAGCGCCTCCACTACCTTGCACAGTGTAATGTCACACAGGGCCAGGAGCTTCTCCCGCTCACCCACAGGCAGTTCAGGAGGTGTTAGGTTTTTCCCACTGGCACTCATAAAAATGAGTGGGCATAAGTTGTGCACAAAGCAGTGTTTGAAGAACTTTTCTGGTTCTCCACAAAGTTTCTTGAAAAAACCCCAGAAACGAGCACCACTCACTTCACTCTGAGTGCAAGCGAGTCCTCTGATCTGCCGCTTTGGATGCTCATTAGGAGGATGACCCACTTCCCTGGTGATCTTCAGCCAATCAACAACAGACCTGACTTCACCAAAGGGAACCAGTGGATAGAAAGGTTTTTACAACTTTAAGTGTGGACACTCAAACAAAAATAAGACAGAACAGTATCGAGCAGGAACTTTTGACATATTGTGATGTTGCATGTTGAGGGTGTTGTTGAATGGCTGTGTGGAGTATGTGTAGGGGAGAGTGGGGTAAGATGAGCCATTTTTCATATTTCCGATCACTACATCTAGGCAATCATAGTTTTGTCTCTAACTAGTGTATCTAGTTAGAGACAAAACATTTCACAGCTTCAGCTCCTACAAAATTCAGCTGCACGCATGCTGACGAAGACCAGGAAGAGAGCCCACATCTCACTAATTTTAAAATCTCTGCATTGGCTACCTGTGTCTTTTAGAGTAATAATAACCACTATTATGACTTTATTAGTCCTCTAAGCTAAAATGGTGGACTTTTATGCTAGGGTTTTTGATCTCATGTTGTAGCTCATAGATACCACAATTGATGTATAAAACAAATTTAAATTGATCTTTTTTTTGGTCTGAACCATAGATTGTATATAGAATGGACGCCGCCTGCCTCCTTGCTGGGTGATGCCACTCCAAGAACAGTACCCTCTGTTGACGGGCTGCAGTACAGGTCATAAATCCCGCCTCCGCCAGCAAAGCTTATGGAGCTGTGGACAAACTTTAGAAATTTATTACACAGAACATAAATTTTTCTCCCCCCTGCTTGTGATGTTGACATGTAGTTATAGTAGGACTGGTTTGTGCTAAAGTCCTCTTTTTTTCTGTGAAGCTCCGTTTTTAAAAGTTATTAGGGGGTTCATGTTTTCTATGATTGACACCTGATACAGCCTATGGGCGTTCAGGGATTGTTTAGCTCTCCTGGGGGATACGCTGTTCGAGCCGAGCATCATCACAGCGACTTTCGACGACTGCGCGGCCGAATGCGCGTATCGATACTGCGCAATTAGTACTTGAGCCAAGAACCAAAATTTCACATATCAGCACCACCTGGGTGGGCAAATTCTAGTTGTGATTTTTTTATTGCTATACATCCCTACAATAAGTTTTTATATGATAGACCTTGGTAACTGGTAGCTTTATTGTAGTTATCACTCATTGAAGTAATAGAGTGCAGCTGTTCAAAAATGAAAAATCGCCTTCCTTCAAAATTAGCTTTCTTTCATTTTAACCTCTCATTTAGGTGTGTTTGAACTATTGGCTAGCCATAGAGACTTGTAATAACCCCCTAAGTAGTATTTCAAGTAATTTATCTAATACAGGTGTGTATATATAAGCTTCAATTAGCCAATTGTCAGGTCTAAATCAAGGTCTAAATTAAGGATATTTTTTTACTTACAAGTAGAAGTAAAGTAAATGCAGACTAATAGCATTAGAATAACACAACTTTAATATGACACTGACATATTTTAAATGCAGGAACTCAATATACAATCATCCTGGCTGGTGCAGGGCAAGAAGACATTAGCAACAAAATAAGATCTACTGATGTATACACTCTATACAATCATCTGAGAAAAACTCCAATTCCTATTCAAAGTCCTATTCTTTCCATAAGGAACAGTGACAGCAAATATGACTGACAAGTTTTGGCTTAGTACATAATACTGTCACTGAGTCACGGTGGGTCTGTTAACATAGCTCCCTTTGGTCATCATTTATTAATCAACATCAGTAATCGACATCAGTATCTGTATCTTCTTCTACATCTGAGTCTGCCAGGTGTGCAAGGGGCTCTTCCTCACTGTATTGGTTGGCACAAGTTTGTAATTTGCACAGGTTTGTGCACTTCAGCCCATTGCTGAGACATGTGCAGTCTGGTGGTTTGCATGTCCTCACACACTTGCAGGATAGCAACTGCAAGACCGCATCTGGTGCTGGGGAACCACGCATCCACTGTATTTCCAGCTGCCCTTCGTCATTTATGGTCCACCCATGGTCCTTGGGGCTTGGTACAGATGGCTTGGTATGAAGAGACCGTCTCCAGATAGCAGCCTGGTAGTTGGCACGAATCGGTTGCATTAATACGCAATCCTGACATGGTGGAAGCTGGCTGGACTCAACTTTAGCCAAGGTCCTGCATGAAGGTGGTGATAGTGAAAAGATTGATGTTGTCTTTGACGTTTACAAGGACATGTCAATCAAAAATTCAGAAAGACTTAACAGAGGTGCAGACATGGGGATCCAGTTCAGAAACATTGTTTCTGGCCACAATATTCAGCAGTGGAGGAAACTTCTCTGCAGCCCTGCCAACAAAGCCAGTCTCATCAAGTTCTTGGTGGAGGAATGGAGTTTTTCTCAGATGATTGTATAGAGTGTATACATCAGTAGATCTTATTTTGTTGCTAATGTCTTCTTGCCCTGAACCAGCCAGGATGATTGTATAATGAGTGCCTGCATTTAAAATATATCAGTGTCATATTACAGTTGTGTTATTCTAATGCTATTAGTCTGCATTTACTTTACTTCTACTTGTAAGTAAAAAAATATCCTTAATTTAGACCTTGATTTAGACCTGACAATTGGCTAATTGAAGCTATATATACACACCTGTATTAGATAAATTACTTGAAATACTACTTAGGGGGTTATTACAAGTCTCTATGGCTAGCCAATAGTTCAAACACACCTAAATGAGAGGTTAAAATGAAAGAAAGCTAATTTTGAAGGAAGGCGATTTTTCATTTTTGAACAGCTGCACTCTATTACTTCAATGAGTGATAACTACAATAAAGCTACCAGCTACCAAGGTCTATCATATAAAAACTTATTGTAGGGATGTATAGCAATAAAAAAATCACAACTAGAATTTGTCCACCCAGGTGGTACTGATATGTGAAATTTTGGTTCTTGGCTCAAGTGCTATGATACCTGAAAGAACTGCTCCACCATCAAATTGGGCCACTCCTACTTCATCAACTCATTTAATTAGACACAGGTTTGATTCACTTATAGAAAAGAGCAGTGTGACTCAAATAGAGTATGACTTTTAATGTGCTTTTGACTTTCTGTGTTGCTTTTGGAGTTAAAAATTCGCCTATTGAGGAAAATAACAAAATAAGAAAAAATATAAAAAGCTACCCCTATGAAAAGTCTATCATATTTTAATTTACTTATATTGACCCTAAAAACAATTTAGTATATGTAAGGTTTTGCCCACCCAAGTGGTACCGACATCTGGTCCGGCTCAAGGACTAGCTGTATTGCACTTTCTTTTAAAAACGTGCTGTAATTCGCCGTTGGCTTGCTGCTGCCCCCTCCTTCTCCCTGTTCCCTTTCAGTCGATTCACTCGGTACAACACATATAGTATGGGATATCACGCCCTCGCATGGCCTGACTGAAGACACCTTTATTCACGCCTTTAAGGCAGATGATCTGTGGTGACGTCTGGGCGGCTCCGCCTGCACATATATACGTGTAACACCACAGTCATCCTTCAGTTCTTACGCTCTTCACCTCGCTGAGAACACCTACACCGAGTCAGGCTAACTAGCTGCTGCTAAATTAGCCTGGTCTTGTCTGTGGCTATTGCCTGATCGTTTTTAGTTTAACTGCCCCTGTTGGTGTGAGCCAGCAGCTACCCGCGGAGCGCTAATTTCATTCAGCTTCTGCGTCTTGTTATGAGCGCTGAGCCCATGAAAGCGAAGGCGAAGTCTTCTGTTCGCCCCTGTCCTCAGGGGTGCGGCTTCTCCCTTCACGAAAAGGATCTCCATGAGGCTTGTCCTGTTTGCCTGGGTGTTGTCCACGCCAGGAGGGCATTGACTGAGCCCGAGTCGTGTGAGTCCTGTCACCGGCTTCGGAGCTCAACCCTGGGAAGGCGGGTCAAGTTTGTGGAGAAAATACTAGGAAAATCCGCTGTTGCGCTGCATGATCCCCGCCTCTCCGAGTCCAGAGACCCGGCTTTGCCCGAGTCCGGTGGTGAGGACTTTCTGGTCGAAGGCTCAGTTGGAAACTGGGCAGACCATGTGGAGTGTGCTGACGGGTCAGCTGGATTTGAGCCGGGCCCCTCCGAGGGCACTGGCCAGCCGCTATCCGGGCTAGCTTGTTACCAGGAGGACGATGACGTGCTGGACATTGGCCTGGGCGTGCAGGGTTTTTCGGAGGATGAGCAGGAGCCGTTGTCTTCGGGTCAGTATGCCGCCGCTGCTGCGCCGGTTGATCTAGACGACACATCCTTCCTCTCACTGTACCGCCGTGCAGCTGAGAAACTGGAAGTAGGATGGCCCTCTCCTCCACCGGCTCAAAAACCGTCGCGGTTCACAGGGTTTTTTCTCCCACCCGAACCGACGACTGACAAGAACAGCTTGCCCATGTTCCCGGATTTTGTCGCGGAACTAACCTCGACATGGGACAAGCTGCTGTCCACCCGCGCCACAGTGCCCGGTTGTGGACAGTTTCTGGACCTGGATGGAGCTGAAAAAGCTGGATTGGTGAACCCTCCGTCTATGGAGGCGTCCCTGGCAGACTATCTGGCCCCGGCCAGAATCACGGTGTCGGTGGCCCTATCACGCTCCCATCCAAGCACTGTAGATTTTCAGCGTCACAGCTGGATAAAATTTACAGGATACAGGCAAATACGGCTCGTGCACTGAGCTCCGTCACCATGCTTCAGACATATCAGGCTATGTGTCTGGCGGAACTCGGCTCGCGTATGCCTCCCGACAGTCCGCTTTCTCCTCTCCTCAATGAAGCTCTGGTCGCCACAGATTACATCCTCCGTGTGTCCCGCTGTGCAGCGCTCTCTCTCGGTAGAGGCATGGCTTCCACGGTGGTGGCGCAGAGGCACCTGTGGCTGACTCTCTCCGACGTTCCAGAGAGGGACAGAGCGGTTTATCTGGACGAGCCTGTGTCGGCCAGCGGTTTGTTTGGGCAGTCCCTCGACGACATTCAGGCTAATTTTGGGCCGAGGAAGAAACAAACCAAAGCTTTGAGCAGCATCATCCCCAGGCGTGATGCGAGGCCCAAACAACAGGGTTATCTGCACAAACCGGCAGAGACGCTGCCGCCCTTCATTTTTGGCCGCCAAAGAGGCCGCGTTTAATGTTTGTTCAGGGGTCCGGTCCCGAGAGGCGCTGCACTCCCTTAACACAGTTTTTCCCAAGCACAATCCTCCCTCACACACATGCCCCAGTAATGGCGCCTGTTGTTCACTGAGTGAATGTTACAAATGTACGTTCGTCGAGTCTAATAAAGGTTTCGTTTTGTTCTCAAAACATCATAAATCAATCAAGTCTGGGCGGGAAAGTATTGCTGTTCCCAGCCGGCACGCTAGAGGGCGACAACCCCTCCCCCACAGTACTGGAGGTCAGTCGACTGACTGTACGTCTCCCTCGGTGGCGCGCATGCGCAGTCTCACCGTGGGTAGAGAGATCCGTTGCCATGGGCTACCGCTTACAGTTCGGGGCCCGGTCGCCTCGCTTCCACTCTGTAATACACATAGTTGTAGCAGAGGAAGCAGCAGCAGTGCTGAGGGAACAAATAAACAACTTGTTGAACAAGAGAGCGATATGAGTTGTTCCCGCTCGGAAACGAACAAAGGTTGGTACAGCCACTATTTCGTTGTTCCGAAAAAAGGAGGAGGGCTCCGTCCTATCTTAGACTTGCAAGTGTTAAACAAATACCTACGAACTTACAGGTGCAAGATGCTAACACTCAGACAGCTACTGGGCGAAATCAGACCGGGAGATTGGTTTACAACTATCGATCTGACAGATGCTTACTTTCACGTAGCGATTCATCCGGACCACAGGCACTTTCTAAGGTTTGCATTCGAGGGCACAGCCTACGAATACCTGGTGCTGCCGTTCGGCTTATCACTCGCCCCCGAACATTCACCAAATGTGTCGAGGCGGCATTGGCTCCACTAAGGGAGAAAGGTGTGCGCATCTAAGCCTATCTGGACGACTGGGTGCTGAGTGCGTGCTCTAGCGAGCGAGCAGCGGCTCAGCTGTCATTGACCCTATCGCACATCCAAACACTGGGCTTTTCCGTAATTTACAGAAAAGTTCACTGACTCCGAGTCAACAGGTATCATCTCTCGGGCTGGAAATATGCTCCGTTTCAAGCCGAGCACGTCTGTCAGAACGCAGGGTGGTTACGTTTCGCCGCTGCCTGGCACAATTTCAGTTGGGACGCAAACTGTGTTTTCGGACGATTTTACAGCTGACAGGCATGATGGCATCTATGATCGCTGTAGTGCCGCACGGACTGTTAAAGATGAGAGCGTTTCAACGCTGGACTCAGTCTCACCGGCTGTGCGCGCAGCGTCACCTCCAGAGGAGGCTGACGATAACTCCGTCTTGCATGTCGGCTCTTCTCCCGTGGAGAGAACCCGGTTTTCTACAACGGGGATCTCCGATAGGGAGGGTGTCTTTTCGCAAGGTGGTGTCCACAGACGCATCCCTGAGGGGTCGGGGGGCTCTGTGCGAGGGCGCAGCAGTGAGAGGTGTGTGGACGCCAGCACAATGCAAACTCCACATCAATTATCTTGAGCTATTAGCCATCCTATTAGCTCTGAGGCATTTTCGTCCTGTTCTGACGGGCCATCAGGTTCTGATCGGGACGGAAAACACAACCATGGTTTCCTACATAAACAAACAGGGAGGGACATGCTCTTTTCCCCTGTTAAAACTGTCTCACTCTCTGTTGCTATGGTGCAGTGTTCATTTTCTGTCACTCAGAGCCACACATATTCCGGGTCACTTAAACCTTGGGCCAGACCTTCTCTCCAGGGGGGTCCTCATGTGAGAGAGTAGAGATTGCATGTCAGGACCGAAATGTACTCCCATTTCAGAGTTCTATTGTGGATGTTTTAACATTCCTTCAGGAGCGGCTGGATAGGGGTCTCTATTTCTCAACAATTAAAGTCTGTTTGGCAGCTGTATCTGCATGCCATGTTGGCTTTGATGGTGTGACGCCAGGCGCTCACCCTCTTGCTATGCACTTCCTAAAGGGAGTCCGCAGGCTAAGACCTGTGCTTAAACCCAGTGCTCCCTCATGGGATTCAGGGTTGGTGCTTGAGGCTCTTGGTGGACCTCATTTGAGCCTGTTGAGTCAGCAGACATGAAATTTCTTTCATACAAAACTGCACTGCTACTTGCTTTGGCGAGTGGGTGACCTTCATGCTTTGTCTGTGCATCCTTCTTGTATCCAGTTCACTCTGGATGGATCTAAGGTTACATTGCGCCCAAATGCGGCGTATTTGCCTAAGATTATCCCCATAGCCTATAGCTCTATGAGTTTTGAACTACTGAGCTTCTGCCGTCCTCCATTTGCATCTGAGGAGCAGAGGAGGTTGCATTCCTTGTGCCCTGTGCGTGCACTACGCACTTACATAGACCGCACTCAGAGTGTGCGTTTATGTTACCAGTTGTTTGTCTGTTTTGCTAATCCAGCCTAAGGCAAGGCACTGTCTAAACAGCAGCTTTACCGCTGGATTGTGGAGGCTATCTCCTTAGCATACGGCAGCAGGGGTCGTCCGTTGCCCCAAGGTGTGAGGGCACATTCAACCAGGGGAATGGCAGCCTCATGGGCCTTGTTAAAGGGGTTTCTGTGAGTGATATCTGCACTGCAGCCAGTTGATCATCACCGCACAGTTTTTGTTCGGTTTTATTGTTTGGATGGGACAGCCCCTTCAGTGGCTCACTCTGTCCTTTCTGCTGGGTCTACAGTGCACTAAAGTTTTGGAGGTTGACTTTGGTTCGGTGGCTGCTCTGTGGGGCGTGTATATATGTCCCATACTATATGTGTTGTACCGAGTGAATTGACTGAAAGGGAACGAAATGTTATGAATATAACTTCTGTTCCCTGAAGGAGAGGAACGAGGTACAACACTGGGTTGCCCCACTGCGCAGCTAGGCTCGGTGAAGAGCGGCTATCGAACTGAAGGATGACTGTGGTGTTACACGTATATATGTGCAGGCGGAGCCGCCCAGACGTCACCACAGATCATCTGCCTTAAAGGCGTGAATAAAGGTGTCTTCAGTCAGGCCACGTGAGGGCGTGATATCCCATACTATATGTGTTGTACCTCGTTCCTCTCCTTCAGGGAACAGAAGTTATATTCATAACATTTCGTTTCCATTGGTTGATCAATGAATCTGGGCTCCACAGATGCTGGCTGTTTATGTCTGGTGTGCACGTGCTTAACTCCAGGTCAAACTACTCGGAGTTGCTAAAACTGTCTCAAATCAGGTGTTGTGAAACCGGAAACTCAGAGTTTCCTATCTCAGAGTAGATCAACTCAGAGTTAAGGATTTGACTCAGAGTTTGTTGAACCACCTACGTGAAACGGACCCCAAGGCTGCAGATCACATGGTTTGTTTGTCACCACAATATCAATGGTTATCAGCAGTTTTATACATGCAAAATGAAACATGGATTGTGTAAGAATGCTGTGCTCACCCCTGTCTGTGCCATCCCGAAAGGACCTGGATTCATGCCCAGGAACAGGATCGATTGTCCGCTCTGACAGTACCTCTCCACATAGCAGCGGTGAGTTTCCCAAGCGTACTCCAGAGGGTTGTAGATATAGCGGACGGGTTCTGTGAAGGACAGCCGGCTAAGAAGGACATTCAGCTCCAGTTCAGCCTGCAGAAACTTGGAGGAAGGGGTCAGACTGAGTCCTGCTTCTCCTCCCTGTTTAAAGCCCTGCAGCTGCTCAGACTTCAGCCCATCATAAAAAAGAAAAAAAGAAAGCCCCTCCGTCTGATAAATTTCACCTATCAACTGCTTCATTGAGGAAAAAACAATAACGCTAATAACCAACCAGTGTGATCTCTTCTTCTGCTCATTTTAGTGATTCTTCTTTTATTTGGTTTAAGCTGCTGCTCCCCCTACAGGCTCACTGGTGCTACTACAGCGAAGAACGACACTAATTCGAGACACCAATGTACCGCCTAAATTCAGCCTTTAATGGTTGATATCGTGAAACTAGAAGCGAGGCCTCTGCACTCTGTGGCAAGCTGGACACCCTGGAGATAGCTTTCATGGCACACTTTTGGGATACAATACTGCAGCGGTTCCGAGCCACGAGCCTGCAGTTGCAGAAACATGACATTGACATACACACGGCTACATAGCTTCTCCTTTACCTTGGTGACTTTGTGGCAGCTTAACTGTTACCGACTCACTCTCCCAAGACTACAGACATGACCTCCAGCGCACAAAGAAGAACAAATGTATGGCTGATGAAAGTGCAGAGCCAGGTGTTGAATTTAGTGGAAAAGAAAAGTTTCGGATTGAAACGTTCAATGTTCTATTTGAAAAACTTGTGTCCTGTCTTAACCATCGGTTAACTGCATACACACACTTGACCAATCTTTTTCATGTTCTTTTCATGTCTGATAATCTGTCCAACAGTGAGCTCACTTTAAGGGCAGAATCTCTTGGTGCAGCATATCCCACTGATCTGACCTGACCCACTGATCTGCTTGGCAGATGAACTTGTTCAGTACAAATCATTCATTTCAGAAGAACAAAAATGCTTTCCAAAATGTTTACATAGCACTCAGACTGTTTTTGACCCTGCCAATAACAAACTGTGAAGGGGAACCGTCATTCTGTAGACTGGCTCGAATAAAAAATTAGCTCAGGGTGAAAATGTGCCAAAATGGGTTGAATTTACTATCCCTTCTTGCAATAGAATCAGAGTTTGTTTGACAGCTCAACTTTGATTAGTTAGTGGACGACTTTGCAAGAAGGAAGAGCAGAAAGAAACTTTTATAGAATCCTTAGGTACGGTAGGTTGGTGCGGGGGTGGGGGGTGGGGGTGGGGTTCGGAGTGTTGGGGGGGAGTTTGGACCCCTCTCGGACCCCTCAGACCCCCATAATCCGGCCCTGCCCCCACCTGTATTCAACCGACACCTGCAATGTCTGTCATGGTAGCAATAACTCATATGCTATATAACGTGTAGTCAGACGGAGCCGATAAACTCTGCAGCTTGCTCGCATGTTTATTCAACAACAATAACAGAGGACATCCCGTCACTTGTAATAACAGTTACCCACCTAGTGGTAGCTTAGGGAAACACAGGGCAACATCACAACAGCTCTCACAACACATCCTCCCTTCTGAGTAGGCTGCATACAATAGGCCATAACATAATAGAACACCTCAGAAGTTCACCAGTTGTGTTGCAGATTATCCTTAGCCCATTCTTTTGTTAGTCACTCCAAGTAACTTCAAAATAAATCAAAATATTCCAAACTGTTTAACAACACCATTGTATCACACTCACTTATCTTTCCTTTCTTTCCCTAACTAGGTGGGGTGGACTACCCATTCCTTCATCTGAGTGAGGGGATAATTCTGCACCGGGCTGGTCACTCAGAGTTACGAGAGTACCTTCTATCTGATTCAAAGTCCATAAGGTACCTTGGAGGGTTTCTCTCTCTGGTAGGGTAACGCCTCTCCATCGCTTGGACCCTCGGCGGTGTAGAATTGGGCCTCACCGGGTGTTGGGTGACGAGATGACTTCAGTTGCGCAGAGTGGCCCGATATGTCATGAGGGCCATGTATGGGTTCAGGAGGTCCTTCACAGTTCTTACTGCTTTTTCAGCCTCCACATTGCATTGCGGATATCTGGGGCTGGAGGTAGTGTGATCAAAACCCCACTCTGAGGCGAACTGTCGGAAGAGGTCTGCACTGAATGTCCGCCGTTGTCACTCCGTACCTCCTGAGCAATGCCATGACATGATGTTTTCTTTATTTTTTTTTTTTTCCTATTTTTTTGCCTGGCACCTCTGTCTGGATGAGCTACTCTTAGTCTGGTCCCTCCCCCAGGACCTGTTTGCCTTGGGTGACCTTTCAGAGGCATAAAGCCCTGACAACATAGCTCCTGGGATCATTGGGACACACAAACCCCTCCACCACGGTAAGGTGGTAGCTCAAGGAGGGGAAAAAACCCTCACGAGAGGGAAAAACCGCAAGGGGTTTTTTTTCTGTGCGAAACACCCGGTTTAGGGTGGGTTTTTTTTTTGTTTGTTTTTTTTTTCAAAAATACTTTTCTTTGTTTTTAGTTTCCTATATAGCTTTTTTATTTTTCTGCCTGTTTTAATTTTTTTTTGTTTTTTTTGTTATATATATATATTTAAAGTGTTTTTTTTCAGATATACTTTTCTTTCTGTTTTTTTTATTTTGTTTATACTATTCTTTCTCTTTTTTTAGTTTTCTTTATTTTTTTTCTGCCTGTTTAAAGCTTTTTAAGTTTTTTTGTTATTTATATATATTTAAAATGGTTTTTTTTTCAGAAATACCTTTCTTTCTGTTTTTTTTATTTTGTTTATACTATTCTTTCTCTTTTTTTAGTTTTCTTTAGTTTTTTTCTGCCTGTTTTAAGCTTTTTTTATTTTTTTTTATTTTTTTCTGTTATATATATATATTTAGGGTGTTTTTTGTCAGATATATATAGATATTGATTTTTCTTTAGTTTGTTTTCTGCCTGTTTAAAGTTTATTTTAGTTTTTTTGTTATATATATACATTTAAAGTGTTTTTTGAGATAAACTTTTCTTTCAGTCATTTTGTTTATACTATTCTTTCTCTTTTTTTAGTTTTCTTTATGTTTTTTCTTTTTTTTAAGTTTTTTTGAAACACTATTATTTTCTTTATTTTTTAGTATTCTTTAGTTTTTTTTCTGCCTGTTTTAATTTTTTTTTGTAGTTTTTTTTTGTTATTTATATATTTAGATTTTTTTTTCAGAAATACTTTTCTTTCTGTTTTTTTATTTTGTTTATACTATTCTTTCTCTTTTTTTAGTTTTATTTAGTTTTTTCTGCCTGTTTTAAGTTTTTTTTTAGTTTTTTTCAAGTTTTTTTTAGAAATACTATTCTTTTTTCTCTTTTTGTAGTTGTCTTTGGTTTTTTTCTGCCTGTTTTAAGTCTTTTTTTTAGTTTCTTTTTAAATTTTTTAAAGTTGTTTATTCTCAGAAATAGTATTCTTTTGTCTTTTTTGTTTTCTTTAGTTTGTTTTCTTCAGGTTTTTTTTTTCCTATTTTTTTGCCTGGCACCTCTGTCTGGATGAGCTACTCTTAGTCTGGTCTCTCCCCCTGGACCTGTTTGCCTTGGGTGACCTTTCAGAGGCACAAAGCCCTGACAACATAGCTCCTGGGATCATTGGGACACACAAACCCCTCCACCACGATAAGGTGGTAGCTCAAGGAGGGGAAAAAACCCTCACGAGAGGGAAAAACCGCAAGGGTTTTTTTTTCTGTGCGAAACACCCGGTTTAGGGTGGGGTTTTTTTTGTTTGTTTTTTTTTTCAAAAATACTTTTCTTTGTTTTTAGTTTCCTATATATCTTTTTTATTTTTCTGCCTGTTTTAATTTTTTTTTAGCTTTTTTTGTTATATATATATTTAAAGTGTTTTTTTTCAGATATATTTTTCTTTCTGTTTTTTTATTTTATTTATACTATTCTTTCTCTTTTTTAAGTTTTCTTTAGTTTTTTTCAGCCTGTTTTTAGTTTTTTTTATTTTTATATATATATATATGTGTATTTAAAGTGTTTTTTTCAGATAAACTTTACTTTCTTTTTTTTATTTTGTTTATACTATTTTTTCTCTTTTTTTAGTTTTCTTTAGTTTTTTTCTGCCTGTTTTTAGTTATTTTTAGTTTTTTTGTTATTTATATATATTTAAAGTGTTTTTTTTCAGATATACTTTTCTTTCTGTTTTTTCTATTTTGTTTATACTGTTCTTTCTCTTGTTTTAGTTTTCTTTAGTTTTTTTTGCCTGTTTTCAGTTTTTTTTATTTTTTCCAGAAATGCTTTTCTTTTCTTTAGTTTCCAATATATCTTTTTTATTTTTCTGCCTGTTTTAAGTTTTTTTTTTTAGAAATACTGTTATGTTTCTTTTTCTTTTAGTCTTTTTTTTTTACAAATACTATTCTTTTTCTTCTTTTTGTAGTTGTCTTTAGTTTTTTTTCTGCCTGTTTTAAGTTTTTTTTTTTAGTTTTTAAAAAATATTTTTTAAAGTTGTTTATTTTCAGAAATACTATTGTTTTGTCTTTTTGTTTTCTTTAGTTTGTTTTCTTCAGTTTTTTTTTCCTATTTTTCTTGCCTGGCACCTCTGTCTGGATGAGTTACTCTTAGTCTGGTCTCTCCCCCAGGACCTGTTTGCCTTGGGTGACCTTTTAGAGGCATAAAGCCCTGACAACATAGCTCCTGGGATCATTGGGACACACAAACCCCTCCACCACGGTAAGGTGGTAGCTCAAGGAGGGGAAAAAACCCTCACATGAGAGGGAAAAACCGCAAGGGTTTTTTTTTCTGTGCGAAACACCCGGTTTAGGGTGGGGTTTTTTTTGTTTGTTTTTTTTTTCAAAAATACTTTTCTTTGTTTTTAGTTTCCTATATATCTTTTTTATTTTTCTGCCTGTTTTAATTTTTTTTTAGCTTTTTTTATTATATATATATTTAAAGTGTTTTTTTTCAGATATATTTTTCTTTCTGTTTTTTTATTTTATTTATACTATTCTTTCTCTTTTTTAAGTTTTCTTTAGTTTTTTTCAGCCTGTTTTTAGTTTTTTTTATTTATATATATATATATATATATATGTATTTAAAGTGTTTTTTTCAGATAAACTTTACTTTCTTTTTTTTATTTTGTTTATACTATTTTTTCTCTTTTTTTTAGTTTTCTTTAGTTTTTTTCTGCCTGTTTTTAGTTATTTTTAGTTTTTTGTTATTTATATATATTTAAAGTGTTTTTTTCAGATATACTTTTCTTTCTGTTTTTTCTATTTTGTTTATACTGTTCTTTCCCTTGTTTTAGTTTTCTTTAGTTTTTTTTGCCTGTTTTCAGTTTTTTTTATTTTTTCCAGAAATACTTTTCTTTTCTTTAGTTTCCAATATATCTTTTTTATTTTTCTGCCTGTTTTAAGTTTTTTTTTAGAAATACTGTTATGTTTCTTTTTCTTTTAGTCTTTTCTTTTTACAAATACTATTCTTTTTCTTCTTTTTGTAGTTGTCTTTAGTTTTTTTTCTGCCTGTTTTAAGTTTTTTTTTTAGTTTTTAAAAAATATTTTTTAAAGTTGTTTATTTTCAGAAATACTATTCTTTTGTCTTTTTGTTTTCTTTAGTTTGTTTTCTTCAGTTTTTCTTTTTTCCTATTTTTCTTGCCTGGCACCTCTGTCTGGATGAGCTACTCTTAGTCTGGTCTCTCCCCCAGGACCTGTTTGCCTTGGGTGACCTTTCAGAGGCATAAAGCCCTGACAACATAGCTCCTGGGATCATTGGGACACACAAACCCCTCCACCATGATAAGGTGGTAGCTCAAGGAGGGGAAAAAACCCTCACATGAGAGGGAAAAACCGCAAGGGTTTTTTTTTTCTGTGCAAAACACCCGGTTTAGTGTTTAGTGTGGGTTTTTTTTTTTTTTTCAAAAATACTTTTCTTTGTTTTTAGTTTCCTATATATATTTTTTATTTTTCTGCCTGTTTTAAGTTTTTTTTTCAGAAATACTGTTATGTTTCTTTTTTTTAGTCTTTTTTTTTACAAATACTATTCTTTTACTTCTTTTTTCTAGTTTTCTTTAGTTTTTTTTCTGCCTGTTTTAAGTTTTTTTTTGTTTTTTGTTATATATATATTTAAAGTGTTGTTTAGATATACTTTTCTTTTTGATTTTTTAATTTTGTTTATACTATTCTTTCTCTTCTTTTTGTTTTCTTTAGTTGTTTTTCTGCCTGTTTAAAGTTTATTTTAGTTTTTTGTTATATATATATTTAAAGTTTTTTTTAGATAAACTTTTCTTTTTGATTTTTTTATTTTGTTCATACTATTCTTTCTCTTTTTTTAGTTTTCTTTAGTTGTTTTTCTGCCTGTATAACGTTTATTTTAGTTTTTTGTTATATATATATATTTAAAGTTTTTTATAGATAAACTTTTCTTTCTGTTTTTTTTATTTTGTTTATACTATTATTTCTCCTTTTTTAGTTTTCTTTATTTTTTTCTGCCTGTTTTAAGTTTTTTTTTGTTATTTATATATTTAGATTTTTTTTTTCAGAAATACTTTTCTTTCTATTTTTTATTTTGTTTATACTATTCTTTCTCTTTTTTTAGTTTTCTTTAGTTTTTTCTGCCTGTTTTAAGTTTTTTTTGTTATATATTTATATTTAAAGTGTTTTTTTCAGATGTACTTTTCGTTCTGATTTTTTTATTTTGTTTATACTATTCTATCTCTTTTTTTAGTTTTCTTTAGTTGTTTTTCTGCCTGTTCAAAGTTTATTTTAATTGTTTTGTTATATATATTTAAAGTATTTTTTTTAGATAAACTTTTCTTTCTGTTTTTTATTTTGTTTATACTATTCTTTCTCTTTTTTAGTTTTCTTTATTTTTTTCTGCCTGTTTTAAGTTTTTTTTTGTTTTTTTAGTTTTTTGTTATATATATATATATATATATATATATATATTTATATATATATATTTAGTGTTTTTTAAAGTAATACTTTTCTTTCTGTTTTTTTATTTTGGTTATACTATTCTTTCTCCTTTTTTTACTATTATTTAGTTTTTTCTGCCTTTTTAAATTTTTTTAGTGTTTTTTCAAGTTTTTTTAGAAATACCATTCTTTTTCTTCTTTTTGTAGTTTTCTTTAGTTTTTTTTCTTCTTGTTTTAAGTCTTTTTTTTAGTTTTTTTTTAAGTTTTTTTAAAGTTGTTTATTCTCAGAAATACTATTGTTTTGTCTTTTTTGTTTTCTTTAGTTTGTTTTCTTCAGTTTTTTTTTCCCTATTTTTTTGCCTGGCACCTCTGTCTGGATGAGCTACTCTTAGTCTGGTCCCTCCCCCAGGACCTGTTTGCCTTGGTTGACCTTTCAGAGGCATAAAGCCCTGACAACATAGCTCCTGGGATCATTGGGACACACAAACCCCTCCACCACGGTAAGGTGGTAGCTCAAGGAGGGGAAAAAACCCTCACATGAGAGGGAAAAACCGCAAGGGTTTTTTTTTCTGTGCAAAACACCCGGTTTAGTGTGGGTTTTTTTTTTTTTTTCAAAAATACTTTTCTTTGTTTTTAGTTTCCTATATATCTTTTTTATTTTTCTGCCTGTTTTAATTTTTTTTTAGTTTATTTTTATCATATATATATATTTAAAGTGGTGTTTTTTTCGGATATACTTTTCTTTCTGTTTTTTTTTTATTTTATTTATACAATTCTTTCTCTTTTTTAAGTTTTCTTTAGTTTTTTTCTGCCTGTTTTAAGTTTTTTTTAAAAAAATTTTTTAAAATACTAATCTTTTCTCTATTTTTTTGTTTTCTTTAGTTTTTTTGTTATATATATATATATTTATACATATTTAGGGTGTTTTGTCAGATATACTTTTCCTTCTGTTTTTTTTATTTTGTTTATACTATCCTTTCTCTTTTTATAGTTTTCTTTAGTTTTATTCTGCCTGTTTTAAGTTTGTTTTTTAGTTTTTTCTTTTAGTTTTTTGTTATAAATATATATATTTAGGGTGTTTTTTTCAGATATACTTTTCTTTCTGTTTTTTTGTTTTTGTTTATACTATTCTTTCTCCTTTGTAGTTTTCTTTATTTTTTTCTGCCTGTTTTAAGTTTTTTTTTAAGTTTTTTTTAGTTTTTTTGTTATATATATTTATATAGGTTGTTCTTTTCTGAAATACTTTTCCTTTTGTTTGTTTTTTATTTTGTTTATACTATCCTTTCTCTTTTTTTAGTTTTCTTTAGTTTTTTTTCTGCCTGTTTAAAGTTTTTTTTCAGTTTTTTCTTTTAGTTTTTCTATATATATATATATATATATATATATATATATATATATAGGTTGTTCTTTTCTGAAATACTTTTCCTTCTGTTTTTTTTTGTTTATACTATTCTTTCTCTTTTTTTAGTTTTCTTTATTTTTTCTGCCTGTTTTAAGTTTGTTTTTTAGTTTTTTTTAGTTTTTTTGTTATATATATATATAGGTTGTTCTTTTCTGAAATACTTTTCCTTCTGTTTTTTTTTTTTTTGTTTATACTATTCTTTCTCTTTTTTTAGTTTTCTTTATTTTTTTCTGCCTGTTTTAAGTTTGTTTTTTAGCTTTTTTTTAGTTTTTTGTTATTTATATATATATATAGGTTGTTCTTTTCTGAAATACTTTTCCTTCTTTTTTTATTTTGTTTATACTATCCTTTCTCTTTTTTTAGTTTTTTTTTTTGTTTTTTTTTCTTCAGTTTTTTTTTTCCTATTTTTCTGCCTGGCACCTCTGTCTGGATGAGCTACTCTTAGTCTGGTCACTCCCCCAGGACCTGTTTGCCTTGGGTGACCTTTCAGAGGCATAAAGCCCTGACAACATAGCTCCTGGGATCATTGGGACACACAAACCCCTCCACCACGGTAAGGTGGTAGCTCAAGGAGGGGAAAAAACCCTCACATGAGAGGGAAAAACCGCAAGGGTTTTTTTTTCTGTGCAAAACTACCGGTTTAGGGTGTTTTTTTTTAATTTTTTTTCATATAAAAATACTTTTCTTTTCTTTAGTTACCTATAGTTCTTTTTTATTTTTCTGCCTGTTTTAAGTGTTTTTTTCAGAAATACTGTTATGTTTCTTTTTAGTTTTTTTTTTTACAAATACTATTCTTTTACTTCTTTTTTTTAGTTTTCTTCAGTTTTTTTCTGCCTGTTTTAAGTTTTTTTTTGTTTTTTTAGTTTTTTTTGTTATTTATATATATTTAGGGTGCTCTTTTCTGAAATACTTTTACTTCTGTTTGTTTTTTATTTTGTTTTTACTATCCCTTCTCTTTTTTTGTTTTCTTTAGTTTTTTTCTGCCTGTTTTAAGTTTTTTTGTTTTTTCTATATATTTAGGGTGTTCTTTTCTGAAATACTTTTCCTTCTGTTTTTTTTATTTTGTTTATACTATCCTTTCTCCTTTTTTAGTTTACTTTATTTATTTTTTACCTGTTTTACGTTTTTTTTTAGTTTTTGAAGTTTTTTTTAGAAATAATATTCTTTTTCTTCTTTTTTTAGTTTTCTTTAGTTTTATTCTGCCTGTTTTAAGTTTGTTTTTTAGGTTTTTTTAGTTTTTTTGGAATTTTTATATATATAGGTTATTTCTTCCTGAAATGCTTTTCCTTCTGTTTTTTTTTTATTTTGTTTATACTATCCTTTCTCTTTTTTAGTTTTCTTTAGGTTTTTTTCTTCCTGTTTAAAGTTTTTTTTAAAAAATTTTTTCAGAAAAACTATTCCTTTTCTTCTTTTTTAGTTTTCTTTAGTTTTTTTCTGCCTCTTTAAAGTTTTGTTCTTAGTTTTTTGTTATATATATATATTTTTTTTTTTTAGGTGTTTTTTTCAGAAATACTTTTCCTTCTGTTTTTTTTATTTTGTTTATACTATCCTTTCTCCTTTTTTAGTTAACTTTAGTTTTTTTCTGCCTGTTTTAAGTTTTTTTTTATTTTATTTTCAAAAATACAATTTTTTCCTATTTTTTTTAACTTTTTTTTTATTAGTGTCCTTATGTTTTTTTTTATTTTTCTGCCTGTTTTAAAGGTTTATTTTTAAATACTATTTTTTTTCCTTGTTTTTAGTTTTCTTCCTGTTTTAAGGGTCTATATATATATATATATATATATATATATATATCGATATTTATAGATATATATATAAAAATATATATATAAATATACATAACCCCCCCAAAAAAATATAATCATTATATTTATATATATTTGTGCTTAACACCAGGTTTAGGGTGTTTTTTTGTGGGTTTTTTTCAGAAATACTTTTCTTTTTCTTTTTCTTAGTTTTCTTTAGTTTTTTAAAGTTCCTGCCTGTTTTAAGTTTTTTTTTACTTTTTCAAGATTTTTTAGAAATACTATTAATTTTCTTTCTTTTTAGTTTTCTTTTTTTTCAGTTTTTTTTCCTTTTTTAAGGGTTTTTATTTAAGTTTTCTTTAAATTTTTTTCAGATTTCTTCCTGCTTTAAGGTTTTTTTTTTCCTTTTTAACTTTTTTTTAGCTTTTTTTTCAGATATATGATTAAAATTTTTCTTTAGTTTTTTTTTTTTTTTTTTCGGTTTTCTGCCTGCTTTAGGTTTCCTTTTTTAGTTTTTTCACAGTCCTGAAAGTTTGACTCACAGTCCTGCGGAGTGTCTCCATCTCTCTGTCCCTCAAGTAGAAGGTCCTGTTAATCCTGGGTCAGTTTGTTGGTCACTGCATTGTCTTTGACTGTTTGTAGTCTCAGAGTTTCAAACGATACCCTGGACAGCTGCTCTCCTTCCAAATACTAACACGAAATGTGAGCTGTGATGATGTCATAATGATGTCATCACGGAATTGCTCCATTGATGTCATATTCTCCTGTTGCTAGTTTACATTTGAATTTTTCACATTTAAATATAAACAAAAGCACACCCTATAACAATCATATATTTTTCAAACCTGCTGTTAACCCACATTGATTTGAGTTGTGAATTGATATGTGTTGATGAGTTAAATAAGAAAACTTAGTATTACACACCAGCTGTTAAACTGAACTTTACAGACACCATCTTGCCTGTCTACTTTTGTCCATTGTTGACCCAAAATTAAAAAATAGTTCTCTTTAAGTTTGGGTCAATTTTGGTGCCCCCATTTTGACAAAGCAGTTTTCAATTATCGTGTCCACTACATGCCTCAACACATTTCATCCTGTTGACTTTTGACAGTGAAATGTAGTACTTATTGGGATTTTTTTTTTGTGGAAATGGTAAAATGCAGGGCTTGCCCCCCAACCCCGCACCAATTTTAGACAATAAAAACAAGGGTCTAAAACTTACAAATGTTGTCACTGATGGTTCTGTTTAATTCTGTGTATCAATTAAAGACATTAATATGAGATTGAGTGTATTTCAAAAATGTCACAAAAATCCTAACCATAATCCTAACCCTAACCCTCACAGGCGCTTTAAAGAAAATAAAAACACTAAACCCACAAACCAAAAGCATCACCAAGGATCTTCCTTGGCTGTTGAAGAAAATAATGTATCTGACCCCGAAACTCTTTCAAAGTTATCCACCGCCATCAGTGCGTTTAATTAAATAAATTACTTTAACCCAGATTAACGCTGGTTAATTCATTTAAATGAGTTTGGTTTAGTGCAGTGGTCCCCAAACTACAGCCCGCGGGCCGGATACGGCCCTTCTCCACATTTGGCCTGGCCCCCTGAACAACACCAGAGACGCATTATGATTTTTTTCAGTCTGACAACGCAATCAAGACTAATACATGCATAGAATGTGACATTCTATTCCACCCTTTTGCAGTTTGTGCCCCTATCTGAAACCCCACGCCCAGAAAAAAAAAATCCTAGACTGGTCTCTGTCAAATAGGTCAATAGGGGGGGCAAAGCAATGTAGATGCCGATGCCAATTGCGATGTCAGAGGGTCTCTATTCTCTAGGATCTTATGACTACTCACACTGTTATAGGGCATTTCTGAAGAGAACTGAGAGAGAAGGGTGATATGAATTGGGCGGGGGGGGGGACAGGGACGGCAATCAGAGGGCCCCTGGGCCACGGGGGACGGCAATCAGAGGGCCCCTGGGCTATGGGGGACGGCAGTCAGAGGGCCCCTGGGCTGGCCTTGCTGTGGTGCCTCTCGTGAATACTCCTAAGGGAGCCCTAATATTTACCAACTAGGGGTTCAAGGAAGTAGGGGGGAATGCTTTCAGAGGGCCCTATGATTATGAAAGCCCCTGCTAAGGGTTGTGACTTCTGGCTATGTGGGGGCCCTAGGGAGAGCCCTAATGGGAGAGCATACTGTTAAGAGAGCCCTCTGATTACAAATGTTCTTAAAGGGCCTCTGTTTTACCAAGGGTTTTAAAAGAAAGTCCTTTCAGTGAGCCCTAAGGCCCAGGATATGCTAGCTGTGTGACTTAATTTACGTGTGCAACCGCACATACTTGCAGCAGAACGATGAGAGCACTACGCACGATACTGGTAGTGTTGCCAAAAACAAATCACCAAAAGTCGCTATTGGTTCTCTGGAAAGTCACTAGATTACGTCATGACGTTACTATGATGTCATAACATCAGACACGACTCACTGAGCTCAAGAAAATGTGTCTACATGGCTATGTTGACAATCCCAAAGGGTACAGTTTCGAGATCGGGGCTAATGTGCAGTGCTGCTTAACCATGAAATAGGCTTCTGGTGGCGGTGCAGAGCTGAAGTTACATGGAAAAACAATGATTTTGACACTTGAGAGATGTGTTTTTTTAAAGCCGCCAGATTCACCTAGAAAGCTGCTAAGTCGCTAGATGAGGTTTTAGTCGCCAGAGACGGCTAAAAGTCGCTAAATCTAGCGACAAAGTCGCTAAATTGGCACCATTGGATACTGGCGGTTTCATGTAGGGGGCAGATAGCCAACCAAGCTCTCATTAATATTTTCCACCATTGTTTGACTCTACCACAAGCTAAACATGGAAGTTCGGAAGATCGCCCCTCGCGGTTGTGTCAATATTGCAACATGCACACATGTCTGGATACCTTGTGTTCAGGTGTGCTATTACGCGTAACATGGACATAAAATACACATGGCAACGCATTCAGGCATGAAATGTGCACACGGTAAGCATATCCTGGGCCTAACACTGGCCCCAGTAGACAGCTAGTAGAAGCTGGACCTATTTTCTATGAGAAGCGATTTCGCTATAGTTACTTCGAAGAGAGTAGTAGACTGGCAGATATTCACCTTCAGAACACTTAGTTTTGCCCCGCTTCACTTTGCAGATTTCGCTTCCTTATGTCCCCACCGTAAAGGGGTGTACTGTACACACCAATGCCAACAAAGTGAAGTCCAAGTGAAAATCCAATATCAATACAACACTCCCACATTACACTTGGCATTGCTTTTATCGAAAATCCTCACATGGCAGAAATTTTGACAGTTTAATTGAAAATCCAATATTGTTAAATCCGTTTATCGAAACTCCTAACAACATTCTTACATTAAAACCTTTCCTAGACTATCAGATTTAGCATCCAACACCCTATTAAAAAGCTCATTGACATTTATATTGTATTGTATTGTATTGTATTGTATTGTAATAATACTGTACCTTAACTAGACTTGAAGCCATTGTAAGGGCTACTGTATTTTCAGTGAACAAATCTGGAAGTCTAAGTGGAACTAGAAAAATTGCATTTCCTTGCAGAAAATGCGTGGAAATGCTGAGTGCTGAATGCTGAAAAAGCAATGCTAAGCTGCTAATAAAACATGGAGAAAGATATTAAAATAACCACTGAAATGTATCACATAAATACATGTGTCTTGTGACAAAAAGAGTATGAAACACAGTGTAAGTCCAAAATCAAATCCTAAATTTGCGAATCTTTAGATTTTTGCTGGCACTGTCACAGATTTAACTCTGAACTGTCCCAGATTATAATCTGCTGGGAGGTCTCTGTCATGTTTCAAATGTTACACTCTGCATATTAAATGCAAAAGAGGTAA